GTTCAGAATTCTTTTGAATTCTAGGCCACATTCATCCATCCACACACATTCAGGCAGCAAGTCTTTGTTTGCGAGGTGTTGCAGGACTAGTATTGCATTTGCAGGACAATACTTTTTCTTTTCTGTTGTAAAAATGCAATCACAGATAGACAAAGAGGTTGAGGGTGAGGCGACTGCTCTTCTTCCTTAGTTACTGCCACCATGTAGTTTTTAACTCCATGAGGTGCTAATAGCCATCGCTTTTTTAGTAGTAAGATCCAAAATTAACCTACACTTTCCTGACTTCAGTTCATGTTCCATCTCTCTCCAAAGATACCCCTAACCACTGTAATATATGTTGTGTAAACTGTCGTCTTACTGCTTTACCTCATTAATTTCTTCCACGCTCAGATTGGCTTCAACCACCAATCTTTGTAAAGGCTTGCGGTCTGCTTTAAAAGAGCCACAAGTCAAAGGTAAACTTGTAGCTGATACGGACAAAGGAATACATAAACCCTCTGTCAAAACCCCATTTCCCATCTTCAGAGTAAGCCCTCCAGGCACTGCAACAAGAAAATATTCATTCAAAGTTTCTAACCATTGATTTATCAGCTCCCAACAACTCCTCTGTCCTGGAACCTTTTTCCCTATTCTATGCTTCTATAGATATTATCCTGCTGATATCCAAGTTGGCCAAGAAGGGTGCACAGCTGGGTAAGGCTGCTATTACAAATGCTTTCAAATCATGCCTTTCCACCTCTCTTTATGGCATCTCCTCGAGGCTTTTCTCACAAGAATCAGTTGCTACTTTAGTTCTTGTTCTTTATGTCCTCTTCAACACCTTCCCCTTCATCTTTCAGTGCTTAAATAATGAAGAGCAAAAAATAGCTGTGGTCTCCACCTGCTGCAATTATGAGGCATCACTCGTGATGATGTGCTTATGCAGGCTTCATTGCAGAGAGACAGTGTCACATCCATCCTTCTCTGCTGCCAGCAGTCTGTCTGAAACAACTTAAATCAGTCGAGCCACCTTAGCTTCAGTGTAAACATCACCATTTCTCAAAATCATATCACAGTTCTTGGTTTTAGCCAATAAGGGATGCTGTAATCCCAGATAATGGGGATTTTCCTCTGCTGTGTGAGAAAAGGATGTCTGTCCTTATGACTTTCCAAGAATCTTTAGATTCTCTCCAGTTTTATAGCAGCGGGTTTGTTTGGGGGATTTTACAATCCTGAATGTTTTACTGAGGTTTGGTCATCTGAAACTCAGACCTTTGAATCCAATCGTAAAGCTACAGCCCTTTTGAGATTTACTCTCCTGTTGTTCCTTATGTTTTATAAGGGCAGCAGATGGTTCAGGAAAAAAATGGAAGCATTCTGCAACACACAACCACACTGACCGATAAGTCTGCTTAAAGATTACAATAAAGACTCACGCACAGAATGACTTGGTTCTGCATCTTGGATTGTTTTTATTTTACAAGCTCCATCCCCGGAAACGAGAATCACCTATGCTGTTTCACTTCAGTATTCCAAATTATCACCACAAAGGAGCCGAGTTTTGTCTGGCAAAGTGATTTTTTCTATTCTTATAAGGTTCTTTTGTTCAGAACTAAAATTAAATCAAAAGTAAATCAAGTGCATTTAATTTTGCAAGTACCATCAGTAGCTCTTACACTTAGTTGTTCATTAAATTAATTAATCCCTCGAATATTGGAAATTATCAAGGAAAAGTCGCTTGGAGTTCTCAGCAACACAAAAATAACTCAGTACAATGTATTAAAGATTTATTTTTAGTTGAAGGAGAGAGCCAGACTGCTACTGTAGATTACATACAAACCATTGTATGATGGAATTGGACGTGACGTTTAAAAATAATGTCTACAGGCAGTTTAATGCATTATTACATTACTTTTACACATGCTCACCAGCCTATTGTTTTATGTAGGTTCTCCGTATAGAGCAAGAGGGACAAAACACCTTTTAATCTGAAATTCTGACTGTCTTTTGAGAACCAGCCTCTTGTATTGTTATTGGAAACAACTAACAACAAAAAATTAAACAGTTATAATCAGGCTGACGTGATCCCACAGCAGCTTCTTCACATATACAGTTAAAATGATAAGATTTGTAAAGGTTTGTAAAAACATCCATCTGTTTTCTGTACCACTTATTCCCAGCGGGGTCCCAGGAGGCTAGAGCCTGTCCCAGCTGACAACGGGCGAGAGGCTGGGTACATCCAGGACATTTCGCCTGTCCTTTACAGGGCAACCACACACAGTCACATTCTCTCCTAGGGGTCATTGAAGGTGTCACATTAACATGCATGCTTTTGGGAGGAGGTTGGAGTACCCGGAGAGAACCCACGCAGACACAGGGAGAACATGTAAACTGCACACAGAAAGGTCCTGGTTCCCTTGAGGACTCAAACCAGGAACCCTCTTGGTGTGAGGTGACAGTGCTAACCACCAAATCATTGTAACAAACATATTAGCCTAGCGACAGTAATAACATGAACGGCATCGTCAATGTTAACACTTTGTTTACCTTCCCAGGTGACACTTTATTGATCCTTTACTACCCAAAAGTTTTCTCTGGCAGAAAAAAAGACATCAATATTCACTAAGGTTTTTTTTTTGTTTTCTTGCCCCTGACCGTGGTTTTGTTGAGGGAGAGGGTGGTAATGAAGGAAACGTTTTCTTGCCAAGAGCTTCGACTATCGTTGTAATTACAGTTGTAATTATTTCTATTATAAATTTCCTCTGCTCCTTGGGAAACATTCAAATGTGACATGATTTATTTATTTATTTATTTATTTATTTATTTATTTATTTATTTATTTATCATAGAAGCCTTGATTTAATCGGCCAGTCCACAGAGAATGCAGAGGTGACAGCTAAAAACGCCTTTTGGACATCTTTGTTGCATGATATTTATTCTTCATCTTTTTTTTGCACTTCTTTCTGTGCCTGGTGGTGGCGTCATTACGACTGCATCAGGTTCAACTCTCTGCGTGGTGTTTGCTCTTCCTGTGTATGTTCTCTGTGGGGATCCCCCCACCATCCAAATACATGCATGCTGGGTTGATGGATGAGGATTTGTCTCACCCTAAGTGTGGGGGTACTCATGTAGGGCTATTTCTCCCTGTGGCCCCAAACTATCCATGGCATACCCCGGGTCATATCAATGGCTCTCCACAACCCTGAATTGGGTCAACTGATAGATGCTCAAATAGATGGATGGATGTTTAATTTGTCTATATATTTTAGCTTAGACCGAATGATGTGACGTTGTAAAATCACGATTCAAGCTCTGAACAAAATGAGTGCAGTAATAGAGACTTGATGGATGCCACAAGGAGCTGTTGTCATAACGCCGTTCACATAAACACAAAGACGATGTTGTAAGGGAATGTGTACAGAGGTCGTAAACAGTGGGGATTTGGAAATATAACATACTTCTCTGCTCATCCACCAGTACTGTTACACAAAGCGTTTAACCTCATTCTTTCTTTTCCAAGTTTCGAGTGTGATCATTACAGCTGATACAACCAGAAAAAAATAACGATAAGCAAAATATCCTTTGATGGAGGTTGATAATAGAGAATGTTATTACAGTGTTACTGTTCATTTTTTCGTGTTTTTGGCATCACATTTGCATCCACAGATCTGTTTTTTTTCTAACCTTATCAGGCTTTTCCATCCTTGTAAGCACGTTTGAACTGAGAATAATGTTGATGAAACAATTAAAGTCCCATGCCATATCCAGCCATGGAGGGAATCAATTCTGTCCTCCAGCATCAGGTGGATGATTCCAGCATTCATTATTGCCTACAAAGTTTCCCTAATGGGATTGGATTTGAACTTATGAGTCAACAGAACCGTTATTGAATCTGTGCAGCTAAAGCAGTTGTCCTCCTCCAGAATAATTCTCCTTCACCTGTATAGTTGCAGCCCTGTGAGATTTTCTTTCTTTCGTATAGAGTTCCGTACAATATGGAGACGAACATAAGCTCACAGTGGATAAACGGGTTAAATACCTGAACAGTATTTTGGAGCGCTACATGATTGAACGTTGTTGTGGAAATCTAACCCTAGTAAAAAAATGGTTGGAAAAAGAAGTTAACTGGTAGAAATTGCAGTGCACCGTGTGCTTCACACTGTTTGCCCTCTGTCTCACTTTCACTTACTGATTCCTTTGATTAGCTTTGAGCTTGTGGGTGGTCGTCCTCCAGGGGTCTCATTAGCTGTAATGACAAGGCCAAGATTTTAAAATTAGCCAGCCAAAGACATAGTTTGTGGCTAGCTTCCACTCTGGCTAATTTCTTAAGGCCCTGAGATGTTATACATATTGACACATCAGGTTTTGCTGTTCTGCAATAAGGGACATCCAAATAAGCCCTTTTTCCCTTGCTGGAAAATACCAACAGAGCTTCTGATGCTACTGTGTGATGCCAGCTCCCAGTATGGATCTCTCTTAAGTCAGTTACCATACAGTTCTGGGGTCTGGCCTAAATAAAGACTTTCAAAGCTCCATTTAAACTAGTTGGAAGGGTTACAAATGACTGCATCGCTCCAAACTTCATCCATTAGAAAGTCAGTAAATGGAAACTGACAGTCATAAGAACTTTCCCTAAGAAGAAGGTTGGATTGTAGCAAATGCCAGCACTGGCAAAAGTTTTTTTGACTTCCACTAAACTGTTCCCTAGAAATGGAAAAGAAATAAATTATTCATAAATGTAAATTGAGCTGATATTTAACGGTGTGTCCAGTTGGACAGGTCATCCTGAGTGGCCCAGAGGCACATTGTGGCATGCATATTACTCCTGTAATGCTTGTTGGTTATAAAATTTGGGGGGGGGACTTTTGTCCTATAAGGCTTAAAAGTGATTGTGACTTTCTTTTAGATCTAAATTCTAATCACTTTCATGTGTCTTCTTCAAACAGATATACTGTTCCCAGTCCATGAACATCGTGCTGCGGTTTGTAGCCTGAACTGATTTCTTTCTCTCCTCATCACAGCTTCAGCACTGCCTACCAGTGTATCTACTACTCCCCAGAGCACACAGCCAAAGCTCAGGAGGTGCTCAGCACCATGAGTCTCCTACAGCCCCTCATCACAAGCTTAGCAGACCAGCTCCTGCAGGCTGCCCATGAGCACTCCTCCCCTGGATTGAGGGATGCACTCAAGAGCCTCTCTGACAAGGTAAAGAAGCACCCAAACCTTTCATCTCTCCTCACTTGCAATTCAGATCTCCCTTCATCCCTTCCTCTTCTCCTCAAGCCCTCAGCAATACAAGCATGGATATACCTTCAGATACAGATATATAGTCTGCAAAGACAGAACAGCTCTGTAGAATTATATCATTAGTGGAGATTGAGCCCAGATTTAATAATTTATTCAGAATGTTTCTCCAAAGCAAACCTTCTGTAGGTGGAATGTTGTGCCAGCAACTTTTGTTTTACCCATGGCGGGGCTTATTTCAAACAAAAACTGTACATTTTTCAGTAACTTTAAATCCTTCAGTTGCTTTGAGACGCATGCATACACTGAACAGACAACCTCTAGAAAAATCCATAGCTCATCATAAAAATGCCAAACTAACAAACACGTATAGCAGCATGAAGGTTTATGGAATTGAGGCATTTTTATCAGTATAATTAATGAATTACATCTGGTGCTGTCAGATTGCAATCTGTTGTGGGAGAGATTGTTTTTGCCACAGTGGAATAGAGCCCAATCAGCCTGTTTAATTGGTACATTCGCTCTGTCACCACTTCTTCTCATCCTTGATTAGACACACACACAGCGGCCAAGTAAACCCTTGGCCTGGTCAGCTCACGCAGGGCTTCTCGCTGATTAAGATATCAGGCTGCGTTTGTGTGTGATAGAGACACAGATGCAGACGTGTGTCTGTTTGACAAAAAAGCTGAGGATCAAGTAGTATCTTCCTCTTCAACTCAAAGATCATGAATAGTCCACAAAAAATCTCAGCGTCGTTGTCGTTGAGAGTTGCACACACATGCTCGTATGAACATACAGTAAAAAGCGTTAATGTTCATAGAAACCTCAAATGAATGGTGAGTTTGAAGCTCAAACTCACTATGTAGTTGTGAATCATTTTTGTCAAATGGAAGATTTTCGCACTAGGAAATTTTTTTGTCCAGGAGTCACGAATGCAATGTAGTTTAACACTAGTGAAAATTAGTAATTTGTTTGTACAGTCACTGGAAAAACTGATTAAATCGGACACAAAGGAACTTATTCATGTTACAATAAGCTCAATAGGGACAAACCAGATACAGTGTGGACAGTACCCTGACAGCAAAGTTTGGACAATGCTCACTTGTTCACAATTTTCCTTTTGTGCAACATGTTTTTGTACAGTACACTTTGCACAAGACTTTCAAAACGTCTCATTCTTGAATTTTATCTAAAAGTTTTGTGTAGACTAAGAACTTTACAAAGGAAAACAATGTGCAAATGCACATCACAAATTAGCAAAGTGGTCAATAAGGAAACATAATATTTTCTAGAAGTCAATGACAAACACAACTTTTATATTTCTCAGGTTTATGTTCACAGCATTTTCAAGTTTTCAGAAGTTTATAGACACCCAGCCATGTAATTGCAAAGAGCATCCAACTAAATACCACCTTCACATTCACGTTAAAACCCATAGCAAACATGAAAAAAGGCTATGTTTGCTCATATTTTGGTCCTCACTAAAGCAAATAATTGGTTTGTCCATTCAGTGCTGCTGTAAATGCAGTCGCAGGAGATGTTAGAGGAGATATCAGAGGATTATAAAAATGGTAATATTTCCAATATTTATATATTCCTGTATTTATATAATAATAAATACATAGTAACAGTAATAGTAATAGTTACATTACATACAGCTTCATTAATACAGCAGGATTTTAACCATAAACAGGATCTGTTTTAGCATATGTTTAGATTACATGAGGTCAACAGAAAAATTCAAATGTCAAGCCTCCTTATGATTATCCATTACCAGAAATCTTCAGACAAGAAACTAATGACAGAAGATATCAGTTTCTGTATATAACCGGATCCAGATGGTGTTCTTTCATATCTCATATCTCCTATTGTGCACCACATTTTGAGAATGTTGTCATCGTAGATTCTGTGAATTGATTTCAGTGCAGATTAAGTGGAAACAGTAAGTACTCTATATCTTTATAACTTTAGGGCGCAGATTTGTTCTTGACAAGAAAACAAAATTAGAAGACAGATACATTTCTTTAATAGCTAGAGGTAGCTACACATATGTGACCCCATTGCTGTAAAAGTCCGCTGTTTTTTTAGAGTTCTCTTGTCTCACACTTTCTTGTGACTTCTTCAGTATCTTTGTCTAATACTTTTTCTGGAGACTTCCTGATTAGTTCTGGACATGGCAGATGTGAAGTTTCTCCCTTTATATGATGATGAGCCTGTTGATGATGATAATTATTTTCCTCTAATGATAATCATAGTTAAGCATCAACTGCAAACCTCCCTCCAGCTTTGCCCTTGTAAAAATAATCCCTGCATACTTTAAAATCTGTCCATGAAAAAATTGTGGGTTACATAATATATCCATGACTATATTAGATTTTTATGTAAGGGTCAAAAAACACAAATAGTGAATGTCCTCTCTGATAAGTGTTGCTGGAACTTGACCAGCTACATCCACCGAGCCTCTTCATACTGAAGCTGGAAAAAGTGAAAAATTATTTTTTTAACAACCAAAATCTGCTCGTCCTTCAGGGAAAAAGTATTCAGAATGAATAGAAACTATCTATTTTTTCTTTTCAGATCAAGCATATCTTTTTTTTACATCTCTAGTGCAGAGAGGCATTTTCAGGCTTGAACTGCTCAGTAAGGATCAGATCAGGAGATACTGCATACTGAAGAAAGGCAACGAACACAATTTCTCTTCAGGGATTTTGAGCATTTCAGATCTTTTGAAATGGGTGTTGAATAATTATTCATAGAAGTTTGCTATCTAAAATCAGTTGCTTCATAGAAGCTGCAATCATTTTCTGTTTTGCTCTGACATTTTATTTTTGGAACATATATGGACCATATATGTACAGATACATTAAAGTAATTCACTGAAATGTTACACTTGACTTTGGCTTATCGTTCCTCAGTTTCCATGCTGGTTAAATCTTATCCAACATTCACAAATCTTTTATCAGACGCAAGTGTAGTTTAGAACAGTTTCGAAAAATCTGATTGATCTTAATTCTCTGACCTTGTGGTCAAGAAATGTAAATGTGGCTGATTTTAAATACAGTGTTTGACTTTGTTTTCTCATTTCATAAAGTGAATAATTTGTGGTCTCATGGATTGCAAAATTAACACTGAGGTCAGATGAGCAGAGTTCAATCTGAAGTAATTTACATTTTATATCTCGAATTCCGGCTGCTTGTGTGAGTTACTACACCAAGAGCTGCTCCTATATATATTTAGTCTAATTTTTACTCATATGTGTAAGACTGAGTATATACTGCTGGCTTCCAGCGGTGATGCCTGTTCCCAGATAATTACACGTCATCCTATCAATAGATTTGACTTGTCACATCATTGACTTACAGTAATGGAAGTCATTAGAATCCATGCAAGGCAATTAAAAAGATATGAATTCCATGTAATGTCGTTTTAAGTGTTGTCCATGTTAGTCTGCTCAAACACTTTATAAATGGCCCATTCACTTTGGCAAAACGCCTTCATACCTTTTCTTTTTAAATCAAGGGCAGAACAGTTCAACCCGATGGACCAGTAAGTGTGTTTCTATTAATGTCTGAAATGGATTGTAGCTTCCTCACAAGAAAATTACTGCTCACAATAGACTTTTTTATAGCTACTGTCATGTTTCCGAGCTGTAATGAGTCTGTTACTTTGACCAATTTTCATAAATTAGAGTTGGAAGAGTTGGATTAAATTCCATTTTTGTTTAGTGACAAAACAGGAAAGCCAGCAGATAGATGGTGTTGTGGAGGAAGACAAAAACAATTTCCATGCTAAGGAAAAACATGAGCATGGCAGAAACGTAACAAGACTTCAAAGACTAACTGCTAATCTGATAATATCAAGGATATGACACTGAACAAGGAAAATGATGGAGATCCATGTTATCAGTGACTAAGACCTGCTTTGAAACTGGGGTAGGAAAAAAATACTAGATGTAAATCAATTAATTTCTTGAATCACCTCCAGTTAGTATATGTATTTATGTACGTGCATATTGCATTCCATTGAATTATGTAAATTACTTATTTTTCGGGGCTTAAAGCTCAAAGTTTAAGATCTATTAATCTCGTTTTCAAGAGCTCCTGGAATTAAAACTCATTTATATATTTGCTAAAAAATAAGATGTGGAGCTTTATATTTTTACAGTGTATTTATATGTATAGCATACTAACTATGTACATACAAATATAAATATGATCAATTAGATCTGCACTGCAGTTTGATTAACAAGTCATTTGATAGGTTGGAGGAGCAAAAAACTTCAATATCAAATTCAATTATTGGTGAAGTAAAGTAAATTCTTATTTAGCATTCCAATGATTGGCTAAAAAAAATCAGGTTAAAGGAATAAAGTATAGTTAATATGATGATATAAGAAAGTATGTTCAGATTACATGGATATAGATTTTTGATGAAATGGAGAAGTGTAAGTCACAGAGAAGCCAAACACAAGAATAAATAACTTTAAGCTATTCAGGAAGGATTCAATGGGGGCAAAAAAGAAAACCATTCTTTAATGGAATGGATAACAGATAATCATGCAAATGACTCAGTCAGAGAAGTGAAAATGACTGCTTTAGTAAAACACCAACAGGTCATGTTGCCCACATTCACAAAGGGCCATAACTGCCTGTTGCCTTTATTGAAAAGGTTCAAAGCCAAATTAAGCTTGGAGACACTTCATTACAACATCCACACAAAGTAGTCTACCAGGATTTCTTCACCGCAATTACCTGCCTCTGCACCAAGCCAGCAGTTTTCATCATTTCTTGCTGTCTCAATAAGCTCAGTCCACATGAGATGGGTCAGAGCAAGAAAACAGTGCTTGCATGGCAAATATGTGCATACGGTGACCTCACAGGTTTTGTTTCACTTCATTTTACGTGGTGATAGAATTGCTTATTGCAAAGGTAACTCAATTACTCCTGAGGGCCCTTATAATTTGCTATGCAGCGGCAGCAGCGCGTGTAGGGCTACTTGGTGCCGGCATCATCATAAACTTCCAGTAGGTGCTGAATCCGAGAGCAAAGGGGGGTGGTCCCCTCAGAGAGGCAGACTGGAGGAGTAATTGAATTGTTTGTTGCTGTTACTCTCCTCGCTGGCTTGGGTGCAGTAAGGCAGAGCGGCGTCTTTAAGATCAGCGAATGTGTTCATTTTCCTTGTTACTTTGGGCATCCTCTGTAAATAGTTTCCTGTATTTTTCTTTTACCCGTTCTGTCTCGACAATGTCACAGCCCTTCCCTGCCTCTCAGACTCTTACTCAGTCTCCATTGCTTTTTCAGCACTTCATTTTTCATTTGTTTTTTTTATCCCAGAGTAACTCTCTCTTTCTTTACAAATCCGTACCTCTCTTCTGTTGTTACAGACGGAACAATTTGTTCACACACTAAAGGATGAATTGGTCAAGAGTGCTCTGCTAGCACTCCATGCAGCCCGGCCGGGGTACGTCTCTAAAAGCCAGAGGCAGACTCCAGTGCAGGGACATCATCCAGGCTACACCGGCCAAGACGGCGACCAGAATCAGAGCCGAGTCCAGGGCGTTCCTGCCCATAACCCGCCCACATCCACTACAGAGAGCCCGGTGGTGTGCAATAATGTGGAGGGATCACAAACAGTTACTGGAGGAGAAGCTGAACAAGCGCCAGTGAAGCACCAAGATTCAATACCGCATCATAAAGAGTACGATGAGGAGGAATGGGTAAGTCATTAGGCTCTGTGGAATACTTTTCATGGATATTTCTCCATAAAGCAAAAACCTCCATTGTACAATTTCAGGTCACATCTTTTAATGTATCTTGTGATAGACTGATAGTTTTGGAGTTTTTTTTTTCGTAGCAAAGCACACACAACTTTGCGTGTTCTGTTTAACACAGCCACCATTGTTTTCGCAAATCATTTAATTAACCTGTGAATTTTGTCCGTGTGCCAAACATTAGTCTGCATTTAGGTGGGATTTTTTCCCCTTGGATTTTACATATTTCATCATGACAGAGGATACTGCAGAGGATTATCATGTGGTATCATTGTTATTGAACTTAAGCCAGTCTGCCTCTTTTCATGTAAGGGTGCATGGTTTCTTGTTTGTTTGTGGAGATGGCATCTGTCACACTGGCTGCAGGAGATCATCGTGTTTTCTGCACGCCAATGCGGAACTATCACTCCAAACATTCCTTACCGTTTTCACAGGTTCAGCCCCTTCATTTTTTGTGTTGTTTTTGTTTTTAAACCAACAAATACTGAATTACACAGTGGCTTTAAACACATACACACAGATATGGGATGTATTTTTCATTAGAGAAAGGCTGAGCTCAGAAAAACAAAATAAAAATAAAAGCTAAAGCTTTAAGAGTAATCCATGCAGCAGTATCCTTTTGATCTTTCAGATATAAATGTCAGAAAAGACTTGTTTTTTCTGACATTTATTTGTTGTTTAGGTGTATGCCTCATTTTGAAAATTCTTTTCATGATCCCACTGTTTCATGACTTTAAATCGAGAAAGAGTGAGAAAGACAGATTTAATCATCTGAGCTGAGCTGGCCTGACTGGTGGTTGTGGGTTTATCTCTTTCAGGACAGGGTGTGGGCTAATGTGGCCAAATGCCTCAACTGTGTGATCGCCATGGTGGATAAACTCCAGGAAGAGGACAACAGAAAGCAGGAGCCAGTTCCTGAGCAGCAGCTAGCTGATGTGATCACTTCGCACAATCCTGGTAAATTGCCTTTTACTTTTTCTTTTTTTGTTGTTGTTGTTGACTTCCACAGAAACCAACATGCCTTTTAAATCTCTACCTCTCCTGTTTACTTACAGAAGGAACTATTTGTTCAATGTTTCCGCCAAAGTTAAGCCCAAAGAGTTGTTGTATTGGGAAACATGGGATTTGATTTGGCTCCATAATAACAATGATGATAATAACAACAACAACAGTGATGTCATAATCAACACAATTACCATACATTTATATCTTAAATAGCAGATTCCTTGTGAAGTCAAAGAGGAACGTAATAATTCATACTCATCTTAAAAAATAAATGAACTCATAAATTCGCTGACTAAAAGTTTTAGATTCCACTTTAAAGGGGTCCTTTTCCGTCAGCACCACTGCCATCGAACTACCTAACCTCATACATATTTTGTGCACACGTATGTGTAGAAACATTGAAAGGTCAAATTATAGTATGTCTTTCATTTGTTTTTCTTGTTTCAAACAGCAGCCATATTCCTTTAACAAATCAAGTGCGTTTACATTCGTCATCTTGAATTCTTTTGGGGTAAAGACTTCATCTGTGCACATCATGCTGCCCTCATGGTTGCCTGCTCAGAAGCAGAGTAATCTAAATGTGTTGAAAAACGATCATGAAATATTTAACCAGGTTGCGCAGCATGATTATAGATTTTCTTCGTGCGTTTGTTTGTGATTGCAGTTGATTCAGTCTACTGTAGTTCAGTCCAGCACATCTGCTCCGAAAATGTAAAGTCCATTAAAGTGTGCAGATTAGAACTCTATTCGCCACATTTCTGTTGGATTAATGTCAGGACTTTGACTCGGCTGTGTCATCTAAACCACCTCTTCGCCAGAAATAACTTATATACTTTGGTTTCTCTTGGGATTCATTCCATGTACAGATATCGTGACATTTTCACAGTAGTAGTGATCTTTAGTCGCTCTGACAGAGCTGTTGTCTTTCTGCCACTTGTTAGAATGTTGTTTTTTTTAGAGAACAGCATGGCTATAAAATCAAGAATCTATTAGAGAATCGCAGCAGTCTGGTGTTGTCTTATTTTCACAATTCATTAGGGATAATAAATTATGATATCTATAATATAACATGCACTTCAAAATTCCTGTCCTGTTCAGACTGCAACAATAACTTTTGCTTTCAAGTCTCATATAGACATGTATCATTGGTGGATAACACCACCATCAGCCTTATATGATCGTTATTCAAATATTTTTATGTTTAAATATAAATATATAGAAGTGCTTTAAGTTGCCTGAGACTGTGTTCGTGCTTTTTTATCACAATACAGCAGTTAGTTTAGCCAGAGATTTTTTTCCCAACAAAGTAAACACTTTTTCGCTGTCAGAAGTAAGTACAAAAAGAAGCTGCTATTTTTCAAAGAATCGTCTGGCTGAATTGGAAATAGTGACACATTCAGCTGGAAGAGAGTTCAAACGGTGTAAAATGAAAAATTTTCAAAATGTTGCCAGAGAAAAAGGATAAAAAGGTATGTTTGAAATGCAGAGCCGTTCACTGTTGACCACAAGCTTCCCAGTCTTACCTTGCGTCCAACGATATCCTGCCTGAAGCTTGTGTTCAGAGAGTCCAGGCAGTTGCTGCTGCCATCTGGCAGCCAGAGCAGAGCCTTTAGTCAGACCAGGCCACTTTCTGTTTGTTGGACTTTCTGCTACTCTCCAGCATCTGTGGACGTGTTGGTGCAAATGTTTTGGTGGCTGTTTGTGTGATCAGAATGCATGCCTCATTGTCTGTGTCGGCTGAGATTGCCATCTATCCAGCGCTCAGCCTAAAAGATGAGCTTGACCCACAGAGCACCTTTCTTAAGATACTGAACAGTTTCAGAGAAAGTGACCATCCGCTGTCCTAAATGAAAACGCGGATGAAATAGTGTCAGAGACACTAACATTTTGTGCAGGTTTAGACTCTTGGACAGGTATGTTTGTGAGGAAGTGACAGCTGGAGTCCCCCCATTACCCCCTACTTACCTTTGTTCTCAAATTCTGCAGAGGCAGTATTTGTAGGGAGCAATACAACATGATTTGTCTGACAAGGCAGGGATTTCTGGGCTGCCGCTCACTCTGGGAATCCTGCATGTGTGTTTGTCCACACTGATTTGCTCTTGCTGTCTGAAAACTTTTTAATATGCGGAGGTTGAACAGAGTGCATGATTTGAAAAAAAAAAGCAAAATTCCTTGCAATACTTTATCTAACACTGCCCCCTGATGGTTGCTATGGAGACCTCTCTTTCAAGACCAACTCACACATATACAAATACATATTTCTATACATACACATAGTTTTCTTTTGCTCAAAAGTATATGAAACCATTGTTCTACACCATTGACAGGTGACTGGAGGGAGCAGTTGTGCCCGGTGGTGACCAGGTTAAAGGATTGTGTGATGGAGGTGATGGAGAGAGCCAAGAGAGCCATGACTTTTGTGCTCCTGCAGGAGGCAGCCTGCAGCATACCACAAGGCTTTCTCCTCCAACAGAGGCGAGATGTGGTCTTCAGCCAGGCAGTAGGTGGATGTACCAATCTAGTAATCAATGCTTTGAAATCCCTCTAAAGGATATTCTTTGCTCTTTTTTGTTTGTATAAAACACTGTTTCCTCTCTCTTCACAAAGTCAATCTCAAATTGAATGTTTTCGGTCTGGGAAATGCAAATGCAGAATCTTTGCTTTCCATTTTTGTGCCTCAAAAGCTGGCAGCCTTGGCCTGTGGTTTCGTCATGAGGTTGTACGCAGGAATGGAGGACAAAGACTTCCTGAGACAGCTCCACCAAGTTGGCCTGGTCGCCCAGTTTGAGAGTCTGCTCAGCACTTACAGTGAGTTAATCACGACCATTCCATTGACTTCCCAGAAGGATCAACCTCATTGTTTGAATCAATAGGCTGATGACTGATGAGGCTTAAACAGGTTATGCAATGCAGAGCTGCAGATTGCTGTGTAAGTGGGGTTTGTTTATAGCTAAACGTAATTTTAAGTGATGACTGATTGTTAAATAAACTATGAGAGAAGAGGCTGAATTGAAACAAATCTGCAATCAGATGTAAGGATGATGTGCAACAGCACATGGTGCAGTGAATACAAAGAAACGTGACGAGCAGGACTGAAATCATGACGGATCTTTTCCTTTCTCTTTTTTAACCTGTTTTAGGTGAAGAGATCGGGATGCTGGAGGACATGGAGGTTGGGATTTCAGACCTGCAGAAAGTTGTGTTCGTGATCACTCAGGCCAAGACAGAGGAGCGTAGTGAGCTCCAGCCATTAGTGTGTGGCCGACGGTGAGACATCTCCTGCATTTTTAATCAGTTTTTAAGAGGCTCTTTGGCTCACCAGATGTTGACTGTTGGAAAAAGCCAAACAATAGAACGAATGGATAGTGGTTATCTGTATTTGATATTTTCCTGTTTTTAAATCCCTACACTGTTGGAATTAGTGCATTCAGAGCACAAGAAAAATACCAAATTGTATTTGCATCATGTTTCAAGACAGCATGGTTTAATTAAATAACCAAGCCAGTTGTGTATTTTTCTAATTTATTAAGGTAGACCAGCCAGACTAAACAATTGAATATAGCCTTATAAAACTTTTCTCAATCCATGTAACGTCGGTAAAATTTTACTGAAAATTCAGTAATTGCTCATATTTTTACATTATTTTAAAGGGCTAGCACAGCAGAGAGAAAAAAAGGTACCTTAAACTTACTTTTTAGCATCAATTTAATCATCCTTAAACATTGAAAAGCAGCACCGTCAACAACATGCAGTTAATTGAAATACCACGTTCTTAAAGAGCATCACTGCTAAGTTCAAATCCAATCACTCTTAGCCCATAATATATTAAAAGCCTCTTCTAAAAGGACAGACAATTTCATATTATAAATACATAAGTGAGGCATTCCTACCACAGCCTTGGAAGAATTAACCATGAAAAACATAACAAAGCTACTTCAGCGTGTTAGGGGAACATCAAGCACCACAATAAACATGATCTCGAATTTCTATAGAACTAACAGCAGAGCAAACGTCTATCACTGCTGCCATGGCAACTCGGTAAGGAAATGTTGCTCCAATACAGACATCCTGGCATGTTTTGACACACCGTCAGTGCTTGCTTTTTACTGTTGGACTTTGCAAACAGAGAAGCAAACAGTGTGTCTTGTTATTGTCACTCCTCTGAACCTTAGTCTGTGAGTCTTGCACCTCTTCTCATTCTCCTGCATTTGCCAGGTTTATCCAATCACGTAAAGATTTACACCAGAAAATATTGTGTTGGAGTAAATTAGGAATTCCAATTATTTGTTCTTCAAGTAGCACAAGCCTGAGACCTATGTAACACTTATTTCGCAACACTTGCATAATAACATGTGCTCTTCCACCAGGTGTATAAAACCATTACACACACTTGCTAGTGCCACGTGACTATAATTAGAGCATACCAAAGAAAGGCTCGAGCAACCAGGAAAATGAAAAGAAAAAAGAAATTGCGATAGCACGTAACTTGTTCTGCACAGCTGGCTATAAGGAAGTATCGTTGACTTTTGAATTCAGTGAACTTTTTGCAAAATGTGAAAGAAGTGATTTCTTTGTCATGCCAGAGCAGCTTAAAACAAATGCTGAAGTTACTTTGATGATCATTATAGTCTCGCTTGTTGGAAATCAAAGGTTCACTACTCTGTTCATTTTGAAGAGCCCATCAGTCTTCTACCCATCTCTCACCTACAAACTAATTTTCATTCTCTTCTCAAAACTTGCTCATACCTGTGTCAGGCATTCAGTTGCGCAACTTCCTGCAAACATCGTATTCAATAGTTGCATCATGTATTGGATTTCTTTTTAATCGGTCCCTTTCCTTCCTTGCATTTAGAGACCACATCACTGTTGAAGTGCCATTACCACAACTGATTTTCCAGTCCTTGCCAGAGGAAATCAAAGAGGGCAGGCCACTGCGAGTATTCCCTGTACTATTCAATGTGGGCATCAATGAACAACAGACTATAGCAGAGAGGTACTGCCAACACGGTTTGGCCACTCTTTTATCCTAAAGACAAACATTTTGTATCCAAACATGCTTATTATTTCAGTATCTGAAAAAGGTTTTGTTTGAGTTCTCAATTTAGTCTTCATCTATTCATTTTGAGGAAGGTGCATTTATTTCTAAAACTGGAGGTCATTATTATTCTACTCCATCAAACCCTTGCATTCATTTAAAAGATATAATATGTTTATGAAGTCTTGTTCTTGTTTTTTACGCAATTCAGCCTTTACAGGCATGTATTGCTATTTTAGTAGGTGAAAGGTAACTTTTCTAAATTTGAATTAAAAGTGTTTATCTCAAAATTGTTCCCCTGTAATGTCCCGCATTCTTGTGTAATCCTCACAGGTTCGGGGATATCTCTCTACAAGAAAGAATAAACCAGAGGAACTTTGAGATATTAGAAGCCTATTATAAATTACTAAGTGAAAAGGTGCCACTAGAGTGTAAGTTTTCTGTATGTTATATATATATATATGTTATACCTATACCTGTGAAATTGGAGTTTTAATTTGACAAGAAAAGTGTTTCATCACATTTGTTTTTGGCTTTTTTCTCCTTGTAAATATGCATCCACAGCTGAACTACAGCCCATTGCCACCCATTTGGAAAAAGAACAAGAAGTTGTTCCTGACAGTGTGATTTGTTTTTCTTCAAACAGGTCTACCATGTTTTCAGACACAGACTGACATAAAGGAATTATTAGAAACCCTTGGCCAAAATGTAGTCACAAAGAAGAGGAAGAATGTGGAAATACTATGGATTGCTGGAACTGTGAGTTATTTTTCTGACTTTCTGTCCGTGTCCCATTCACCACATCGCTTCTGTGTTGCAGATGTGAAGATACTGGATGTTTGATGTGGGCTGAAATGAGGGCACTGGCTGATTTGTTTTGAAAGATATCTTATCTTGATTGTGATTATAGTTTTGTAAGCATACCTGTTTGTGAACTTTTAATGTTGTGCCGGTAACCCTTTTTGCAAAATACAGTCAGTGTATTTTTCTTTTTTAGAGGTGCATGTTTTGAACTTTGCATTCTTCCTGCTCCTTCAAATGCCTCAATTGTAAAGTTATAACTTCGGCCTCTAAAACATTCCGTTTGTGAAAGTCTTGAAAATGTCTTATTATTAGGATATTTTGTCCTGTCACAACATGACAGGATTATAACTTAATTTGTATTGATGCCTTTTAAAGGCTTACAGGATCTATAGGGAAAAAAAGCCCTCTGTTCGCCTCAAAACCCAAGGATCAATATACTTTATTGGCAAATGTACGTGGACAGTGGATTGGTACAATCAATTATTGTTTTTCCTTCAGTCAGTCTATAGAAATAAAAGCAAAAAACTAAATGAATTTGAAGATATATTTTTACATAACTGGCTTAAAAATTACAAGATGAGTTATATGTCTTTTTTTTATTTATAGTGCACTGAACAGTAGTCAAATCCTGATTGAAGACAGAAACATTCCCAAAGCTTTGCAGTGTTGTAACTCACTTATTAAAACACTCGTCTTCTGTATGCATTTAAATATGAGATTCAAATGATTTCAATACATTTAAGTCATGTCATTCAGACAATCAGCATTTTGGGAAATGTTCAAATCAAGTAATTAAAGTAATAAAGCTTGCACATCAGATAAAATGTTTCATTATGAACCAAGGGAATAAACAAAATTATTTTTCTCTAAATATATCCACTGAGCCTTTTAGGGCACTTAAAGTGTAGTTTTGAAACTCAATCCATCTAAAAGGACCAGTGTTAATAAGCAAGTCCAGACATCTTACCCAACTTATGTTGCACCATCTGCAAAGTAAGAACTGGAAGCTTATAAATCAAATGTTATAGAGCTTTCTGTCATTTTGAATAGTTTTCCTTTATTCGGAAGTCGATGAACAGGTCTCTCTTAATGATATATCACTTTTACTGGCAGTTTAAATGGATAATGTATGTTTTTTCTGCCCCACCAGATCTGCCGAAGGTTAAATGGTATCAGGTTTACCAGCTGTAAAAGTGCCAAAGACCGAACATCCATGTCTGTCACATTAGAGCAGTGTGCTCTGCTGCGGGATGAACACCAGCTCAGCAAGGACTTCTTCATCCGTGCTCTGGACTGTATGAGGAGGTGAGACGTTCATAAAAGATGCCTCTGAACTTCAGTGGGTGCAAGTTATTGTTCCACTTACTTCCAAACAAACCGAATCCAAATACATTTGGCTTTAAGAGAAGTGAAAGGATCATTTTGGTGTCATTTGCTGAGATGACCTCTTATCTTTTCGATTTAAACAGTTCAGTGGGTTTGGCTCAGCTTTTCTTTTTAAAGACTAAAGTTTTGTTTTCCCATTCCCAGATACACTCAGTAACCTGAGAATACCCAGCCCTGTGGGCCACTGTCTGTTAATCCCTCTAAAGTAAAAGTCGTGTGTGATTTCACAAAATATCTCAGCTCATACAACCAGGATTACCCTGTATCTTGACATTTACAAGGTGCAAACCGAATGAAAAATAAACTAAATTGAGATTAAGTTGTTACAACAAGCATCTGTTTAGGGTGATAACCTGCACCCACAGCATCCATTACACACATCAAGGAAATTGTGCCAGACCCTTCTCTGGGCTTCTCGCCCTGAGATGTGCTTCCTCAGCCACCGGCACCATCCCTCACTCATCCAAACGCAACTGTGCATGTTCCTGTCAGGGCTGCAGGGACACCGCAGTCTTTAATGTTTGTGCATGCCAGCAGGGTAAACATCTGCTTAGATCTGATAAGGCCTAACTTTCTGCCTTTGTAAGGAAATCTGAAGTGCTCGTGTAAAATGTTGAAATGAACATATCGACATGTACAGGCCCATAGCTGTCAGAAGTCTAAGAAAGCCAGGCAAAATAAGACCAAAGGGCAAAGATGGGTAGTTACTTCCACAGATCAAACATTTAACAGGTTCCACATGTCTAATGAATTAAAAATTTATTAGAGATGTGAAAATGTTAGAAACTAAAAAAGTTGCCTGCACGTTATACTAAACAATGCCCAAAAAACTGCAAACGGTCTTAGAAAAATGGGATTTTGACTGCTCGGTAAAAGTGAGTCCCGCTAAATAAAGACAGTGATATTTTTGTGTCGCTATGTTTACTTTCAGTGCATTTAATAACCGACTAAGCATTTTGACACAGATCCGCTTTCTCTTTTTGTTTCGTTCTCTTCACCCGTGGTGGCCACATTGTTGTGAAAAGTGTTGTTTGCTTTGAAAAAATGAGGAACACAAATGCTCCCTGTGCTCAACAATGAATTAGACTGAAGTCTCTCACTGAAAGGCTTCATACTAATTGAATAGGAAAGAAAGAAAATGAGTTTAGCCCTGCTAATGGTGCACTTCAAAGTTATAATTAAATTTAAAGACGATATAAAAAAACAATCAAGAACACTGCTAGATTTCTAATGTTCTGATTGCCAACTGTATTATTTTTTATGTATATTACACATTCCAGTATGAAGTCCATGCACAAACATTTATTTAAAGAAGAGGGGTTACCTCAGCTTTACACCTGCAACATTTTCACTTGCTGAGGATAGAAATACTTTTACCTTGAGATGGCATCTCAATGTATCAGAGGGCAATTCAGTGGTAATGTGTTCACATCTATTACAAAGTGAGCAAGCGATTAAAAAAGTTATAGTTGTGGTTCCATCTACTGCCAACAAGAAATCAGCTTTATCTGACAAACTTTCGGTTTTCATTACATTTACTTGATTTAGTCTACGAGGGCTCAACAGTAGAAATTAGGCTTGAAGGGGAATAAATTGGTTTGCTTTCATGGGGAGATAAATTAGATGATAAGTGGTCCTTTAATCTGTTAAAATGCAGTTTGATTCCCCTTGAAATAACAGACAAAGATTAGAAAGTACAAACATTTTTAAAGGCCTAATCATCATGCAGCATTCTGAAAGACTGTTTGATAAAAAATGAGTGTAAGCCTCTGAGCGCTGAGTAGGTCATCAGCATATTTTCAACATGTTTTTTGGGAAATGCCAAACACTGAAATTTATGCAAAAATACAGAAATATTTCTTCAATAATTGCTTGAAAATAAAACAGGCCTAATGATGATGTGTGGTATGATATAATTCATATCAATTGATATCATATCACAGCTATTTAAAGATGTGGCTAGGCAGATCATAAGGAAGTTGCCATGCAGACGAACGTCATCACTTCAGTAAATCATTCATACACCTGTTGAGTCAGTGAAGTGAAAAAGGACAGGAACATTGCAGAGGTCAAACAGCCACACAATCTCAGTACCAGAAAGATCAGTTTCTTGTTGGATTTAAGAGAGAAATGGTTTTGACTAGCGCCTTGTTAATCGGCTCCATCTTAAGGAATGGTTTTGTTGGCAAACTAAACGGCTTGTACCTTTTGTAAGTTAGGTCTGTCTGCTTCACTTTATCTTATACAAGAGTCATGTTTGTGTTAACTTGTTTTCAAAGCAATTATGACAACAAAATGATTCCATTATGAAATCTGTTTTCTGCAACCTGTCTCTTTATATGTGAATACTCATAAAGATTTATTACACAGTGAAGGTTTATTCCTATCGTCAGCAGTGCTGGGTACATTATGTATGAATTGTTTGTTTTTTATTTACCTAACTAAATGCTGTGGTGTGTAGCTTAAGGAGTCCACAACTGTACTGAGTTTCTTCTTTGAAAGACTTCTCTAACCAAAGAACAAACAAATGCTGGCACTCTTCTAACAGTATTGATCATCTCCATATAAAGCAGCTTTATTCTTGGAAAAATACATATCACATTGAAAGACCGGAGTCAAAACGTGAATAGAATTGTGTTTAAAAACTTACAGGAAAAAAATATATTAGTACTAATAAACTAATATTTATGGATGTCTATTTCCATTTATATCTGCATGCACCTTCTTCCATCCTATAGTCTACTCCAGCCATCATGTGGTTCACAGTGCTCTTGGAAGGCATGCTTCTCCCATTTCTACTCCCTCCATCACTCCCTGCTTATGTGTTGTCGCTTTTAGAGGCACTCAGTTTGTGCAAATGGCTCTGTGTCTAAGTGGGCATTCTGGCACGAGCCTTCAAAATCTCTCCAGCCGTCAGTCAGTGCTAGAAAGTCCACTCAGACGGCACCTTCTGTACTAACACTCAAGTCTTTTTATCTGTCTTTGTTCGTTCTGTTTTCCCTCTGATGGGAACCTGCAGTCAGCTGACCCAGGGAGACACTGGGCATTGGGAGGACCCTGAGGCTGGCGCCGTGACAGACAACAAACCAGCGTCACGACACTTTTATCCCATTGCCCTGCTGCTCGTTAGCTCCCACTTGCTAGTTGTGTGGCTCATTTTAAGTCTTGTTTTTCTGCTTGCAAAATATCAATAAACTGCTGACAATGCCCGTCCTATTCCCCTCCTGTTTCCTGTGTCTGCTGGCTATTCTTTTCTGAGTGGTGGTGTTCTTGATAAACAGTTTTTAGCTTAAGGATAATTGTCACAAGAGGGCGGGGTGTTCATATCTATGCAGTGGTATTAGTCCACATGTTCTCTACCTTTAGTGCTGTCTCACTTACTAACATTTTCTGCATCCCTACATACCCAGCTCAGCCGTACACACAGAAATACATCTAATATCTGTGTTCTAAACATGTAGGACTAACCTAACCAATAATGACTGTGATCATACTGAAGACTAAATGTTTTACTCCCAGACTGCATCTGAACCAGCAACATATAAAGGTCATGAATCAAGAATCTCGTTGATAGGGAATTTATAGCTGGAATTATACAGATTGCATCATCTTAGGCACTTAAGCAAAAGAGGTTATATTACATTAATGAGGTGCAATTGGCATTAAAACAAATCAAGAGTTAAGGTTTTTGTTCCAATACAACTCATCTTTATTTAGTGGCTTTTCCTTATCTCTATTTCCATCTTATGTCAAAAAATATATCCATCATTCACAAGAGTTTCACAGTCCTGCTGTGGCAGAGAAAGTTTAACAGACTGCAAAAGACTAACAAACCCAAATGTGAATAATTTCTGGCAGAATTCCCCTCTGGATGGGCCAGTTGTGTATGGTTCACACAGTGATCCTGCAACACGTTTTTGATGCTCTGCATTCAATTCAGCCTCATTACTGGAATAAACTAAATTTACGCCTCCAACTGACCCCCTCATAAACTTTTCTTACTAAAAAGATGTGGTCCTGGGTTCTATTTGACAAAACCCATCAATCCCAATACAAACAAAATGGTGTTGCTTCATGTAAGACAAAAAGTTTTGAAAAGGTAAAAATGTAGAACTTGAATTTTGTCTGATGTAGGTGATAAGATTCAAGTTAATTAATTTTGTGTCTTGAGAATCAAGGTAAGGAAAACGTATGTGGTGTATTAAGGAAATGTTCGTCTTTAAATATCTCAGGTGCAGCAGGAACAGATTCTGCTTAGACAGACCTGGTCAAACAAGAATTTTTATTATCAGGTCGCTATGAAGTAATAATCAGTACAGATTGACACATAAGATCGGGAAATGTCTCAAAATTGAATTTCCGAAAAAAACGCTCTGTCAGGGTGTGTCCTCTCTCATCCAGTCTTCACACCTTCCCATATTTGCTCTTACATCACAGATATAGATACACTAATCTTAGTAATCTTTTTGAGTGTCAGATCCCAGTACCAAGAATTGTTTCAGGGAACTGTGTTCATCTGCTGAGTTAGAGTTTTTCAATTTGTAATACAGCTAGCTCCAGTTACATGATTTCGTAGATTCATTGACTGAACTGTTGGTGCTTTATGGAGATGGTCATCTTCAAATAGCTCAGATGAAAGGGGGTTTTTACTATCAGCCATCAAATCTGGAGAGGTCCCAAAGTCAAATGTCCGAGAAAGCTTTGTCTAACTCTGGGTGTGGTCCTTCTTTCATACAGTCTCCGCACCTATGCAGATTCGGTATTCCTTTAGGTCTTGTTGTGGAAATTCTATTTTTAAGCAAGAGTCTTAGTCCGTCTGAGGAAATAAGAAAATAAGTGTATTAAAAACGAAAAACCAGCACCACCATCATTTGAACAGGTTGTTCAAATGAAGTACCGAGCTGCTCTAAGCCTAAACAAAACCATGATACATTTATGCCATCATGGGGAGGGAGGTGTGATACATCTGACCCTCATACCCGTTCAGGAAAGGTCTGCCTTCCATCATATAGTAAACAGCACATTTCAAGAAGAACATCTCCCATTATGTAATCAATCAAGCAGCCTAGAAATAAACTTTGATAACGGAAGTCTGATAGGACTTTCTCTCAGACTGTGAAGGAGGGAAGATTCCCTTGAGACAAGAAAAGACTCTTCAAAATAGATTCTCTTACGGAAAATCCCCAGAGAGAAACTTACAAATTGATTATACATATATTGATTTCCATCACCGTCTAAATGTGTGCATCACACTGTCTCATCCTTACAGTTGTTGCTATGGGTTTGGAGATGATAGCTTGTCCTATATGTTACCTTGGGTCCGTACATCTCAATTCCTGGTTCTTAACTCCCCTTGACGCTATATGTTAAGAATGTGTCTTTTTCAGTCGGTGAGGCTTTCGAACAGAACAGTCTGTACCTTTCTATAAGCTCCAGACACTACCAGCTGCTTTCAGTGCACACTCTCAACATTTTTTACTTGTGACGTTTTAAATCTACACCTGTTCATTTATTTCTTTTTTTGTTCTTTTTCTTTTTGTCCCCTCATTCTCCCATTTCCTCTTTTTTTGATCATCAGAGAAGGATGTCGGATTGAAAACGTTCAAAAGAACATTAGATGCAGGAAATACGCCTTCAACATGTTGCAGCTGATGGCCTTCCCCAAGTGCTACCGACCACCAGAGGGAACTTATGGCAAAGTTGACTCATGAGCTCACATCTGGTGTTGTTTAACTTTCCATTTTATGATGACCCAGAGGCAAATATAAAAGACTATAAATAATGTTAAATGCTATATTATTCATGACAAAGATACATGCTGTATGAGCTTTGACATGTTTTTTATGTGTATAAATGTATGGATTTATAGTGACCAAGTGGAATTTGCTAAACAAGCTTTTTCATGTTTCTGGTGTAACACACAGTGCTTCTGTGTGGCCGAAGCAAATCTGTAAACCTGTTTAGTGTGTGTGAGTGTTTGATGCACGCTATCGATGTTCTAAAGACCTATCTGCATTTGTATGCAGGAAAGATTTTTCACCAAAAAACTGTTTTGAAGTTGATTTGTGAGCGTGCAAGTTGGTGTGTTATACAGAGGCCAATAAGGAAGCCCTGTTACAAATTTGGTTCTCACAGTCAAAAGGGGCAAAGGTTGCCGAATACAAAAGCCAACGCCTCACATTCATTTGTTAACTTCACTCTGTTCACGCAGGATGCATCCATTCTTTGCTATGGTGTGTCACATTCATGATCAGGCTTTCAAAGACTATCCATGACTGAAAAATAACTGTAATGAAGTACAAGTTTCAGCTAAACATTGAACCATGTCTTTTTTCATTTCATCTTTTTTTTTTGTTTTGTTTTGTTTTTTTGTACCCTGGATAACAGTGTATGTTTAAAATTTGACATGACTGAATGTATCAAAATTAAAGAACTGTATTTTAACTGATTCTGTCGAGACTTGTGTGGGAAAAAGAACACAGGTGGCCAGACTGAGAAATAAGCGACAAAAATTAAGACTGCATCTTTCTTAGGTGTACTAACAGAAGAACAATCATTTCTGTAAGTCTCTAAATAATCCAAACAAAACTCCAGAAATATCTGCTGCATGTTGAATGATGAAAGTCCAACCAGCCAAAAGCAGAGGAACAGCAGGTCTGACAAAGGCTTTCATGCCTGAGCAGGATTTGTAATTCTATTGATTTCCCCACACACCCATCCAGGTGCCAGGCCTTTCCCCTGATAGGCCCCATTGACACTCAAGGGGAGCTGAATTTTTTCCTCCATCCCTCACACCCCACTGTTTAGTACGGAGCCCCCTAGGGGACATGGGGAATTCTTTTTCTTTTGCGTTCCCTCGCAATCATTTTGCGTTACCTCGCAATATTTTTGCGTTCCCTCGCAAAACCTTTTGCGTTACCTCGCAAAACCTTTTGCGAGGTAACGCAAAAGTTTGAGGCAGCGTTCCGGAACCAGACGACAATGGAGCAGTGTACTGTCTGCTATTCTGCATACTGACTGCGTTGGGTGCTTTCTAAAACCTCAGACTATGAAGTTATATAAAGCACATATACATTTTTTTTGCATCCATGCTCTGTTGTATATGTTTTAAGTCAAGTCAAGTCAAATTTTATTTATAGAGCACATTTAAAATAACAGAAGTTGCCAAAGTGCTGTACAGGTCAAAATAAACATAAAAAGCTAACATAACTAACATTTAGCAGACAGTACGAGTGTACTGTCTGCTCCATTGTCGTCTGGTTCCGGAACGCTGCCTCAAACTTTTGCTTTACCTCGCAAAATGCGAGGGAATCACACAACATGAAATTGTGATTATCAACATTTTAAATGGTTTTTTTCCGCTTTTTCAGAATGTATAACCTTGTGAACTTGTGCCTAAATTTTGACCCTGGATTATTAATGACTAGTCTGTTTACTTGGTGCCCAATTTTGACAAGTGGAATACCCTCAGGTTTTATTTCACACTATCAATATGACTCCGGTACCCACTGACAGTAGCTCAGACAACACAAAGAAATCAATCTACAGATAAGAGATATTATTTACTAGAGTGAATAAATGGTCCTAATACTAATGATACTAGGGTTATTTAAGAATACAATGTACAAGAAGTATCACAGTCAGCAGTCTTTAGCAATAAGCTTAACATTATACAATATATACAAAGAGTACAACAGTTCTTACTGGACAAAAAATACATGCAGTCTGTCTGAAGTTTACTGAGGCAGTGAACACTTCATTTATCATTTAAGGAAAATGGTATTTGTTATAGGCTGTCATGGTTGTCATGGGATACAAAACAAAAGAAGAATTCTATACAAATATTTATATATACACAATAACTCCTTACAATATTTCCTAATTATGACTGATTATGTTTTTTAGTAATGTTTCTTCATTCATTTTTTCCAAAAGTCGTATCAGTCTGTCCATGAATATTGTAATGTTTCCAAGAGAATATGTTTCACATGATGGACAGTCAACCTAAAATCCGACAGAAGAAAAAGACATTTTATAAAAAACCTACATTGGCGAAAGCAAATATGAATTGCAAAATGAGAATATACAGTTAAATGCTAGAAAGACTTACCAAAGGTAGCAGTGTTCTGTGATGTGCATAGATGCAGTCTTTCCTAGGATCTGTAATCTCTTCCTCATCAATGACCACCATTAACTCCAGCAGGTAACATTTAAGTGCCATGTCAGAACATTTATCCTATCAGAGAAACACACACTCATTATGAGCTATTACAGCAGCGTGTCTAGGTCCTTAATGTATGGATTTCTTTCTAATGTCTAATAATAATAATAGATATCTGAAAAGGCTTAACCTGATGTAAAACCACTGCCTTTTTGTGGGGATACTATCTTAAAGTATTTCAGCCATGATGTTGCAAAGTAACTCAGCCAGAGCTGTGCCTGGGACTCTCGTAGTTAAATTAATTTTAGTGTAAATTCATTTACATTTCAACTCTACGTTGACTGTAGGTTTTAGGCTCTTCACTGGACTCCTTCTGTCCCTCAAGCATTATTCTTTAAGGTCAGCTTTCAAATGATGTCAAAGCGCCACTGGATGAGCATACACTGTGGTTTTATTTTGCTTCTCAATCTGCAAATAAATCTGCATGTGAACTTACTTCAATCTCATTAACTGATGGTGCGTACAACATAGCATCCGATTTCTGGAAACAAGTTCAAAACATTTTAATTAAGATTGTGAGAGAAATACACTCAGTTCATATTTTGATGTCAATAACTTTATTGAATACAAAATAGATTAAGCTAGACTTTAAATGCAAAAAAAATGAAAAAAAGATTAAGCAAAATCATGGGCTAGAGGGCAACCATAAATCTAAATTAATTTGATACCTTCTCTCACCTCAATGATGCGTTTCAGCTGCTCCAAACAAGTCTTAAGATCTCTGACATCACTCCCATCTGCACGTGTGCATATACTCAAGAAGCTTTAAGATAGTGGAGAAACTGTAATCACACTTTAACCATGAGAATTTTGTTATTTCATTTGTTGCAATAAAAGAAGACAACTGAGATAAAAGCTTAAATCTTTTGGAGAATCAGACACTCGGAAGTATTGACTAGCCTGCGTTTTATGCAATAGAAATCTATTTGGGCCATGCCGAGTGTTTTGTCAAATGAAGACACCAAAAAAGCACACCTTGAAAAAGGATGTATACATGTTTCCATCCTCTCACACCCTCCTTAGGATAGGACAGGGGTGGAGCCTTCACCAACAGTCATGTTTTTTTTCTAATTTCAAGTAGTAATTGCATGGACCTAACATTGGTTCTCTGATTATATAAAAACATTCTTAGGGATCTGAGAATGTTGATTTGCCTATTCTTATTAATTGAAATGGGATTTCTCTGTCATATTGGTCCATAGAGTTATCTTCTACCAGATCAATAAAATGTGTCATTGATTGGTGTATTTCATGGGTTATGGGTTTTTGACACGTTCTCTGATAGTGGATAGTTAGTAAGTAGTTAGTAATCACTATTGAATTGTTAGAAAGTTACACACTTCATGCCTACCTCAGAATTAAGAAACAAAGATACACCTGAGCTTTGGGACTGTCTCGATACAGGTTACAGGTTGGCTGGAACTGGGCATCTCTCTTGAAAAAAAGAAAAGAAAATTTCACTACATTATGAAAACAGATCAGTAAGTATGGAAATTGTTTGATAGAGCCTATTAATAATGAATCCCTCTCATCCTTGCTTTGTCATTGTAATCTCCCAGTTATCAACATTGTAAATAAAAGAGCACACAGCATAGAATAAAAAATATTCATGAATTTTTAAAAGTTTTTTAAGTAAACTATATTTCAAACTGTCAATTCAGCAGTTTGGAAACAAGTGACAAGCAAGAGCTTTGAAATAACTTAAATGCCACCATGATATTTTCCTGATCTTGTGCTCGTGTTTTTTAAAGCAATACTTTTTTCATCTTACAAAAAGTAATGTCCATCCTGACACAAAAGCTGGTTAAAGTTTGCAGTTGGTGTGTAAGGGTAGTTTGTATCAGCATGTCACGGCATGCAGCTCTTTCTGTTCAAGGCTATAGATTCCTTCTTGTTTGAATATTACATTCTTAGTTTATAAAGATGAAGAAAATATCCACCTTTTCTCCCCTTTCAAAAATATGTGTAATTTCCTAAAAACTTTCAAGTTTAAACCTTTCTTTAAATGTAAACAAATAAAACATTGAACTGATCCGTACACTGAACTTTTCTGAAGTGGCTTGTTTACTCGTAGTCAAACTTTGCAGAATTTGTCGTGGAATGGTCTAAATGTCATCAGCCAGAGATCTATTGACCATCAGCACCAAGTCACAGAAACAGGTGAGTGAGTTACAGCTGTTTATCTCACAGACACTGAATAGTCAGGTTGACTATATGCTCTACATATCAAGTGTAACAACATACTTTTACTGGGTGGAGCTTCCCTTTATCCAAAAATCAGCCCTAGTTCTTTTTGTCACGGATGCAATGTACCCTTATGTAAATGCACCAGAATGGTTTATATCCATCAGACACTGTTGTTTTACAGGAACGTACATGATCAGCAAACAGCTGGGGCCGAGATGGATATACACAGTCAACTTCAGCAAAAAGTTTCTTTTTTTTGTTGTTGTTGTTCTTTTGTTTTATCTTTCTAATGTAGGATACATTTCTTTCTTTTATAATTTGCTTGAAGCTTCATTGAAATGAAAAGGAATAGTAAGTCAAATAAAAGGGATCTTTAACCAACTCGCACCATCTCTGACGTAGGATTGCGTCTGTAAGGCTTCAAATATTTAACTGAGTGAGGTAACACTGATACATTTTGGTCGTTTTTAGTGTACTGTAAAACTTTTAAAACGTTTTTAAATTAGCTAAGGTATTATATATATATATATCATTCGCATTTACAAAACAAACACTTAAATGTTTACCTGAAAATATTATGAAATATTATGTAAGCGACAATGCTATGTAAGTGACAATAACCAAGAAATAACATCAAAACACTACAAACTAAAAACAGCGCTATGTAAAAGAAATATTGACCAGCTCTCTTCTTTCTATCTTGCTTCAAAAAAGCCAGAGGAGCAAATTGTACAGGTTTTCTGATGGTTTTCTGAAGTTTTTAGTTCGGAAGAAGGCTGCTTCTTTTCCAGGCACTGAGACCTTTTGGGGTCTTATCGCTTTTCTTTAACACCTTCTTGAATCGTTCTTTTTTTCAACTTTCTTAAACACAGGGTTTTTTTCCATTTAACTAGCTATTCGAACTGACCTTACTGTAATGCGCTGTGCCAAGTCTGACTTATTTACAATTTCGAAACAGAGGGTGGCGCTTTGGCTTTGCGCGCAAGTGAAAGTGAAACTTAATGCGCTCGGTGCTCACAGCTTCTGCGCCTTTTCCGTGCGCTTTTACGCAGGTTGCGCCACAACTCTCACCTCCGACAGCCCACCCGTTCCGGGACTCGCACATGCAACGGCTGAAGGCCAAACGCGCGCTCTGACCGACATGGCTGCATTACGCAGGACCCGCGACTGCTGCCCGCTGCCCGCGCGCGCGCGGCGTGAGGCGCTCGGCTCCTTACCGCGCGCTGCTCTCTGGCGCAGGTCAGATAAGACAGAAGCACCAGGAGCGCCGTCATGAAGTCCGTCATCGGCGAAGCGCCAGTGTGGCTCCTCTACCCAACACAGCTGCAGGCCGGCTTCACATGTTGGCATTTCATGCGTTCCCGCGAAGCTGGCACGTCTCATTGGTCCGAATCCAGAGTTGAAACACTCACAGGGGGGGTTTAGTGCTGGCCAGACTCCCCGTAAGACGCGCTCACACGCCCAGCGCTCGTCATTTCTAAGTTCACTCCTCCTTCGAGTAGTCGTCACTTTGTAGCGCTGAGGTTGCTTTTTTTTTTTTTTTTTGGCAGCAAGAATTTGAATCTGATTCGCACGTACAGATTTAGACGCTTTGTTGTTCTGTTACGTGTTTAACGGGACCGACTGTCCCCCCGCTCCCCGTTCCAAAGCTGAGGCCAGTTACTTTTTGCTTTTAGCGCAGAAAGTGGTTGTCATATGTCTTCTCATGCTCGCGCGCATTACTCAATTACTCATTACTCAATCGCGCCGGGTCTCTTTATGCTCGTGTGGTTTTGGCAAAAATAATGCCGCCATAAAAGTGCCCCTGGGTACATATCTAGATGTTAGGAGGTACCGCCTGCTTGCTTTTCTTTAGGCACAGTGTTTATTCCAGTTAGTTTTTCTAATCAGAAATTGACTTTTTCCATCTTTCTGGTTATTTTCATTACATGTATTATTTGTTGATAAACTATATTTCAGCTTTTGATTACTTGCATCAAACTGAAGATTATTAAGGTATTCAGCCTCATTAGGGACCTTCCTTAATCTGAATTTTAATGGACGTTTGGGTTAATGTCTGAAACCATCAAGCCGGATGGGTTCTGCTGATATTCATGTCAAATATTAATTTCTTTAAAGTGTTGCCTCAAAAACCACTCGCAAGAGTTGCATTACCAGTATTCTTAGTCAATTTCTTACCAGAAGGTGCACTTCCCAGTTTCCCAATCCCCCACCGATTAAAAAAACCTCCTTCCAGTATTATACTGCTACCACAGTGCTTTAAGATGGGGAAGAGAGGCATTGGGCAGGAGCACCCTCCAGTAAGCAACAGCTTCTATGGTCCATATGCCATATTCATTTAAATCTCAGAACTATGTTGTTGAAGCTGCAAAATATACAACATATTCAGACTTGATGTAGTTTGAGTCTGCTTTATTTATTTATTCGGGCCATCCCCCCCCCCTGTCACTGTACAGATGAGCACAAGGGTCTGATAGAAAAGCATGATGAGTTTTTTTGTAAAGATTTTGGAAAATTCCAAATACACAGTTAACACTACATTTCATGTAACTCTTAGCTTAGTTATCTGATTTCTGACCCTCCAAACTGTGAACAGAGGCAAAACACTGAATATACAAACAGCAGAACTTATCCCTACCACCCAAAAAATAAAAGCTCAAATTTATTTTAAATGTTTTTATTCCTAAACTGTAACAGGTGGACATCCACTGAGGACCACTGGGATCAACAGCACTGCGTGCTCCACGGGCTCCTCAGTCTCTGACTCCGCTTAGGTAGCTGTCCCACCTAGCTTGAGCCCGGCCATCGATTCAGAAGGAATTTCCTCTTCGTCCTCCTCTTCATCTTCTTCCTCCTCCTCCTCCTCGTCTTCATCATCCTCTTCCTCGTAGTCGTCGTCCTCTCCGTAGTTGTCTTGCTGACCTCCCCCTCCAGCCGCTACGCTCTTCCAGTAAGCGTCGTACCCCGAAGCTCCGTCGTAGTCGTCGTCATACTCGTCGCCACCAGCCTGGCGTCCAAACTTCAAGGTGCGGGCTGCGGAAAACACAACGGGGTGACATCAGGCCCTGCTTTTGTGTCCAGGCATAGGGAGAGGCATTCTGAAAAATCATGTGTTTTTGGCATTCCCAGGCATAGGGAGAGGCATTCTGAAAAATCATGTGTTTTTGGCATTTCCAGGCATAGGGAGATGCATTCTGAAAAATCATGTGTGTCTGGCAAGGACTGTGGTTTTTATCGACATGGTCATGTGTCACATTGCACTTCTCAGCATGAAGCTTTTGCCCACAAAGAGAAATATGTTCTGCCGTGTCCTTTATGGTAAATCGGAACCATTATTTCAACTCTGCTCTCCTCATAACTCTGCCATCCCATGCACTACGAACGACCCTGGAAAAATGTTTGGTAAACAACTTCTGCCAAACATGGTAGACTTTTAAACTAAATACTGTGTAGGAGTTAGCTTAATCAAACTCTGCCTCTCTGGCAAGTCTTTTATACAAACTTTCTCCTCCAATTCTAGGTCTTTATACTCCAGCCTCAGCAGTGTGGAGACTCTGGGAGTCCAGTTCACATCTCCTCAGATTTGTTATTGCTAAAGGCCAATGCTTTATCAACCCATTACATCACACTACAGAGCAATACCCTGAGGTTGCTACGGTGAGCAGTCATGAAGTCAGATTAATTCTATCTGTTCTAATGCACACCTTTTGGATGATTAATTATTAAAAATGTCTTTCAGGAGCACCATGATTATTGATCAAGAACTCAAAAAGGGAGAGTAAATGCCAGAGTCCTTATGACAAAATTATGAATACACTATGAATATGTGCACGATGGAGGCCTGAGAATAACCTTTATGGGAAATAACTTCATCTGAAGTGCTTCATTTTCAATCCGTTTCGTTTCTGTTTTGTTTCCAGCAGGGAAGTGAACATGTGGTAACTTCCTGGATAAGGCAGCTTAACAGGAAGAAAACCCAGCTCTCCCTCGGTACGAGACTCACTGGACATGCTGAGGTCTTTGGTTTCCTGTGTTTCATGGCCACACTTCGGACATGGCGGAGCTTTCCCCTTCTCTTGTTTGAAGACTTTACTCTTGGCGTGGTCATCGCAGTAGCAAGCCTGCAGGGAAACAGCCAAAAGATCATTCCAACCTAAATTCACAGTAAAGTCTCCAATTACAACGTAATAAACTGATGTGTGGTACTATTTGTCTACCATTAGTTTAATATAGCAATTCTACCATTGAACTCATCCAAAAGAGACTGGCTCTCACATTTTGACATTAATTCTCTCCAAGAAGCTGGCAAATGTCACACTCCATCAGAGAGCAGGACAGTAAACAGTGGTTTGCCATTATAGGAAGGAGTCTGGTTTAAGGCCAGCTTTGTATCAAACCAGGGATTAAGTTTAAATTTAGTTTTTTTATTAAATGAAAATAGCTAAAATAAGGCACGTGCAGTGTAAGGCAGCTGCACACACACCACTCTAAACCGCTGATTGAGCACAAAGCCAGAGTTAACCATAACTTGTGACTTATGACTTCCTGCTGGCATAAAATTGTGTTAAACAGCAGCTCTGATATTTCTATTTAATGTAGTTATTAAAATTAGAAATGCTTAACTTTAATGCATGTTTTTGTTTGTGTAGAAATCGGTTAAAATAACATAATAAATCAATTAAATTACATATGGAAGAGACACCAACTTAGACAGATCAAGTATTTACAGAAATCAGCAGTGAGATTTGTATCGTTTCCATGTTTATGTGTTTCATTATATTACAGCTATAAACTCTTCACTTTCTAAGAGGGCTCTCTGTAATGCATGTTAAGGGTTTGGCTGGTATTCATTTTGGTTAGTAGCAGCTAGTAAGTAAAAATCGCATAGTATATTTTGCATATTTTTCTTGACATACTTCTAAAGAGAATAAAAAGACTAAGCTGTCTCTGAAATGAGCTCCTCCTATCTGAATGCTTTGATAGTGCAGTTTCTCATCTTGACCAGTTAGTAAGTCTTAAATTTCAATTACATCACTGGTTTATTTTTTTCAACAGATTCCCTTTTGATATCCAAAGAAAACAATGAAAGAGAAAGTAAACCGCTGGAAGCAGCTAGTCCAGTTTTTCTGTTTGGAGCTCTCTTTTTCTGTTTTGATAACACTAAAGTACCCAGTTCCTGCATGCCAGAAATATATTATGTCAGGAAGAAAGATATAAACAACTGTAGAATGGAATGCATTTTTTCTGCTCAGCTGTGGAGACCTTTTGTGATCTGAGTTTTGACATCAATGTCTTGGCACTGCCCAAAAAGTACAGGACTTGAGTCAGGGCTCTGATGCTGGAAGTGCTGAAAGTGTGTGTGTGTGTGTGTGTGTGTGTGTGTGTGTGTGTGGGGGGGGGGGGGGGGTTGCTTGCTAATAATACATTTTCACTCACCTTACAGCGCAGGCAGGAATGTTGTCCCAGTCTATTACAGGATACACCTTTGAACACAAATACAAGGGGAAAATGTTATGCATTCACTTTCCCCACATTTTCAAATGAACGTCATGTTGCAAGTGGATGGCTCACATTTGTAGGTCTCGGCCTGAAGAACCTGGCAGCTTGCCTGATGCTCAAACTGATCATCCTCGCATAGGAAGTTTTGACAGAAAGAGCACCGGAAAATCCGACCCCCTGTTAAAGCAGACGTTTTGATTCCATTTTTGTCGTCATGCTGACATAACTGGATGAATTTCTTAACAACAGGTAGTAATGTGAGGAGGGGACTCACCATGATCCCAGACTCCCCGCTCACACTCAATGCAGTCTGCATCAGTCAGGGGACACACGCAGGCGTGAGTGCTGAGGCATTTCCTCCCATGACATACCCAGGCTTCACAGAAGTCGCACACTGCACCCTGATGGTCACACAAGAAATAGCTGTTTTTTTATTTTCTTTCTATGGTTATAAAAAAAAGAATATTCAAGAGGTAATTCAACCTGTGAATTACTTTTTTAATGTACTGCAAAAATGAATGAGTAATGAAAACAAAAATATCTTCAGTTCACATACAGAGACTGATCACGGAGCCGTTGGACTTAATCCACGTTCATTAATCTAGCACAATATCTTTAGCATTATCATATGCCAGTTGTACTCATTCAACGTTTACTTGGACAGTAGATTCTTATCCTCTGAAATTTGACATTTCTAAACTGCAACAGAGGGCTGAATCTTAACAGGACACTAATTCATGCCAGTTTGCAAGTCTATAGCTCAGAAATGTTCAAATGAACTTACCACCATGGCCATTCCCGTGGTGTGGATCCCCGGGTGCTTGATGACACAGTCTGACGACTTCATGCACTTGGTCTTACCTAATATCGTTTAAGGGGTTAAAAAATCAATCAATCAATCAGATACAATTCTAAAAGTCAAGTGAACTTCAAAGACTGTGAGCAGATTTGAAGTTCACTTGACTTTAAGAATTGTATCTATTCTCACTATTTAAATAAAATAAGACCAAAGTACAGCTAAAAAAACCAAGGAAATGGTTATAAAGCATATAGCCAGTTTTTTTTTTCAGATTTCAGCTTAGGACACAAATTCCCAAAAAGCTGGGATGTTTTTGTTAAATGTATGGTTTAGAAATATAATTAATGACTATTTTGTTCACAACAGGACACAAAACGTTAACTGTTGAAAGCAACCTCGACTATATCAATGACAGAAAATAAGCTCATTTTGAATAACAACAATGACAGAAGGTGTTGTTCTCAATCTGTAGGTCCGTAACTTTTTTTTTTTTATTAATAACAGTCTATAAACATATGGGAATTGAAGAGACCATATATAAATAGTCCAAGGTGTACAAATGGCCAGCTTCACAAGCACAACTGGATCCACACACTACAGAAAAAGAAGGCTGGAATTTCCCTCTCCTTACATTTTAAATATGTAACATCTATGATATTACTCAACATTACATAAGAAGACATATACCTTTATATGACAGCAAATGTTTAAAAGAATCATTCTGATTTTAAATATTTTAGACTACTCACCACACTGAGCACAAACAGGCAGCTTCTGCACTGAGTTACAGAAGTAGCAGAATGCTCGGTTCTTCTGTTTTCTAGCAATCAAAGGACGAGACAAGCAAGTTAGCTTGTTTCAGCTGTGAAGGTCCACCGAAATATGGTATACACACTTACCTCTGACATTTGTCACAGTCCTACAAAAAACACAAAAACGCACATAATGTTGAAATAACGTTTGAAATCCAGCTTTTAGAATGAATACGCATTTTTAGATTCAGCTACAGTAGATACGTACCATGTTAAAGTTGCTTGGGTGTTTGGCCACATCGATATGCTCCCGGTTAGCTCGACTCTGTTTCTCACGCTCTTTTCGACTCTCAGCCTTTTTCCGTGCTCCTGTTTTCTTTTTTGGCATATCTGGATTCAAATGGCTGTCTGTTAATCTAGTGAGAGGAATAAAAAATAATCGATAGATACTTTATCCGAGAGGAATTGGAACAGTAAAACAATTACGAATGACAAACGTTTTTAAAACCAGGCGTCTGATGCGAGAAACAGGAATCAGAACGGGTATTAATTACTGACAAACATTAAAAAGAAGACAAAAGGGAAATGTTATGGATTTGCTAATGTTGAATAGCTTTCCAAAAAACTGACATGTGTCGTCACACGTTTAGTAAGATACACTTTTTATTTCAAGGTAATTGTAACATTTCTAAATGCTTTTGTTGCCTCAAAGCCACACTGGTATTTTCTGATGTTACGTGTAAGTGTCATCTTATATTAGAGCTATAAGTGCGATTTGAAGAGTTTTTACCTGATGGAAATGTATAGCCGCCTGCGTCTTACTAAGTCCGCCTGTAAATGGGTTCGGCGGAAGTCAGTGCTGAGCTTTGTGTTCCGCTGGTGGTGCTCACATTTGTTCCTCAAACGGCTTTGTAAAGCAATAGTTCCGTTGGGCATTTGAAGTTACAAGTTCAATGGATGAACACTGATAGTAATAATAATATAAATATAAGGTAATACTAAAGTACTTATAGGAAAATTGCATTTTCTTTTAAATCCAAATTCTAACCTTATTTAAGAAACCAAATTATTAAAAAATGTTCAGTAATGCAAAGTCATGTCAAACGTAATCGATTTAAATTAAATTCCACAAAATTTGTTTAAAATATTACGGAAGAGCTTAATCAATTCATTTGAAGTTGTTCAAATTCAATATTGCATTTACTTAAGCTATTCATTAAAGGAATAGAAACTAAATAGAATAGAAGCAATTGCCAACAGAGCAGCTGAATTTATCATAAATCAATAATCATCATTGTTTATGTTGTAAACAAAGACAGCAATAATAATGATGATGATGATAAACTCCCCGGGGTCTTTGACGCCCTGGTTGTCCCACGTGGTACCAGATGCACCTTTTCCACGCCCAGGTCACGTGACGATGAGCAGCGAGCCAGTACCAGGCTGAGGACAGAATCCAGCTGACGGTGAACAACAACGCGGCGCAGACTTCCACACACGGTGGGCTGTGGACTTACACACAAACACGTCAGACAATTCTACAGCTGATGCTGGGCCCCGGATTTTCTTAGATGCTCGTTTAGACTGCTCATCCTTTAAAAGCAGGGACGCGATGCGAGCGTAGGTGTTCTCCCCGGAGCTCGCCATCCATCCCAAAACCCGGAGCCGCACTATGGCACCGTCCCTCATCCGAGCTTGCCGCAGTCTGGCTCTCTCGACGTGGCTCTTGTCGTTTTGCTTCGTTCACCTGCTCTGTTTGGACTTCACGGTCGCAGAGAAGGAGGAGTGGTACACGGCTTTCGTCAACATCACCTATCTTGACCCCGCTACCTCCGAGATCAAGACCGAGAAAACCGAGTGCGGTCGCTATGGCGAGGACTCGCCCAAGAGAGAAGCCAGAGGTCTGGTCCTGGCCCCGGCCCTGCCGCAGGACAGACAGGCGTGCGACCCGGGCGTCCGGTTCCCCCCCGTCCCGCAGAGCACCGCCTGGGTGGCGCTGGTAGCTGCGGGGAACTGTACATACCGAGAGAAAATCCGAAACGTGGCAAATCACAACGCGTCTGCAGTTGTCATATACAACAGCTCCAACGACACCATCACAATGCCCCATTCAGGTAAGAACCGGCCCATCCACGTCAACAAAAACATTGCTTTATTTGTCATTCGCCTTAGATTAAGTGATTAAAGCCAGGGAAACATAGGGATCATTCATACAAATCCGCACACGACAGCAGACCAGGCGTGCCGCTACAGGTATCCTCTGTCAGTTCCACTGACTCCTCCGGCCGGACAGGAGCCTGCGTGCCATTAATTAGTTGATCCTCGGGCGTTGGACATCTCAACGAGCGATTAATCCTTTCCATCCTCCTGCAGAGGCCCCAGAGCTCTGCTGCGTCAGTGTAATGAGATCTAATATCAATTTATTATCTGGGAAAAGTAGAAGACAATCAATGCTCAGGCTCCCCAATGGGGAAGGGCTCATCTCTGCTAATCTGAAGGGCCGACTGACTGACTGACTGACTGTAGGAGAGGATTTAGCCCTGGAGAAACAGCTGTCAGTCATATGGGTGAATATGCAGCAGTACATATCACATTTATCAAACAATACAGCACGTAACTGTTAAATAATTATGTAAACCTACCTATATATGACCCATGCTGAAGCATTCAAACCACATGCTTTCATATGCAAAATGTGCAGTTTTATTGAAACTGCATAGCACAACAAAAACCTTGTCCGGCCGGGCTTCATTTGTTTCGTGCAGAAAAGAATTGTCCCTGTGAAGTCACTGATCTACCCTCCGTAAATGCATGTTGTTTGTAAATGTAGTAATTCATATTTTAATGAAATTAACCTTTACACCCGTTTAGGATTTAATGTATTGCGGAGAGCTCAGATTTGAACATCTCCCCGTGGTAAATCCAAATAACATAAATGCAGGCTTTTAACATTTGGGATGTTCTGTACATTGCTGAAGCGCAGTTTTAGGGACTGAAATTAGATTGTCTGCACAATGAACACAGTCTGTTCTGTTCTGAAAACACAGACACTGAGTGAGTCAGGCCACCTTCCTTGATTGTTTGATATAACTCTTATTCAAACTATATACTTATGGAATGTTACCAGCAGGATTAGTTGGTAATTAAACAAGGTTTTTTATTTTTTATATGAAATTACTGAAAGATATAGACTGTTTTTTTTTCTAAAAGTCAAATCATCTTCATTGTTTTTTTCAAACTTGAAGACTTCTTTGTCACGTCTTCTTTTCCATTTATTTCCATTGGAAATTGTGCCGCTCTCCTGTTGCTGCTTTTCATAAATGTGAGGCGGCCCCTGCCCGACAGCATCCAGGCTCTTTGACAGAGTGATCTGTAAACAAAACGGACATTCAGGCTAAAATCTGTCCTGGGACCTACTGTGATATTTGTGAAGCACTTATCAGCATAAACAAATGTTTTAATTCCGTGCAAAGTCTCTGAGATGCAACCAGTGCAAAGATACATCCTGCCAGCTGCTAGCATATTCTATCTTGTGAACTTTGACCCATAACAAGGAGGAAAAAAACTTATGAGACCCTGGGACTGATGTCAGGGATTTGTGACCAGTGGCAGAATAAAAATTCTGTTAAAAGTTCAAACAATAACATGATTACCCTTGTTATTCTGTACATAAAGCTGCGTTAGATAGCATTATCCAGTAAGCAATGAATATGTAATGTCAAGTCAAGCTATTTTTCCGCAAACTAATCAGACTCCTGAGAAGATGACTCTATTCAAATGCAAGTGTCACTTGAAAAACAGGTGCTGGTGACGATTTACCTCTCACAATTTGAAGACACAAGCTGTTTTTTCAAAATAATATATTGCCAGGTCTGGCAGCAAATCTGCTGAGAGAATCAAGAAAAAAAACTTGAATACTTCAAAATTGCTTTACCTGCAGCATGTGATTAAAACACATCTGGTTATTTTTAAGACCTGACCTGCTTCCAGGCATGACACAAATTTAGAAGTTAGCCCCTTTTTAAACTCTGTGATAACACCCTCCCATTGGCACTAACATTTTTCATGGGAAAGGGAAAGATGAGCAGTTAATCACACTTGAAATGTCACTGCCGGTTTTGCTGGTGTTCTATCTGTGATTGACAGTGAGATAACATATTACACCTGTCTGAACTCACTCCTTATTGCTCGACATGTTTGTCTCACAGTTGCAAGAATAAACTTGGTCCAGAAGAAGTCGTAACAGTGTTTGACACAGAGGCTAAGAAAGCAGAACAGGAACACAAGCTGCAAAAGAAAAGTATAAAAGGAATTATTCTCCAAAAAGAATTGTTGCCTGCAGGATCCTAAAATTATATCTCTCTGTCTTTAAATTGTTCTATCTATGGATTAATTGTACTGAAAATCCTAGAACTGTACATCTTACAATGTGAATGCGGCTTTTCTTGTACAATCTGCACCTTTGTGCTACATTTGGTGTTAACTATATAAGGGTTTAAAAAGTTGAAAATAAAACAGGAGACAGTAGCAACTGGCAGAGATCGGGATGGTGAGGATAAGGAGAGTGCTTTCTACATTTAGAGAGAAAGTCACACTGACAAAGAGAGGATGTCCAGAGTCATCTGCTGTGGAAACACAGTTACGTTTACCATCCGTTTTCTTCCCTATTCCTTCAATGTTAAACACAAACCTCCCAGTGATTTATGTGGGAGGTTTGTGTCTAACTGCAGTTTAACTCCAGTGACTGCTGGAGTTTTGACCGGTTATGTGTTTTTTTCTTTCATCAAGCAGCTTTGAAGTTCTGAAATTTGGCCAGAAAATACTTCTTTACTGGACTCCTTCTTAGTAATAGTTTTTTTTTTCCGTATGACTACTTCTGAGCACGAGGAGCTGTTATCCTACTAGCATCTGTAGCTCTGCTCCTTAAAAATTAAAGCATGTTCTACACAGATTTTGCTTTCAACTTCATGGCACAGGTGAACACCATCTGAAAATATGATTTGAGAGACTACAATTAGATTCTTTCCTCTCTTTCTCGCATGGTAAATTAATGCATCAGATAGTGGTTCCTCTAAACTCTACTTATTTCCCTAAATCATTGCATTTGTTTAAAAAGTATTCTCATTCTCTTCCTACAACATTCAGTGCAAAAATCCTTGGGTTTAATAACTCAAACAACATAATAGAAATGGAATGATGATGAATTTCTTTAATCAGTATCTTAATGCAGCTCAAATTAAGCCACAGTGGAACCTATTTTTATAACAGAGAAGAATTCATGTTAACTTCAGTGCATAGTTTTTTATAAAGAATTTGCCAGATAAATCCGCCATAATCTGTTCCTCAGCTGACCAGTACACACATTCCAAAAATAGTAAACACACAGCACAAACAAGCGAGTGACCACTCAGTTAGCCACTAAATTTTTGGATTGAAAACATGAATCTTCTCATTATTTCAGCCTCGGGCTCAGACATTACCCGCCTGTTTTAGAAGGAGCTATTTTTGTCTGCTCGGACTGCGTCACCAAGGAAGTAGATAAGAGTCAGGCTTAAAGAATCTTACATGCCCTAATATGTCTTCCAATATGCCTTCTGCTGGCTCCAATAATCACGCCTGCCATTTTTAAGTTTGTTTTTCCTGCTTTTGATTTTGAGCAGAGCACAACTGGGATTTGATTTGGTTCTACGTTTTACCTGAGTCGATGTGGTTTTGTCCTGTGTTTACAAAGGCAACTGTTGCATCACAGTGATTTCTCCTCAGCTCCATATGGCTTATCTTACTAAAGCCATAAATCTGCAGGTCGGGAGTGTGTGTCAAAGATTACACAGGTTTGATGAACCGTAAACAATCATACATGTGCCTTGTTAATGAGTAATGAGGATTGTAATTGTAATGAGGGATTTGTTGTATGAATACATTCATTGTACGATGTCTCCAGCTTTCTTACCTAATTTCTTGTGTTTGGGAGAAGGTTCTGTATGAAAACGTGCATCAGGTTTGGGCAGAGAGTCTGATCAGGAAGTGGTGGTCAGCAGCCCATTGCCATCTGTTTGCTTTCCAAACACAAGCTTTAGTCTTGTTTGTCTTTGTTTCAAGCAGTGTTTGCTTTGAGAGTGTCCTTTTTTTAGTGAGCATCCACATCATGTACTGATATAGCTTTGTGTTGACAGTCGTCTCTCGCTTGATAAACCCAATTCTAGCAGAGCTAAAACCTTTTTAAACATAGTTACATATATTCTTAAGAATAATTTTTAAAGCATGCCAAACAGAATTGCAGCCGTGCAGGTTCAACTTTAGGCCTGTTGCATAATTACACTTGTGAGCTTGGCAGCTATAAAGAATTGCAACTACGTAATGGATATGTAACATATCCTCAAGAATGAAAAGCCTTTAGGAAGCATGTGTTCTGTCGGTGTTAGTTGCTTTTTGACAGAGATCTCAGAGCCTCGTGAGTTTTTTTCCGTGATGATAGGTTGATGCTCTTAATGGAGACTGATAGGTGGAATGAAGCACCACAGGGAACCTCCTTGGCTCCACGCTGCTCCAGCCATAAACAGGCAGCAGGGGAAAATGATGTAACATCTCTCAAGCTGGTTCTCAGAATCATCAACCTGAGTCATGGCACCGAGAAAAAAATCTTTGTTGTTTTGTTATTGTGTTTTGGAAAGCATCAAGACGCTCTGGCACTTTGTCCTTTCTGCTCAGTATACATAGTGTCACCTAAAATGACGAAATGAGGACATTTCAATACATAAGTAATATTGTACCCACCTCCTCACAAAATCTAGCCCTGTTTTTTTCATGCATTCTGCTGATAGTCAAATCTATTAAGACTAGCATTTAATCGAAATGCTAGCTTTCGAGCTAAAATATTTACTCTTATTAAATGTTGGCAAATTGTGTAATGATTCTTTTTGATCTGCAATGCAAACAATTCAGTTTTTCTTGATATCTGCTTTGCGACCTTTTAACCCAAACTAAGTTCTTTATTTAAAAAGAAAACACTGCACTAATACAGAGTTCTTCCTCTGTGACATCTTTCATATGCATGAATTCTCAGGAACCCAGAAAAATATAAATCCAACATTGTGCACAATTAGCTAATCAACAGATGGTTGCTGGTAGGGAATCTTTGACACAGATGGAGAGGATTTAGTTCATGCGCCCTGTCTTAACTCACAGGAACTTGTCAGAGATTCCTTAGGGTTCAGGGGCCTTATTCATTAAGTGTTTGTGCAAGGATCTGAGTTATTTGTTCTGAATTAAAACTACTTTTACTCTTTTGGCATGACACAATGCCCAAGATCAATGTCATCAGGCAGACACTTAGTTTTAGCTATGATGCAGTTTTTAGAAAGTCCTAAATCTTGGCTGGTCAAGTTTGAAAGAGATACATTCAACAGGAGCGCAGAGTACTTTACAGAACTGTGTTGAAGGCAATAAAGTTTGATTCAAATTAAATCTTGGATTCAGGATTTTCTTTCCCTTCATTACTGTGTCATTTAATTTAATTACATTGACCCAGAAAAAATAGGAAAATCCTTTTAAGGGTTTGACACCACACACTTGCTTTCATCCAGCACACCCAATCTTTTATTAATTGCACAAAATCCAAAGAAAAAATATTTGAAAATACATAGCAGGGAGAAGGCAAAGAAATCACCCATTTTAGCCAAAATAAATTAATTCCAGTTGGGTTTACTGGGATGGTTAAGAAAGGCTTTTTGTAAATATTGACTACCGGTTTTTATATTTAAAATGAATCACTACCGTTCACACCACTGGCCACCACTGGCCCCCACATAACAGTGAAATGTCTGGACCCTCGGAGATGTTTAACATGGTGCTTCCTGTGTCACATGTGTTGCACAGATACAGGCGAAGTGGTGGCCATCATGATTCCAGAGCCTAAAGGCCGTGAGATAGTAGTCCTGCTGGAGCAACAAACTCCAGTCTTGTTGCACATCACAGTAGGAACCCGGAACCTGCAGAAGTATGTGAGCAGAACATCTGTAGTGTTTGTCTCCATCTCCTTTATCGTCCTCATGATCATCTCCCTCGCCTGGCTCGTCTTCTACTACATCCAGAGATTCCGCTACGCTAATGCACGAGACCGCAACCAGGTATGACTGTGATCCTGACTGCAGCTCGGCTCTCATCGCATCCCTGATACTGACCAATGCATGATTCCATGTCGTAACAGCCCTGTAAGGACGTAGGAGGGGTCAGAATTAGCCTGACATCTGGTCGAGCAGAAACATGGCAACCCATTGAACAATAAACCGAAGCAGCTTTCTGGCTCTGTGAATCTGTGCTGTGCAAATAGTTGCTTTTGCCTGTTTTTTTTCTAATTTTAATCTGGTTTTGGGCTCTAAGGGCATCATTATAACATCTAGTATTCATCATCATGCCTGTAATTATAAGGGCAGTAGCTGTGACAATATTTGTTTGAATTTTCACCTTTAATCATTCAGATTAAGTGAAGGATTTAACTGCGATAAGCAAACTTGCTTTAAATTAGCTTAACTTTTCAGCTCAGTGAGGAAAAACATCATGATGCATGAATGGTGAAAATGTGCCTGTTTTGTTATCTCATCTCAAAGTAATTAACGTGTTTATCAGGCCAATTCCTCATGACAGAGTCCACTGAAAGTGTCCTGTGATGACGTCTGCATCTTTTGATGAATGACTGAATGACTAACCTTTTTTTTCCCCATTTTTTGTCATCTCTGATCAGCAGTTTTTAAACAAGCGCGCATTGCTGGATGTCATTCTCTAATTTTTTCATACATATCTAATTAAGCCTTTTGTTTGTTGTCATTATGCTTTTTTGTGTTTGTTTTTGTCTCTGAAATCAGTTATTCAGAGACAAAAAACCTTTTATGACAACAAAGCAACTCTTAATATTTTGAACATGTATTTTCCGAAGCTTATCTGTATTTGCCTCTGTATTTGCTATTTGAGTCATAATTCAAACTTGGTCTTACATATGATATGATACTCTCACACACATATCATCATACTCTCTCACACAGACTACTAAAGTCTTATATTATTCTGTGATATGAATAGAGTGCCATTTTGCAGTTCCCTGAAGTACTGAAGTAACTAATTGAAGTGTCATATTCAGAGAAATTTAATTTTGGAAACTGAAAACAACACATAGCACTGCTGCTTGAAACATTTAGTCTTTTAGGAGATTAAAGACAAGTACAAATGAACAAGGCCTAAGCTTAATCATTGACCACCTTTGGGGTCATGTAAGGTTTTCTGTGAGGAAAGGTTTTCTTCTTCTCTCACGAAATAAAGTCCATTGCACCATCTAGTGCCCGCAGTCTGACACACTCCACAGCCTCTCAAAGGGACATGACAAAACACACAAATATTACAAGGATATGAAACAAAATGGAGAGAAGTCGAAATTACCAACACATTAAAACCTGAAATTCATAGTTTCAGTACAGTTGGGCTATATTTTAGCCTGGTCACAAGAGAATCTGTAGAAGACATTTTTGATGGTTTCATCAAATAGAAAAAAACAGCAACTGAATTAATTAGTGCCTATCCATTTCGCATTAGAATATAATGATAATGATCATAATAAGAAGAAGGTTCTTGAATTTGTTTAATACATTAGTAAAAAAAAAATGTCCTAAATGTTTTTTTTTCATTTGGTTCTTCATGTTTTCAGCTGAAGTGCAATAAGATCTCAGTTCCACAAAAAAGGGACAGAAACAATGTCTAGATCAAGACCATTTGACAGAGTATGACATTTGGGATGATAAAAAAATCATATAATAACACCATTTAATAGTCCATTCAATACTAAAGATAATATTAAAAACATCCCTCTTGTTAGTCATACCCAATTTAGCAAAGATAAAACTTCCCATGTCTGGCGAGAATTGTTTGAACACTATGAAAAATTAAATGGCAAATTGTCTCATTGTTAGAAAACACACGCTTTTTTAATTTATTCAAATATGATCTTAAAACAAGTCTCTCTCTCTAACACAGTAGTTACGAATAAATTAATTTGTTTAGTTTTTTGTAGACCACTCAGACTAGAGTTCCAAAAGAACTCCAAAGAGGACATTTTTTCCTGACATGTCTGTTGGTGACATCAGTATCACCCATGAAAATGTATCTAATTTCACCCTCTGTGAATGAAAAATTCTTTAATTCTACACAGATGCAGCGGGTCTCTTTTCTGCTGCTGCATACCCATGCATTAGGGGACTCATCAAGAAATTAACTGATGCTACTGTATCAAATATGCTGATGTATCGACAAATACCATTTGATGATTATGGTGATGATTACACATCTGACGCCATCATCTCTGCTTTAGAATGCACCATGTGATGACGAGTGAACGACTTAAGCATATGTTTTTTTTTCATTTTTAAAGTTCTTTATCCATAATGTTCATATAATGCACGTAAGGTCAAAACATGAGCCTGCTGAGAGACAAAACACAATTCTGACCATATTCAGGCATTTTTGTATGGCTTGTTTACATAAGCTTGCAACCCTGGTATTATCTGTTACAGAAAAATAATAAAAACTAAGGTTTGACATATCAGACAGTATGATGGTGTGTGTGTGAGATCAAGTTTAATAATGTCTCAAAGGACTCTCATACCTTTTAGTGAAGTTACAGATTATGTCACTATTAAAGTAAAAATGCTTTTGTGTGTGTACAGAGGCGTCTGGGGGATGCTGCCAAAAAGGCCATGAGTAAGCTCCAAGTTCGCACAATAAAAAAAGGGGACAAGGTAAATCAATTAGTTTTTTTCCAGTTTCTGGTTACTTATCTTTTTTAGTCAAGACGGAAATGATTGCTGTCTTGTTACTTTGTCAAACTGCTTATCCACTTCCAACTTATGTTATTTAAGTTATTATTCTGTTACTTTTTATTGGGTGTTTAATTGATTCAAGAATTATTTTTGTGTCATTTGTGTTTTAGGAAACTGAACCGGATTTTGACAACTGTGCAGTTTGCATTGAATGCTATAAACCGAATGATGTTGTGAGGATATTGCCATGCAGGTGAGGCTTTGCTTCTGCATCATTGTTGTAGATAATGGAATTTAATAGATACTGGAACTTAAATACCAGCTAATGTAACACAGCCAAAAGTGTTTGGATATTTCTATGCACTACATTTTAGCTATGTTGGTTTTGTATTGATAAAATATATAAATGCACTTTCATTTCACTTTGTCAGACATGTCTTCCATAAACACTGCGTAGATCCGTGGCTACAAGATCACAGAACATGCCCCATGTGCAAAATGAACATCCTCAAAGCCCTGGGAATTCCGGTAAGCTGCTTTTGATTTATGATTCCTATTTTAAGAATTGTTTAAAAAAAAGATTGTTGTTTGTATAAAACTAACCGACGTTGTTACGTTCCAGTTCAACATAGACTGCTCAAATGAGGTCCCCCCAGACTATGAGACATCTGTTGGAGGTCCAAACGCCAATCCCATCAGTGCTGCAAGTGAAATTACTGTAAATGAGAGCTTGGTGGTCCTGGATCCTGCAGGCAGAGCGGTAGATGTACAGCAGCTGCATCAGGATGCAGAGACAGTGCCGCAGGCAGAGCAGAGCCACATCATAGCCAGCAGTATGTACACACGTGTAGCCACTACAGACCTTGTTGTATGTAAGGGGTAGTATCAGTCTTTTAGCTTCTGAAGAACTGTACCATTTTAAACTACTGAACCTTGTAGACCTTTGTAGTGAGTTGATGTGTGTTCAGTCTCCTAAGTTCTTCTGTTTAGCTCAATCAGAAACAGAATGACTTTATTGTCGTTATACATAGTATAACGAGATTAGAGCCACCAAAAACTGTACAAAATAGCAAGATTATAAGGTTAGAAGGTGCACAGTCAGTGAGGAATATCAAAATATCAGTATCGTGTTGAATTATTATTTCTTGCTGCCTCTAAATGACCAGCAATGTTTATTGCATTATGTCAGTGGTTTTAAGAATTAAACACTCAAAGCTTAAGGAGTTTCACAGAAGAATTTAAAGATGACATCATGTAAATGCAAACTGTAACCTGTTTCAAAATGACTTACCTTTACATTGCATCCCTCAGGTGAGCATCCGCCTCCCCTCAGCAGTGATTCCGACACCTCTGTTATCCTGAGCGTGGAGGTAGGCATGTCGGAGTTAGAAGTGTCTACGGAGACTGATCGTGATGGGGCCAAGTCAAGAGCCAATCAGTGCTGAGATAGGCTGCCTGGAATGAAAGCCTGGAAGGAGAGAGGAGTTGGCAACCGCAGAGAAGAGTCACGTCGGTAACTAATTTGAGTAAGTGACCTCGAAGGAGATGGAAAACTGAGCAAGACAACCAAAATCAGCACAAAAGCACCAGTTCAGCCATCCCTGACTAAAAACAGATTGATCGCTGCATCCGTAGCACGTTGCTAGCTCCTCTCCCAGGAGTCATGGTAACCAGAGCATCTCTCACCATGAAGGCCCAGTTTTCTGTCCACACAATCTTTCACAGCCTTTACCCTGATGTCTGAGATGCACAAAAATGGGCCGCAAAGAAGCCAGGTCCATCACGGAGAGCTTCAGTAGCATTGGTCCTGCTGATGGACACAGGGCCTCTTCATTGCATGGGTGCAGCTGCAGTTAGCATGAAAGAGTAAATCTTTTTCCTAACTTCTAGGTACAGAATCCAAATCACTGCCAACAAAACCAGGGGTTTTACAGATATGATGGTTAATTACATAGCACATACAGTATGTATATCAGCAGGTTCCTTTAAATCCAACACAGCTGGTGTGAATTCACACCATAATGGCATCCCCTGAAAACTTGAAAAAAGAGGTTTGGGACTACTACAGCACAATATTGGGTTCCACTATCCAAGCACATGTAAATGCTTTAGCTTTCCATTTATATATCGATATGCCTCAGTTTCAATTTGTGTGAATTTGAACCTGAATATGCTTGTGGTGTCTCCATCCTTGACAATCGTAGCCTGTCTTGAGCAGATTGAAGTGATGTCACCGTTTTTCCTCTTGAGACTGCTGCTAATTGCTACAGCACACACTGGCACGACACATGAAAGGCCCATGTGCACATTGCTGCTAAGTACAACAGCTTATAGTTCTACCATGGCGTTCATCCATTTTACACGAACCTAGACATGTAAGGATGCACATTATAAGCCCAACCCAGATTTCAAAAGGGTTGAGATCCCATGTTAAAGGTAAATTTAAAAAAGGGATCTAAAATTAAAATGGGTTTTAGAACTAAACTAAACTTTTGACAAACCATAGAAAACCTGGTAAATGTTGGAAGTAAGACATTTTACAAATTCATAAATACATTATTTTTTCTTGGCACTGTGCCAGGTTTGCTACTGTGCAGTGTCCCCTCTTTTACCAACCGAGGAGACCAGGTGTAGGGCCTTTGGGAGAGGAACGTTTTTTACTTGATCAGTCTTTGATTTTCTTTTTTATGTTATCATTTTTACTTTTTTATGTTAATCCAGCTTTTTCTTTTTAGTGCCCCTAATGATATCACATCCAACTTTTTATTGAATGTCTCAGTCATTTTGAGAAAGGTTGGTTCTCATAACTTCCCTGAAATAATCAAATATTTCCGTTTCAACATTTGCTTTCTTTGCTTTTTTATATTCAGCAATGAATAATTGTTGAGACTTACAAACTTTCAAAAAACATTTTTTTTTAGATTTTGTGCCAAGCTTATATGTCGTATTAGTTTGTCATTTTATACACACATATTCCCTGTCTGTTGGACAGGAGTAACGCTAAATGAAAAAAACCCTATTAAATAAGAGGAAGACACAGGGTGAAATGGTGACTGTTTTTTTTGTTTTTGTTTTTTAAAGGACTGTGTTCAATGATAGAAGAGAACCATGCATTGTAAGGATTTAAATGAAGTATTTTGATGCCCCAATCATGTCTTTTATAGAATGAAAATGTTACAGATTGAAAATATTTGCAACGTAGTCATGACGTTCTTCTTCACTAAACTGAATAACATTGGATGATCATGTTTTTACTGCACCGTCATTTTTAACAAATACCTTTGCATTACAATGCAGCTACAAGTGCGTCACAGCCAGCGTGTGCATAGGAATGTATAAATGTGTGTCTGTTACACAGGTATTCAGACGTTTAGGCATTTTTGTTTGGTCCCCTTGCAGTCCCTCTGCTAGACCAGAGAGTACTCTGGTCCTTTACATCTGCTTTGAAACACGAAAATGTTCTCATTTGTTTTTCTGTTCTGCCATCAATCTGCCATCTTTAAGTCATGACAGGTCAATGATTATATGGATTTAACTGATTTTTTTACATAATAACATTGTGATTTTCTTTTTCTGAAGCTTCTTATTGAGTTTCAGCTTGTCATTTGATTGTGTTGTCAAATACTGTTCCATTTTTCACCATAGTTTTCAGCTCAAAATTGATCTGGCCCAAAACAAACAATAGAAAAAGAAGAACTGCTTGAAACGTTGATGGAAGAAAATTATCCTGAATTAATGACTGAGCCCAAAACATGGACTAAAACATCCTTCCACTGTCCAGATCGCCACCGCTAGGCGTGAGGTGACAGTGCCAAACACCAAAACGGAAACAGAACGAAGTATTTTTTAATTAATTTTAGCCAAATTATCACTTATAACCCATACCAAATGCAACTCTGATGTGTTGTATGGAGCCAACTTTTTGTAGATAACAGTAAACTACTGGAACCTTACTGTTTACTCGTTGTATGGTTTGTGATAGTTTTTATTCCTTTTATTCCTCTATAGGCACTTTTTATTTTACCATTTATCATGTGTCTCTTGTAATGTAATTTTGTTAAATGTTTTCATAAAAGTCATGTTTTATGTTGTCCAACCAGAAAAATTTTGTGCTCAGTTATTTTTTCTTAATGGGTTGATCAGTTAAAAAGCACAGTTCCATTTCATGGTATATCACTCAGAATTAAACTGGTGGTTTTCTGTTCCATTCTTCCTATAGCCACCTGAGAATCTGTTATGTGATGCATATGTTTGCACATCTACAGAATTTGGAAAATGTTTGTGACTGTATGAATGATTTTGGCTTGAAATATCATGCTAGTTTGTCCATGAAGTGAAAAATTTCAATTTATTTGCTACAACAGCAATATTGTAGCAAGCTATGTGACAGACTGCTTCCAATAGAGGAGAGGATTTTACTATTACTATTTAACCAGCACATCTACATGAGCATGTAGCATGCAGTTTTAGAGTCACCAAGATGATAAGGTAAATTATGAATGACTTTGTAATAGTCTATTTTCTTATAGTATACCTTGGTGAAATTTCTCATTTAAATGGTCAAGTTTATCTTTTTTTAATTATTCTTCTTTTCCACAAAAATGGAAAATGATTATGAATGTGAATCTTTTAAATAATGATGCTGATACTTGAGTGGAACCCAGCTGCATTTTAACCTTTAGCCTCCAGATGTTCCATCAATTCACATGGAATGTGATATAGCACAAAGCATATGACAGCTTTTCAGTAGCAGTTGCTCCTGTCTTTTTTCTTTTTGGCACATTTTTAATTAAAAATAGCTTTGTGTTTAATTTTTGTCTCACGGTGACAGAAGCATAACACCATGTCCTTCTTTGTGCGTGGTTGGCATAGGGACAAATTAAAACAAGACACATCTCACCCACTATTTCTGACTGAGATTTTAGGACACACATACTTTATTTATTTAAACTTTGTGCAACAATGTAGAAAAACAAAATGGTGTACTGAATCTTATAATAACTAAACCATCTTTAGAAATACTTTTTTTTAATGAAGCATGTTATTTCAGATTATTCTGGGAACATGATCATTTTCAGAGCTCATATTGTGATCGGGCACAAGTTTACATGACTTTTCTACTGTTGTGGTTGGCTGTAGCACTTGTAGCACCTTTCTCAGTGTCAGTTATCACTGTATCCTGCCCCTTTACAGGAACAGTTTTTTTCTGATAGGTCAATATGGCATGGCGTGAGTCTGTCTTATTTCAGTCTCTTTTTTACCAGTTACTCCATACTGCTTTCTCCTATGACGAGATAATTGTTCACAGACAAAAAATTTAAAAAGTTTAAAAATGCTCTGTAAATTGAATTAATAGTTAATGTTACAAGCAGATTTGATTATCATCAAACAGAAACATTTAAATATATTGTCAGACTGCAACAAAATAATGGTCCAGTGATAGGTGTCAGGTATGACAGCCCGGAGGAGACTAAATTGCAAAGAGAGAAGTAAACTGAAATAAATCAAAGGTTAGACAAGAGTTTGGCAGACCTACAGATTTGAGTTAAGGAGAAGCTAAAAAAAAAAATCAAGAGGAAAACTGGACCAGAAACATGAGGTGCCATGCAACTGAGCAATGGTAAAACTTCAACATGTACAAAAAGCAGTGAAGAATAAACTAAACCCCAATTAGCATACACTGTCTTTCATAAATAATGCCTTTTTATTTAATTTATTCAGGTTACATGGCAAGGTGGCACTGATTGGAATCAATTGGTTTGCCTAATGGGCCAAAATGTTAGTTTTCTATAGCTGCACATCAAAAAGGTTTGTTTGAATTAGAAAGAAACAAAATATATTTGAATATTGTTGCGTTCCATATGTTCTCCACACCTTTGTGAGTGTTCTACAAAAGCTAATGTGTTTCACATAAACAGCTGAGATGTATGCTTGCATAAGGATTCAAATACAATGTTGCAGTTACGTGTTTGTGTTAGATTCAACATACAATAGATAATAGGCTATCTATATTTCCCTAATAAATAGCTGCCTATGGTTTTCAGTTCATAGAAGTCTTTGAAACTGTAGGAAAACAATCCTTAAATTATAGACCATTGAAATGAAGCCTTAAGTTACACTGCTTTGATAAATACGTGGACTATTGTCTTTCTTCTTTGTCATATTGTTTTGTCACGTGTGTTCCTTTGGCTGTCTTTACCCTCATATATTGCACTTTAACCATCCAGTTGCTGGGAAGGCTGAGTTCCATGAGGTATTTTTATATGTAAAGCTTTAAAGAATGAGGGCTATAGAACTGAAAACAGCATGAGTCATTTGTCGCATTGTATCATTTTGTGATATTTTATCTGTATGTAGGGTGGAGGATGTCAATATATATGTCAGCATATAAGAAACGATATACCCAACAGAAATAACACATTGTTATTTTTCTATAGAAAAACACTATAAGTGTGACCAGCGGAGAATCCTTTTCTTGTACCACACGCAGTGCATGTGTTTGAATGTCTTTGGTTGTGTGTTCAAATAAATTTTAATCAGATTTTACTGACTTGTCTGTTTTAAAGCTTCCTAAATAAAAAACATATTTTCCCATTTAAAGAACATGAGATAAACCATGGGAGAACTTTATTTACCCCGCACCTTAGGAAGAGTCATGTTACAGCAGCATTGGTCTTATAAGTTCACACAGGCCACACACAAGCCATATATCCACATTTAGAGTATCTCTTCACTCAGAAAGTCACACATCAACACACACACACTTAAGCTATTTTTAAATACTCATATGAAAAATACACAGGGTGTGGTGTATGCATTATCCATACTCTAGTTGATTGTATTTATACTGAGGGTGCAGCATCTTTACTGAATAAACATTTGATGGGCCTTTGCTTCAAGGAATGAGATGGATTTTGTTTCATCAGAATCTTTCCCTCAGTAACTCTATTTCCAGTCCATGTCTGTGCCATTTTATGCTGCCTGAACCCGTTTCCCTCAGAACTTTCATTGCCATAGCCTATGGCATCTCTGAATATTACAGACACCATCAGTGATTTGTAGCTATCACAACACAGTCACTTATTCTTCACTTATGAATGATAAGAATGCAAAGAGCAGAAGGTATAGCTCTCTGCTTCCCAAATGATGGTTGAGATATCTACTTTATGGTCTTTATTATGTCAGAAGTTCAAGCAACAAGAGCTGGAGGAACTTAGGAATGGTTTCTGAGTTCTCTGAATAGTCTACAGTATCATGTTAGTTCAGTCACTTGGGGAAATTTCTAAATTCTATTCCATTTTTCGCTATTAGAAAAAAAACTCTTCTTCGATCCAATCTTGTAACTGACTTACTTCCAATAAACATAATTTCCTGTTCCGCAAGCAGTTTTTTATGCCTTACAAATGTTATCTATGATTTATCACTCCAGTCTTGCTTTTATACTTTCAAATTGTAGGAATTATAAAATAAAATATACATTTTTTAAAACTATTTTATTGAAAAAATTAAGGTGAAAGAGGTAGCTCCATTACACGTGTAATTCGTGTTTCCGTCCAGTAGAGGGCAATGATGTCTGCAAATTCTACTTTTACAATGACATTTAAAGCTAAACGAGAAGTCAGAGAAGAAGAATTCAGTCGTAAAAAAAATGGTAAACATGGAGCAGGAGACCCAATGTTAGTGCAGGTTGCTGCGGGCCAGTGACAGAATGGGTCGCGGTGAGGAGCTCAGTGAGTTTCAGCGCGGCACCGTCGTGGGCTGTCACCTGTGTCAGAAGTCTGTCCGGGAAATCTCCGCCCTGTTAAACCTTCCACGGTCCACGGTGAGCGCCGTGATTCTCAGGTGGAAACGCGGAGGGATAACGACGGCTCTGCCCCGGAGCGGCCGACCGCACAAGCTCAAGGAGGAGCACCGCCAGTTGCTCGAGAAAGTAGCGCTGGAGAAGTGTCTGCCCTCCATCAAAGCTATCGCTACCGAGTTCCAGACGGCGTCAGGGGCCAACGTGAGCTGCAGCACTGTCCGCCGCGAGCTGCATGAAATGGGCTTCCGCGGCCCGGCGTCATCAAACGGCAAGCCCAAAGGTGCATTCACGAACCCCGAGGAAAACAGTCCCAAATGCAGCTTTGGGGGGGTCCCAATTCTTTCTGCCTTGTCACACTCAAGACATCTGCACATAGTTGTTGTTTTGGCGGTTGCTGCGATACGTAAACGCGTCCGCCATATTGGCCACACAGGCCATTTAATATCATCGAAGAGGGAGATGCGTTTTTAATTGGCTACAAGTATTGCAAGCTTCACATTTGCCAGAAAAATGTTTGATACAAATGTTCAGTAAGTTATCGTTTGCTTTGACAAAACAGTTTGTCAGAGACATCTCTTATTAAAGTAAAACAGGCTACCTTTTTATTAATTAGGAGGAAAAATCCCTGGAGCAAACACAGCACTCAAATCATACCAGTACAGTGGGTAAGGAAAGAGGCTTTCATTTTTTATTCCTGTTTCTTCCACAGCTGGGGAACACCCAGAGTCACCTGAACGTCACAATCAAACAGTCATTCATTGTGACAATTTAGAATAATCAGGTAATGTAGTTTTCCAAGCACAGCATCACTGTTCTGACCACAACGTTTTTTTTTTAAACAATGGAAATTCGAAAACAAAAACAGAGAAGCAATGTTAGGCAGTTATTACATATGTATCCCTGAAATACCTTATAAAAAAGGGAAAAAAAGAGGAGCGTTGATTAAAAAACCTTGATCATCAATTAACCCCGTGGGACAAATTCTGGTGGTGTATGAACCAGTGTGTAATCAATATTAAGAATCGCCTCTCATTGCTCATACAACACTCGTCACCCAACAGGGATGTTCACATCTGGTCCCATTACTTAGACTTCAAATAAAGTTTTTGATGAGAATTTGAGTCCAGAAAAAGATAAAATCGGACTCATTTGGGATTTGGTTTGATCCCAATGCTAAACCCTGTTGTTTCATCCATTTCATCCATTCAAACTTTTTACCTGATTGTCACAAAGTATATCATTTTCTTCCCAGACTAATAACATTCGCAAAGCAGTTGTACAACAATGATTTTAGCGCTCGGCTGATGTCTGTGTTTGTCCGTCTCTGATGTCAGCAGGACAGAAGACATCAAAGAAGCAGGCAGGCCTCAGTCAAGAGGACGCCGCGGTGGATGTGTCACATCTGGACCTGCGTGTTGGACGGATAATGACAGCCGTGCTGCTGCCTGACACCGACAGCGTCTACATGCAGATCGACTTGGGAGAGGTTATCCCCAGGACAGTGGTCAGTGAGCTGGCTAAGCACGTACCTGTAGATCAGGTAAAGTGTAACTATAGAACATATCATTTTAAGATAATAGCAATTTAGATTATTTGAGATTAGCAGGCACATGTGTTGGTTTCATTAAAGATGGCAATGACAATCCATAATCACCCACATTTTAGACACATTTCAAATCTTCTGAAGGCAGATGTTAAAGCCATTGAGTCTGCTTTGGGTTAAGATGACAGAAAATAAAATCGTGTTTGATCTTCATATAGTTTCTATAAATCCTGGTTATAATTATTACTTTAAATATTACTTTAAACTCTGCTTTGATACAGCTCTGCTCCAAGATTAAAATGTATTTAAACCTCTGTCTGACACACAGGTGCAGAATCGCTTGGTGGTCGTGCTCTGTAACGTGCAGCCAGTAGTGGAAGGCGGGGTGGTCAACGAGGCTAAGATATTGTGTGCCAGCTCACGAGACAAACTGGAGATCCTTGACCCTCCGGGTGGAGCAGCGCCAGGGGACAGAATGACTTTCCAGGGATTTCCAGGTACTGAAGCCCAATGATGGCACATCCAAAAGTCAGGATCATATTATCAAAGGTCAAATTCTTGACCAGTCAGCTGCAGAAGACATTCTTCTGCTTCCTTCGGTTTTCATCAGGCATACATCACAAAGTGGGCTAAACGTCAGTATTCATAAGGTAGACCTTACACCAATTGTAACCAATACCCCCCACACAAACACACACACATGTGAGGGACAGGGCCAGGTGACGGGCTTGTAGAGGAGGGGATATGGATTTGGTCAGACTGCAAATGTTTGTGATGCTACAGTAAACGTCTGCATGCGCTTAGACCGCCTGCAGAGCAGAGAAGATTGTGACAGACGGAACTGCCTCCTTGTTCCTCCAGGTGAACCCGACAAAGAGCTGAACCCCAAAAAGAAGTTGTGGGAGCAGGTCCAGCCAGACCTGCGCACAGACGCTCGGTGTGTAGCCACCTACAAAGGAGCTGCCTTTGAAGTTGTAGGAAAGGGGGTGTGCAAAGCTGCCACTATGAGCCAGAGTGAAATCAAATAAACTCAAGGGAGTTGCTTGAAATAGCCCAAGACCAATCCCAGCAGCCAGCCTGCATCCAGAATGTTGTGGAGCTGCCTCACGCAAGTCTGCAGGCTGGTGGTGACATGTTGTCATGGAGTGAGGTGTCCAGTCCTCACGTGGGGCCAGCAGCCCCACACCTCTCACACTCTGGTAGTGGATGAAGAGCCCTCTGCTGGACAGACATGAACACAACTGTTTTATCATGAGATAATTCCCTGTGAAAGGACACAGTAAGTGTGTATGTTTGTTTCAGATGAGACTAAACAAAGTGCTCATCGTGGTAAAAAAGAAAAGGGAAGTTCTCTCAGAGATTCCCTTTTTGGCCTGAAACTACACTGTAAAAGTTCAATGTTTTCCCCAGAGACTGTGAACATCATTTCTAAAGAAAAACACTTTCAACTTATAGGCCCTTTAGAACAGCGGACTTTGGACAGTTTTGCTTTCTTTGGTCGTGTGGATGAACAGGAATCCGTTAAAAATTCCAGTTATAAAAAAGGGATTTTTTCTGCAGAGCGAGCTAGGGGATTTTTTTTTTTTTTTACAAAATGACCGTGAAGTGTCAGGTTTCAGTCCACTTATGCTTGATTTCATTCTGTAATGATGCAGTTTAGTTTGCAAAATTCCTTTCAACAGTCCTCTTTTCTCTAACCCGGAAATGTAAAAAAAACTTCTGAGTCATTGATTTTGATGTAAAAGTGTTTTGACCTTTTGTAATCAGACTGTATTTGGTGACTATCCCTTAAGTTATGGCAGTAGCCTAGTTCCGTTTTTAGATTTGATTTTAATTATGTTTCCATCTGAGCTTCAATTTATTATTACTAATGAGCATAATGACCATTAAAGAAAGAAAGAGAACGACGTGTTGTTTCAAACACACAGTGTTCATGTTGCTTACTGACATACAAACGAGTGGCTTTAAAAAGCTTGAAAACTTGCTAAGTTCTTCTTCCCTTCTTGTAAAGGAAGAACTGACCAACTGTATGTAAAGAATGAGGATCTGATTCAGGAACTAAGAAGTGGAACAGCTTGACTTTTCCCCCTATTTTTATAGTTGTATTTTCTTGGAACACAACATGACCCACATGGAATGGTTTTGTTCTGCTCATGAGAAGAAAGTTTTTTATTGTTACAAGAATATGAAGAGCGAAACCCCCCCACCCCACACACATCCACACAATCTGAGTCATATGTTTCTGTTTATGTGATTGATTCTAATTTGTGTCTTTACATGTAATGTTATGCTCTGCGGGAGCCTCAACGTGGGACCTATCATCTCTTGCTCTAATTCAACGAGCTGAATGTAGGACAAACCAATCTGACCTCCCTGCACCGCATATTAAAATGTCAAGGGCTGGTAATATTGTTGTTGCTCTCCACCCACCTCTGATTTGTTCTCCGACACGTAGGGGAAAACAGAGCTGGGGCACTGTAAAGATTCATCTCTCGTTTCTGTCCCTCCTATTGCAGCATAGGCAGCCTTTCTTGTATCAGCCCCGAAAGCGTGCAGTGGAGGGGAAAGTTTGTAAACAACCACCTGAAACCGGGACTGAGTCAACCTATGAATAAAGTGCTGCTCCCACACCGTGTGTGTCCTGTTTTTGAGGCCACAAACAACAGGAAACGGCAAACCCCTCCCACAGATGACAAGAGAGTTTTTGTGGTTTGGGTTTATTTGTTTTCATTTGCTCATAGTCTTATCTGTTTTAGTCCACATGAGAGTATAATGTTCAGTTCATAATTGTTTCACATCAAACCTAGATTTCCTGGTAAAACGAACAGGCATCACAAAGCAGCAGCTTCTTCAGTGTGGGCTATATTTTAAAGTTGTTGTCTTAAAGCCAACAGAAATTTTCATTCCACAGGAGTGAGAGAAACTTGATGCGCCGAGCAGCCACATTTAACCCTCTGCAGCTCACCAGTGTGCAGCATGGCTCTGCCTGCTGTGGGGCTAAGCGCTACCTTTCTGCAGGTCCCTCCAGGCAGCATGATCCCAGTCTGTTCTGAACCGCCTGACAGACCAGTTTCTTTAGTTTGTTTTTGCTCCCACTCTCTTTCTTTGACCTCCTTCGCCCCATTGTCAGATCTCAGACAGATCTGGAGCTTCTGAAGCAATTTAACTTCTCTGTTAATGGATTCATTTTGTGTTTGATGCTATCCTCTGGAGGAAAACTGCCACGAGAAGGTTTATTCACTGTAAACAGGCACTAAAAACAAAACATTTTCCAAACATTCCTGGCCTGTATGTCTTCTTTATATCCAGAGATAAACTTCTAATCTAAATAAAAGAGTAGGCTAATGCAGTAACACCGAAAGCGGAACTTATAAATGGAGTCGTAATGAGTCCTGGTTTTGACCAAGACAAAATGTGCAGTCTAAATCATGTACAAAGAAGTGGTTTCTTGACACAACGTCAGCATTAAGCAGACACCCTCTGGAAGCAGGGCAGTCCTGCATGTGTGTGAGCTGTGGTCGATTATCAGCGTGACCTTCGGTCAGTGTTCGTCCATCTTAAGACAAACAGCACCGACACGAGACTACCGATAAAAAACAATTCGGATAATCCTATAGTTCACGAAAGTTTAAAGGAGTTTTTAAGACAAACGCAATTCCCTCCTCCGCTCGCGCGCCTCCGCCTCTCTCACGCGCTGACGTTGCGCGTGCGCCTCGCTTTATGACGCGCGCGCGGCAGCAGCAGCGTTGGCCCTTCAGCTGATGAGGAGGAGACCAGCCACGGCCGCGGCTTTAGCTTTAAATATCGTCTCTACGCTTCGGCACGGGGACGGGCGTCGCGGCGAGAGGTGATAGACCGTTTCTGTTGGTTGTCAACCGGCTACATCCCGGTTTATGCTGCACAACAACAACAACAAACACACGAACGAGCGCCGTCGGAGCGGATAGCACCTGCCGCGAAGCATGGACAACAAAGCCTGAGCCAGCGAAAACCGGGCCAGCCTGCGGACGGTTCTCATACCGAATGGTTTTTTGGAGGCATATGTGAGTTTTTATGCTGTGCTTGCGGGGACTACGTGCACCAGCTGCGGTGTTTGGACCTCCATGTTGTAGGCCGAACCCCACCGATGAGTAACTGGCTCGTTTAATTATAGCGACGCTCGTGCGCGTTTTTTTTTGCCTCGGCTCTGACACCTAGTTCACACCAGACGTTAATTGGGCCGTCCTCGACTTTTTAAAAAATATTCTACAATCGTTTCCAAACACAGAAACACGTCCGTGTGGGACCAGACTGCCAGCATCAGCCGTCCTGTGTTCAATGTGCCTCTAAAAAATAAAATAAAAAATCCACCGAATATGTGGGTCAGTCCAGAAGATGTGTTACTGGCAGGAGCGTTATGGATCACCGAGAGAGCAAACCCATATTTCATCCTCCAGAGACGAAAGGGACACGGCGATGGAGGCGGAGGACTGGCCGGTGAGTCCTTCATCTGTGCTGCCTGGGTGCATTGAGAAAAAACCCAACTGTTCAGTTTTGTAGTGATGTGATAGCAATGGGTGGAAGAGGCAAAGTGTGTTTTGGGCTGGGCATGACCAAACCTACAGGGGAGCAGTGGGAGCCAGGCGGCCTTTCACCTTCTGCAAAGAAGTGATGACTGTTAATTGATTAGTAAGTTTGCCGACTTAAAAATCCACTATAAGAGTGCAAAGAGCGGCTCATATCTGTGCGTGATCATACATCTATCACGCCAGAGAGCTCTTCTATCTGGTCATATTTGACATTCCTGAAAATGGATTTCATTTGAGCTGCTGCTAAGGACCAAGTAGTCTAAAAAACAGTGACTCTTTTTGTCTACCGAGCAGAGACCCAGTCTGTTTGCTTGTTCATGCTGAATCATTCCCCTTCTTCCTTCCCTCCTCCTCCCCTTCCTTCTGTCTTGCTTTATATAAAATGGGTCAAACAGAAGCACATGAAAGGAGAAGGGAGGGTTGGGCTACAGGTAATTGACATGAAAGGTTCTGAAATTTTCATGTCCTGATTTCAACATTTACTTCCTATCTTGACCTGGATTCATCTAATTGGTGTTCATCTCAGTCAGGGGTGCTTTCACAAGTTTATGAGAAGAGACACAGCTCTTCTTCTCTTTGCAAACAAAGTGGTCTGATATAACTTATTGTGGTAGATTAAAGATGTAGGATATTACATAGTCAGGGTTCTTTATGCATGATTATCCAGACTGTACTGGTTGTGTGGCATGTTTGCGTTTTGTGTGAGGACACTTTCAATTCTTGATTGTCTCCACAAATGATGGTTAATTATTTCTTGATGCACCCGACATTTGCAGACATCACCCAGAAGAGGCTGCATGTGAGAGCACAAATGATCACATCAGTTGAATCTGGACGTGTCCCTGCCAGCTCCCCAGTGCAAAGTCCCGATTGTATCCAATAAAGCACAAGTGTGAATAGGGCTAGTGATGTCTAGAGGGTCCACAGTTAATGTGTGTGTGTGTACTCTGAACGGCACTGCTTCTTCCTTTTTTTATTTTCTAAATGATTTTGTAGAACTAGGTTAGAATGGTAATGGTGCAAGATATCTTAAACATGCAGGGATAGAAGAAAACAGCGTATTCTCAACATCTCCATAAACAACTTTAAGAAAGTTCTTCACAATTTATTTCCTTTTTAGAGCCTGATTTTTAGATTCCTGGCAAAAGTCTCATTTCTTAAAAATTATCCATACCGTGTATTCCTGCAAGGTCGAGGGGCAGCTTGAGCCTATCTCAACTGATATTGGGCAAGAGGTGGGGTACAGACACCGACTCCTGTTCAATTCAGTAATACCCATTGGCACAAACCCATTTCCTTTGTGTTCGTTTGAATTGGGATGTTGGGAGGAACCAGAGAAGCTTGAGAGACCCACACATGCATGGGAGAAGTTGCAAAGAAAGTAAACCAGCGTAAGGACAAAGAAACATAACTGGAAATGGATAACAGAATCTATAATCCAGGTATTTAATAACATACTACGTATGTTCGCTGGTACGCGAATCTGGTCAAATTTTGTAGCAGGGGCAAGGGAGTTCATGGCTTTGTTCTTCACAAAAAAACATTATGCTCGTCACCATTTGGGTGTACAAAATTGGTGATACGGCTTCCTTTGCTATCAATGAATAAACAATGGGCATCCTCCCAGTCTCTGCTGACTTTCTTGCTTGGCAACACAATGTGTGCCAAGTGCTCTTCAGGGATGATGTCATGGCTATGTAAAACCAGAGCTTGCTGACTTGCCTCGTGTGCCAGCTGGCACTTAACAGCACCCAGTGACGGGGGCACTGCCCTCTCGCCTGCATTATAGAAACCATCAGCACCAGTATGGAGTTTTTTACAGACCCAGGCTCAGTTCAGCGAGGCCTGTAGCTCTGCAGTTGGAGGTGCTGGACGGCCTGTAAAGTTCTATGGAGCAAAATGGCTGAATTATGCACATGATTCACGTGTCCATGTACAGAGTTCATGGATTAGGTTTACAGAGGGTTCTGAAAAATATGATAACAGAGTTTGGATGTTTGTCTATTGGATTTTTTTTTCAGAAACCTTTTTAACCTCTTAGTTTAGACTGGACAACCCCTTTTTCCTTTCCACATTTTACACAACTGAATGAATCTTACTCCACTTATTCCACTTGCAGTATTTCATGAGATAATTATCTTAAAACTTTTCCACACCAGAAACATGAAATTATATATGAATATCCTCCACTTTTAAGTTGATGGGCCTGATCCTCATAGAATTAGTTTTCCTTGTAAAACATTGTGCGTTTGACCATACAATTCTTTAAATATAAGAATGAAAACTATAAGTCCACTCATCTGTATGGAATTTGCAGAAAACATTTAATAGTTTTCCATTTTGGTTTGTCATGAGATTTATATTTATTGAGATTTATATTCATAACAAAAATCTACTCGTAAAGCAGAAGGTAAACTCCAGGGTATCCATTTAGTTACATAAGCTGACCCAAGGTTTTTCAGAGCATTCAGTTGCACAATAACTTATGTCTAACAGCATTTCACAATCCAGCTGATTAATGCTGTATGTTTATAGTGTCAGACCGATGTGATCCCATTTTATGGAGGCTTAGTCTTGAACATAAACAACCAGTGTCTGACAGCTGTTGGAACGGTGGATGCATTTTTAGTTTAACACATTGCAACCTTCCAGAGATTTCTTTTTGGTTTCTTATTATTTTTCTTTTGCAGTAGTTCTTTTTCCTGTGCTTCCTCTATGGAAGCACACTAACCAGAGCCTCAGAGAAGGGATTTGTTTCACTATAACAATGGAGGACATCTGATTCTGTCCTTGTCTCTGAGTCAAGGGGCACATGATTTTATTCCTTATTCTTGTCAGCAGCCAATGGCTCACTCTGAGAAGTTTTCCATACAGAGACAATACAAAGAGCATGCACTGTCACAGCAGCCTTGTTTCTGGAATTGTGTCATCTTTGTGGCCCACTCAGTGTGGTGAGAAATACCACTGTGAAGGCGGAGAGAGATGGAGCAGGTCACCACATGTTTTGATGAGTTACTGGTGCTCACACGTGTGATGTTTGAGGTTACCTGAGGAGCATAGGAAAGAAGCCTGACCCAGGTCTCCAGTGTCACAGGAGAATAAGCAGAAACTTTTAAGTAATGATTGAGATGTTTTTCAAATTTATCCAAACTTTGCCAAAACCACCTGACTGTGGAGGAGCTTTACTAATACTTCTTTATGTTTTTCAGTTTTTGACAGACAACCAAAGGACCCAAACCCACCTGAGTTTCCTGTGTTAAACCTCAACTCACTTGTAGACTCAGCCATTCTCCCCTTATGGTGCAACTAACACCCAACCCAAATTTCAGATTTTTACAACAAGACTGCTCAACTCAGCTGTAGATAGTTTGTATTTCTCTTATAACTTTTGCTTAGTGTTTAACACCTTAATGTCTCCTCTGCGTTCAGAGTGTGAGCATTTGTTGTTCTGACTGTACAATAACCTTGTAATTTTGTTTAGTCACGGAGGAAGTAGTCTTCACGCTCACTTTGTTTCAAACAACTAAACAAATTATGTGTGAGCTTCTCTCAACCGTTTTGTTGTGTTGATAAGTTAACTACAGACCAAGGCTAGTATTTTTTACATGTATATACATCACTGGCACTGTTGTGGCATATGATGCAAAGGCAGTCTGCAACATCTGGCACTGATCCACATTACCAAGGAACCAAAACTAAAGAGCTCACTTAAAGGGACAGCTAACAACTACAAGCTAGTTCCTTTTTCTTTTCTGTGACTTTTCTTGAGCTTTCATAGGAATAAATGGAGATGAACTTGCTTTAAGGAAAAAAAGAAGTAATGGGAGTAAGCAAGTCTAATCTTGCACACACATGATTTTCAGCTTCCCTACCTTGTTTCTTCCATCCCGTTTTTCTTTCACTACATGACTCATACTGCTGATGAGAGCTGTAGAGCAAAATACATAGTTTCTTTACAGGAGTTGAATATACATCCACTACAGACCAGATATTATTTTCAAATAATCCACAGAAAAATGCCGCCTAGGAATCAAATTAAATTAGGTGTTAGGTTGGTATGTAACAATTCGTCATTCGTCAGTGTCCGTCGTATGTGCAGTTTTAACTGTTAATGAACTGTTATATTTTCCTACCCCTTCAGTTTTTCTTGCACCTTTTTTCAGGCTTTATGTGAAACATGTTGTGGTGCTTTTTTTCTGCCATAGGTGCATCAGAGTCAAAACATTAGCAGGAGGGGCCTTAATGAAAATCATCATCCATAAACTAATGCAAGAGAACAAAGCTTTGTAACACACACTGGCAAAAAACACTGGATTCTGTGGCTGATTATGCAATCCGTTTGAAAGCAAATGCTCCGTCACAGGGGGGATGACCTGCTAGATTAAAGAAAACTCTCCAACTGTTAAAATATGTACTTGCACAGAAATGTCCCAAGGCAGCACAGCAGAGGCGATGATCAGCTGTGTTGTAACTTGGAGCAAAGGCCACTTTCCAAACATCTCCTCTCAGTTAGCAAGTTAACATTACTGTATGAAAGCAGTTTGACTTTGTGGAGCATTAAATTTTCAAAAGACAAAGCCCAGTTGTTCTGTAATCTGGTAATCCAAGTGGATGCATGCTAACTGGTCCAAAATAATCAATAAATCAATACATTGAGTCGTTTATTAACTTTCATGAATACTTTTTTAACACACGATTAATTTAAAATGTAATAACCTATCCCAGTGTCTGCTTAAATAATAGCTGTTAGAACGTGGCTATCAAGTAAACAAACACCACGTTTTGACCAGAGGATGTTTTTCAAATCTCCTCATCAATTTCCCCTTAAGCATCACAGAATGGCGTAAAAGCATGCTTTATCATGCTTTTTTCTGTGGTTGGAACATGAACGTGGGGTATTTTGTTTACAACGGCTTTATAGAGAGCTTTTAGTCATGAGTCTGCATTATTTATTGTTTGGGGACAATCAAGTATTTACAAAATAGCCTCAAGCCAAAAGTTCCCATCCATGTGAGTTTTCTCTTTTAATAACAGTATCTTGGTTTCTTGCAGGTTTGCTCGTTGGGACCTTGGATGTCGTTCTGGACTCGAGTGCTCGAATGGCCCCTTACAGGATTCTCTACCAAACGCCTGACTCTTTAGTTTACTGGATCATTGCTCATGGTATGTGACGCTTAACCCTGGGTGCTACAACTAAAAGATGACACATGAATATGAAGAAAAGCAAGAAATGAAAGTGCAGGGAAAACATTTTCATAATTCAGTATGTAGACTACTTCAAGTGATTTTAGCATTTCAGCAGGTATGAGTGAGTCCAGCATGGACCCCTCTGTAATTTAAGACCTGCACCACCCCCCAGCTTCCACACATGACACAATGCTCTAACATCCTGCCTCCCATGTTAAGTGCATTACATCATGCCCTGGTGGTTTTACAGGGCAGGATTAGAGTAGTGGGTGAAGGAATCAATGTTTTTCAGCTAATCACTCGATGGATTTTCTTCACGTCAAATCTTACATCGTCAGCTGGTTCACAAAATATGGAGATATGCAAGTTCTTTTCTATGCAAACTTCAAACGGCTCTTTCCAAATTTTGGAAGTTAAAGTGCTGTTATAGACAGCTAGCGGTGGTAATTCATGCAAATTGGCCGCAGCACTCCTGACTGATTACAAGCAGCTCACTTTTCTGCTCCACCACTAGAATAGTGCAACTGCTTCAAGTGAGGACCCGTTTCCAAAGTGGGAGAGGAAGGACGCTGGAAATGAAATATGCCACACTTCACATGAAAAATACCAGTTTGCTATTTGAGGAGCTCGCGATCAAGCTGCTGACCTTTCTGTCAAGTGCACCAAGGAATCAGCAGTTTCTGCACTGGTTTCTCTCACTCAGTCAGTTATACATCATCTCTGTACATGTAACATATCTAGTGTTACAGGGTCCAAAGTCAACACCAAAGGCTGTTAGTTAGACACAGCTCTTCAACTCCAGGCAGTTTGTAGCCTCATTCTTTCCTACTTATATTAGGTGTTTTTGAGCAATAACATATGTCAAACATAACGTAAATTGTCACATGAATGCATGTTCGACATGGAGTAAGCTGAAAATGTAAAAGTCAGTATTGGTTTTTTGGTCAGTGGTGTTTTTCTACTAGGTTTAAAAATAGCACAGGTATCCTTGAAGTCTTCAATAAAAAATGGATGGCACGCATAAGGCCAACAAGGATCTGAGTTGGCACTGTCCATCCCCCACTCCTCACAAACCCCCAGCTTCTTAATTCCCCCTCCAAGCAATAGAAGGAGAGTAGAGTAGTCTGGCAGGCAGCTAATGCAGTCAACGCACTCTCAGTAGAGGGATAATGGTCCAAAGTGGCAGCCATTACTGCTCTGTTTTATTTCTCCCATGACCAGTGGATCGGCTTTAGTCTCACAGCTCAGTGGTTGCAAAAATATCTATTTTAATGTTGCTAGAACCCTAACAAATACACATTTCTCAGTCTGTAAACTACTTTTGTCTCTGCCAAGCTAAAAACTGCATAGACATGAAACACAAATGGTATTTTTATCCTTTAAATTAAAAAAGAGACATCAGCCAATTGATTTTCTTTTTTTTTTTGCTAAAAAACTGCTCTATAAAAGATGGTAACAAAAGTATTTCTGATTTTATATTCTTTGTAATCTTCCTACATTTCAGAAGTGATATTGAGATACTATATCTCAAAATTACATGAAATATAAAATTGGCACCTGCTGCACTTCTAAAACAATCCTGCTCCTCGTGTGAACCTTGCCCCGGGCACTCAGACTCGCCCGTCTCCGTCCTCTGCAGGAACCTCCCGCAAAGAGATCACGGAGCACTGGGAGTGGCTGGAGCACAACCTGCTGCAGACTCTCTCCATCTTTGAGAATGAAAACGACATTACCACCTTCGTCAAAGGCAAGGTTCAGGTGAGCTCACGTGCTACACCATCTAAGCATCGGTTTTCTTTCCTCTTGAAATGATTCTGGATTTCATTATTATGGTTAGTTAATCTGTTGCAGATGCAAGTAGCATTTAAGTAGAAGTATGAATGTGTATATCTTTTTCTTTGATAAAGTAAAAAGATGAGGCTGTTGTGACAACAGCTTCACGTAAGAATATGCTCAAAATTTGTATTTACCTTTATTTGTATTTTTTCAGAGGAGAAATAAAAATCAGCTGATCATTCAGTTTGCATACTGTATGTAATTGCCTATTATGTGAGCGCAAAACAACAACAACAAAAAAGTAGTTCATAGTGTGTGCACATATCAAACACCACTTCAGTTTTTAATAAAGAACAGAAAGGTTCAGGCCCAGACATGGAATGTTCCCTAACAAAATGCATGAGTAGATGTGGATTTTTTAGGTGGATTTTGATCAGTGACCAGACAGATGCAGGTTTATCATCAAAGATTGGTTGACCCTTTTACAACAAACTACGTAAAACAATGTGTAACTTGATGCTTATCTTGTCTTCATCATTTAGTTAACAACAGTCAGTTAAACCACCCAGCTCATTACCTCAGCCGGTTTCTTACCATTTTTTTTGCAGGGCATCATTGCAGAGTTTAACAAGAACCACGATGTTAAAGAAGATGATGACACAGATAAGTTCAAGGAGGCTAGCGCTAAGTTTCGTAAGCTGTTCGGCATGCCCGATGAAGAGAAGCTTGTCAACTATTACTCGTGCAGTTACTGGAAGGGGAAAGTGCCTCGACAAGGCTGGCTTTACCTCAGCATCAACCACCTCTGCTTTTATTCCTATTTACTCGGAAAAGAAGGTGCATATACAGCTCTATTTCTATAATTGTGAAAAAAATGGGTAAAAATAAGGAGCAATGCAATAACTTTCATAACTCTATAGACATAATATATTTACTAATTGTAATAATATTTTTACATTGCATACATTTCTGTTATATGCATATGTTGCGTATGCTAATCTGCTGTGTGAAATTAAAAGGCGTTCAGTCAAAGCTGTGTCTTTCTCTGACATTTTCAGTCAAATTGGTGGTTCGCTGGGCAGATATCACCCAACTGGAGAAGAGTGCCACCCTCCTGCTCCCTGATGTGATTAAGGTGAACACCCGCTCCAACGAGCACGTCTTCTCTGTCTTCCTCAACATCAATGAGACGTTCAAGTTGGCAGAGCAGCTGGCAAACATTGCCATGCGCCAGCTTCTGGACAACAAAGGCTTTGAGCAGGATCGCTCGCTCCCAAAGCTCAAAAAGAAGTCACCCAAGAAGGTGTCTGCGTTGAAGAGGTACGAGCTTGTGTTCATCAATGGCAAAACATACTGCTACATCACACAGTATATATGCTCAATTGAACTCTTAAAAAAAAGTACATTTCTTTACAAAAAATAGTAAGCCACGTGTAAAAGTTATCTGCAGTACACCACTTATGAGAACGTCTAAAGAGTTTTTTAGGATTTATGCTTTAGTTGAGAGTACATAACCCTGTTTTAGAGGTCATAGGATGCTTTTTTGTTTGTTTTTTTCATATTGTAGGAGTAATATGGTTTGTATGCAGCAAAGTGTTATTGCTCCTAATGTAGAATGTCTCACCAGGTATTTAAATTAAATCAATGAAGCTGCATGGTACCAGAAAATGGACATCTCTGCTGCACGGTTATGCAAAAATCTGTTTTCTAATGAGTTTTACTGACTTTTTGTTTCCCAAAGGGATCTGGATGCGAGAGCTAAGAGTGAACGTTACAGAGCACTCTTTCGTCTGCCCAAAGATGAAAAGCTGGATGGACACACAGACTGCACCCTGTGGACTCCTTTTAACAAGATGCACATTCTTGGGCAGATGTTTGTTTCCACCAACTACATTTGTTTTACCAGCAAAGAGGAGACGCTCTGTAGCCTCATCATCCCACTGCGTGAGGTGAGTTGTTACCAGGAAGATACTCGGGGTAAGGTTTGTGATTATGACAGGAATCTGATCTGGGTTGTCTTTGTTGTATTTCAAAAAATCTAATTCGGGGTATGCTTTGGTTCCTCATCCTTTATTTCTTTGATCTTTTTTTTTGTTCTAAGTTGCTGTGGTTAACAGTTTCTGCTAAATGCGTAACTGGAAATGTTCTGAGACACTTTCTTTTCATTCTCTAATACTCTTTGTCTTCTAATGTGCTGAAGGTGACCATCGTGGAGAAGGCGGACAGCTCAAATGTGCTGCCTAGCCCGCTCTCCATCAGCACCAAGAATCGCATGACCTTCCTGTTTGCTAACCTGAAAGACCGAGACTTCCTGGTGCAGAGGATCTCTGACTTCTTGCAGCAAACCACCTCCAAGATCTACCTGGAAAGGGAGCTCACTGGTAGCCTTAACAGCTCAGATGATGAGGTAAGAATTTCTTGAAGTTTTCTAAAGATGAGAGATTAAATGCATTCACTTCAGGAAGGTCTTCTTAAATGGTAAGTTTATGGAGGCTGTCCCAAAGGCTGTGGCCCTTAAAGCCCCATTCAAAGCTGTGACGTGCGTTTGCAGGTGTACTCCCAGCACGGATCCCTTCTCTCCAGCAGTCCCCAGCACAGTTTGGGTTCAGAGGTTGAGCGCTCCTTTAACCTGAATGACAGCAGCGTGCCCACAGCGTCAGAAGCTCTCATGACAATGTATCGTCGCCGTTCACCTGAGGAGTTTAATCCCAAACTGGTGAGTTACATTTAGCTGAGTAAAGTTAAAAGGATTTAGTTTTTCCCATGAGTCATCGCTCACGGTGCCTCAAGCTGCTGTCTTCCGTTCTGTCTCTATTAATTGTAACGTGTGAGTATGTGTTGCTCACCTTTCGTGCTTGACATTTTCCCACTCTGACACTGCACAAAATTCAAATGGAATCAGGCTTGGAATGGAAGTAATTGTTTATGTCTTGATTGTTTTGCCCAGGCAAAGGAGTTCCTGAAGGAGCAGGCGTGGAAGAACCACTTTACTGAGTACGGAGAGGGAGTGTGTATGTACCGCACCGAGAAGACAAAGGAACTTGTTCTCAAGGGGATTCCTGAGGGCATGAGAGGAGAGCTTTGGCTGCTCTTCTCTGGTGAGCAGCACACTAATTATTCAGTCATAAACTGCACCTGACTGGTCCCACCCTGCACACCACACACTCACTTGAACTGAGTACCACATGATTTCTACCTCACAAAGTTGTTGTGTAATCCCTCGGACAGATTACCCAAGATAACAATACTAATAGCTTCTATGAGTTCTGAGAGACTATTTAATATGTCTAATTTTTGGGGACCTGTTGCTCATTGATTTTAAACAATAATTGTGTTTCAGGCTTGCAAACGACTCATCTTCTGAAGCTTAGCAGATTATTAGAATATCAAAGTGTTTACTTTTTTAAGTAATATTTTGGACTTACATCATTGAACTCCAGGTAAAATACAGCAGCTAAAATATGCCATAGGCAGAAGGTAATGCATATACTTCTCAAGAGTAATGTCTTTATAAATCACTGCTGTGACTAGACGGAAAATTTCTTTTTTAAATTAGCTGATTTATTTACTGATGAACAGTTTTAGTTTAGTTTTTTATGAGGATCAGATGCGGTGCAGTTATCATTTTGTGCTAATCACAAAACATGCTTCCAGAAGTTTGAAGGCTTATGACTGTAACTCTGCCCCAACAAACCACATCCTCAGGTGTGTGACTGATCTGGTTTCTGTTTACAGGCTCGGTCTTAAGATGCACACCAGAAGAAAGTTGTGCTGCTGCTGTTCACCTGAGCAGAGCTAGTTACTAAATGATATCGACCTACATGTTTTTTAAATCCCATTTTTGAAGGGGAAAAATAGAAATGCCTCACCTTCTTTCAAACATAGAATCAAAAGAAAACTTTTTTTTTTCCCTTTGTGCTTTAATCATCCTACATACAAATAATATAATCGGACTCATTCACTTATTTTACAGGGGCCATCAATGAGATGACCACTCACCCAGGGTACTATGAAGATCTGGTGGAGAAATCAATGGGCAAGTACAACCTGGCTACTGAGGAGATTGAGAGGGACCTGCACCGCTCTCTGCCTGAGCACCCAGCCTTCCAGAACGAGATGGGCATCGCAGCTCTCCGCAGGGTCCTCACCGCCTACGCATTCAGAAATCCCAACATCGGATACTGTCAGGTGTGCCAACGCTCGTTTTCATCGCCACGTGAACGAGCTGATACTTGTCAGTTCTTGACTTGTTAGTACTTTATTTTCATTGTATGAATGTTTTTTGTCTTGACTCTGCAGGCTATGAACATTGTGACATCGGTGCTGCTGCTTTACGCCAAAGAGGAGGAAGCTTTTTGGCTGCTTGTGGCTCTCTGTGAGAGGATGCTGCCAGACTATTATAACACCAGAGTCGTAGGTCAGTCTGGGCTTGGGTTATTGGGTGTCAAAATTTGGTGTCTACGCATTAAACCTAAAACTTGATCTGCTCCTTTTGCAGGAGCCCTTGTTGATCAGGGTGTATTCGAGGAGCTTGCCCGCGAGTATGTTCCCCAACTGTATGACTGCATGCAGGACCTTGGAGTCATCTCTACTATTTCACTCTCCTGGTTCCTCACACTGTTCCTGTCCGTCATGCCATTTGAGAGTGCGGTGGTGGTGGTAGACTGTTTCTTCTATGATGGCATCAAGGTCATCTTTCAGCTGGCACTCTCTGTGCTGCATGCCAACATCCACCAGCTGCTGAGCTGCAAAGACGACGGGGAGGCCATGACAGTTCTGGGGAGGTAAAAATGTGTTTTTCTTGTGTTTATCTTGACCACTGTTACTGCCAAGTGCTCTTTCCTCACAGGTTTAGTTTAATTAAACCCCTTTTATCATCGGCCAACGTCCTGATTTTGGAACGATATGTTTTGTTTTGTCCATCACAGGTACCTGGACAGTGTGACCAATAAAGACAGCACCCTCCCACCTATCCCCCACCTACACTCTTTGCTGACAGATAACGGAGAACCACATCCAGAGGTTGACATCTTCAAACTAGTCCGCAGCTCCTATGAGGTATTGAAGTTGAATTGTGATGAATGTTTAGAAATCTTTGTCTAATTTTGTCTGTTTGAATGCATCTAAACCTGCCTTAATCTGTTCTAGTCTTTAATACAAAATTGTCCCCTTATGTAAGCTTTCACCATATATGTTGCTGAAGGTGTGTATTTATTTCCATAAATGCCACTGGAATGTTCCTTTTTATTTCTTGACTCAGACATTTAAAAAAAAAAAGGAAACTTCACCAAAAACGTCATACTAATTGTGACAACTGAATGTCCTGTCTCTGTGTGCAGCTTGGTGGTATTGATTCAAAGAATTGTGTGATTTCAATACATTTTCTTTTGTTTGTTTGTTTGTTTTTCCACATTGCGTTACAGGGCAAATTAAATGCCCCATGACTGATCCGCCTTCACGTCATGCATCTTCAGTCATCTGCATTGTTTCTGATGTGATGGATTACTACTATGTCTAGGTTGACATACATTTCTCTTTTTTTTTTTGTTTTGCTTTTTCTTTGCATGTCAGAAATTTGGCACAATCCGTGCAGATGTGATTGAACAGATGCGTTTCAAACAGAGACTGAGGGTCATTCAAACCATTGAAGATACAACTAAACGGAATGTGGTAAGGACCCACCAAAGCCAGGCAGACGTATGGAGAGGAACAAGTTCGCATTAATGCATTTAATTGAGTAGTGTGGCTCAACCATAGTCGTACACAAGAGTAAAACAGCTTGCCAACTTGATTTTAGACTTCAACATTGAAGCAGACTTAACGATGTTCTCCACATTTTAAAGTCATCTGCTTTGCACAAATCGTAACACCTGGCTTGTCGGTCTCCCCTTTGTTGTTTCAGGTCAGAACTATTGTAACTGAGACAGCTTTCAGTATTGATGAGTTGGAGGAACTCTATGTCCTCTTTAAGGTAAGTTTAAAGACTATGAATTCACATTTGCTCTTTAGCTATTTTTTACTGAGTCTCAGTCGTGCTTAATAAACTTTTAAGAGAGAATTGTTCCTGTTCCATTGCTCCTTAGCAATAAACTTTAGGGATTTTTATGCCTAAGCCCCCCTCTTCCCTCCTTCAGACAGAGCACCTGACCAGCTGTTACTGGGGAGGCAGCAGCAACCCAACAGAGCGTCATGACCCCAGCCTGCCCTATCTGGAGCAGTACCGCATCGATGTGGAGCAGTTTAAGGGCCTGTTCAAGCTGCTGTTCCCCTGGGCCAATGGAGCCCACTCAGACCCACTGGCTGTGCGCTTCTTCCGTCTCCTGGATGAAAACGTAGATGCCCTCATCAACTTCCGTGAATTCATCAATGGTTTGGGTAAGCTGCAGAAGGGAAGTGAATTTGCTTTTGCTTGTCAATATTTAGCAACATCAACTTTTTTATTCATTTTTTATTGTGTTTCTTGCTATTTCAAATAATGATTTGTCTTTGTGAGGTTGTTAATCTGAAGCTTTGGTTTTGTAGGCGTTTTGTGTCATGGGGACCTTATCGAGAAGCTAAAGCTCCTTTACAAGATGCATGTCTTACCAGGTGAGTGTGTGTAGAAGCACATCAGTAATATCTGGACACTCCACATTTTAAAAAAACAAAAGACTCTTCAATGCATTTTAAATTGAACAAATGTATTTAAAGCAGATAACTATTGGGGGAAAAGGTGGTTTCTACAAAAGTTTCATTAATGTTACAAATGGCTCTTCATCTAAGTCTTATCTTTGCTGACATTAGAATGCAATTGTATTGTATAATCTTGCATAAAATGGGAAATGAGATGTCTTGAGACCTTTAGATTAAATAAACAGCTCTTAACAGAAACTAAATGTTATCTTGTGATTGTTTTCCCCAGAGATCTCTAATGAACAAGAGGAGCCCGACTCTGCCTTCGAAGCCACTCAGTACTTTTTTGAGGACATTGCACCTGAAACATCCATCAGTAAGAGCATAATCTTTCTTTTAGGATCTAACCGTGTGTGTCTGCATCAGATGCAATCTAGCTTTACTCCAAAATCCTAAAATAGAATGTTAGACATTAAACAAATGGTCAGTGTGTAAATCGTACACTACACAGCTCCAGTGTATGTCAGGGCAGTTCATTTTCACATTTCACACATGTACATGAAGTGGTACCATTTACAGCCTCAAAGCTTAGTCATTTTTGTCATGGTTTTGCATGATTGCGATCAGATTTTGTGGTCTTGTGATTTGCAAAGGGGGGATTTCGCTGTATAGACCATGAAACCTCAGACACTGCGTAACGCTTGCATTGACACACTGACAGTTATGCAAGCAGAATAATAATTATGTGCATTATTTAAATTTGCAGTGGGCCAACAGAAACCTTTGATGTTGGATATGTAAGGTGGAGATAAACTGCCAATCAAAAATAATGCATCATTAAATAGATAAAACCATGTGCTGTTAACTTGCATAGTTATAGAATAAAATCGAATTGGTGTCAGGCATAATTAGTGTAATATTTCAAATTCCGCAATATTTTTTGTCTTGATGATATGTGTATGTCTGCATGTGTGAGGACAGTGTTGGTATTGTCTTAAATTCTATACTGGAAAAGGTGGAATTCTTGGTACCTCATATAAAAACTGTACTGGATCTAGATAACTAAACCAACTTTGCATAGACTTTACATTCCTGATTATCTTATCCTAACAGGTCAGGACTCAAAGTACAGAAGTGAAAAAGATGATGGTTTTGTCAGAGTTACGTTCAAGACAGAAAAAGGTAAAAAATCAATTAATATTATCCATATAGGCACTAAAGATAATTGGTTGTAAACATACTTTCTATAAACATACTTGCCTAACAACAGATTTCTGTCACAGTCTACTTGATAGATTTCATTATAATAGTTTAGATGCACAAAGATCTGAAGACACTTTCCTGATCATATTCTGAAACGTGAAATTAGCTTCCGCTTTAAAAATTCTCTAAGCCTCTAAAACTCTGTTTATTAACCATTGCCTTTGTATGTCTTAAAGTGAAGAAACTGAACACTCCCGATTACCGTCATTACCTGAAGCTGTGGAGCCAGGAGAGCAAACCCAAACGAGAAAACGTAAAAGACTTCCCAAAGCTGAATCAGGTAAGTCTGATCTTCTACAGGGATTCGTATTAAGATTACAAGCGGGAGAATTGACTTTCTTCATCCCTTTGTCCCTCAGAGCCAGTTCATTGAGCTGTGCAAGACCCTCTACAGCATGTTCAGCGAGGATGTAGCAGAACAGGAGCTGTATCACGCCACGGCAACAGTTACCAGTCTGCTACTGGAAATGGGAGAAGTAGGGAAGCTCTTCTCCTCTTCAGGCAGAACGGATCACAACCAGGAGGACAAACCAGAGCTGAGCATGTGCCAGAGAGGCTTCCTGGATCTCAAACCTACCCAGGATGGACATGATCTTGAAGATGTTTTTGCCCCTGTTGGGCAGAAGAGCAAGGCGAGCCCTGATGATGAGGGGAAAGGGGGTGAAGGGAGCGAGCTGCTGCCCCCCATGCAAGACATTAAGCTGGAGGACTCCTCCCCTAAAGACACTGGCACCTCATCCGCCATGCTCATCTCGGACGATGAAACCAAAGACGACACCTCTGTGTCGTCGTACTCCGTGCTGAGCGCCGGCTCGCACGAGCTGGACGACAAGCTGCACTGCGAGGACATCTCAGACGACACGGTGCTGGTGCGCAGCGACCACTGCGCCAACCAGGAGAGGAGCGGGCGGCCCAGCGGCGGGAGCGCGCCCGACAGGGGGCTGCCCCACAGCACCAGCATAGACAAGGACTGGGCCATCACGTTCGAGCAGTTCCTGGCCTCAGTCCTCACCGAGCAGGCTCTGGTGCGTTACTTTGAGAAGCCCGTGGAGGTGGCCGCCCGCATCACCAACGCAAAGAACGTGCGGAAGGTGGGGCGCCCCCTACTGTCAACCAGTGACTATGAGATCTCGCTCTCCGGATGAGGTTTCGGAAAAGGATTTGTCAGGTTTTCCCAGGAGAGAAGGATAGTCAATCAGCTGCTTTTTTTTTGTTTGTTTTTTCAGAAGAATTAAGGTCAGTGTAAAAATGTGATTGTATAGTAGTCAAAGGAATGTGACCAAAACCACTTTAAGCAAAGCGTTTTATCAGAACTGAAAGACTTTTAACATAGCAATCAGTGGATTCTGTCCAGTGAAGATTGAACAGAACATTAATGTTTGATCTGCTCTGAAATTGGTGTGCACACGTAGTAGCTGTACTTTATGAGACATTAAGCATAGGTGTTAATATGGTAATCTCTCGTACTCCTAGGCTATGTAGATGTAAATGTCCACAGATACCGTGCGGTTCTATCCCATATCCCAGACTGGGATATTCATAGTCTATTGTGCATACGATAACTTATCTCTGCGTTTGGTCAAGCAGTCGCTTCCCTATTTTACGATTCCATTTGCTGCTAATTATTACTGTTTCAGTTTCCTATGAAAATATGCTAAATTGCGAAGAAAAGCTGGGGACATTCAGTGATAAATTTGAAATTATTTGATGCTGTGCAACTCTACAGACCACTTTAATTCAGAGGGACACTCGCACAATGTTGACCCTCTTGTTTTTTTTTTCTTGTCACATAACTGTGACTTTCTCCTTAAAAGAAAAGTTCTCTGTATTTACTTAACTTTTCATTTCCCAGTTAAATTTTTTTTTACTTTAACATCAGGTGAATATTATCTATCATGCTCTTCTCCTAAAGGAAAGCAATTCATGACCAGTTCTGGTGGACAAAAATTGTCCGAGCTGTTTCAAAAGCCTAAAGGAGAAAATGACACTAAAATGCTGTTAAGAGCCTGCACCTTCTTTATAGTTACACCATGAAGTGATTCACTAATACACATTCACTTGCCTTTTGCCAAGATTTTATTGTTTGCTCTCCAAATGTTTTTTTTAAACATTTTTGTTCAATACATTTTTATCTTTTTTTCATTTAGTTGTTTTATGTGACTACATTGAATTGTTGATTTTGGTGCATTATGTATCACTCCATCTTATTAAAACTACAGTGTCACTAATGTAGTGTTGTCCTCAGGCCTTTTATTCACGACATCATTAATCTACAGGAAGACCGAGGACACGCTGTGTGTCGCTGCCATCTGGTGGAGGAGATGGTAGTCCTATCTCCATTTAATTTAGTTTGTTGCACTCTTTCACAGAAGCACATGTGCGGTCTGGTTTTAAATTTAAATGGCTTTTTAGCTCACTTAAAGCATGATTTGGGATAAAACAGAGCACCTCTCTCCCTGGCAGGTTTTGTGTTACTTACTCCATCTGATTTATTTGGAATATTTTTTAAAGTGTTTTTGTTAATTTAAAGCTTTTGTTAATGCAACTTTTGTAATTTTATTATTTGTTCTTACTTTCATTGAAACTGTTTTTACACACGTATTATAATCTGCCTTCTGTTCACTAACCAACTCCATTGTGCTAACAATAAAAATTAAACTAGAGTTTTATTCCTGCACCATATTGAAAAATGGTGAAATATTCATTTATCACTGTAAACACTTGATGAGCTGTACCTTAAATCGCCCTTCCAGAAGCTGTTTCTTTTATCATCATTTTCGATTACAGCACATAGAACCCAACAAGAGTCATTCATAGAAGCAAGAAGATGAACAGAAAGATTTCTCTGTTATCTTTCTGTTAATCTTAGTCCAGAGAAGACAACAGTGTTAAGTGGCTTCTTTACTATGTAATAATTTCTTCAGATAATCATCTTCAGAAAACAATGAAACTGGATTAAATGGGGAAAATGGTTTTCCAAAGTATTCTTGTGGCCATGAGAGTATTTAGCTAAAAGTATATGTACAAAAAACCCCACTGGCACTGGTGCTTTTAATCTTTAAAACATGGTTATTTGTGTAGTTTCAAGGCCACAAGTGGTTTCATCTGGTAGAAACCGGCCTGCAAAAGGGGCTTGAGCAAGAAAAAAAAGGCAAATTCTGCATATTTTCCGAAAAGTTCTGAAAAAATAAAATTATGTAATTTGCAGGGATAATGAAACGACAAAGGTAAATTCAAGAAAATGATATTAATTTATATCTAATATTTATTAACATTTAGTTTAATATTTTATTCAAATACTAAGATTGTTGCACCTATTAAATACTGCCTTGAATTTTTTTTCTGCAATCAAATGTCACTTTTTAATAATACATAAATCCCTCAAGATAAAAAAAACAGTTGCTATTTAAAAATCTTTTAAGAAAATGATGGGGCTCTCATCAAGATGCCAAGCTGATATGGGGAAATTTTTAATTATCAGGAAGCATCATGAAAATTCTGCAAATGATTATTCATATTTAGTCAATTGTTCTTTTTGTCTAATGTGTAATAGTAGAGCTTTGCAGCAAAATGCACTTTAAACCTAATTTACTGTCTTTTTTTCTCTGAAAGGCCAAACACACTGGGGATGTGGTCATGGTTAACCAATTGCAGCTCAGTGAAGTTCCCTCACAGCAGAAAAGACAAGCCCTCTCCTCAGAAACAAGACGGACCTATCAGTCATTTAACCATCAGAATTTATATTCATCAGAATAAATAAATTAACTGTTATTTCAACCTCTTCTAGGCTTCAGACAAAAAAATAAATTCTGTATGAGAAAAACAACAGATGAACAAGTAACTATCAATGATAACGGGAAAGAAAAACTGAGAAACAATAAGTTGGATAATCTTTTGTTCTGACACAGTTGCAGTCCTCAGGACAGTTTATCTCCTTTAAATATTATTTTGCATCATTGTGCTTTCTATTTCATCACATTTTCATGCACTGACAAAGATCAACACAACTTTCCAGGGCTTACCTCCACAACACCGTAAGTTCCTCTCTGTACTAAAGACCTTTGAGCAAAAAAAGAAGTTAAACTTTGGATGTGATGTTTTAGAGGGTTTGAACTCCACCTTTTATAAAGGAAATCTGGTAAGTTTGAAAGCATTTACCCCTATATGAGTTTAATACATGCTTATAATACAAATACAAAAAAAAAACTGTTCATTTAAAATTATCTCTTCAATGTTTTAGTGTGAGTGTGAATGCCAGGCTGTTGGACTGCGTGAGTAAATCTTCAGTTGTATGGGAATTCCTGCAAGTTTCTCTCTTTTTTTTTTTTCTTCCACGCTGTCCTTTGCATTTCCCTTTCAAGTGACCTCAGAGGCTACTTTCTAACATTATGAAACAGGCTCAGGTTCTGTCAGACTGCTGAGAAAGGCCAAAGAGATTGTGACGCAAAGCTCTTATCTGCCTCACGCTGAACTTCAGCCACCAGTTCACGTCACAGCTGTCCCAGCTCTGTTTCCCCACAGCTCCACTTTCACAAAATGTGAAAGGTTAATAGATATAAACGAAACAGAGGACACGATCGGTGTCAACAAGAAACTGAGACTATATTGTACTGTATCATAGGGTGAATATGTGGTGAAACCTGGCTATAAAGTCTGTGGCACCAGCTCCGAACCCTGTTGTTTTTCACTCGTGCGCTGTCATTGGCTGAAAGCACAGACAAGCCCCCGGTGGAATCATCTGATGGATCTGATATCACCCACAATCAGGGCAGACGCTGGGTCTAATAAAATAGATCATTACCTGGCATTTGACAGATGCAGAAGTTTTGCATTTGTCATACTGACAATAAGAATTAAACACACTGTTGGTTTTATCTGAAGATGGAAAAATTCTCTAAATAAAAGTGAATTTGATAAAGAAAGAATCTCAGATACACAGAATGTGTGAGAGTTTTCAACATAGCAGATCGTGGAGGAGAAGTGGTTGTTTTTCTGGAGAGTGTCTGCACTGGGAAATAAATTGAACATTGACTATCTGACCGTCAATGGACTTTGATTGGAGTCGGTGTATGGAAGCACACAGTAACGCCTCTCTGTGGATGTCATAAAAAAAAGGGCAGTCAGAAAAAATATATAAATACTGGGTGAAAGATGCTTCTTTCCTTCCCGTGCAGCTGGGCCCTTCATGGATTACTGACCATCCAGTTAATACCTACCTGGTAACAAATAACCGAGGAGCAAAAGGACTTTGAAAACTCAATCTGAATAATGTAAGTGTGCGAGTTTTAATTTTTTAATCTCTATTATCAGTTCAAACAGTGCACTGAGACTGAATGACAAAGAGGCTTGATTGACAAAGAAGTTTATTATGTTGTGTTTTTTTTTTTTTAGAAAGACTAATCCACCGTGTGTTTTTTTTTGTATGTTGGTGCACATCTTTGCACAGTGGCTGGAAACATGGTAGGACTTAAACCCTCAGACGTTCCCCCTCCACTGGGGGTGAAGATGGCGAGTGCTGGTGCTGCAGCCTGTATAGCTGATCTTGTCACATTCCCACTGGACACAGCCAAAGTCAGACTACAGGTACCCGTGGCAGCCCTCTGTGTGTTAACCCTGATACAGTGCGCGGTTTCAGAGCAGTTTTAACCACAAGCTGTACGTGTGTCCCCAGATTCAAGGCGAGAAGAGCGCGGTGGAGGGAATCCGCTACAGGGGGGTGTTCGGGACAATCAGCACCATGGTGCGAACGGAAGGGCCGCGGTCTCTGTACAACGGGCTGGTGGCCGGGCTGCAGAGGCAGCTGTGCTTTGCCTCCATCAGAATAGGCCTCTACGACAACGTCAAAAGCTTCTACACCGGTGGCAAAGATAGTAAGTGGTTCAAACAGGCAGCGCACAGAGATACCCAAGTGTGACACAGAAAAAAACGTAGACGGAAGAGGCTTGCTAGCTCACACCAGTCCTGTCTGGGTAGCTGTGGATAAATAAGATAGGGCTCTCAAAGGTTTTTTTTAGTATCAGTTGCACTGTTCCTAGAAACTAAATTCAGATAAGGACAAACTCCACCACCCCTTCAATAACAGGGATCTACACCTGATAACTAATACAGTAGCTTTGTTCCTCCAGACCCCAGCGTGTTGATACGGATCCTGGCCGGCTGCACGACGGGGGCAATGGCAGTGTCATTTGCTCAACCCACCGACGTGGTTAAGGTCAGATTCCAAGCCCAGATGAATCTCGACGGTGTGGCTCGTCGCTACACCGGAACAATACAAGCCTACAAGCACATCTTCCAGAACGAGGGCCTACGAGGACTCTGGAAAGGTGCCCTTTGAGTCTCGGATATGAAAAAAAACAAAAACATGAAATCAATCTTAAATCAAAACCCTTTTCAATCTCATACCAAGTGTATGAACTTGTCCTCCAGGAACGCTACCCAACATCACAAGAAACGCGCTGGTCAACTGCACGGAGCTGGTCACGTACGACCTGATCAAAGAGGCCATCCTTGGGAACAACCTGATGTCGGGTATGGGCGGCAGCACTGATTGGGCGAAACCCCACCACACCCACCTACCTCTCACACTCCTCCACAGCTGATAACAGCACGCACAGCTGACTCAGTACAGAACATTTTGTCTTTTTTTCCCCCCTTCATAGTGCTGTAAAGACTGTAGTGATAGGAGCTTTATGATAGGACATCTTTCGTATCACCTCGTTCACAACAATGAACCATAAGCACATGGCTGATCCTTTTATGTGACTCTCCACAGACAACCTGCCATGCCACTTTGTGTCTGCGTTTGGTGCTGGCTTCGTCACCACGGTGATCGCTTCCCCAGTCGACGTGGTGAAAACTAGATATATGAACTCTCCCCCAGGCCAGTACAAGAGTGCCATCAACTGCGCCTGGACCATGATGACCAAAGAGGGACCAACAGCTTTCTATAAAGGGTATGTTTTTTCCCCCTGTGACTAAATACTTCCTGACTTAACACCTGTTGTATACAAAATCTTGCTTTCCTACTAAACTCCTGATCTCTTTTTGTGTGTGTGTCTTTTGTGTGCAGATTCGTGCCCTCGTTTCTGAGACTGGGATCATGGAATGTCGTCATGTTCGTCACATTTGAGCAAATCAAGAGGGGCATGATGGTCACAAAGAAAAGGCTTGAAACATCAAACTGAACATTTGTTTTTGTATAAAATCGTGAAACCAGCAGTGCGTTGGAGCCTCATTGAGGAACAGTAGTATCTGTTCTCTTTATGGTTTTCAACAATCTTTTTCCAGGCGGCAACAAACGAGACAGCTGCAAGAAACAACGTGTTTAACAGCGTGTGTTTGAGAAGACACAGTTCATCTGTTTTCAGAATTCATCACAATGAGCCAGATACAGTAATTGTGGGGGAGAATGGCTTAAGTACAAGTTGAATTTGTACTTTATCCCTGGAAATCTGAATAAGCCGGTTATGCGTGTCAGGCAGCTTAAAGCAGTGCTCACAAGTGTGTGAAAAATGACATTTGTAACTATAATTAAGTCTGTTTCTGTAGATCCTAAATATATTTGACTTGTTTTACAGATGCTGGTCCCGTTTGTTTGACTTTCATTTTGACATGCACCTATAAAAAAAAAAGCCACCTCCACTCAAATGGTCATTTATTAACTTCTAGCAAGATGTGAGAACTATTTCAAACTTCAAACCGTCTCAGCAAATATCACATAAAAATAACAGGTAATAAAAATTCTGTCAGGCCTTGAGACATACAAAATCATGAAAATTCGGAGGGCGGGGGGTTACGACCACACTGTGTTTCACTTTACGTATACAAAAGAAAAGATTAACGACATGGTCTGAGGCATATTACACCGTGCACAGCGTGGGAGCGCAAGATGAGAGAACCACACAGGAGCGTCAGAGACGTAACGTATTCTTTACATGAAGTTTCAGCTCTGAACATAAATATCATATTCCTGAGCAGGGAATCTGGGAGTAGACAGAGGCTTTAAATACAACAACACAGCTATTCGCCGCCATTGTTCGGAAAACATTTGATCATTCAAAGTGCTTAAAGCCAAAGGACTCGTCATCCTCCTGAGTCCTCAGCAGCCACTCTCTTTTCTCCGTCGCAAACTGTTCAACCGCTGGAATGGTTATCTTTGAGGTAAAAGGGAGTTAGACTTGTGCTCTAAGTGGAAAACCCTCACTCTTAGCCGTGTTAAGGAGGTGTAAGCGTCACTAATGAGTTGCTAAACTGAATAAATGCACATTTGTTGGTAGGTTTCGACGTCCGTCGTCGCTCCTGCTGATCATTGGTGCTTCCTTTCATGATAATGCAGGCAGTGAGGAGGTCACGGGTTACTTGTTAAAACACATTAATTAGAACTGGTCAGTCTGAGACACACGCTGGGGTCCTGTAGATGAGTCTTGACTACGTTATGGAACTTTTCTCTGTACTGGTTAAACTCCATGATGCTCTCTGGTTCCTCAGCCACCCAGAATTTATCAAACTCATATGCCAGGTAGCCTAGAGGAGGAAAAGGATATACTGTTGACAATTCCATGAGGAGTATAAGAAAATTAGAAGGCTAGTTTGAGTTTGTGACTCACAGTAGAGCTGATGAAAGTGCGTGAGCTCGGGGGCACCCTGGACTGCGTTGTAGAAGTGTGGTTTGAGAGCACCGGTCTTCAGCAGGCTGTAGGCCATCTCCGTCAGGTTGATACCCACTATGGCGTATGAATACCTGAAATAAATAGGCTTCACACTCAGGTGCATGCTTAGAGAGATTTTTGACACAACTACAGTGCAAACTCACATGCGTGGTGTGGGTTTCTTACCCTAGTTTAGGGTGGTTTGCATGAGACAACACCTGACGAGCTTCTGCTGTGTAGTTTTCACTAAAAAACCTGCATAAGAAACATAATCAGAGACCACCATAACTTATTAAACTCTGGAAATCTCTTTTACTTACATCATCTACCATTTTATAGAGTAAGGGGTTGTTAACAATACAGGGTGCTTAACTTTGGCTCTGAGCTGTAAACATACATAAGTGACGTTCCCCTAGCTCAAAGAGAGGGATTTGTGTTGTTACAGTAGAATGAAAATGGCTTAATAATTACACATACATGTTGATAAACATAGAGCTTACAGTACAACTGTACATGAAGCTGTTTCCCACACTGCCACAGGGATTAGACAGCCTGCAGTGTTTTCTGATTTTATGATCAGACCTCTTGCATTAGGCTAAAGATGAACTCCATCCATCCATCCATCTTCTGCTCATCTACGATCAGGGGTCCAGACTTCTCTCTCCCTGGCTACATCTCTACACTGACCACTGTTGCCTGTAATACTGCACCCGACCCCTATGGCTGAACTGGGTCAGTATATACTGTATGTTATCATATGAATTATCAGACCAACCATATGAACTTTACAGCCCAAAAACTCAAAAGAAAGTATATAAAAGTATATAAACACTGCAGAATTATGGGAAAAATATAAAAAAATGTACAACTGAATACTTTTCTTTAATATAAAGGGATTGTCCAGTTTATAACTAATTAAATGTGTATCAACGTTTCCTATTTAACATCATTCTGACCAGCGTGATTTTTCGGTGTCATGAATTAGTAATAAGCTTAATAATTTTGCACTTAGAACTCACACAAGGTTGATAAGGCCCAGCAGGCCCATCCCTCTGAAGTCAGTCTTGGGGTCATCTCCTTGGAATCCAATGTCCCCCCACTGCTTGGTTATTCTGGACTCAAGTTTGACTTCTGGCATCAGCAGATCCCAGAGCTGAAAGAGCAAATCATTTCAGAACATATTACGATCTTTTGAGCATATTTGCACGAACATTAAAAAGTTATGTGTGCACCTTAAAAAGCATGGCCTCGTGCTGAGGGTCCTCAGAGAGGAAGACTTCCTTTCTCAAGTCTTCTACAGATGTATACAAGCTGCTATACCCTGTTATCTGGAGCAGGCAGATATGAAGGCTCCCCTTAAACCTAAAAAAGAAGACCAGTCAGTCACAAATAAATAAAAGTGACCATCAATTTTAAGGTACAATAAAATAATCTTACATGGGATCTATTTGGGCTTTGACATGCTTCTCCTTCATAATTTGATCCACACATTGCTCTAAATGATCCTTGCTGCTTTCCAAGGCGCCTCTTAAAACCTGCAGAAGAATAAACATCAGAATTGTTCCCAATTATTAAAATTAATCAGAAAGGCATTAGACAGGAAAACAGACACCTTTGCTGCATTCATTATCAACAGCCAGACAGAACAAAGTTGACCCCAATCACAGGACAAGGTGAATAACAACTTTGACTGATCGCTGACTTTTGATCACAAAGTGCTTACCAAGCTATGGCTGTAAAATGGCATGTAGGGTAAAATTATCTAAACTTGGCAAGTGTAGTGAAAGATAACGGCTGATCAAGCTCTGAAGATATGATGTTTAAGTTCAGACATGTGTCGGTCTATATAAGATAAGAGGTCAGTTTAAAATGTCTGAACAAGCAGAGTGTAATCTGAATTTTGTTCAAGTTCCGTTACTTTTTATGACTTATTTAAGATTGTTAAACAAGTGCTAATAATTAGCCAGTAATTGCACTTGAATGCAATTTTTTAGAGCAAAGAAGTTTCACATATTTGCAGCTAATGAGCAAAAGAAAGAGCTATTTCTGCCAAACACCAGAGAAAATGCTGATCTGCTACATGAATGCACCAGAAGATTCTGATAAAAAATGTATAAAATAACTGAAAAGCACATCAAAATGTGACAGGAAGTAATCAGTAAATCAAAGGACAATAGCTGAATCTGTTACATAAAGTAGATCGTAGCAGGGATGTATTAAATGGAGGTTCAGCATGAAGCTGGAAATTCTTCTTTAAAGAAGGCCAAAAGTTGAATAATCATTAAATTGTCGAGCAGAACATCTGAACATTCTTTTAGAAATATATATCAAGAGACAAAACCATATGGGCAGCTTTGACATTTTCTTACCTTGTTCTTAGATGAGCGAAGAGAGTATTCTACAAGAAGAAGAAGAAGAAGAAGAAACATTTGCATAAAAGAGTACACGCACATTAAGAACCAGTGTAAAAGAGAACAGTCTATTACCTGCTTTGGTGGTTCTTGATGCACCTGGCTTGTATCCAGAGCATATCCTCTGCAGCTCACACTTCCCTGTGGCCTGTCTGAGGAGCCATTTCAGCCAGTATCTCAAGAAGGAGGTATAGATGTACTGCCAGATATACCCAAGCATCTCTAAAACAAAATGACAGTTAGATACCAATTTAATTTATAACATTGTAATCTTGACATGTCAATCTGTTTTAACTATGGATCGCTCTTCCTGGTTCTATACGTCACACATCGTTTCCAGGTAGGTCCCAGAGGTTAACATAAATGTGTGGGCTCTGTTAGTGTCTACAGTATAACTGAAGATTATTCTATACTGAACCACAACATATTCCATATCAAGGTGATTTTCACTGTCTGTGTTACATGCACAAACTGCAACCCATCTATTTCTTTCTTTCTTTTTTAATACCATATAATATTAAGTTGCAAGACAGCTTCACCAGCTTGGTCAAAGTCTAATCTAATTAATAAAGCACATATAAAAGCAGCTAAGCTGACAACCAACTCTTTTTTATTGGAAGATTCAGTTTTATGGTAAACATCCTGTCATCCTTATTAAAACACAAAATGTAGCTTTCTCCTTCATGTAGTGGAGGATGAGATCACAAAGCAGATTACAACAACGCATGCGTCTCCACAGGATCATAAACGCTGGGTTTAGCGAGTAGTGTAATGTTAGCAGAGGGATACATGCTTCTTATAGTGTTTTATTTTTGTCTGTGCCACATCAACAATGGCCACCGAGACAAAACCCCGGTGTCTATCTCTGAGTGTCAGAGTGGGTGACAACCTGATGAAACACTATGAAATGCAAGCACAAAACCAGACATCAGAGGGTCGCCCCGTCTTCGGTGAAAAAGGGACAGATCCACACTGCCAGAGCCAACTCACAGGCATTTTGGCTGCTAGCACGAATGCTAATGCTAAGCGAGCATAAAATGCGGCTAATGTGTCAAGTTACATTTATTCAGCGAGCATAGAGGTTCTTATCCTAACGATGCAGAATAATGTTCAGCTAACTGTTAGTTGGCTACCTCCAAATGTATTTCCCTTAGTAGACTAGCTTTAAAACTCTTAAATGACAGTTCAAACAACAGGTTGTCTTTGTTATTAACCTGTTAGCAAGCTAAATTATCAATAAAACAACATCGTAAGCGTATTATGTGGCGGCATTTACGACTAAAAAGTACTAGATGTTAGCCTTACTGTTCTGTCGCTGGGAAAAATATTGGCAAACCCAAACGCTTATCTTTGAAGCTGTGCTGTGTAGGAAAGGGTTAGCAACGTTTCTATTGACAACAGCTCTGGCTGTGATGCGTTTAGGTTCAGACCAAAATATGAACTCTCCCAAAACCATACAGACACAAAACTACCTTTTAGTAAATTTCATGTTTTTTCATCATAAATATGTTTTATTAAATATATTTGGTGAGCATCACTTGTTAGCAAGCTGGCACACACCGGCAAAATCTAGCTCAAGTTACGAATACTCTGAATGACACGATGTCTTTAAACATGACATGTCTTTACTTTCAATCACGTTGTTACGGCGCCATCTAGCGTTTGAATGGCACTGAAACCACACTGAAAACACATTATATGTTGCTAAATGAATATTCACTCAGTTGGCATCAGGAAACAAAATATATTTCTGTGGTTGTTTGTCACTTATCATATGTTTAACACATCTGTGCCCAGGGGTCACATTTTTTACTGTCTGTGAGGGGAAAATGACCATGTGTTTTAAGCTTTAGATGTCGCCTATGAATTTTAGTTTCAAAATGATATGCCGGCCATATAAGCTTAGAATAAAAGAACCAAAGCCAAATTATTGCCTTTCCAAAGGTAACCACTAGATAATGCAATGCTAGCAGCATGACACTGTATGGTTGATTTAGTTCATTTCAAATCTCCCAGAGAGCTGTTTATTAAAACAGACCAGTGATATCATGCAGCTAATTTTGGATATTAAACCTGCATTTATTCAATTTTATGTAATTTAATGTTGATTACTATTTCTAAATGGAGACAAGACGCAACATAGGACATTCCTATTTCTTTCCAGACCGCAATCTTACAAACCTGGAGCAGCAATCTGGCTCATGCATGCGTCTAATCCTGAGATGCAAACCACCAGTGCACTCAACTTTAATTAAGTCACAGTCCACCCTTACACATAATCAGCCCCCCCTGGGCTTCCACTGTAGGTCTATCCCATACAATTACTGCAACCCAAGAGGAAGTCCTGTGCAAGACCAAGGCTCTAAGTGGAGCTTGAGGCTAGTAAACACTTAGTTTGTCATAATATTCTGAGAGATTATTTTATGGTGAGCTAGGGAGTTCCCTGTGATGTCACTATTTCATTGCATACTGAGTTTTTAAAATTTTTTTGGGCATTTATGGCCATGTAATGTGTGTTTTGACCCTGGACTGGAAAATATCACTATAGAAATAATGTGTCTAAATGACCTGAGTCAGCTAAACATCATCTTTAAAACAGTAACACATGTAATCACACCAAGAATAATGTTCAGAATGTACCCAGCAATAAAATTAACCAAACAACCGCTCAGCACCTTGAAACGCGTTCTTCATAATGTTAAAGAACACCGTGTCTTCCAGAAAGGTAACCTGCAAGTCTCAAAATATCCACAGTAACAAAAAAAAAGAATGCATATTTGTATCCATCAATGATAGGAACATCTGAGTAAATCCTCCCCTTGTGAAATTCTAGCTTTCCTTAGGATACAGCGCCAGGATCGTAAAGTAATCAATTCAAAGTGCAATTGACCCTCCAGTGGATGCCTGCGGCTGTCACAATTCCACTCTGCCATTCATCCATTCATCTGCAGCGCCGCTGCCTGCATGGGCCACTTCATCACTCTGGATAGTGTAAACCATGCCGCTTATTCAACGGTTCTCTCTCTCCGTGAGCTTGAGCCATCGGCAACAAAGAGCTCAGAGGGGACACGCATCGGTCTGTCGGAGGTGACTCATTGCGCACGGTCCGTCAGTTAGGGGACTTGAATTTTACGCTCGCTTGTGAGGATCGATACCTCTCAGACTCATATTCTGGTGGAAGGCGTGGTCTGGTGTCACCGACACAGGGTTGAATTTTCCATATTCATTCCCCGGGTTTTGCCTCATCTCTGACACACGGACGTGCAAACGGCACACAGCGGCTCAAGATATCAAGGTAATTTTGTCCCCGTTATTTGTCAGCCCTCGATTTAATTGCTCTAAATCTTTTAATGTTCCTGCAAGGTCAAATCGAAGATGTAAATATCTGCTGCTTGCTTTTGGTGTATTGGGATGGAGCAGGAGACCACAGGCATGACACAGATCTTAATTGGCCTGAATATGTTGAGTGCATCACCTGAATGCAGGCAACGTTTTGCATTAATTTACTTTGTGCATGCACTTTCTCCCCTCTTTCTGCCATTTTCAAAGTGCTGCAAGCAAAGGAAACCCCTAAAACAGACGTTTCAATGTCGAATATGAAAAGGCAGGAGGTTCTTTCTTTGAAAATGTGCTTTTAGACACGCGTATGCACGGTGGCACAGAATGGCTAAACCTGTCAATGACCCAAACCACTTACCAATTATTTAGTTTTTATAGCCACCCAGGTAAATAATGCTTACTGGTTCCTAAATACTGAGCATTGGTATCTCTCCATCTGAATATGGATTATGCTGTGTTAGAAAGCACAACTGGGTGTAATATTAATTTGACTGAATATGACTGCCTGTGCATGACTGGTGCAGAATGTTGAAATGACACTGGAAGGCTGTGTCACTCTGATTCCACCCTTTTTATGAATCAATTCATTTAGTCTGACTCCAGTGGATTACATATGTTAGATGCCTGCAGAATAATGGTTCCTCACTTTTTTAAAAATGACTTAATGGTTTGACACATTAAGGAGAGATTGAGCCCTTCACCAGGACTTAAAGTGATCAAATATGAATGTGGGCTAAAAAAAAAAAAATTAGACCAAGTTGTAAGATCTACAGGCATCTTGACACAAAGTATTTTTTTTCTTTGAAAAACGCTACTGGAGCATGGGCTCCATTTTTAGTGTGGACTTTCCACTAAAATGCATTTTGCAAGATTGTACTAAAAAAGATATTGATGCGATCTTTTTGTATTCTTTTATTTAATTCTCTTAATATATAAAAAATGATCGGGAGATTCCTGTTGCGATTGGTTAATTAAATCTGAGGATTTCAAATTAGTTTGACATCTGTCACAACGATTAACATTCAGTTAAACTGAGTCAATACCGTGCTACTACAGGCTGCTCACTGAGTTTTATCTGTTGCAAAACTCATTAAATTACATATTTATCATTCCAAGAATAATACTGATGTATGAATAGTCAATATGCTGCTTGGCAGGATAGGATGTAGACTCTTTCAAGGATTTACTGAAACACCTCTAAATGAGAAACTTTGTTTTATCAAAATTATCTCCTAACTCTTCGCACAGTTGTGCTTTTTTATGCCAACATGCTGTACTTTGTTCATTTAACTCATTGGCTAGTATTCTTTGCTTTGATTTTCTGAGACACTCCATTTTAGATATTCTATAAGAAATACCAAGTATTACTTAAATAAAGTCTGGCATTTATTGATTAAAATGATGCTGGTAGTCACAGGTGCTTAAAGAAAAAACTTTTTTTGATGTTACTCTTTCTGTACACAAAGCCAGTATAACGTGATATGTGATATATAACATGTAACATCTGATCTGTGTATATTCATCTTGTTTATGGTATGAAAAGTTTAACATTGTCAAATCAAACTAAATACATTTCATCTTTCTTCCCTTAAGGATTTGCATAAAGCGACATCTCTGTACATCTTTGGAATTCAACTATATAAAAGACAAAAACTGTGAATTCGGCATGGGAACTAACCCAAAAAGGACAGTGACAGTCCAAATGGTGCCTCAGCTGGCTGGGGTGGATTCACTCGGAAATAAGGAGACTAATGCCAACTGGGGCACCGAGTCCCACCTCAAAGTCTCTCAGGTCTGTCCAAAGATGTTACCCACATCTCCAGACACACAGGATAACCAATCTTCTACCACGGCTCCCGCCAAGGCCATCCAACATGTCCAGAAAACAGCCTCCAAGGGAGGTGAACCAGTTAACAGTGCTGTCTCTGAAAAAACGCCACCAGACAATGGAAGCCAGACAAAGTCTGAGCCTGTCACGGTAGGAGAACAGTACTTGTTGAAGCTGTCACCAACAGACCCAAATGTGATCGAGACAGGGAGCGATCAGAGGGATTCTAATGCAAATATGAAAACGGTGTCTCCAGCAAGAGGAAAGGATGTGTGTGAGGCCAGTCTGCCTGCTGTTAAAGCCTCCAAGATCGACACGAGTATCAATGATTGCAGAATTAAAGGGTCAAGTGGGCCAGAAGAGCACACACCACTGAAATCCTTAGCCGCTGCGCAAGAAATCAGTGATAAACACGTATCCCCGAATAACAAAAACCGTAACACTGCCAATGAGACAAAGGATTTGGAATCTGAATCTCATCGAGACATCAAAGGGAGTAATTCAGCTCCAATTAAGGATTGTGCTGTGTCACAGAACACTGACGAGTCGGATCATTTACAAAGCTGCTCATCGAGCTCTGTCATAAAATCTGAACAAAGCATGGAAACTTTACCCTCCCTCACTTCCACAAAACATCCATCTATAGGTAAAGAGGCAGAGGCTAGGTCTGCGAATGAGAATTTGTGTTCAGCACAGCGAGAGAAGAATTTTCCACCAGCAGAGAGATCACCAGCCTCTTCAGATAAACATCAGCCTGTGTGTCCACAGGACTCCTCCGTTCCACCCCAGGCCACACAAAACATGCCAACATGCAGGCATGTGGCTCAGGCAACCAGCCAGACTACTGCAGCTGTCTCTGCAGCAGATCAGGGCCACAAAATCTACAGGGAGGCTTCGACTATGACCTCATCCCCATCATCGGCCCCAGTCAAGCATTGTCGTGATATGGAGGTTCAGGCCAGAGCGGACACGTCCAGTAAGGCCGTGGCCACCAGTCCGAGTCTTCTGCAACCCCCTACGACTCACAGGCCAAACAGTGGTGCAGGCCTCCGGGAGGACGCGCAGATCATGGCTGTCGTCTACCAGGCTAATGACGGCGTGGGCGTCCATCAGATGTACACAACCTCCCTATCTTCAACCACCGATCATATCTCAGAGAGATTCACAGTGGAGGCTGAGATGTGTCCCAACCAAAACTCCGCTGCAAATTCAGACAGTTCCTCCCAGTCGTTCGAGTCCCGGCTAGGAGCCAAGCCTAAAGAAACAGGATCGGCTTTGTGCAACATTCAGCCAGTTTATCAAATCAGCATCGAGCACAGTAACAGCAAGATGCGAGGGGATGCAAGCGACTCGCTGAATAATAGTGGAGTTCAGACAACGGGGGGAAAAACTGCTCCTTCTCCGAGAGCAGGGACACCCCCAGGGACAGCCGAGGCTGCTCCCAAGACTGTATCTGCTGACAGAAACAATGCTGGGCTGTCACAAGCTGCTGTTACAGCAAAGGCCAAGCAGGCCGTACCCACAACAACAGCCCACACCGCAACCAAACCAGATCCGACTAAAGATAAGGCCCCGGCGAAGGAGACGGATTCCGAACACAAGAGAAAATCCAGCAGGAACGACGAGGACGATGACCCGTCAGACAAGCAGAAAGGGAAAGGTGTTCATGATGTCGTCTGGGATGAACAGGGGATGACATGGGAGGTCTACGGGGCTTCTGTGGACCCCGAATCCCTGGGTTTTGCCATTCAGAGCCACCTGCAGTGTAAAATCAAGGAGCAAGAGAAGAAACTGATAGCGCAGACCTCCTTCAGAAAGTCAATCTCTGCTGCTGATTCGCCGCAACATGATAAAAAGAACAAAAGGAGGCAGCAGAACATTTTCAGGTCAATGATCCAAAATGTCAGGCGACCCAACTGCTGTGTGCGTCCGCCTCCCTCCGCTGTCCTCGAGTAGCACAGTACAGAGGTAGCCAATGACAGATTCCTCCCTTTTCCTAGAGGTCACAATGTTCGTCCTCCCCTCATCATGGTTGCAATGCCAAGTGAAACATTAAAGGGGCTTCTTTCCCTGCAAGTAAGTATACTGGAATGTTGTAGCATAAAGAATCAAAATACTTGTGATTTTTTGTGATAAAAAAAGATAGAATAGAGGATCATAAAATGAAAACTTCAACACATATTTTATAGAAATATATGTTATCAAAATGGGGGGAAAAAGGTTTATAATAAAGGCAATAAAGGTAAAATGCATGTATCCTAGTTTCAAAGATCGTTGTATGAGTTAAAGTCCAGAGTGTCATTGTAAAAGGAGCTTATCATGAGGTAGAGCGATCATCGACTGTCAGAAAAACAAGCTGACATCCCATTTGTTGCATTTGTTATAAGTTTTCAAATTGTTTTAGCCACCCTATTTATAAGATTGCAGTTTTTTTCATGTATTAATTTATTTTCAGTGTGTTTTTAAAAAAGAGGGACTGTGTGCACTGGTAAATGTGCTGTTTAATCTCTGTTAAGCGTTGTTTTTTTATTAAAACTTAAGAAAAACTATTCATGACTTTCACATATTTTTATGTCTGACATTGGAATTTCGGATCAATTCAGATCAATTCTCTGTTCTAGTAATTAAGTCAGAAGGGGGTGATGAAGTTCATGAAAAAAGAATCAGTTTAAAAAAGAATCCATGCGAGAAACTAAAGAAGCAACAAGCAATAGACGCTCAGTGTTTACACGTGAGTCTTCGAGCAGAAGCAGACTACTTGAACGAGTCAAATGAGGCTCATGGGACTAGTGTAATAGGGAAGCGATGTGCATTGGCAATTTTTTATAGCTTTATGAATAAATTAGATACAATGTCCACCACATCTTCCTGTTAGAGATGCCAATCCCAACTTTTCATTCTAAATTCAAGGACTAGAATAACTGCTGCCAGAAATAACATTTTACAACAGACTGATAACCAGAGGAAAATTGTAACACAGAAAAGAAATAGTCACAAAAACAAGAGTATTGGTTTTGTCCATGCACATTCCATCTCTGATGTTTTCTTATGCAACTGGCCTTACAGAAAAACTACTGAGGAACACAGTGTAGCCGTTATAAGGAATAATGGTTGCATTATCTTTAAAAGGTCATGGACTTTAAATTTCAAATCCTGTCTGATAAGCTAAAAGAAGTAACTTTAAATGACCATACATTGATTTAGTAAAAACTATTCTCAGCTCATTTTGTTAGGCTTTTTTGCATATCTTTAACTCTCTTTGGTCAAATAGATATTGTCTTGAAATAGCATGTAATTAAGATCACATGTCGAGTCCAGGTCACATATCAGTTTTGCACAGCCATACATGGCATTGGGTATATTCTGTTAAGCTTTCAGTTATGCATACCAGTAGATTCACATAATCATTGCAATGATATATTGCTATGAAAATATTATGATCAATTATAAGTTTATAATACTCATCCATCATGGTTGGTTCAAACACTTTTCATGCATACCCAGCGACACATTAGCCAACTAACAGAATGGCATAAAAACAGACAGCAGGGCCATTTAATAGAACACAGAGTCAGAAAATGTTAAAGAAATGTAAGACCATCCTCCTGGGTCACAAAGTTAAGGTTTAGTAATGGATTTGAGACAGAAGAAGAACCAGGGAGAGCGACTTTGTTGTGAAGAAAGTTTATCTTATGATAAGGAGCGCCCATCCTCAATTAAGGCAAGGCAAGTTTATTTGTATAGCACATTTTGTGTAAAAGACAATTCAAAGTACTTCAAAGAAGAAAAACATAGACAGAAAATGAATGAAAAAAATAAATTAGATAGCTAAAAAGTGAAGGGTGCAGATAAGATACATTCAATTTTTAAGAAGGGGGCCTGGGAGAAGCTGAGGCTACACTCAGACGCACAGATGGAGAGGCCATGATGCTCTGTATTCCACTCCAAGATGGAGGACAAGGGAAGACACCGATGATGGAGTCCATCAACAACCAAGGTTCAACCCAAAAACGCAGTTCTGCTGTCCAAAATGGGCAAAAGCACCTATTCATGACTTTTCCTGTCTCCTTTGTTGTCACGACAAACTAAACAGTATTGATGCTTAGGTGTTCAGAAAAGTAAAAAATGTTTAAATAATATTAAAATGCTATTCTCTGAAGTAGCCACCCCACTCACACACTCACTGACAATATGAGTGCAGTGAGGTTGTGCGTGGTGCAGCATAGGTGGGCAGGTGGTGCTCTGCTCCCTGTTAAATGCCCGGTTGAGAGGCAGAAAGGAACTAAGAGAGTTATAAAAATGAGTTTAAAACACACATTAATCAGAATTGTAACCCAAATGGACCAATTTGATCTGTAATTTGTTCACTTTGCACAGTGGCCATTTTACAATCCTGTTATACTGTGCAGTTTGTTTGCTTTGTCTTTTTCATAATCATTTCTGCTATTATTGTTTCACATTTTAATATTGCTTTTGCTCTCTCAAGTCAGCAGCTTTGATTCCTCCCAACTCGCTTGCTTCGTTAATGCCACTCAAAATTGAAAGTGCTGTTGCTTTGTTCTATTCCTAATTGTGCAACCTTCAGCTTCAGAGTCAGCATAATTACTGGAACATACCTTGTAACGAATGGTGAGTGATTAAAGATTTGATTCTCCTTTCCTTCCCTCCTCTTGTTAAAAAGAGGAACAAAGCCTAAGATAAGAGGGAGAGGGAGGGAGAAGGCAGAATTCCTGAGGCTCTTTTGCTTCTACACCGAAAAACTCGTGCTCCACACTTGAACTCACATGTAGAAAGTGAATCTCCTGCAAAACTGCGCCCACTGTCAATACTGTGCACTTAACTTTGTCAAATGGCAAATTCTAGAAGTTTGAAGAATGGAAAAAATAAAAACAATCAAGAAATCACAGAAATGAATTAGAAAATTAACCGGGGAAATGAGAGATTCAAAACTATTAAAAATGACAAAATAATTTATTTTGAAAAATAAAGGAAAAAGAAAGCCACATTCATTCTCTTTTACCTCATCAGAGGCTGGACTGGTCTCCAATTATCAGAGCTGCAACAGGTACTTAACTATCTGATGTGTAAACCAATGACCGATCTGATGACCCAACAGTCATTCAGCTTTAAGTCCTGAATATTTAAAAAAAAGTACATCTGACTGAAATAGGAACATGGGATATTTTGTTATTGGTAAGTGATAAATCTTTTTGCTCTCTGTCAAAAATCTTTGCACGCATGATGATTCTTCCTTTCAGTGTGAATGTACTGTCCCTAAATGTTTAACACTGATTCTAGGAGACTGCTGCTACTGTCTTAACAAGCATGTCACTTTATGTTAGCGTCAGGCCGTGATAGCAGGGATGAAAAAGTCCTCTGTATCTGTAGTGGTGCTGTGAAATGTCACAACGTCTAATGAATAACGCAGACTTAAGCGTCTAATCCCGATGCCCGTTTCTTTCTGGTCCACTGGCATCTGAGGAGCCATACTTGTCTGTCCCAACATACCTGCACAGATCTGAATTAGATCGTGAGACTGTAAATGTTTCTGGTGGTAGCGTGGTCTCTTTTCACACTAAAGACAAATTTAATTTTCCAGTGCAAAGTGAAGGCTCTCAAACTGACAGCACGGTTCTGTGGAGTCATAGCAAATACCAAATTCAGTCTGGGAGAGATTAACATGCCTTTTCCTCCACTTTATATGGAAGTGAGTTTAACTGCTACATATCTGCAATGTTCTTTTCTGTTTGTGCTCAGCATTAAGTCTTCTTCTTCTTCCACTACTTTTAATTAGCAGTATATCTGTTTTTCAAAACTCCCACTGTGTTGTTATAAGAGGATAAGGTTAACTAAAGGCAAGACAGGAAAGGCAGTTTGAAGCACTAATGTGCATCCCTCAGCAGTCAACAAATGGCGATCAAAAACACAATTACATTAGTTGGGTCTTTGTGCTCAGCATGAGCTGGAACTAACATTTTCCTCAAGTGCTTTAAAAAGGAATCTCCTGGTCGGCGTCAAAAGCTACAGTTAAAGACTGATGGTCCATGAGAAGAAACAGGAGCCTCCTTGTACTGCCCAAGGGCCTCCCCTGGCTCAGCCTGACATGCTGAGACTAATGGTAACAGTGACAGGAGGAAAGAGAAACTGTGTTGCATATTCATCGGAGATTCTTATTTTCTCTATGCTGACTAAACTCCATATATTTCTTTAAACCAGCTGTGAACAAAGTCTGTTATTTTTTGGTTCAGTATTTAAGCAGTTCCATGTTGGTGTACTGTGTTGCTCTGACCTCCACATTTTTCCTGGGTTCTTGGAGTGTAAACACACCGTGTGCAGCAGCATCCCCGACACTGGGGAGAAATCGAGGGCAGCAGCGCCAGAAGCATTATTTTGTAGCTATAATTGAAGTCCTAGAGATAAGTTGCTGTGGTATTGGGATTTGAAATCTGCTTGCAGTGACCCACTTTGCTTCATAAACACACAAGCAGCCTCAGTTCATTTGGAAACCCTCACAGGAAGCCTTGCAGATGCCACATGGAAAGAAACCATTATGATTATCCAGACCATTAAAAAAAACATAACCACTCTAGGATCTGTTGTGGCGCATTAAACAAAACTCTGTAATGGGGATGGGTTTTTAGAATATTTACAGATCACATTTTGAGATTGTGGAAGAAGTAAATAAAGTGGAGTCTGTGACCACATTTATTTCCACGGTGCACAGGTCCCAGAAGTGCCCTGTGAAATTTTGGTTTATTCATCCAGTTTGTGCTTAGTTATCTCTATTTATAGTCATTATATTTGCGATCACTTCTTGTTTTCATCCCAGACCTTTTCTTAGTTGTGATGTGCCTCCTCATTGAACTCTTACTTTCCAATTGTCTCTGTCCCAGATACTTTAAACTCTGATTAACATACAACAACGCCGCATCCAAAGCCAGTAACATCAAGGTAATTAAAGCCTCTGCTGGCTTTTCCCCTGCAGAATGTGTCTCAACAGAAACTCCTCTTCTGTTCCTCTCTCTTTTCTCATCCTCATTTTGTATTAGCCTGATAGCTGGTAGTAAGATGATGGCCGCTCTGCTCCCAGAGGAGTATGTGGCCTACATTTGTTTGCAGTGCAGTCTGGGCCTGTTAAAAGTGTGTGCTTCCGTTCCAACACTGCCACTTTTCTGCAGCGGAGCCTTTTCGTGTCCTCTTGTCACAGTTGTGTGACTCTGCACGCTCCTGTTTTGTGCCAGCCCGTCAAAGATGTGTTTGGTGTTTCTCCTTGCATTCTGGGAAGCATTCAACACTGGAAATGTCATCACTTCTTCCACTGCCATTCAATACACAGACATATGCACTTGTAACCTTTGTAACGGGACATATGTGTGAAAAGGCATGTAAAAAAAACTATACTGTGTGTACACATAAGGCACACAAAGGTCACCTTCCCCGGCTTCACTACTGCTTTATTATGGCGCACAGATGTGCCAATAAATAACAGGGTGCCCCTGGTGGAGCAGGAAGATCCAAAACAAACACTGATAAAGGTGAAACACAGAGGAAAGGAAAGACAGACATTTTGTAATCAAGACAGACCTTTTCCCTTTTTATCAGTCTCTACCAGAAAAGCTTTATTGATGTCATTTGTCTTTCTAAAACTGAGGAAAAGTCTCCATAATGAGAGAAAATGAAATAATTGTAGCACATTGCTGCTTTAGATTCTTAAATGGCAAAAGTGAGTCCAGAAGATCATTACGAAAAAAGCCAAATGCACTTCACTGAATGAAGCCTCATCCAAATTTGTCATTACCCCTCTCTTCAGGGTGTTGTCAAACAACAGCCCGTGTCACACTTTTGTGTCTGCGGCACTGCAGAGGAAGATAATCCTCCCCTTTCTGTCATCTGAGGGAGTGCAGAAAAGAAATCTGTCAAACTTGTGAAAGAAACTTTGCCATAATTTCAACTGTTGACTGATCATCTTAATCTCCTGTTGTCAAGTTTTCATATAGAGAGAGTTGACAATGGCAGGTGGGTTGTGCCCTCAGAATAAAGTGCCTCTGAGTAACAGCACAAGTTGTGATAGAATCACCATACATTTAATTAACTTTTGCACCACCTTTTGGTACAGAATTAAATAAATTTCTAATAGAGGGATTGCTATTACATTTGTCCCAGTATTAGTCTTGTAAACACATTGGCTTTGGAAAATACTGACTGTTAAATGCTTTTAATGATATCTCATCATTTGTGTTAGACTTAAACATCATGACAACCATCAGGTGGTTTAAAATGAACATTTACAACATTTCTTGCATTAGTTCCTCGTTGAAGTGTCACTTGTGAACTAAAGAAACTGTTATTGATCAGACAGAACACCTGCCCATTGCAATTGTGTGCTTTTCAGAGGGTGAATGTTTGTTTTATCATTCTTGCGTCCTAGCTCTAATTTTCTTATCTTTGCTAAGAATGTTTTATGTTAATGACTTTTCTCTCCACCATTCTTCGTCTTTAGCTGATGAAAGCCGATCTGCTACAACTACAAAGAATGAACATTACAGCAAAACATGCCTGTTGCTGCCAACATGTTATGTGAGAATTCAGCTCGTTCAGAGGACAAAGTCCAGCCTGTCAGGACAAAGCAATCCTCTGGATCATGAGCAATTAATGAAGAGAAATTGAAAGGCATTCAATAAGTTTTCCACATATCTTGCTGATGAAAGAAAATCAAATAACAGAAAGGGTAGTAAAATGAAAATGCTTGCTGGAAACAAACTTATACCTGTAAAGACATTTTTTAATGAAAGTCACATCATATTCTCTCCACTTTGTTTTTTTCTAACATAAGATTTGATCTCAAATTAACTTTATTACTATTTATGTAGCTACTGTATCTAAAAATCAATGCTTGAATCATGAATATATCTTAAAGCCTAGTAGTATTTTTGTATTAATCTCATTTTGTGATGAGTTTTTAGGTATTTTTCAAACATCGAACAGGCTGTACAACTAGGTTTTATCTTCCAATAAGGAAGAGCTCAGTAAATATTTATTGTCATGTCAGTTTTCTTTCCTTCTCTGCACGTGAAGCATTAGCAATCATTAACCTCCAGCTATGATACAATATGATTTACAACCTTCCTACTCCTTGTATGGGATAAAGCATCACCACATCGAGCAAACTTAGGGTTTATCTGTGTGACCAAAGTTCAAAAATGGTTCCCCTGATGCTTATAATGAGCTGGGAACTTGCTGAAAAATGCACAGTCTGGTACCGCTCAGCCGCTGTGAAGAGAAATGGATGTGGAGAAGGGCCGTCTACGGTCCAGGGCTCTGAGCACTCTGGAAAAGGTCCTGGTGTTTCTTTTTGTGGCACTGGCCATTGCCTGCATTGGCATGGTGGTAATCTATTTCACTGACAAGAAAAACTCTTATTCTCATGGAGAAGGTGAGTGTTTATCATAAGAAATACGGTCCCCCATTCTCTAAGCATTGGTGTTACCAACATTCTTTGCATGCTCCATGTAAAATTATAGGACTTTTTTCCTCACATGATCAAAAATGATTGTGGTCATGGAATGTCTATACCTTATGTCAAAGTTATCATATTATCTTCAAAAGACTCTTTTTGTTGTCTTTTGTATTGAGCTAATGAGATGGAAAGGTTAACTGAAAGCTGAGCCAACAATGTAAGAATTGGCATCATCCAAAAGTTGCCGGTGGAATCTCTCTTTTGGCGTAATGGAATGCAACAGCACTGCAGTGGCCAGCTGTTTCTGTCAGATGGCCGCCCAATATTCCAGTCAGTTATTGATCACCTGCTGCTGTAGAATCACCACACAGCAGCACTTATTCTGCAGCAGTGTGTGGTTGTTTTCAGATCGTGTGCTGCCTCTATTTCAAATTAATTTCAGCAGCAGAAGCCATTTGAATAGATGGTCATGATCAGAGTGTCAGATTAGCATTACTTGTTACTTAACGTGTGCATTATGAAGATACAGATACAGACGCAGTGCTTGAATTTAACTGGTCTGCTTCTACACTGTGTTGCTAACTATGCTATTTCACAAGTATACATTTAGGACTCAGAAAACTGATGTGACATTGTGATTAGCCAGCCTTAGACTACCAATCGAGCTGCTCCTGCTGTTGAAAAAATCATTTTTGAAGTTAAAATCCAGTCATCATAATACTATAAATAATACAGTAAATGCCACCTGAGAAGACTGGCTGATTAATACAGAATCTGGAAATGTCACAACAGGCCCCCACAAAAGAGCAGCTAACAGTCTGAGAGTAGCAGCTGGCTCCTTCAGAATTTGCATGAGACTTTTATGAGCCCAGCCTACTCCCCTTCAACTAACCACTGTTCCTTGATATTTTGTATGAGTCCTATTTAACTGATGGTCAAAATGTAAATCATCACAGGATTATTATTATATTATTATTAGAATTTCTCCACATTCCAAAAAGCATGTATTTGTATCTTTGTCTGTATTCACTAAGCAATTCAAATATCTTGGGCTTTCATCACACTTATTTGGTCGAATAGGATTGCTGTTTGTCTGGCTGAATTTTTCTAGCAGAGTATATCCTTTTTCCTCACTGATGAATATAAAAAACTATCAAAAGCTGTCATGAAATCATTTGCATGGTCCACACTGGATGAATTCACATGATATGATGGTTTCCCTCCATCTCTTCCAGTGACAACATTGTCCTGTGTAGTGTTTTGGTTTATGACCAAATATCTGCACAACTGATTACTTTCCCATCTTTACGATGATGTTACAATCTAACGATAAACATCATGACAAACTAAATAACGGATTATGTACAGTAAAGAGTAAACATTAACCATCTCATGTCAGCATTAGAGAACATTTGCATGCTGACAGCAGCATTTAGTTCAAAGTACAGTTACTTACACTTTTAAAATCAGAGTCAGATTGAGTGGAAAATATCCTCTTGTTAAAAAGAGGATATTTTGCCTCTTTTTGTCTTTTCAGTCTGAAATGAGTTCACTGTTTATTTGCACGAAAGAAGGACAAAGTTACTCATAATCGGACTTAGAGGTTATGTGCTCCCTCAAGTATAAACCTGTCAGAAAAGCATGCTTTTTACAGAACAAGCTATATAGAGTTACAGACTTGTTGACTGCTGTCACTTGGATTTCATCACATTAGCAATAAATTAGCTATATAAAAAATATCTGTGTCTCAAAATTGAGATGGCTTATTTTACACAAGAGGACAAGATGTGGCTATGTTTATATTAATGTTTAGCCAAGAAGAGAACATATTCCTTCACAGCTGTCCTCCAGACTCCCCAGCAGAATCTGCTCCAGCCACAGGCTAAAACATGCCGCTTCCAGTGGGTTTTCACTTATAACAGGGAATGAAGTGCTTTTTAATCATTAGAATTTTATGAGAAATACTATCACTTCTCACCTTCAGTTTTTATGTTGGTTGAGCCACGATAACAACAGCCACCTGAACTGGCCTAATGATGCTGTAATAATGAACCTTGTTGGTCCACATTGCTTTGTTTTTTTTTCTGAATGAACACAAAATTCCCTCACTCAAACTTTTTAGGTTTCAAAAATACAGTCTTTTGCTGTAAAACAGAACAGAAACATTGAAGATTAAACAATAACACATCTGAGGTTCATGAACTTGTTATCTGACGTGAATATGACAGTATTAAAGACAGTGCCACTGCACTTAGTACTATGACAACTTTGGAAACAGAGACTTTGCTATCCTCATTTCCAAATCGTCTCTTATTTACAGGGTGTGTTGGCTCTCAGGATATGACTGGGGACTCAGGCACCTTCGCCAGCGCAAACTACCCCAGCAGTTATGACGACGGCAGCCTCTGCACCTGGACCATCACCGTGGATCCCGACAAGGTGACGGAAATCTGGACCACTGATCCCAGTTAGGATTTCTCAAGCATCTTAGGCATCTTTCACGTTGAGAAAGAAAAAATAATAATTTGACCCTGAGATGTGACAATGATACATTCTATTGGAAGAAACCTCCAAAGACAAATGCAGCTGAAACAAAATAAAAAAGAAAAGACCCAAAACCTCACAGCGTTTATGCAAAAGTAGGTGCAAAATGACGTGGCTAACAATTAAAAAAATATTGAAAATTGTTATCAAATGAATTCGATTAAAATGATAACCACTGGCAGTTAAATCATTTAAACATTGCAGCTGGATCAGTGTAATCTCACACTAGAATGTGTTATATCTGTGTTTCTCCTCAGTAAAAAACACTTTAAAGATGGACTATACACTTTCTGGCCTATAGAAATATAGTAAGGGGTTGAAAATAGATGGCTAGGGTTTAAAGGTCTCAAAACAAAACTGTGTTAGTCTTTAACTTTTCTAAAGTTTTTTCAAGTTACAGTCACGGACTCTGTCTAATGTGGGGCCAAGCAGCTGAGGACAGCTGACACCAATGCAGTGGCAGCAGTGTGCACAGATGGTGCCTTGTCTCCTCCATTTTCCTCCACTTTCCTTCCCAGAGCAACAGGACAACATAAAATCCTTAATCCTTCTCTCTCTGCCAGCATGGATGCTGCCGTTGAATGTCTCCTTTAGCAGCAGCTTCTTTTTCCTTTCTTTTTCTGAATTTCTCTGTTTTTTTTCCCACACACAAAGATACACACCAATGACCCAGACATATGTTCTCTGCTCTGCATTTAACACTGGGCACTTGCTCCCATTTGCCCAATCAGGAGCCAGACTGTTTCATCAGTGTCTCAAATGTACACAGAAAAATGAAGAATCTCTGCCTTTTTCTGCTGCAGGTGATTCATCTGTGGTTTGAGGAGTTTGCTGTGGAGGACACAGAGCTTTGTTCGTCAGATTTCCTCATAATGCAGGACACCTTGGGAACCATTGGTAAATATTTTGCCAGTTATTTGTCAAGTTTATCTGGGGTCAAGTAAATTCCTATTTCAGATAAATGAGCAGTTTCTTAAAACTATTGGGATTTATCCTTTTTGGGCTCACTCAGCTGGTGATTTTGACACATAAAGATGAATAGTTACATCATTTTTTATTGTCATTGTTGTCATTATTGTTTGTTACTAAGTCAGTCGGAGAAAAACTTAATTCTAAATGTGGCTCTTTAGGCAAATACTGTGGTTACATCAAACCAAAGCCGGTGGTAATACTTTCCAACCACCTGACGATCAACTTTGTCACAAATGAAAGAAAAACGGACCGAGGATTCAAGGCTCATTACAGAGCTGTGCCTCCAGAAGTCGCATCAGGTAAGCTTATGAGAGGAAACCTACTTCAGCTATGGGAACCTGCATCGGCTCTGACAGGAGCTGGGCGGGAGGAGGAGGGCTGGGATGTGGGTATCCTTCAGCTGTCAGTGCGGCTGAAGTGTCCTTCATTCCTGCTGCCAGAAATAGCCGGAGCTGGCGGTTTCCTCCAAGGTGATCAGGGGAATCTGATGACCCCAGGCTTTCCGGAGCAGAACTACATGAGTGCTGCATCTTACCAGGTACAACCGCGCACGTGAACCACCACAGTAGAGTGACAGCTACATCTAAAGATGAATTTTTTCATGTGCATTTGGTTAAAATTCTTTTTGATCTCTAGTTGTGTATCAGCCTTTTTACATGCAAGAACAAAAACTTTGTGATTAAACAAAAATTGGCATACAGACATTGAGGCAATGTGTGTAACTTGGCTCCTTTTCAGTGTCAGATGGAGAAACACATGAGTTACATGGTGTTAGCTTTATCGATTGGGCTAATTAACCTCAGCTCATCACCTGGAAGACGTCATAAATAAACCACACAGCACAGATCCCAGAGTTACATGCAGTGTTTTTATTGATCTGTATGTGGTGCTCGACAGGAGTAAAGATTTCAGATTTTCTTCTCAAATATAAGCTGTTTCCCAATTCATCTTGACAGCATTTGTGGTTTTGATCAGTAATTAGTTCATGTGATTGCAGTTAATCAAAGTCAGGCTTTGCTAACCGGGCCTGTGGGCAGGGTCGTGAGGTGTGACGGCTGTCTCCATCACTTATTGCAGCTGCGCTTTAGCTTGACAGACCACTGCGTGTCCAAGCAGAGGCAGACTCTGTTACAGAATTATTCATGCATCACAGTACGGCGAAATGCAGCTCATGTCGCTGCAACAACACCAGACGAAATGGGATGCCTGGGGCTGCCAAGCAGTCGGTGCAAATTTGATTTTGACACATTTGCGTGTTCTAAATTACCGTTGCCTGTTTGTTTGTTAAATCAGTGGACAATCACCGTGCCTGAAGGCGAGAGGGTCCGCCTCACATTTACAGTCTTTGACCTCATGCCTGAAGTCTGTGGAGACTTTGTCGAGGTGTATGACGGCCAAACGGCTGGCTCTGCCATACTAGGTAAGATCCCATAACACATATCTAGATCTATGATTATTGTTCTGCATTAAAAGCTAAGTGTCCATGGAGAAAAGGTGATCTCACTTAAAAGATGGAGTAGCCATGAAATGGACAGATTTTGGAGTCTATTCTAAACCTGCATAGACTTTTGTGTTAAAGAAGCATGAATGGTTTTCAATGTTGACATAATTGTGTAGGTGTCCTAGACTGTTTATATTTCTTTTCCAGGTAAATTCTGTGGGGGACAAATGCCAGAGCCGGTGGAGTCCAGCGGCAGCACATTGGTGGTACGCTTCAAATCTGACAACAGACTCACATCAAAAGGATTCAGCGCAACTTACACAAAGTCCAGCCTGCCACCAGTTGTTATTCCCACCACAACTACCACAGTAACACCCCAAACCACCACACAAGCCACCACACAAACCACCCCATCTCAAACAACTTCTGGTAAGTATGTTCTTGCTGAGCATTTACTCAGCTGGTGTGTTACGGGATTCTTACTTAATAGAATGAACACAACCTAGATTTGGCCTGAAAAGCTAATAGCTTTTTCTCCAAAGTCTTTTAAAGTGTCTCTTAACCATAATTGGCTTGAAGTATCAGTTAATAAGAAACAGAACGATTTTGTACTACATTTGAATGTTTTTAAACTTTTGGTGACTTTGGATAAACACCTTGTATTAGGGTCAGCGTAAAATGATACATTCATAAATGAAAAAACTGATATACTTTAATATTCAACAGGCACATGCTCTATGTGCTATAGACTGACTATACCCAGCTAATGTGATGAATGTGACAGAGAACTTCGACGAGTTCTAACGATGACAAAAGAACTTTCCACTAAAACATGATGTTTATGCATTTCAGTGTTAGGTGTCAGATCGTTTCTTCAACGTAACTGAAACATATCAATTTTAGCATCTGAGTACCACTACTGTGAATTTAGGAATAATCATTTTTTCCTTTTATCATTTTTATTTCTCCATGGTTTCACCTTTTACTATGTGCAAATTAAAACATGGAAGTGGGAGACATGAATTGACCCTGAGAAACCTCCCGTGGAAACTGTTGGAAATTTACTGCAGAGCTGTTTTATTAATCTGCCTAACTTTAATCAGTTTTTTTATTAAGTTGATACTGATATGAAATGAAAAATTATATAAAAAGCATACAACTTTAATTATTGGAGTTTTTCCACATATTGGTCTCTGCACACAAAAAAAGAGTGAATCATTTGACAGCTTCCATATAAGAAGGAATGTGTGTAGTTATCTCTATGGGTAAGGTAGATCCCCCTGAGATATAGCATTCATCATTATATTTAAACTGCACACACACACACAGGTTTTCATCAGATGGGTGGGGGGAAGTGATGATAAATCAGATTAAATGGACCCAGATCAATTTGCCTTTTTTCTTAAAAATTATGATTATAATACATGAATATGTGATCAAGGATTGTTTCCACCACAGGAAGTGACGGTTCAGTAATCATTCAGGGGCGGAAAGGTGTTATCCAGTCCCTGGGTTTCCCAAATTCATACCCAGCACATTCAAACAGTTCCTGGAAGATATCCGTGTCCAAAGGGTTCCTGGTCAAACTGCAGATCACTGACTTGGCCATCACTGGCGAGACTGGACAGTGCAAAGAGGACAAACTGATCATTTCAGACAGCTACAGCATTCTTGGTGAGTAATAACTTCATGATCACTCTTGCCCAATGATGACAGGGATTTTGTTTTTAGTAAATGCATTTCATCAGTTTCATAGATCTATCTTTGACTTTGTTGCATCCCTTGCTTATTTGTGTACTTTTACTGCAAAGCAGCAATGGGCTAGTATGCATCCTTGGGTTGTGCTTGGTGCATCTTGTTAAGCTAACACCTTTGATATTACAGTATTTCTAAAGTGTTGCCCCCTGTGCCGTGAAACCGTTCATCATGGTCTTCTTTGCAAAGGGCCAAGCAAACTATAAATTACCACTCATTATTCACTTCAATGGCTGCAGAGAGGCTGATACAGCTTTATCTATTGCTGACTGCTCAAGGACTAAAGCACTGAGGTGCAGGTACACTCACAGCTAGGCTATGTGTGTTTTAACTGAGGTTGCTCATGCAAAAGCAGAAACAAGCGTAAACAGAGAAATTTCTGTTGTGAAAATCAGAAAGCTTTGAAATCTGAAGATGTATCAACTTTGAATATCCTTTGTCATCATTAAAGAATAATTAACAGATTGGGCGGATAGTGGGAAATATATTGACCTTGACTCTATTATTACTATCCATAATGCCCGGTTATAAGAGATTAATATAACCATAATAATTTTTGTCATATTTACCAATATATGTATGGTTATTCAAGCTCACTTGCACACCATACTTTGGTGAATAAAAAATCTAAAGTTTCCTCTGCTCTCCACTTCCTGAATGAGTTCTATTCTGCTATTCTGTTCTTCCTGTTCTTCATTCTCAGGTACACATTGTGGCTTCATCCTTCCCCCGTTGGTGGTCAGCGCTACTGATACAATATCTGTCACCTTCCACTCTGACAGCCGCCTCACAGACCGAGGGTTCTCCGCCAAGTGGGAGGCAGTGTATCCTGAGGATATCGCAGGTATGATTCAACACAGCTTACACACACTGAAACATATTCACATGTTGTTGAAACTGCTCAGTGCTTAATGGAATAGCTATCAGACAGATCTCTTGCTACTTAGGCCAATTTGCAATGTGAAATACAGATTACAGCACAGTGTGAAGCACTGCTAGAGCTATACAATACCTTTTAAATCTCATATTATCATCATTATCAGGACAACAAAGTAATTCAAACCCTATTTGAATGTAAAAACAGCAGTAGAACACTGAATTGGTAAATTACTCACATTTTGCCCCCCAAAAAACTGTTATGTCTCAGTTAAATTATTTATGAATGTCTAATTCACATATGGTATAGTACAGAACTAAATAGTTTACAAGATATCATATTCCTCAAGCAACTCTTGTATACATGACTCAGATTCTCATCTATAATCAAAGCTGGCATCTCCTTCAATTTCTTTCATTTCTTTTTCCAGAAATCCAGGGCTGTGGCTTTACTTCAAAAGAGGAAACTGGGGTTATCAAGTCCCACAACTGGCCTTTGAACTACAAGGCCAACGCAGAGTGCATGTGGAACATAGCTGTGCCTTTAGGGAAAAAAATCACACTCACTTTCACTGACTTTGACCTAGAGGCTAAAGATATCTTCACATCCAAGTGCTATGATAACATACTGCTGTATGACATCAACAGCAGTACCAGTGCGCTTATTCAAAAACATGGTAGGCAGATTAATTACACATTAGATTTTTCCCCAAACAACTCTAAATTATAGATCAGTGCATCCATGTGCAATGAAGCTTTTTTCATCCATTTGTTAACATTCCACAAATTGTTCTCTCTGTCTCTTCAGGTCCATTTTGTGGAACAAAACTGCCGACAACCATCCAGACAAAAGGCAATAGACTGCTAATTCGTTTTCATACAGACTTGTTTACTGAGGGAAAAGGGTTCAGAGCTTACTGGACTACAGACTCCAGTCTACCTGCTCCGACTGAGCCACCTATTCAGCCCAACCCCTGGGACCACATCACTATAGGTACAGTCTCTGTTCCCCCGCATCTGCAACATACTTCAAAATTGTTGCTGATCCATATCCATTCCAATTTCAAACTGGAAACTATTACATTTGCATTTACATTTCCCCAAAGTTGACAAAAATAGATTAGTCTGGCATATTTTATGCAATTCTAAATTGAGATATTTTGGGAGGAATTTTGTCATTCATCCCAATTACACAATTTTCTCATATAATTTATTTTTAACAGTATGCACTGTCCTCAGGCTAAAAGTGTAATTTATTTTCAAACCCACTAAAATTTTACAACAGCTCTGATGGTGCACACATATTTTCCGGCAAAATGTCAGGTTCATGCTTCCCTATCGCCCTCATCCCTTCCTCCCATCTCCCAGATGTGCAGTTAACCAAGGTGATTTGGTGTGCTGGGAACACAATGTGAATTGACCTAGTGCTTCACTTTCCTTCCTTCCTGGTTGTCACCTGATTTCCATTCATCACCCAGGGATAAGCCCCAGGTGGCCCGAGCAGCTGCCAAACCAATTGCAGAAATGGAGTTTTATAGATGGACCCAGCTGCATGTAGGGTTTTCTTTTCACACCCTACCTGTAGCCCGACTCCATGGGCTAAGAGTAGGACTATTTATCAGAAAACAGGTAAAAAGATATGAAAGGGGCATAGAATGTCACAGGAATAATTCACTATTTTTGAAAACAAAACACATCAGTATGTATATTTAGCAGGACAATGGTATTATGCTTTGTAAGTAGATAAAAAGATACACATAAGACATCCCTGCAGACAAATAGAACAGTGAGAGGCGAAACCAGAAAAATAAACAGCAATGTCTGCTTTGTGTTAATGGAAAAGTGCTACTATGATTAGTGGCAATTAAGCACTTTATACGTCACAAATTTCCCCACATTACCTGGCTTTATTCATACACAAGCAATCTCCCTGTAGACTGGCCGAGTGCGTGCGGGAAACCAGCCGTCCCCCCCGCTGTTCTGTCACGTATTGTGAACGGGGAGCCAGCCATACCACACTCCTGGCCCTGGCAGGTGTCCATGCAGGTGAGAACTGCCAAAAATCCCCAGACAGAATTCACCTTATCCGCTACAATTTCCCCGCTGAATTACAATTTTTCAGCTTTGCCCTGTTTCTGATATTAATTCCATGGCTGAATGAACAGATTTTAACTTTACAAGCTGCTTTTATTCTCTTCTTGGTGTTCACTTGATTCAGGTATGGCCTTCGAGTCAGTCGGAGCCCACATTTTCCCATATTTGTGGTGGGACATTAGTTCACAAGAACTGGGTACTTACAGCAGCCCACTGCTTCATAAGGTAAGTAGCTGAATGGAAATGGTATTTTAGAAAGGTTCCAGAAAAGGCGAAGATTTTTGTCATTTCAGTCGACACTTATCTGTGTCTAAGCCTTGACCGCAGGCTCAGTACAGTCTAAGAGCTTTGCCTTGTTAGGGATGCTTCAACGCCTTGGCTAATGGGCTACAGTGCTTTTTAGAGGGAGATACTGGGGCACTGTGCAGCCAGTTAACTATATATTATGACGGAAGTATTGTCTTTGTTTGTTTTTTGTAAAACATTCATTCAGGCATGATGAAATAAATAATTAAATAAATAATTCCTGATATATCTTTAGTTTCTTTGATTTGCTGACAGTGATTAATGAATTTCCTACCCAGGTATGCCGATGAGCTCCAGCGTTGGCGCATGTGCCTGGGCAAACACAACCTGACCTACACAGAGCCCAGTCAACGCTGCTTCCAAATATCCGGAATCTATCGCCACGAGGGCTTCAAGTATCCCACAGTGCCCACAGTGGAGTTTGACATTGCTCTAGTCAGGCTACAGGAGGAGGTGACACCCAGCGATGAGATATCCTTTGCCTGCCTTCCCTCTGAGGAGGAAATCCTGCCTGAAGGAAAGAAGTGTTACGCCACCGGCTGGGGAGATGAGACAGGTGTTGTTTCTACTTCATATTCATCAGCAACCTGGACAGAATGTTACTCTTTGTATATCTTTGTTGATACACACAACAGAAGCTCACGTTTTGCTGTTGCTTTAAGCCAATATTTCAGTCACAGAAATATACTGTATCCCAGCAAACTGCTCATAAAGAATCGCTGGACTGTTTGCATGCCATCTGCTGGACCTGATGTGCAAATGCCATCTGTTTGGCTGTGTTTTATCAGGTGATTCACTCAATGCTAAAGCTTCAGAAGCCCTCAACCAGGTGGCCCTGCCTGTTGTGCCGTATAACACCTGCAAAAGGATGGACTACTGGTGGTTCCAGGTCAAGCCCTCCATGATCTGCTGCGGTTACACGCTGCCTGATGAGTTAAAGTCTGTCTGTCAGGTAAAATAAGCCGTTTAGGAGGAGTGAAAATTTCCTGGCAAAAAACTAAATGGATTTCTTTTCACTCTATGGTTTTAATATCCATGTGCAACTTTGACAGGGAGATTCAGGTGGCCCATTGGTTTGTCAGGATACTTCAGGAGGTCCCTGGGAGGTTCATGGGATAACCAGCTTTGGCCCCATTGGATGCATTATGAATAAGAAGCCGTCTGTGTTCACTCGTTCCTCCGCCTATCTCCCCTGGATTGAAAATGTCATCCGCAGAGACGTGTACATTGAGCACAGTATGCATCCCGTCGCCTTACCTGACACCTTGCTTCCAAAGTCAGCCTGTGACAAAATCAGAGTGAACTGCTGGTTTTCCCCCTCTGTCTTCCTGTGTAGCATCTGGCTGTGCAGGGCCAAAGGACCTGACTGGCACAGGTGGTACCATAACCTCCATGGGTCATCCTGGCAGCTACAGCAACAAAGCCCACTGTCAGTGGCACATCCACGTGCCTGCGGGCAAATTGATCCACCTCCATTTCAACAGCTTCTCCCTGGAGGAGAGTCAATTGTGCATGAATGACAAAGTCAGTCTCACAGACAAAGTCGGGAGTCTCGGTATGAGAAATCTATGATTTTTAGCAAAGCATGTCACGGTAAAATGAGCTGTAACAACTTCCACAACAAAAATAATTATTGCTCAAATTTTATTCACATCTAAAACTGGCATAAGTGAAATTTAAGTATTTGTCTGACCTCTGAAGCTATTTACCATTTGATCTTTCATACTGTGGGGACACATTCAAAGAGGTTTGTGATTACTGAGAATAGTACTGAAAATAGACAGACCCAGAGGAATAGAGAGGCAATGAGGAGCTGAATGAATAACTAAATGCCCACAAATGATCCATGTGAATTTAGGTGGAAGAAAAATTAGCTGCTGTAGCTCTGCTGTTCTGATCAAAGAAAATTTGTGTACTTTTATCTATATTACATATAGAGCCTTTTTGAAAAAAAGTTGTTTTGCTGAGGATAGAGTGTCACTTGTCAAAACCATTTCATTGAAAACTTCCAGAAATTACACTGGCTTCAGAAAAAAAAAGTATTTTTCAACTTATAACTCAAATATAACAAAATGTATATAAAATAAAAGCATTGTGTATGTTGGCAGAGAAATTAATGAGGCTTTGTCTTGTGTTTAATTCAGGCACCCACTGCAGTAATATCCCCCCACAAGATGTGGTGAGTGATGGAAACACACTGAGTGTCAGCTTTTCCTCCAACGACAGGGTTGTGGACACAGGCTTCTCAGCCACCTGGAGGGCAGTGGACCCTTCAGAGGGTAGGACAGCGTAAAAAAAAACTAATGAAATAGTCTGAAGAGAAAGCGGAAAAGTTAATTGCATGCATTTCCACCCGTTCTGCAACAGCTCCTTGTGGAGGGAGTTTCACCAGTGAGAGGGGTGAAATGACTTCTCCAAACTGGCCTAACGACTACCATGGCCAGACTGTGTGCACATGGCGTATAAACATTCCCTCATCCAAAAGCATCCATGTTGCCTTCACTCACTTTGAACTACAAGCTGTCAACAGGCTGGGGAACTGTGTGGACTACGTAGAGATCTTCAATGGAGAAAGCATGGAATCACTTGGTTTGTTTACACTCCATCACAAACATTTCTCTGCCCACTTTGTGCATTCTATGTATCCTATGCAGTTTGCCACTCTCAGCTGAGGAGAATAGTCGTGATTTGTTGTCTGTCTTTCAGGTAGATTCTGTGGCTTTGCCCCGCCACCAAGTGTCACCATCCCCAGCAACACGGTTGTCATACGCTTCCTCAGTGATGGAGCCAGTCATGAGAAAGGCTTCCGTGGTTACTGGACCTCGGATGCCAGCCTAGTCCCAACTTTACCTCCCCCTCCTGAAAACCCTTGGGACGATATCACCATCAGTGAGTGCAGACAAAGGTCAACAAGTCGCAGTCCTGTGACTCTGATGTGACGTTGTCGTATTAGGAGTGTTAGCATAATAAATAATTTCCCTCTGGGATTATTAAAGTATTTCTGATTCTGATTCTGATTCTGATAATAACACTATTGCATTGTTCTTAATCTTGACTGTACTTTTGTCGCTCAGATTGGCCGACAAATTGTGGAAATCCAGCAGTGAAACCTAAAACAGCCACTCCAAGGGTGGTCAATGGGGAAGAGGCAATCCCCCACTCCTGGCCGTGGCAAGTCTCCATGCAGGTAAGGTTACTCTTGCTTCTCTGTGTTCCTGCTCTCAGTGATGTTTTTTAAAACAAAGAGAAAAAACCTCTGTCACCAGGCTTCACCGATGTTTCCCATCCCTCATATGCACGGCTGCGGAGGCTCTCTGATTCATGAGGAATGGATCCTAACTGCTGCTCACTGCTTCATGGCGTAAGAATTCAAACTCCCGACATTAAATTCAGTTCAAGTTAATTTCAAAGTGGGATAGAGACTGATGTATTTGAAAATGTAATGTGGCTGTTTGGGGGATTTATGAATTGCTGACTTGCCAAGGGGTTGAACATTTTAAGCGTTCACATGGAGTTCTTTAAATATCAAATCTCACTGTATGCCTGCTGTTCATTATTTAGCACCAGACAGGCAGAATTAGAGCAGCTGCTACACAGATCACACAGAGGAGGCTAAAGTCAAAACAAAGGATGTTAAATCTTTGTTGTTTCCACATATCTCCGTTCTGTTCTGCAGCCCGCTGAATAAACCCTCATACTGGCGCATGTGTCTTGGCAAACACCACATGAACTCCTCCATGGATGTCCCCTCTGCTGAGGAGTGCTACCTGGTGGATGGGATCATCCGCCACGAGGGGTTTGTGTATGAGCAGGATCGCAGTGACATCACCAATGACATCGCTCTGGTGCATTTGACCAAACCCGTCACCATGGCGAGGGAGATCAGCCCCATATGTCTGCCGAAACCGGGGGCCGTGATGCCCGCAGGAACCCCGTGCTTTGTCACCGGCTGGGGAGATGAGAAAGGTAAGACTTGACATATTTCACTTTGCTAAACCTTGTTTAGCGCTGTATTTTTTAAATCCTTCTGTTCAGTCCTTTTTCTTCAACTTTTATTACTGTTCAAATTGATGTAAATTAAAGGAGAAGAAAACATAAACTAGAAAAACTGTGGATTTCTTTGATTTATTCATCCAAAAAGCCTAAAAGTTGCATTCAGCCTTAGAGGTTCTTCTTTTCTATCTGCAGTGGGATTGGCTTGGGTATAAAAGATAAGGAGAATTAAATAACAGCATTTATCCTTTTTATTTCGGTCTCAGGTAACCTTTTCCCCAAAGTGGCTGAAAAGCTCAACCAGGCTGCCCTTCCTATCGTGGACTTTCAGACCTGCAGTAAGCCTGAATATTGGTGGGACACCCTGAGGCCCTCCATGATCTGCGCCGGCTACGAGTCGCCGGATGAGCTCAAGTCAGCCTGCCAGGTTAGAAAAAATCCATACAAGGAGAATAGCTCCGGAGGAATTTCATCCAATAAGTGCTATTGTCTCTTCAGCTTACAAATGTTATATAACAACAGTGGCCTTTCATGTCGGAGCTGTCTTTTTACGTAACACCCTGTGAACCGTTTTGTTTGTGGTCATTCAGCCTTGATTGGAAATGGCTGCTGCGTTGTTTACAGCCATAATTAGACAAAGGTGCATTGGAAGGTTGTTTGTTTCCCCTAATGGGCATCCATGCAAACAGGATACTGTAAAAAGTTTGAAGGCTTTTTTACCAGGTTTTTAATAAAAGCTGTACTTTAAATTTTTTAGGTCACCAGTAATCATTTATAGCATCGGACATTTATAAACTGTGTGGATCAGAGGCAATCATTGCAGATTTTAATGTTCCTGCTCTCCTGTAGGGTGACTCAGGAGGTCCTTTCGCCTGCTCAGCGGCCGGAACAGCCTCAGCCTGGGAGGTGCACGGTGTGGTCAGCTTTGGACCCCAGGGCTGCATCAAAGACAAGAAACCATCAGTGTTCACCCGGGTGTCTGCCTTCAACCACTGGATCATTAACAACATGAAGAAGTTTTTGTATGAGATGGGCAAGATTATTCCAAACCAACAATCTTGAAACAACAATTTTGTTCGGGATTGTTGTTTGATTCTGATCCATTATTAAGCTGCTACTTTGCACTTTTTCATCCTCGCAAGAAGAACAAAACCATATACCTTTAAACTATGTAGCCCTTTTCTGGGTTTTCATAATCCATCTATTTAATAAAGAACAGGCTTACCACTAGCCTCAATATTTTTGTTAAAGAAAATTTAAAAAGTTGAATATGCATATTTGAGTAAACTAACCTTCAATCCAGTGTTTTCTTATTTACTGTAAATTAAATGTTTATTCAGGATTAATTGTTAATCCTTAGTATGTCTGTCATGAAAGTATTGATGTGATATGGCTTTGCATTATAAAAAAGTTGTGATTCATCAGAGGTTTTCTTGTCTTTAAATCTAAAAGGAAATACTTGCTGAAGTAGCTTTGTAGTAGGTTTTCAAACCCAACATTTTAAAGGCTCTCAAATAAAGTAAAGGTAATTACATAGGTTACAGTAAATTCTTTTTTTTTCAAATGTCTCGTCAGTTCAACACAAAACCACGGATTAAAAAGCACAGTCCAGAAAATCAAACTTTAGAATGTTTTTTAACTCAGCATCTGATGTTATTGTCATTATTTCATTGCTCTTTCACTTCTTCATGAGACGTGAATCCAATTTTCCTCAGACTAGCCTTTTAGTCTTCCATGTTGTAAGGGTTTGTCCTTCCTTTCATCATCCTTTGGCAGCAGCTGAATACTGCGGGGCATTTTTAAGTTTGGGGTTTTGGTTCATGGTCACATGACCAGTCCACTGAGCCAATGGGAGAGCACGGCTCAGATTTCAGCCCAGGAGAACAGAGGGGAATAAAGAGGGAGGAAGAGAGAAGTACTAATCTGTGCTCCTGGGCAGGACAGTCTGCCGGTGGTGACAACTCTTTATTACTCTTTATTACTCTTTCTTCTCGTCTGGATTCTCTCTGTTGCATCTTTGGAGAAGTCGAATGGCACAGATTAAGACTAAAGAGAGTCCCACAACTGGGCACAGTTCAAGAAAGTGTCGTGGAACTGAGTGAGAAGAGGATAGAGGCAGTTTTACCCCCATCTTTTAGGATCTGCAGGCTTTTTTTCTCTGTGGAAGAATGGGGGCTGGAGCTATGACCATCTGTGTGAGTAAAAGCTGCGATGCCTGAGTCGGCTTTAAGACTCCCCATTCAACCAGTGATTAAGTGCTAAAGAATGTGCTCCTCAGTGTCAGCCTACACACTCTTTTGTGATGCTGACCAAAATGGCTCTTTATAATGTTAAGGGGGAGCCAATCTTGCCTTTATGCTGTAAGGCAAACTTTAAAGCAAACTGAACTTGGCTCACTAAACGCATGGCTGGTCTTGTCATAATAAACACATTTCCTTCTGCTAACATGAACCAACACTCCCTTATCCCTCAACTCTAACCTCAGTCTTACATCTTTTAGCAACATCTAACTATGCATGTGAAAAAAATAGGTAAAACAAACTTATGGCTTCATGTTTTCCTTGCTGCATACCTGCATTATGGGGTCACTCAGTATATTTCCTTACGGGAAATATGTCTTCATAAGAACTAACTTAACCCTTGATTTAGGTAAAATTTAACTTCTGGTCTCAAGCATAGCTCCCATTGAGTATTGCAGCTGTTGCTTTAGGTGCCTGTTGAGCTTTTGCGGGCAGTTGCTCCAGCGGCCACCCGCATACTGAGGGGAGGCTGAGACAAGGGACAGAAGGGGGTGGAGGGTAGAGGCAGGAAGGCACATGCTGGGGCCTGCCATCCCCTTAGTGATCAAGTATTTTCCCAAATTAGGCATATGGGAAGAAAGACTGACTCTCTCTGTTTTTAAAGTTAGAATAAGTGTTTGAAATCTTTCACACAACAAACAACAAAAACTGAAATAAGCCTCAATCATTTGACAAAGTCAGAAGTTGTAGAGTGAAGAAGTCTTAGACGGGGGGGAGGGGAGGAAAGGATGAAGAGTATTACAGGGGGTGAATCACTGAAGACTGGCTTGGTAAACAATGGAGGAAACTTCCAGCACTATGACTGAGAGTTTTCACTTCTGGCTGCTTCGGCTCACATGGGCCAACATCAAGTATTCATGCTGGATGTTTGCTTTTTTTGTTGTGCTTTTTGTCTTATGGGTGTTAACTTAGCATCTATTCTGACGATCATATCTTACCTGTGTTTTTTCTCATGTTATTTTATATTTTAATTTTCCCAATAGGATCTGACAACTGCATGCTGTTCACTATTTTGCTCGCATCTTTTGTTGTGATTGTCTTCCAAGAGCTGATTACATACAAATTGAGATTTACAGTGTGTGTTCATGATAGTACAGAAGGATTTGGTAAGCATCTGTTCATTATGTCTTCATTATGTGTCATTATGCTCAGACAAGCTTATCTCTCAGCCAGGGAAGCAATGATTGTGAATTCTGGGCTTTTAAGGATGTTAAGTAATTTGGCCAATGGCCTATAGCTCATACAGATTGGGTTTGTAATTATTTTCTCCTTTAATTCCAGGGAAACATTCTTTCTAAATATCATTTCACATTTTGTGTGCTTGCCCTTCATTTTTGAAGCGGCACAGATCCTTTCATATAAATTAGTAATAACTTTTCACAAAAAACAGCTGTTTAACCTGCTCAGCTATTTCAGCCCCCAAAGACTTAAATGCTTAAATGGCCCACCAACTTCTCAACTGAATAAATCTATTCACTTATAAGACAGAATAAGGGTGGAGCAGGAACATTCCAGCCTGGATCATCAGTTACTTCCATTTGCTCATGAGCTCAATGCACTTAAATACCCCGAACATAGTCACACAACTGATGCTATACTAATTTATCAGCGCATGTATCAACAGAGCAGTTTTTTGGCTGGCGAATATAAACTGAGTACAGGCATTCTCTGGTGGCACCGGATGACGTCAACAGTGACTCTGTCATGTTGGATTGTGCCCTGGCAGGCCCCCTGGGTGCACGCTCCTGTGAGGGCCACAGACTCTGTAATGAATTCTGCCCCAGTCACAGTCTCTCACAGTTTCTGGATCATAGGTTGAACTTCCTGAGCCTCGGAGCAGACAGCTATGGGTTCAGAGACTGTCCCTACGTGGGCCGTTCACTGGGACCGAACATGATTCTGCCTGTTTTGGCACTTTTCTAACTGATTTAGTTACATAGCAGCTTTCCCCAGTTCCCTTTTATAAGCTGTCTTGCAGTAATTTTTTTAATCATCCATTCCTGAAGTTCTCTTTGACTTGTTGTGATGTCGATTGTCACACTGAAGTGTTTGTTTGTAAAAGGTAAAAACACTTGTTATTTAAAAAAAAACTTCTTGTGAAAAGTTCATACGAGCATCATTTATTCCAAAGGGTTCTCCCAAAAAAGAAAAATATGTCAGGGTAGTATATTTCTTCTCTGGCATAAAGTTAAAACCTCTAAACATCATTAAATTACCTTAATAAAAAGGATCATTGAATTCAAGTTTCAAACCTCCGGAACATTTTTTTATTTCAAATGGAAATATCCTAATCCATGAAAGCAAGTCTGCCACATTGACCATTCAGGTGTGCAAAATAGCTATTTATGATTCACCTGCTATCTGATGTTAATTATGGTTCTGCAGTTGCCAGATGTCCAAGCTCAGCACCTTTTGCACAAATGTTAATTGTGTTATATCAACAGTGTGTGAACATCTGTCTTTCTAAAGTTTTGGTGCTATAATTGAGGAGAGATTTAATCCGCTGAAACAATTCTGTGGTACTTCTTCATCCCCTGCATCTGTCACCTTACCCCCGCAGACCCTGTGTAGACCAAGCTCCTGTCAGTTTACCGCACTTACCCATCCCATTGCATATGTCGTTTGAAGTGAACTCTGGACTGACAGCATGTCACATGGTGTACTTGTAACTAAGGCTACATAACTGTAAATGTCCTACCCCACTCCCGCGCACACAGGAAATCACACCTGCCAACATTGGTGGATCTTTCCAATCTCGATCTTAGCACAGAATATAAACAGAGACAGACAGGCATGCTGCAGATAAAGATGCCAAATGGATGATATTTGTACAGCAAATGCGTGGTTCTGCTCTGCATTTACCCCCTGAAGGAGACAATATGACGGTAGAGTCTTGCTATCTTTATGAAATAAGAGATAAAGACCATATAGCATATTATCAGATAAGACAGCTGGTTAATTAGGATAATGCTGAAGTTGTTTCTATACTGAGGAAAATATGCGCACATTTCTACTTATATGTTAGTTATTTTCATTTTACGACACTTTATTGGGGGCATGATCTGTTTTTACTTTTCTGCATCAATTGAACCATTTGAGAATTAAGTTTAACCCTTGAGAAGCCTATCCTAAGAACAACTGGATGAAAAAACAAAATCTTTGCTTACGTAAAGTCTTTGTTTGTTTTTTCTTACAAATATGTCAAAGAAATTCTAATGATTATTTACAAATTTTTTAGATTATTGTCAGCACATTTTCACTATGTTCTAAAATAAAAAAAGGTAAATATTCCATATTGCAGGGTTTTTGTAACAACACAGTTTTGACAATGTGAAGGTGCAATAGATCTCAGAAATCTGTATCAAATCATGTCATATGTCATTAAAGGGTTGATGTGGAAAATTGACATCATAGACCTATTAGAATTTTTATATATACATAATTTAATTTTAAACTTAACATTTACTTCTAGGTATTGCTCAAATAAAACATGTTATATATTAAGGATGATTCTTAATGTGTGTGGCATGTGTCTAAATTTGCATTTATGTGTGTGTTTGTCCTTCTTATGGTGTCTTTGAGTGAAGGTGTTGCCAGGTAACCTGAATTGTGAAGTAGCAACACACGCACACTCTACCCTCCCATTTCCCTTCTCACCAGCCCTTAGCACACTCTGTTCTTAGGAGTTTGACCGTGTGACAGCAGGAGGTCCTCAGAGTTACCATGGCCAAACACTGACCTGATGCTGGCTACCCCCCCCCCCCCCTGTGCTCTCATGGTCAGTGGCTGACACCCGCTCTCTGCCCTCCCTGCAGCACAGCAAGACAGCGGTGCTGGTCAAAGAGGACATGAAGAAGATGGTCCAGATGCCCATCCTGAGATCAAGATCAGTGGCTGCCAAGCACACCAAGCTGTTTGGAGCCAGCCTGTATGAGCTGGGAGAGCTGGGCCTGCTGGAGGATGGAGTGCCCCTGGTGGTGCGGAGGATGGTGGAGCATCTCCACAAGTATGGTAAGAGAAAATTAAATATATGTCACAATATAGTTAAACAGGTCACACTGCAACATGTGGTCTTGAATCATATCTGGGACTTTAGCACAAGGTTTTTTATCTTCAAACCGCAAAGCATTGTATTCGCTTTAGTCTTCACAGAGCCTAGTTTTATCACCACACAACCAACAATAGTCTCATTTTCAGTTTCAGCTTCGAAGCAAATCTTATAGTGATGTTCAATAGCATGAATAGATATAACTGTTTTTTTTAAATGGCAAATTAATATTTGTCTTAGAGAGTTGAAGGATAGATTAAAATCGTATGTGTTGATTAATGTAAATTTTCCACATTTTCTTTTAATTAGTTGTGCCAGAGCCCCCCCATTGTTAGGATTTGGCTCTTGAGGACAATCTGTAATGCCCTAAAATCTGCCCGGCATACAAAAATAACAGACTTATGTAAGCCGGAAAAACTATCCTCTTTATTCTCCCACTTTTATAAGTCCTGTTGAGCTTCTGTTCAACCACTAGATGTCCACGCAGGAGAGCTGAATTTATTCCTCAATGCCACAGTGCCTGCAGGACACTTATAGCTGTTAGTAGAGTTTCTCCATCCTTTTGGCCGGCCCCTCAAAAATCTTAGGGTTTAGGAGTAAAGGAGAGGTGATTTTTAGGTTTCACGTGTTGCAGAATTAACATGTTACTAATCAAATTTGTGCCAGTGTTGTTTTCAAGTTTAAGAGAAGTGTTTAATGTTGATTTTGAAATGAACAGCAACTAAAGTCATGTTATTAAGTAAGAAGCGGTGCCCTAATTACGACAGCAGTTCACGGTAACTAAACAGAATCTGTCACTCTTCCTGCATCTAGCGCTGCATCAAGAGGGTTTGTTCAGAGTAAACGGCAACGTCCGTGCTGTGGAGACACTGAAACAGCGGCTGGAGAGCGGCGATGACGTGGACCTCCTCTCAGAATCAGATCTGTGCACTGTGGCTAGCTTGCTCAAACGGTACCTCAGAGACCTGCCGGAGGGCCTGGTAGACCCCACCGTCCAACAGGCTCTAATTCAGCACTACAGAGGTAAAAACCTACTGTCCCCGATTTCATTTTATGTGCTTTGTCAGCACATCCATCTGCTGCTGTGATCCTTCTTGGATAAGTGGTCCTTGCTCTGTGTCTGTTTCTTACAACAATCATGTGATGTGTGTACACAATGTCAGTGGATATTAATACCCTCTGAAGTGAGGTGTAGTAGATGTGGGTCATGACTCTGGTGGGATGATGAGTAAAACTATTTTTAGTGCTGAAACTACTACTGGCAGTGCAGTCATCTCCATCAGGCAGTGCACAGAGAGGCCCTGCTGAGTTAAGTGTGTATATACGAGCAAGAAGGAAGGCCAAGGGTTCCCGATAATCTTGGCAGTCACGGAGGCTGAAGGGACTATTTTGGCTGTTAAAGTATCTGTGCTTGGTTTCAATCGTCCTCAGTTGATGGCTTTTATCTGTTTGATGGTAGATGAGTGTACAGTTTGGCAGCAGTGCTTGTTTTGCCGTTACAGGCCCCATAAATATCCACTTGGTTCTTCAGGACCTCAGTACAAGCACTGAATTAGGTCAATTCTCTCTGCTGTGAATCCTGAATAAATGTTGCAGCGCATTTGTCCATATCTCATCAATTAAACAGCCGAGGAGCGCGATGAGTGAGTTCCAGGCTTTCTGACATACAACACTTTATCTGTTACATACTGTGAACATTTGATTGATTTTCTGAAATACGGTCATTTAGAGATGATTTTTCAAATTTGTGTTTCACTGTCAAATTAATTATTATTTTAAGTAAAGAGTTTGACGAATGATTGAATAAATAACTCAGAAAAGTCTATCCAGACTTTATAAACAAGGCCATGCACATAAATGGAGAATCCAGAAGTGAAGTGAAGTAATCATATGGATGCAAGCTGGCATCACGGGTTTAGTGTAGTTAAGCCTGGCATACATTTGTCACGTTTGGCCTCTTAGAGGTCTCTGTAACAAGGCAAACGTGCAAACATCCCACATTCCAACGCACACATACAACATAGACGCACCCATTCACAACATTTGCGTCACTGGGTTATATGGGACCAGTACTCACATCTGTTTATCCAACTCTGACCCATTTTAGCTTCCTGAGTAATAGCATCAACATATTTTCAGGCTCTTTGCTGTAATGCCCACATACTCCAAGTCAACTCAAGATTAAACACGGCATAGAGCAGGTGGATGGAGAAATCAATGCCACTAAAGATGGGTTGAAATTCAGTTAGAATCTTTTCTTACTTCTCTTTTAGTTATTCTTTTTATCTATTTTGCACCTTACTGAAGTGAGTGCAAACTAAATGGAATGGTGAAGATACATTTTATTTCAAATGGGTTTTTTTTTCTAAAAGGTTACCCTGCTTGATAAAAGCTGAATCAAAATGCAGAACTACAACAGTCCTGTTTCATTTTGTTTGTGTCTGTAGAATGTGGCGAGGATGGCTCCTGTTCAGATATCAGAGAGCTGCTGCTACAGCTTCCAGAGAGCCACCTCGGCCTCCTGCGATACCTCTGCCACTTCCTGACTCTGGTGGAGAGGAACCATGAGGACAACCGCATGACGGCCTTTAACCTAGCCACTGTGTTTGGACCCACTGTTTTTCAGTAAGGGAATGTGTTCGTTTTTGTTTTATATATTTCTCTATCATTTAAATACAATACCACCAAATAGTGTTTGTTACTACATCAGAAATCTGTATTCATTTCTTAACTGTGAGAAACATTTTGCACATGGTTCAGTTCTTTCAGTGTAGCACCACTACTCAGGTTTTTTTTTTTTTTTCCCAACTGAGTCAGTACTTAGCAACTCATTGGTGTTTGTTATAAACATGTTTTTCATCAAAACATTTTGTCAAAAATAAGACAAGCAATACTATCAAACAAACCAAAATGCTTGGGCAGATGAAGAAAATCTGAATACAGCAACCATGATGACAACAATAAGAAGAAATGATGTGGAGAAACACTTAGCTACTTTAGATGTTTTACACTGGCGTGATGATCACATATTTGGCCATATTTAATTCAGCATGCTAATATAGGTAGAGAAAATGCATTGGAGTTGTGGAGGAAAAATTCTATTCTGATCTTCCTGAATGAAATATTTGACCAGCAGGGAGTGCTGTGGGTCACACAGTATGAGTAAAGACATGCACTGACAGCAACAAGACTGGAGAGTCAGCATATAAATGTGCATAACTTTCACACTTGAAACTATTCCAGTTTGTTTTTTTTATCAGAAAAACATATCATAGACAGATTTTTTTTTATCTTATAACTTAAATCTCAAGCACGAGAGGAAAGTGAGTAAATGAGCTAATCACAAATATGTATCTAAAGTCTTTATCAAATACCATTGCATTACAGGTTTTAGATAGAGCAGAATAGCTCTTTTCTCTTTCCCCACCTGGCTTCAGAGTGACCTTTCCTATGGCAGGGCCTGGTCCACTGATCCATCACTCTGTTCTGCAGGGTCAGACAAATGTAAAAAGGCCAAATAAAAGTCATATCCTTGATATTGGATATCAAACTTTTATGTCATGCATTTCTCAGATGAACTAATGCTCATGAGAATTTGTTCTTAATAACAAAGAGAGGAAAGAAGTAATTCATTCTGAAATTAGTTTGGATGTGGGGTCGGGTTGAGGGAAAGGCAAAGAAACTGAGAGCTGTCAGAGGGACATACTCTTACCCTCCAAACTCCAGAGGCCCAGAGAAAATCTAAGGGTTCCAAACAAAGTATGTATGTAGGGTGTATCTTTGTTAACGCTTTTGAGAAATGAGTAACTTAAAAAATTGAAAGACATGCTCTCAGGCATAGAAGAGTTAAATATTTTATCATAAGAAACCCTTAATAAATATGAAAATAAACATTATCTGCTTGATGCACTTGCAATGTTGCTCTCTGACCTTTGACATGACAAATTTGTGCTCTGAAAGTTTTACATCAGTCGATATGTTTGAAGTTAGTTCTTAAGAAAGTAGAGGACAGTACTTGATGGCTTTGCATTGTAAAATAATTTAAAAAATGGTTTCATGCAGTTTTCTGCAGTTTTAGTCTGTATTTCTTTTTTTATTATGTGGGATTTACTGGGAAGGCAAGTCTCAAGCAATACTTAAATACACTACATGGTCCTGAGTATCCAGCTATAGCTGACTCAATAGCTGGTCTGGTGCTAGTGGCACATTTCTCTGAATAAAATGCATCTATTTATTCATACAGTAACTAATTGAATTCATCCATCTAAGCTGGTTCCTTTTTACTCTATAGTATTTCAGCTCGAAAAGCTGTACTGTTCCCAGACTGATGACTGAGAGGCATTCCAGTTATTCTAGTCTCACTGGGTAGAGGACACGAATAGTCTTTCATACTGTACAATCTGTTCTCCACATCACAGGCCCGGTGTGTTAAGTCGATATGATTACTCTTACCGTACACCTGTCCGTTTCACACAGCTGTCCAGCAGCGTCAGACATTACACTGATTGGGAAGTTTGAATAAGGTCGATGAACTGGGTGACTTTTGATTTTCAATTTGTCCAGTGCAGATCTCTGCTTTTTTTCAAAGAATTCATTATAGTATTCAGTTCAATGTTGTGTCGTATTTTGCTCCAATTCTTTTGCAGTGTAACTGCTGGTTTCGAAGCACTGATGGACCAAAATATCTGCAACAAGATCATGGTCAAACTCATCCAGAACTACAGCGGTATCTTTGAGCCCAGCGCAGACAAAGACAAGGAGGAGTGCGGAGAAGAGCAGCCCGCGGTGATCATTGTTAAGGTGTTGTTTTCATACCCCAACACCAGATGCTGATGTTTATATAAAACAGATCGGTGGCCAGTACAATATGGTGCAGCCGGTCAGACAAATGTGAGTCACAGGTTTTGTCCATGCAGTTTAAACATGATGATTTTCTCTCCAACCTGACTGACCTCTCAGTCCGTACACTTGGATTAGATATAATACATAAATACAAGCTTACATCATTTTGAGCTCAGATTGATTTCGGTATTGATCTTAAGTAAATCACACTACACAGGAACATTTTCTCCAGGCTATCTTGAGTAACACGTCTGTTTCTATTAGTTGTTTTCCTGGCTGATGTCTTGATTGATTTCCCGGTTTTCTGGTCTGTTGGTTTGCCCCGTCCAATATTGTTGATGCATTTCTCCTTAAAAAACCTAGGAACTGGTTTACATGGTATTTCTGAATTCTATAAAGAATTAGAACAATACATTTAGATGATGTTTTTCATTTTGTCTCCCCTTTTATTAAAGACTTTGATGGACCATTGGCTTTAATTATCAGAATCAAAATCAGAATCAGAAATACTTTAATAATCCCAGAGGGAAATTATTTAAATGATCATAACATTATTATTATTATATTATTATTATACATGTACATATGTTTAAAAAAGAACATGATATACTGTAACCCAAAAGAAAAATGACAGAACTTATTAAATAAAACTAGATTAAGGAATCATCAGTTCCTTATTGTACCTGATGAGCCTTCTGCCACTACTACCGAGGAGAATTTGAGTAAAATTCAACACAAATTTAGTTTTATTAACAGACACAATAAATACATCAGATATAATAAATGAGGCATAAAACTGAGTTTTATTAACAGATGATGAGGCATGAAATCCCCATCAATCTGAGAAATATTGGATGTTTAAAAAGACAGTGACCTGAAACAATTAACATGTTTCCTGCATCTTACTCTGTTCCACTTTTTGTAAGGTATTCAGTATATGAACATCAGCCACAGGTTGGCTGCATAAAACCATTTTTGGGTTTGACCTCTCACCTCTTCTCTTGGCGCATCTCTCTTGCTATTTTCAACACCATCAAACTGAGTTTGCCATCCACGCCATGCTCTGTTTACAAGGGGGCAAAAAACCTATTTAACATGTTTAAAACGTTTCACTCCAATGAATATTGAATTTCCTAAAGTCCAAAGATCCAGTGAAGAGCTGAACAATTCAAACTGTAACGCCATCTGTGATCTAATAGATTTTTAGCGGTATCATTACCGGCCATGAACCCCTGTGTTTTGAATGCCTGTGAGGGCAGTGCTACATGAGACACGGCTGACCCATTGGAAACCCCTCGGTCAAAAAAGATCATCTTACACCGGCATACTGACACCTGCACACGGGCAGCCATGACCTCTGCTGGCCCCGCCCGCTTCTCCCAGCCTCCCACTCATGACTTCGAACACAAGTGGACGGTGTGCATGGCAGTGTCTGCGTTTATGGATGTCATAAAGTATGCTGAATGTAAAACCGTTTCATCTATTTCTGACAAGATGTTCGGGCTTTTTAGAAGAAAAGAGAAAAATTGATACAACAATAATGCCTTGAGCCATCCCTCATTTTTTTGTACACTGTGATGAAAACAGTGTAATAGCAGACGTGATAGACACTGCCGGCTATTAACCATTTGTTAAATGGCCTACCAAGCAAAGAGGCACATTTATCCATCATCCAGTTCAGGGTCATTAAACAACAACAAACATGTCTCTTAGACTAGTTAGATATACGGACTGGACTGAATATGAGTGGAAAAAGCAGCCATTATGCGGAGAAAATTTGTTAAAAAACTCTCAGAAAATATGAGCGACTGCTGAAACCAGATTACAAGACAGTCCAGCTGCAAAAAAACTAATTCAACACGTGATGTATATGTGCATTTCAAGCTTTCTCTTTAATTGTGTATGTGAAATTATGCTCCACTTCTCTCTGCTGGATGTATTAGAAATGTGAATTTGTCCCTTGTGCTCTCAAGGATACTCACATGATGGATGCAGAAAAAAGGACGTCGCCCGACCCACTCACCTCAGAGACATCAACAACGGAGATTAAAGTGCGTGTTTGTGTGCATGGCAACAAGCCTGCATGTGTGCGTTTTGTGCTTTAATGCTCGATGTGCTTCCCACGGAAGCTTTTGTTCCAGGCGGGCCTGCTGTGAAATGCAGTGCTGTTAGTTATGCTTGAGGGAACAAACTTGCATGAACTTTCAAATTCCCTTACATAGTCCTTTTTAACACCAACCATGTGATCTGTGTGACGTGATTAACATAGTGTGGCATGTTTTGGAAAAGCTCTTTTTCTAACACCAAAGCCATTTCAGTGGGAGTCTGTGGATTTGTGAGCTTAAAGATGTTATCAGAGTCAGCTGATGTGTATCTGCTACGTGCTTTGGTATTTCAGGTCACAAAATCTGAGTCAGTCTTGACCTTGTTAATAGTTTGCAGGTGACACCACAAGCAACTTTTGTTTACAGCATAGAGATTTCTTTTTTGAATGGCAGAATGAATTTTCATTTGCCTTCAATTATTCTTGCAGATACGTTCAATTAAATTTAAAGGACAGACATAATGATTTTGCGTTGATAAAAAAGACAAGAAAAGTCATTTATGTTTTTTTATGCTATTGTGATTATTTTTACAGTGCATAATACATCCCATTTGCTCCTTTTGTTTCAATGTTTTTCAAGGTTGGACACCCAAACGGAGCAGGGAGTGAAGAGCTTGGGAAGAAAACCTCTGCCACTGTTCCAAAGACAACAATAAGGAAAAAAAAGGTACAGAAAATACATTTGTTGCAGTCAACTAGATTTTTTCTGCTTGATTTGTCAATTGTTTTGTCCATTCCCATGATGCTTTAAAAATGCCATCATTTCCACTGGATTGGGCTGGAGATGTCTTTTATACAGTTCAACTAAAGCTTGGCATTTTCCTACTTGCTTACAGTCATAACTGACCCTCCTTACAAGCATTTAATTAAATATAACATAGGAGGGCTACATTTGACCACATAAGTTTGGATTTAAAGTCTAATATGGATAAGTAGTTTTTAAAAAACAGCCTCAGTTTTCAGGCGGAATGAAATTATCTTGCTGTAGTTGCTTCAAAGACATCTTAAACAAACATCTGGTGCTATAAATGGGTCATTTATGTCATGAAGAGTGTGGAGATAAGAAATGCTGACTGATAGTAAGACAAGCTTGGTGGATGCATGCTTCCTGCATCTGTCAGAGGAAAACGCTTTAAAGAAGCAGCAGTGATTTTGAAAGTATTAAAAACCCTGTGCACTTTTTTCTCATATTCATTTATCCATTTAAAAAGATTTCCCAATTAAATTGTGGATTGCAAGTAGAAATTTAGGCTGATGCCAGCTGTGGCTCTCATTTCATTTTCTGTTGTTAAAAATTGGGCCTTGTAATCAAAGGGGACTATTTGTGTTTGTGCTTCTTATCCTTCTTAGTCAAATTATTATGACAACAGGAGGACATGGCAACGGAAGGGGATTTTCAAAAAAGAACTTCCGACTCTTGCATTTTGAGGTCACAGATAGAAAAATGCCAGCATTTTTTTCTCTTGAGGAGAGAGGTGCTTTGACTACCGAGCACATTTGAAAATGAATTTGGTTGTGCAAGGAAGTTCAGAGACGGATCAGATACAAGGGAATTTTCAAAAATTAGACCATCTGAGAAATGAGCCGTCTGGTAAGTGAACAGAGATCACAGTGATAAAGTATGTTCTCAACTGCATTGGCAGATTGTTGGAGGGAATGCACACCAAAGCCAAACGTTGACATTTGGGCTTTTATTTGACCTTCTTTGCCGTCTTTTGAGAGTTTGACCACAACCATTCAATTGTATATGTCCACAAATCCCCTCATAATCCACGATTTACAAACCAGGTCTTATCCTCTTTTAGGTCTGTCAGGTTTCTTTGCCATCTGGCTGGTTTTCCAGTTGTTTTAAGGATGCACAAAGAGAAACAAGAAACCTGGTTGAAACCTTCAGAAAGTATTAATCTAGTAAAAATAGGACATGTAGTTTGATTTAATTCCCAGATTTCCATTACTACCCAAACACCTGTGACTATTGATGAACAGTCTGCTGAGTGATTTAAGACCACTTCCATCATGGATGAAAAAGCAGGGAAATTTTGTCCATTCATTTGATATCAGAGCATTGAAAATGTATGGTACCAGGTTCCTAAAAGAAAAGAATATGCATGCTCCGTCCCTTTGTCCCAACTAGTTTTTCTATCCGTGTTGGCTAACATTTTAAAAAGAAACACATGGTTCTTTTGTATGCTCTTGTTTTGATTATACCTGTGAAAACGGGATGATTTTCTGTCATTTTTTTAAATAAATGTTTTGACAGGCAGTCCAGACTACTTACAAAGACAGCTGTCTATCATCTTTTTCTGCCTTTTTCTGCCTCTCTCCATGACGTCTGCTCTAGATGTGGAGGCAGGCTTCAACCACAGCTGGAAACAAGCTGACGTCCAGCTATTTTCCCCTTTTACGTCTCTGTGGTTTTCACTGAGTGCCAAATGTACCCGAATCAATTACATAGCTCCCAGGGGCAAAATCCATACCAGGTCTAACTAAAGAAATGCGCACATCTAATTATGTTGGCAAAGTATCATCAATGGAGTGACCAAATGTTTAAATGGAGGCTGCATCCATGGATTTTTTTCTCAACAACCCATTAAGTTTAGCTGCAAATGGAAATGTTCTTCTGATAATTGGTGTAAGGATGCAAAAAGCAGGCCTTTTTACTCAGCTATCCAATGTTTATCTACAGACTAGCCTTTTAGCACTGGATGTTTTTGAGCATTATCAATAGTTAAGCTGCTGGTGTCAGACCCCTTTTATACTGTTCTCCACAGTCAGTAGGTAATTTGGCTTCAGTTTACATGAGTTGCAATACAGGAGAACTTGCTTTGAAGTATTCGTTAAGACTTATCTTAGGTTTCCTTGGTGGACACCTATGAAAGATGCAGAAAGGTACCTCTCAGAATGTTGCCGTGATTAGGTTAAGGTTCTTTTCCTACACAAAAGTTGGAGATAAGCGCATTTTATACCCTCTCAGGGTCGGTAAGGTAAGATATACATAAGACTAAGTCTGGAGTTTTACAGGCATATCTATGTTTTACTCTCTCTCCTATTTGTTGTTTTCTGCAATGACCAGGATGCATGTCATTTCCCGGAACTTGGAAAAAAGTGCAAAGCTTCTGTGGGTTTTTGTGTCTTTTGTTTAAGGTTCGTTGTCAGTAGCAGTGTATCAGTTACCCCCTGTGTAGACTCGTATTTCCTGTCACGAGACTCACATCTCTCCATCTCTCCCAAACAGGTGAGAGAAGGGAGGAATAATGGCACGACTCATTTTGTGTCCCAGCCGAGCCTGTCTCCCGGGATGCGCCGTGCACGGCCTTTCTCCATACCAATAGTTTTACCCCTAACCTCAGAGCGGAGGAGCTCCAGCTCAGAGCCGGCGGATACCATTCCTCTGTTTCCACAAGACACTCCCTCTCACGTCGCGCACATTGATGTCCGGCTCTCTGGCAGTTCGGAGGGTCTCAGCAGGTCAGTCCAGTGCATGCAAATTACAAATATATACGAACGATTTCTGTGCAGCTTATGCATAGAGTTATATTTTTAAAACCTGTTTAATAGGTCAATTACCTTAATGCATGACCACAAGAAGCAAACAGAATTCAGTCATAGTGTGATTGTGTTAAAGAAAATCTGATGTCATTTTTTTCATTTGCAAAATGCCACTAAGGCGCCCCCAATACTACGATTATGCAATTTCACATTTTTTATGAGAATATCTTGCATAAATGCATATGGTAAGGGGTGCCCTTTCAGGGGTTATTGCCAGCCTTTGCATGGCTGACCTAAGCTGAGGGTGAAGATTTTTTTGTTTCTGACAGCAATCATGAACCTGCATTATGGCCTGGACCCTGTGTCAATGTGCGTTTGGCATGCAAACAAGCCTATTATAAGACTCGAAACTGGAAACTCTTGGTGTCAAGTGGCCTCAATCCTGGAATAGCAACGTTGCAGCTGTGGCTGTTGTTGGGGGACTCGCTTCTTCTGCTTAGAAAATGTAATTATTTTTTGCTGGAAATCTAAACATTTTTTTAACTCAAATATCACCTGGCAGAGCTAATTTTGATATATTTCTTACAATTTTGGACAGAAAATGGATGAGAAACTTCCTGTAGTGAACAAACTCCAAAAAACAATACTGAGTGAAACAACAAGAAATCTCACTTTAATGTATTTGTATAGCACTACTTAACTTAAAAAGAAATCTCAGTCATCTTTTTTTAAAGAGAAATAAAGCAATTCCTTTTTAGCAGGTTCTAAAAAAGACAAAAACCTTCAGCAGATCCTGACTCAGAGGGGATAACGGCCATCTGCTTCAACCACTTGAAGCCAGATGGCAAAATAAATAAATAAATGAATAATTAAAAAAACAAAAATATCAGACCTATTTCATGGTTTGGCTGGGCTCATAAACATTGAGATTCAAACCATATAATTACAGTAACATTACCAGCTCAGCCCACAGGACTAAGAGACGAAGATGTCATGTGCTGTGTGTGCTACTTAAATATTTAGATGAAAATTGATTGCATGCTTTTTGGCTTCTCTTACAACCAGTCAAACATACCGATGACCTCCTGTCAAACATTAATCAGACTTTAGTAATATGTTATAACCACACCCATTAAGAACTCACATAAAAGTTCAGTTTGATGTGTGCACACCATAACACACAGTTAGTGTGTTTCTGTCTTTTACATTTTTATTAGTTATAAATCAATATGCCATTAGCAAATTATTTAGATCAGCATCAACTTCTTGTTTTTATTTTATTTATTTATTTATGTATTAATTTTTTTGTGTAATTAATCCTGAAGGCAACGTGATACCAAGTTATCTTTGCGTGGTCATCAGTTGCCTCTTACTGAAACAGATATATTCCGTCCACGAAGAGGCATATGTAATGCTTCCAACGTGCTGAGGCTTTCCTCGCCATGTCAGGGTACCAGTAAATCTTCAGGTGGATTCCCTCACATGCCCAAACTTTCTTTGCCAAGTCGTATTGGGTGGCTGAGACGCATAAGGCATTTACATCAATGTGCGTCAGCAGCCCGGCCCAACAGACTTCATAAGCATGGAGTTCTTTTCTGGGGTCGTTCAAGCCCGTGAATGTGTCCTTGTTTCTAAAGACAACGCTAAAATCTCAAAAGACTTGTTATGATGACATAGAGCAGCACAATCATTTTCCACCAGCTGAAATCTCTGTTGTCATATCAGAGGCAGCTCTCATGCCTTCTTGTCAGCTTGCTCTCACTTTCCATGCGTAAGTGTCACCATGGTGCAGCACTTATAACAGGAATGCAAGACCTTTTAGACATCAACCCAACATTTTTTATACTTTTTTTTGTATTTTGCAAGAGTTTTATTCCCTCCACTGAATTATTATTGTCATGTTTAATCTGACAGAATGCGCAATGGGCAATCAAATGATCTTTTATTCATATTCAGTGGCTTCACCTGCTATTCATCTCCCTATTGTACAAAATAAAATATTATCAGTTATATGTTTTTGGTATTATAATCATGCTCTTCTTTTGTTAGATAAATTAATCCCATTGTTCTGCTCGCCCCTTCGCAACCTTTCCATGAAATTTATGATGTTATCCTCACCCACCACCTGGGCTTCACACGGCTGGGTAGCAATGCCATGTGAACTTATTGCGTTCTTGGCATTTTGTTATTTCACATAGTGGGATGCATACTGCCTTTTTAGTGGTGGTGCCCTGTTTTCCATGAAACTCATGCCGTAACCTTTGGGTTTCTTTGAAACCTATTTGAAATAGGTGAGAGTGGGGAAAATTGCAGTGTGGTGTGAATGCAGGTTCCCTGTGGATATAACCGCATTGTTGGCCACCGGTCAGGAAGCTTTAGAGTCTGACAGCAGGTACAGTATATACAGTAGGATCCTGCCAACTACACGAGTCTGGTTTTCCTAGAAATGGCATCCTTTAGCTGTACCCTGTTGTTCATGCCTCGTGGGAGACAGTGGCCATCACAGGTTCTGAGATTAATTTCAGTGTGGATTCATAAAGGATATCTACTAGTTTTACCATGTGTACAGCTGTACTTTGTATTCTGTTGATTTATGCATCTCACCCCCGGGTGTCCTTACACAGTTTGTTCTTTGGGGTCTTGCCAAACTGTTGAAACATTTAACATTTTAATCAGAGTTATTTTAGTGTGGAGGGCATAGAGTTTGGAAGAAGTAAGGCCGGGCATGGTGGAGAGAAGTAAAAGCTGAAATCTTGCAGTTTTGCCTTTTTCCTGGACGGATCAGACCTGTTCTGAAAATTCCCCTAAAGCTTCCTGTTATCCCCTCAGTAAGGTAGCGGGTAAGCAGGATTTCCGCTTTTGTAATTCACACTAGCAGCCACAGCGCACATTATTTTAATAGGCCTGACAGACTGTGTAATACCTGTTATGGTGTGTGTATCCATGTGGGCTATTGTTTGAGGAGAGAGGGAGAAGGAGGCTCTAAGGCTGTAAAAGAGCGTGGAGCAGTTTGCCCCATGAACAATGCTTGACTTTTTCCACGCGTTGGGTGATTTCAAAAGACATTTGAAGCGTCCTGAACTTTGTCCCATTTTGATTTCTGCCCAACTTGAAACCTAAATCCTCTGTTTTGGATGTGTTGAGGTGTTACTCGAATGGCCAAAGAGGTTAACCCTCCCCTTAGCACACCTGCCTCTTACCATAAGCCACATGGGGGTAAATCACGTAGCAAAACATACCAGAGTACCAAAACATCCAGTCCTGGGCTACAAAAACAACTTTTCTCCTCTAGGTTTTAGCACATCTGAAAGTCAACATGTTTACAACCTACAATCTTGCGGGTTTATTTGAGTTTGTTGTTGTTTGCAGCTTATTAATCAAACACAAAATAGAAAACAGAAAGATGGAAGTTTTAGACAAAACTGAATTTGGAGTATTTTTGGTTTCTTTTGGTTCCAATTTGAGCACAGAGAAATTAAATGAACCCATCGCCATGCACTGATCACATGAGTATCTATGAGTATCAAGACATAACGTTAATTAACTGTGGCATTTTTCCCAAAGCTGGTCTCATATGTGATGCAGGTTTTTTTTTTCTAATGATCTAATGTGGCAGATTAAATTAATGGTGAGTGAAATGTTCTGTGCACGCATCGTAAGGCAATCAGTGGCAAAGCATGGCTTTAAAGAATGAACTAAAAATCTTCCTTCAAACCTTATGGATGGGCTGCTGTGTTGATAGAGGAGTTCAGCTTTATATGTGTTGCATATTACAGAAAAATGCAACAAATCCAAAATATGTACAGGTTTGATTGGACAAACCTATCCAATAAATCAGCCAAACTGAGATTCCTTATGAAACGTTTGACATACTCATTCAGCGTTTCCTGTTTTAACTTTATAAAAGATCTGCTTAAGCAAACAAGGAGATTATGACATTTTCAGACTCTGAGAGCCAGGATATGAAAACGTTAGGCAACTTCCCCAGTCAGCGCCAGCACAGAGTTCCTCATTTTGTTGCATAATGTCATCATGGGTTGCTGGCATACATGTACTGGCAGCGGCTAGCCTATATACAAGAGCGGCCCTCATTTCTCTGTTGCTTCAGTGTAATAACCACAGACAGGTTTCACAAAGGCCATGATCTGTAGCACCGCGTGGCTATTATTCTGCAGACAAAAGCCAGTCCCGTTCGCCCATTTTCAGTCCCAGTAACGTGCGGTGATGATGAGGGCCCATACTTTGTTTTTATGTCATTTCACTGCTCAAATACTTTTCATGCCATCTTACAGTTTCTAAAAACTACCCGCTGACTTTTTTTTTTCCTTCTTGCTTTTCAGCTCCCAAGATGAGGAAAGGCCAATATCTCCTTTTTACATGAGGTAGGCCTTCAGTCTGTGAGTGAAAAGCAGCCAGAACTGGATCGGAGCATGTTGTTTTGGTGTGGAAGTGTGGGGGAGGTGGCCGTGCGCTGCCTCGGTGCATTATCATTACAAACAATAGAACCAGCGGTTAGATGGAAAACAGGCCAGGGAGCACATGCAACAGTTGATTTAACACTGTTTTTTCAAATGATAACAGCCACAGACCTTGTTTCAGACACATCACCTCATCAAATGGCACATCATATCATGATTAAGAGACGTTTTGTTATAAGGGGATGTGGAAATTATACTTATTGAGCAACCAGAGACTCCAGCTTAGACAACTAATAAATATGATCAGTTAAGATTTCACCTGCTTCAGAGTGAGATAAGCTAAATGAAAGTTACAGATTTTCAGAAACAGAATTTCCAGAACACTGAGGATTCCCGTGAGAATTAAAGTAAAATAGATTATGAAGGCTGCATGCATTTTCATGTTTCTCCAGGTCAGCACGATCAGCCTGGTCATACCTCAGTGTCATTAACTGATAATTAATTAACTCACTTCACTATTTGTTAATCTGAAGCCATGGAAATAAATAGAAAGAAAGAAAGAAAGAAAGAAAGAAAGAAAGAAAGAAAATGCATGCTAAGCAAAGACGTGGCTAAAATGACTCTACAAGTACAAACTGAAGTAGCAGTTCACCACCAGTTTCTATTTGCAATTTTTTTAGCTCCCAGTATTTGTTTAAGAGCCTTTAAGTTACTCAGATAAAACTGTGGGCTGCAGTCAGGAAATGATCACTGATTGAATTAGTTGTTTGACCCTTTGACCAATCAAAAATCCTGAAGATGTTTCATCTCTGACATGAGTCACTTTCATTTCCTGGAGGTTTCTCTGGGAAAGTTTCTCTTATGTATCTCTTACTCATAATATCTGTTATGAAAATGTATTCTTCAGCCCTGGGAACCTGTTGCATATGTTATATATTGATGTATCTTAGACAAACATATGACAATTTAGAAATAACAGTTGGTCCCTTTTCTCACTCACGTTCAGCCACATAGGTTACTATGTCACATACTCTCTTTGTCTCACTGCTGAAGTCTGCATTCCTTCACATTTACAAACTCTCCCTCTGTGACATGTTAGCTTAATATTAACCCAGTCAAAGTGGATCACAGCCCAATATTACTATCACCTTTTTTTTTTTTGTCAGGCGGTATTGACCAAAGGTTTTGGCTAATATTTGACTGTGGTGTAATACTGGATTACCTGAGCGGAAGGGCACACCGTGGTGGGGATTTAACTAGAATAAGCCTCCACTGTGGAAGCTTTGGAGTTGTTTCCTTTGCAGTTTTCTTTAGTGGTTTTTAAAGACCAGTTGGTTTAAAACACCAACACAGGTGCTAACACCGGCACATCATTTAGTTTTATTTGCAAAGCAGTTTTGTTAGTCTGAAGCACCGGAGAGAAGCTATTAAACTAAGCTTTTCTAAAACAAAGATTTGCATTGCTGGCTTTTTAGCTGAAAAACACTGCAATGCACAAAAAAAAATAGCAGAACTCTGAAATTAAAATGTCAGACTTGTCATTTTATTAAAGACTCTACTTCACAGCTCAGCACATCTTACAGACATCATCAAATCTGGAGACACAAACAGTCCTATTTCAGAAGCCATTCCAACATATCCAGATGCCTTTAAATTCATTAAGAGACTATATTTTGAGACTCAAGAGGCATTATACTTCTCAGAATTTTTCATAAATCATTTGTGTTTTTACCAAGATATAGTTGATGATTGTTAGCAGTTTCATATGAAGGCAGTGAACAGGATGTTATAAGCAGGAACAGGGAGTTGCTCCTACTCTAAAGCCAAAGAAGAAGTGGTGCGTCCAAACACATTTGGATAAAGTAGCTCTGAAAGGACTCCGAAAACACAGATAAAGCACTAATTTTGTAAGATGACGATGAAAATAAATAGTTTTGTTTTTATTTTTACAATCTTTCTAAATCTAAAATCAAAATTTCTATCAATGATTTGTGTTGATCAAAGATTAATCTGAGGCTTGCAGCATGTTGTGTTTGTAGAACGAGTTTAAGAGTGCTGACTTGGCTCATTTATTTTCTTGGGGTGATATTCTGGTCATGATTCTGCTGCAGTGACTCATCCCTCTGGCCAAAGGCCTTTTTGTCAATAGGTCATGACTCACCATCTCTCTTGTCCAGAGCAGTCCCATCCCGTACCACAGTTGGCTTACGCTCTCACATCTTTAATTCAAACTCAGTTGGGAAAATGTATCTTTGGTCTGTGATGCCTGATCCTTCTTGACATTTTCAGGCTGTCACACTGTTAATTTAATCAGCTGTTTAGATGTATTATAAGCTGGTAAATAAAAGTCTGATTTAAGATGACAGCCCGTCATTAGAATAAGGCACGTTAATCAACTTGATGAGTTTTGTCTAAGACTTCAGTTCACAATTTCAGACTAACATTTTACCCAGGAATAACATTTTTATGCAACATATGGAAGAGTTGGTGCGAATGTTCTGTTTGCTGTGAGAAACTGCTCACAACCCAAAACAAAACACGGATTGGCCAGGTTTCAGGATAAATCCTACGGTCACATGATGAGGTTAATAAAAAAGATTTTGTTTTGTGTTGTGTATGTGTTCTTTAGATCTAATTTGAGAGCACAAAAGAACATTTCGCACCAAAACATAAACTAGGGATGATGAGTCACAAGTGTTTCTGTATATGTTCACAAGCCAAAATGGCTGGGAGCGACTGTTTCTAAAATTGTAGCAGCAAGCTTAGTCAGAGAGCTACAAACATTTATCAGGGGATAAAACCATCTTAGGTGGTCTCATACTGTCGTCCAGTTCACCTTCATATCATCATCATACTATGACTGGCTGGCAGCCAGTGCTAAAATTTCTGGGTGGTTCCAGAAACTTCTGTCTGAAGCTTTAGGGATAACTGACCATATGTCTGAAAAACACTTGATGAGTTTATGCCTCAGGCACTTGTTGGCATCGAGATCAAGGGGTTACATTAACATCAGCGAGGCGTTAAATCATTTTCTGTTTTTTTATCTTGTAGGATCAAGAGTCAGGTCTATTTTGAGGTAGCTGACCAATATTTTTCCTGCAGCTCAGTTAGGAGCCATTTTCTTTCTACTGCCCGCCTCCCTACTGTTCAACAGATATACTGTGTGTGTTTTTCAAGTGATCGTCTTGTTATCAGACACCAGAGTGTGCCTTATTTTAATGTTTGCGTGCAGCGTTTTAATGTCAACACAAATCATTTATCAGAGCTTTACTTGAGTCACCTTCACATTCCCCACAAAGTTGTGTGTTCCTTCTAGACATAGCCCAACGCCAAGCCGTGCTATCACTGTCAAAACAGCTTATGTTTATAGAAGTTTTTTTTCTTTTATCCATATTGTATGTATTTTTTGGGGGAGAATTGTTTTCCAGGAAGATCAGGTGTGACGTCAATGACTTAGTTACATACATAAGACCTTCATGAAGACTATGAAGCCCCCCTAATGTTAAAAACCAAAAGTACAAATATTCAGATTTTCAGATTTTTTTAATTAATAAAAATGGAAAAAAATCCTCCCATTCCCATTTTTGTTTATCACCTATATAGAACACCAAAACTGAGTGTCTGTTTCAGTTGTCTTTAAAATATAATGAAGCAAAACGTGAACATTACATCTACATTAATTTATTGTGTAGAGAATTTTTCCCATTAAGCTTAGTTTTGTAAGAAACATACAAAACAGCCCCATTTCTTTTGACAAAATGACAGATGATAGAACAGTTTGTTTACAGGTCTGCAGCCTCTGATGATGGGCATTCGGGTAGCCGTAGTAGCCAGCCACATAGCTCTCACAGGGCCCATTTAAGCTGTGATCACCACTGAGGATAATTCTCAGCCATGCACGTACAGGCCTTGATCACGCAGCCCCACAACTTGAGCCCCAGGGCATTTTCAGCGTTGCTCAGTGACCTGTTGTGGCAATTTCTCTAGCATTAATCTGCCCCTCTTGTTTTCCTTCCAGCAACCACCTCTCGCCTGTCCACTGCCAACCAGATGTGGTAAAGTACGTAGGCTTTTGTAACATAAAGTAATGTGTGTTTTTGTTTTTTTTTACATGACAAAAGTGGAATATTTTCAAAGTTCTTACACCTATGGCGTGCGATTTGGTAAATTTTCTTCTTGTCTACTCGTTTTCCCTCTCCATCTTCTGAAGCGTTCTGGACCAGACCATCCGATCTGCAGTGGAGAAGCACCTCTTTGACGTAAACCCTTTAGCAGATCAACATTCAGAGCCTTGTACCACATTTCCTTCAAGCCCAAAGGTGACGCCAACTGCACGTCAGAGGCGACGGCTCCAGAGAGAACAACAGGAGGCGGACCTGGGTCTCAGGGAGAGAAGCAGGTACAATCGGTCAGGCACCTGTTAGCTGGCGGCTGACGGGATCAGAACATAACCAGAGCAGATAGTGTAAACACTGACCTATGGTAGTAAATATCGTATTCCTTAATCTTCATTTTCCAAATTCCAAATGTTTTGAAGTTATTTCCTTGCCAGGGGGGGGCGTTCTCCTGGGAGACGTGACTTGTTTGTGTACGAGAGTATTTGGATAAACTCCGTTATGGTTGGTCAAATTCCTGGAGACTTGCCATGGGGGTGGGGAGGAGTCCCGTGATGCTGGCTGGTGAACGTTCACATGTTGTGTTAATAGTCAGGAAGCTTTGACATAAAACAGTCATTAAAAAAGCTAAAACACCGTTGACCACGTGAAATTGCTATGTTCTTTTCATTACTCATAATAAAAAAAAGTGCATGAGGAAGGTCCAATTTTATTACAGCCACTTAACAGAGTGACTATGTTTGTGATTGTTGTTGAAGCTACAAATGGATACTTAATGTATCCACACAAAGTAGTGTAGTGTGCTCGCTAACTGACCTTAGACCCTATTCAACCATGTTGTTCGAATAAAAGATGTGTCCATGCATCTAATATCAACACAACTGGCATTAAAAACAGTTTAATCACTGACCTTGACCTGATTTTCAGCTTCAATGTCTCTTCAAAGCTCATTTTGCACCAGTCATAATACAGACGCCTATGAAGTATCGCAAACAGCACAAATAGTCACAGTGGAATTTGACTGTAGAAAGAAATCTGGGAACTAAAACGTGAAAGCCACCAATTTGGTGAGAAGAGGTCTTGCAACCCGTAGTTTAACCCTGATTTTAAAAAATGTCCGATAATGAAATACAAAAGTTTGTGCATGGCTATTTTTTAAGCATTGGATTATGTGAGAATGCATTATTTCACCATTGCTACATAGCCAGGAAAATATGGCATGACATAGGCCTTTTTAAAAAAGAATACAAATAACAGTGTAAATAAAAGTGTGCTCTGTTTTCAGACTCTTCTCTTTTGTACTCTTTTAAAAAAAAGACTGATTTAAACAAAAAGAGAAGATTCAATAAAAGGTCAAGTGACAAAAACAGTTTAGTATTCCATGCTAGGTAATCCATCAAATAAAATTAAAAAAACACAAAAGAATAGTTGTGATGACAAATAATATTCAGTATTAACATGACAGCTATTAGACTACAGTTTCACCTTAATATGAATTGAGGGAATATATCAATATCAATATTAAAATCTATGTTCAAGACAGGAATATTTGTCCATGGCTTGAAATTTGAATTTATAATTTGATTAAGTATCCATCCATCTGACATAATAGTTCCGGGTGGATTTCAATCACTGCTACTATTTAGCTGCGCCTGGGATCTTGTCCACTGAGAGATAATGCAGTCAAAACAATTGGAGTCACTCCAGTTAGAAACTAATCCTTGTTGAGTTGGTGACGAGATCACTGGCTTGTGGATTAAAGGTGTGTCATGTTCCACAGTGGGCAGCGAATATCATTCAGTATGTGGACAGTAAATAGAGAGTAAATAGAGTTAACATAAAAATCAAAACAGCTCCTTATCTGCTTGAGCATAAGTACGACATCAGCTCACCCTTGGCATTTGGTTTCTTAGGCACACACCAGAGAAGAAGCAGATGGAAGACAATTCTCTAATTTCATCACATTTGTCCCATTTATCTGAAAACAGAGCTTCATCCACCAGAGCAGAAAACAAAAAAGGCTCCATCCTAACAAACGGTGGCAGCAGCTCAGGCAACGTGGGGGAGGACACGGACAGCAGTCTGGACTCACAGGGAGGCCAGACTGGCTTCACTGGGCGAACCCCCAAACCCAGGAAGCCTAATCACAGCCCAACTCCAGAGCAGCTCACCAACAAGCTGGTCGCCCACACAGTGAGTCTGAATACCGTATTTCCTCTTTGATATTTCATATTCTGTCATTTTGGCAAATCGCCCCCTTCTCTGTGTATTCAGCTCTCTTTCTTCCACTCATTCTTACAATGATCTTATGTGCAATTCAGTCGATTGCATAATGAAGGCTTGTCTGAACTGATTCATTGGCTATGCTTTGCATGCTAGATGGCAGAAAAGTATTACCTATTTATGCCAATTTAATGTCAACCAGCATTATTGGCACACTCCTTTTTACATTCTCTGAAATTCTCCAGCAATACACTTATGATAATGAAACTGCCGCCCTTATGAGCAGGTCAAAGTAAATAACTGTCATTTTTCAATTAAACAGGAACTGCTAGATTGAGGTAAGATGGAAAATGGCAGGAAGCTGTTTGGCAACCTAATGGTTCTCCATGCTTTTATAACAGCTTGTTATAAGCAGCCTCTTATGCTAAATGTTAGATAATTTTTTCCCAGAAGCAGTCCAGACATGAAGTGATGTTTTAAGTAGGTAATTAGCAGCAGCGTTTATTCAATTAAGACACAGAAGAAACGGAACTTGCCTTTTCAGCTGGGAGCTAATGGCAACATTCAAACCTTTATATAGTCCAAAGTATTTGTACTCAGCTCTGAAGAAATTGCTGAAATATGGAATTTAACAAGTTTTTATCTTTCTTTTAATGTTTGTAAGGAGCCATTTGTTTTACTTTTTTATTTTATCCATTTTTATCCAGACTCAACACATACAGGAGGAGCTCGGTCAAAGGTTGAATACGTGTCAGCACACCATGACGTAACTAGAAAGTCCTCAAGTGATATGAGCTCATCAAGTTGAAACTAAATTACATCTGCGTTTGCATGAAACACACAGTGTTGAGTCAGTGTTGTTTTTTCCAGCAAATTTTAAAGAGCTGCCTTTTTGAGATTTTCTACAAATCATTTACCTAATATTTCGATTTTCACAGGATGGTTCAGAAGTATGTTTGTGATGGCTTTTTTTTTTTACAAAAACTGTATGAATGCCAAAATACTGCTGCACAACTTTCAGAAATGTACACAGAAACACTCAGAGCACTCATCTCTGAAAGAAAATTATATTCATAGAGGCGTTAATCACTGCCTTGTGGAGGGGTTAAGTCAAACTGAGCTGCAAGGTAACCCCTTGATCTCTCTCTGTTAGATTATTCTATAATCAAATCTCAAGCAGCATGTCAGATTTTAGATGAACAATAGACTGATGTATTATGTGTGAGTGTTTTCATTATTCTAATCATTTGCAACCTGCCACCAATATTTTTTAAGTTTGTGCTCCTTTACAAACAGATTTTGTCCAATGAATATTTGGCAACTGAGTAATTTCAGTGATTAAAAAAAAGAAAAATTAAAAGATAAATATTTTGTTGATAAAACACACTTTAGTGTTTTGTTTGATAGAGAATTACACATTTAAGCCCAGTTTAGGTCTCTGAGGTTCAGCCCCATGCTCAGTAAGAAATTAAAGGAAATGAAAAATAACATCAACAATCATTAATAATCAGCAGAATTTAGAGCTTTGCTGATTGATTTCTTTGCAGCAAACAAAGTACCTTATGTTTTTTGCCTTTTGAGTGTTTTCCAACTGTGCTCTCATATCATAAAATGATAGTGGGCAAATGGCTCAGGTAAATGTTTAAGTCTACAAAAGTTACATAACAGTCCTGATAGGTATCAAATTTGAACTCAACTCAATCCGTCTTACTCATCAGTCCAGATTAGAAGTGGCAGTATCATGCTTACAGGTGGCTCCTTTAGCAGCTGTCGCTCATCTGCCCCAGAACAGATAAGACATCATTCAGTTCTGGACACGGAGCTTTGAAAGCGCTCAAAGCCAAAACGAGGACACAGTGTGAAGAATGAGGCTGAAACATATAGCTGTAGGAATCTGATCGCCACTAACCCACCTTACAGCATAACTGTGGACCATAAAGTCTGACAGTTGTTCACACTGGGCTTACAAATGTTGTTCACTAATATGAAGATGGGCTGTCCTACTGACTCACTAATGGAAATAGATTTATTAAGCTTACGCTCTCACTCAAGGAGAAGAAGTGGAGACTGTCAGATGGTTTTTTGTTTTTTTTTCTCCTGCATGCCATCCTCTTATGTAACAGTACAGATGACACATGATAACGGCGACGATTTGAGCTTGGACAGGATTTCTGCGTTGGTGTGGACAGCTGCCTGAGCATTTAAGCTCTTTAGGTCAAGAGCCAGCTAATCAGGAGTTATAAAGATCCCCTTGCTGATTCCTGGTGGCGATGGGGAAGCAAGGTGTTTTTGTTGATGGCTTGGGGTTTTGGGGCTTTTTAAAAAATGTTTTTAGCTAACCACCTTTGCTTAAAAAAACTACATGTTTGGACTGACTGTTTTCCAGTGGTAATTCTGTTATTGTAGGTATAGTCCCCTTTAACTTTCCCACTACTGACAGATTGATGCAGCTGTTTAAAAACCTAAAACTTTCTCTCTGGTTTTCAGCTACTTGGAGTTGAAACCGCTCCAAATTTGATTTTGGAGGCATTAACTGATGTTGGGAAGATTTCAAGATTAAATTGGACAGATGAATAATGTTGCTTTCCACGCAACTCCTAAAAGTTTTGGTCAGTTTTTTATTTTTCCTCACATTCGAAGGCAAAGATTTTTTTTCTTCTATTCAAAGTTTAAATTTAAAGTTTAATTGTAAAAGCTGTGACTGTAAACTTAGAGATTGAAGAGATTGCTTTCTGCCATGCTGCCAAATATTGATTATAAATTCTAAACGTCCTTCCCTTTCTTTTAACATTACACAGACATATGAATGAAAATGCAATGAGACCAGCTTAACACAACGCAAAAGGCTGTTATACAAAGCAATAATAAAAAAGAAAACGAAGAAAATAGTGGTGGGAGAGGACAAAACCACAAAAAAATGCAGTCTGTTCCAAAAATCATGTCCTTTCTGCAGTTTGGAGAAAGTCTTTGTGAAAGATGGGGTTAAAACCACGTGGATACACATCCTAAAGGGTAAATTCCAATAAATCTGAACTGTTGTATATTAGACACACAGTTTGTTGCACCTGTAAACCAAGTGATTGCTTTACGGTGATAAGCTGCTGTGTCATTTATCTCTACAGAGCTGGGTGGCCTGCTCTGATAATTAGACACGTTATCTGATAAGGACAGATAAATATGCATGAATGCATTTGGTCTGTGTTTCCCGAGGCTTCTGGCTGTGAGATAAAGTGGATTGAGTTGTTTGGTCTCGAGCTTTTTTCTATTGAACTTTACTGGAAAGACGTTTCTGGAAAAGATGACCTTGGATCTCCTTCCCTGGTAGGCTCGGTTTCCTGTCTCCTTGGTAATTAAGTTAGTAATGAGGGAAGGCGGGAGGATGAAGGAATATGGAACAAGTCAGAGGGCTGCTTCATAGAACCAGGGAAGTGAAAAAAGGATGGGGGGGCTTTTGCCTGGTGGATGGTGGGAGTGGCTGGGTTTGAAATGAAGGACAGAGAAGCAGATGAAAGGCAGGCAGCTGCAATAAAGAAACCCCTGACCTGGACCCTTTGTTTGGGATGGCTTTGGAAGAGAAGTGACAGCTCAATAGACTGCATTAAAAAAACACACAATTCAGAAAAAAATAAAAAAAGAGATCACATTTGATGAAAAATTAAACGTAAAAAAGAACACGATTCCCTTAACAAACGGGGACAACTTAAGACCAGTAGGTGGAACTCGGATGGATTTTTCTGCACCGTTATGATAACTATCTCTCTTTTTCATACCAGCACAAAATCTCTTTCGTTGAGGTGAAACCCCTCCATGGTTTCACAGAAACAGAAAGCAAATGGCAGAAAGTATGAGTTATCCTTCTAACAGGTTTTTCTTTTTAAAGTCATATCATTACACAGCGGTTCCTCTTTCAGCTGTTCATAGAATTGTGAAATGACTTTTGATGTGACGTTAAGGATGGCTGCAAGGAACCAAGCCACCTCCTCCGTCTGCTCGCCTTCAGTTTTAATCTGGACTACAACCCCCCGAACTGAGCCGTGCCGGGCTGAACCAATATGGTGACTCTCTTCCTGAGCGGAGCAGATGGATTTCAGTGGCGGGTCAGGCTGCGGCTCGGCCACCACGCCCACACCGCGCCAGCGAGCGGCCATCTGGAGCCGGCCTGTCGCCCATCCCTGAGCGGAGGCTGGTGTAGCAGCCTCCCAGCTGCTCATAAATACTGGGGTTTGAACACAAGCGCGACAGACATTTGTCACCATCAGAATGGCCTTTTTCTTCCTCTGCAAGTTAGATTATTTCATCTGGGGATCCAGCCTGTGTGTTGGCCCTTATGTCCTACTGCTCGTTTTTCAGTGATTGCATGTTTTATCATCCAGCTCATTTATCTTATAAATGTACCAGTTCCAGATTACATTTTTAACTGTCTCTCTCTAGATAATTAAGAGATGATTCCAGTTCATTGACTGACATGGTATGCCTGCTCCAGCCTGTTACTGCGGCGCTTCATTTTAAGCTAAATGGCAAACCGGGCTTTTGCCATCACTTGCTTTTAACCGCTGGTAAAACTTGTTGCTCAGAACAAAGACCTTCTCTGTTGTACACCTCCAGGTCACGCGGTATTGATCCTTAACCACACCAACATCCGCGGTGTGTCTGTGTATTGTGTGCTCAGTATGACAGCCTCTGTAAACTGACACCCACTCGTCAAAAGCATGCTGCGGCGCTTGAAAACCGAGAATGGGAAGTCGAAGCCACGTTGTTTTTACCAGCTCACAGGCACACTTGGAAGTGGCTGGAAATATGCAGAAATACCACTCTTTAAATTAATATCATCCATGTTTTAACCGTAATCATGACACCACAGCACACTTGTCATGTGGTTAATGCATGTTAATTACATCACTTGATCTAATGCTCAGTGTAGCACAAAAACAAATACACAAAGTTGTGTCTCTCAATCCCTGCAGAGTGTCTGAATATAAAGCAAACTTGTAAGTCAGAATGTAAGCCAGAATGCTTTTGCTCTTAAAGATTGCCAGAGTCAGTGTTTACACGTCCCATGTGTGAAAACAGCATAAGGTAGGATACAGTATTGTTGGGAGTGAGGCTCTTGTATCATTAACTTGTCGCGTGTGTATCGTAAATCTGAGTTTAGTTATTAGCTGTAATACACGTGTATACCGGACACAGGATGTTGTGTGTATGCTCATGTTAATCATGTCGGGAGGTTTACACATTTAAAGGGATGTTTTCCACCCGGTCACAAAAAGTAGGTCACCATAACATAAATGATTAGATTTTGAGGTGGATCTATGTATAACTGAAGGTTAAAGTTATGGTTTCAGTCAGAGATAAGATTATTCAAATGGTATTTGGGATTTGGTTTAGGGGCTTCCTCTGTGGTCATGGACGCATGGCCGTACAGCGTGTGCACGCGCGCTCATGTTTTTACTTCATTACAGCCGTCAGCTGAAGGATGCCAGAAACGTTGGCGTTCTGCCACAGTTGTGGGGTCTGACAGGTTCATGGGAAAATAAATTATGAAGCTCTCAACTTGAAAGGCATTACACTGCTCACACACACACACACAGGGGCAGCACATGACCGCGTGTGTGCAAGGTTATTTCTAATTTAATAATCATAATCAGAATATGTCCAGAGGCTGTGTTTGAGTCCCTGTTATTTACTGAGTCTCTGCAGACGTTTATGGAGACATGATTGGCGTTGCATATTTGCGCAGTCGCTCCTTTTGTAGGTGCTGATTTTCTGTGCTTGTGCAAGAAGGTTTTTCCACTCTTAAAAGTCAAGCACACAATTTAAGTCACCCCCACATGTGCAGTTGTCTCTGTTGTCTGTGTGCGTGTCCACAACCAAGGTGAGGTGAGGTTAACCAGCACGAATATGCATCATGTCGGTGACAAGTTTCCTCTAAGATAAGAAGCTTTGTGCGTGTGACTATATGTCTGTTTGGTGTCAAAGCACAAATTCCTTTGAAACTCCACCATGTGTTTGTTAGTTCATCCGTGAGTGTAAAGCAGCAGCAACAGATTAATCATTGTCTAATATACCCCCAACCCCACCTGGACCTCACAGTGATGTAATCATTGCTCAAAAGAGGGAACACACGGCGGCCGATGGTCCCGGGGGTGTGCGCGGTGTGTGCTTTGCGTGCACGTGCATCTGATTTATATGTGAACACAGCAGAGTGGTGTGAGCTGTAACATCTGTGCTCGAGTTAATCCACAGTGGATCTGTAGAGAGCATCTTCAAAGCGGTCAATCCTGAAAGTGTACAGCAGCGCTTCTCCTTGTGATTATTGCCAGCAGATTGATTAATCTGTCCTGCTTAAGCAAACGCGATAAACTAATCATGAAAAAGTGGACCATTACCACACAGCTCTCTCGCATTTAACAGCTCATTTGTATACAGATGGATTGGCTAAAAAGTGGTTCTCGCTGAAGGAATTTTTAGCCGATCTCAGGGTCTGACACCTCGTTCAGATTTTGTATACAAATGTGATCCCTAATCAGTCAAATAATCAGACTCCAATCCGAATGTTAATGCCTGAGAATGAAAGCTGAAGAGCCAAACCAGCATCTGTTTACTGTAACAGGACAAAGTGTCTGACAGACAGCAACAACTGCTTCTTTGTGCTGATGCCTTTTCCTGCTGTACATTGTTGTTGGACATACCTGAATGCTTCTGTAAGCAAACTGCAGAAGCGTCTGCTTTTATGGAGGTGCTCACCCTCACTGATGGTCAATTAATCAGAGCATTTGATTAACAACGCTTGGTTGCATCTTACCCTCTTAATTCAAACGGAAGACAATGAAGGTGTTCCGTGCTTCTATGTTTCTGCCTATAAAAACATAATTGTAGTGTAATTGAATTTGTATTTGAGTCTTTTGACCAGTCATCATTTTTCTTAATCTAAGTTAGGGAAGTTCTGGATGTTGACAGTGAGCACCGTTTGTACCTTTGGTCCCGTGACCTTAAGAGTGACTGGAAAGTGCCACATTGGGGACTGGAAGCCGGTCACAGTCTGCACGTTCTCACTGGGCAGCTGTGCCACTCTGTGTCCTTTCCAATTCTCTCCACGTCCAGAGCTGCTTCCCATGTAGCAGCTGAGGAGGGTTGATAACTCTGCGTCTGGCCTGGCGCCCTCCCTACAGCCCAAAACTCCCACACACACACACACACACACACCTGAGAGGAACTGTTCTGCCCTACCGTAATCTCTCATAAACCAGCCAGCAAAAACAACCAGAGTATCATTAACAAAGAAAACAAGCAAAAAAACAATGGTTTTGTTGCAAGATTTAAGTGCACCCTTTCCCGTAAGCTGTCTGTGGTATTAAGGGGGTCTAGTAGAGTTTTGTTTTTTTTCTTCTTCCTAAAAATAGCTTGGTCCCACGCCCAGACAGAGGAAATGGGACCCCATGGGGCTTAGCGCTAAGTGATCCTCGGACCTATTCCCAAAAATATTTAGAAGACATCACAATTTGGGTACACTGCTTCGATCATTGATAAGCTACATGAACATGGCTTTGACAAATGCGTGTTGAGGATAAAACATATCAGTGGAACGTGCTGAGGATGCGTTGCGGAGCAGGGGGGGGCTTTGTACTGAGTTTTTCTGCTCTGTGGTCAACGGTTGACTGCAGGGGGATAAAGACGAGATAGATTTTTTGACATTTCTTTTCTTGAAATCTCCCAAGTCAGCCTACGTGTGCAGGATCACATCCCGTGTTCTTTTTCTTCCCCCCGCCCCTCGCCCCTCCTCCCGGCTCTCCACCCATCCCCGTCGGTTCACGTCCGTGGAACAAACAAGTCCACGGCTGCGACGGGCCGGGTGGAATATAAGCATGTAATTCCACAGAGAAAGCAAAGGAAAACTACTGTAGACGTGTGCGTGTATGTGTAAGAGGAGGGGGGGCAAAAAAAAAGGAGGGGTGAGGGCTCCCGGGGTGGAGCAAAGCTACTCCTTCTTCTCCCTTCGGTCTCAGACACAAACACAAGATGGGCGGAGGGTTTGAGCGGGAGGAGGAGCAGCCAATCAGGAGGAGGAGCCAATCAGGAGGCGCAGCCAATCAGCGGCCGGGATCCGCCCCGGGCGCGAGGGCGGGCCGCAGCCCAGCGACGGGCTCCGCTTAAAGAGTGTGTTCGAAGGGGCCAGCAGCGTTGTTGTTGTCGTTGTTGTTGAGCGCTGCCTTTTTTCTTTTTGCTTCTCTCATGGTGGTGCAGACGTTGAGGATGAAGATCCAGGAATCGCCTGTCACCTGTGACACGGGGAGGGCCGGAGAGGTCCGGGGCTCGGACCCGGACTGCGAGGACGTGCCCCGGCTGGACCTGACGGCGCTGACCGAGGACAGCAGCTGGGGAGGTGAGGCTGCTGCCTGCAGGCCGCTCGTTTTTTTCCTTTCTAAATGTGCGATACAGAATCAGGGGCTGCACTCTTTTAAGACAAATGCTTAAAGGGAAACAGATCTGCACATGGGTGTTCGGCTGGCTGCTGCACAACTTCTGCCCTTCCTCCCCCTCCTCCTCCTCCTCCTCCTCCACCTCCTCATGAAGCTTCTTATGCCACTCCTGCAGCATTAATTGTAAAAGATCCTCTTAACTCCTCTAGCCTCCTATGTCTGAGGGGGAAAACTCAAGTGACGTGCTCGTTTTGCTCGGTTAATCGAATGTTCACCTCAAATTTGAATGGTTATCTGTGTAGATTTGGTTCTTAAGAGGATGTAAAACGGCTGTTTATGGGGCTGAATTGCTTTAAAGTTAAGCTGTAAGTGTCTGTGATGGTCAACCCAGTGGGGCAGTCAGCTGACTGTAGGAGAGTGGCCTGCTTTTGGAAACCTGGTTGCAATGGTCAGCGTGCTTCATCCCCCAGTCTTCATCAGAAAGGAAAGGTTTTAAAGCACCCAGTAAAAGATATATAGTTGGTTTATTGATGCTCACAAATCAATAGTCATAAACAAATCTGGCAGATAATTTCCCTTTTTACTTTTTTTTTGCTAGTAAAAAAGGAAATACTACACCATTTCCATGCAGCCACACAGAGATTGTTTATGTTTTAGTGTTGCAACTCAGTCATGGTGGCCACTGAGAGACCAATTTTTTGCTTACATTTTTTTTTGCTACTCTGGAATGGGAACCAACAGGTTCACCCTTCCACTGTTTAATTCATTTTAAGAGCGTGTTGCGGCGTGTGCGGGCCTCGGCCTGGTGCCCCGGCCTTGGCCTCCACCGCCAGCTGCTGCTTCCTGCAGCCTCCAGGTGAAATCGCTCCATCCGATAAGCCCACCGCTCCCGGTAGCCTCGTGGTCGGAGCGCTGTCAGGACATTGTCCATTTTTGTGGAGCTCCCTAGTGGGCAAACCTTGCACTCGGAAAAACACCAGGGCTCTGTGAGAGGCTATTGTTGTGTGTGTGCGGGAAGCACAAACTGCTGTGCCCCGAGAGATCAGACTGTCAGTTCAGAGAGTAGGAATTTTCCTCTCGGTGTTAAATGAAGGCATGTTTGTCTTTTTTCTCAATCCAAGTGAGTTTTTTTCTTCTGAAAAGACATTTTTAATTAGATGTACACTTTTGTTTTAAACTGCCCACCACAGTTTACATGCACTCTTTGTACATTCTGTCCTGAATGCATAAATGAACGCATGGCACGAAATGATCCACAGAGAGCCGGCGTGATTGGTCTGTGACAGGCCGCTCTGGGTGCCTTTCAAGCCTGAGAACATTCAGAGCTCGCCATAGCCCGGATTTCTATAGTGTGCGTCCAGCTTTCTTTACTGTCAGTCACTCCTCGGCAAATGGAGCCAAAGAAGGATTTGATTCGGTGTAAACGGGCGTGTGGACGGACGGGAGTGTTAGGCCGGGGTCCGCAACCTTTGTCCCAGTACACTCTGTGCCAGCGCTGGTCGCTCTGACCGGACGCTTGGCACTGGCCCGTCCTTGCCTTTCGTGCCAGTGATGGCGAACGTCGCTGGCAGACATTTGAGCAGGGAGAAACACCGCGGTCCTGAAATGAATCTCACGTGTCGCGTCGGTTAATGAGAGTATCGGGGAGATGCGTGCTGGATAAGCGTTTCCTCTTTTTAGGGCAAAGGTTGGTCCGCTGGCATGCCCTTCACTCTACTTCTGTGTCTTCGATTAAGTTTCCTCATTGTGTCTTTTCCTTCTCCTTCTCTGCCCTTTTTTTCTGTTCCTCCAGATCCTCCTTTTCCTAACACCTGTTTCCTTGATTTCCTAAGCATTTTCCATCAAAGTTGTTGCGATGGTAAGTCTTGTGCCACGTGACTGTCAGTGTGAATGATATATCCGAGTAATATAAGGAAAGAAAGGAAGAGGCTGTCTGAATGACCTTTTCCATTGCATGGCAACACGCTCGAATGGTCTGGAACACAACGTCCGAGTGTCTCACACGCACGCACGCACGCACGCATTCTTACTTAAGTGAAACGGCAAACGGGCAAGTTTTTTTGTTTCATTAATCTGGTTAATCCTAAACCATCAGCAAGTGGTTGATTTAAAGGATTAATCTGAAATGCCATGGAGCCTTACTGGCCGGCTACGTTGTGCTAAGCCGGGCCTCAAAGGAAGACATTAGGGCGTGATGGAGTTTAACCTGCTGCTGGGAGCCAGCGCCAGCATGCCAGAGAGCTGCCACTTGATAAACTGCACGTACCCAGAATTAAAGCAGGACTCCCGGGTCTCCAAGACTGGAATTTGAGCTAAATCGCCTCTCGTATGCCTTAACTCAACCCGGCTAAGAAAAATACGCACGCACAGTTCTGGACTGGTCGTGGGTATTTTCAAGGTTGAACACTGATACCTTGGGTGTTTACACTGACGGTTGGCTTCCTCCAGAGCTTGTTTTCTTTCCCTCCATCTATTCTCTCTGTGCGACAGTTTCTCTGTATTATTTTGAGTCTCCCTTTTCTCAACTTTTCCACGTATTACTCCCTACCACATATGAATTTGAAGTCTTGAGTTCATCCTTTTCATTCTAACTCTCCTGAGCTCCTCTGCTGAGCCCTTTGTCTCTGTCCAACATGTTTGAGGTTTCATCTCTCACCGTGCAGAGTGGAATCTAAAACACAAACTCATCACTATACCTCTCAACAGGGATCATGCCCTGACATTATCCCACAGAGATCTGGGCTTTATTAATAGCCTAGGGATTGTCAGGGGTATCTGCATGGCTATTTTCCCCAGACATAATTAGTAGAGTGGAGACTGTAACCAGGCGACGTACAGAGAGGCAGGATGGGTGTGTTTGAGCCACAGTTACAGAACAACATCTGTGGCTCTGCAGCCTAGAGGGTTTTTTTTTTTTCCAAGCATTATCACATCCAGTGACTTTCACAAGACACGAGAAGGTCAGAAAATGATGTTGGGGGAGAGGAAAGAAGCTGTTGGCATGCGCTGGATGGGAAACGGTTCTCCTCTCTGGAAAAAGATGTTTCGCTTTTGATTGTGCTGAAATATTTGAATTTTTTGATTTTGCATATTTGCTTTTTTGAATGCATATGTGGCCTGCTTCGAACTGAGATCAAAATATTTCCGTTCTGTTCAACTTAAAAAACGCTCAGTTTTGTGCGAATGTGTAACTAACCTGTGAGTTCAGAAGCACCACAGATTAACTTGGACCCGTCTCCCTGTGCGTTCCCAGAGCCCGTGCCGGCGTACTCGCTGCAGAGGGAGAGCATGGACCGCGAGGAGGCTCGACTCTCCCCGCACGCCGGGGGGCGTCTGATCCGCCAGCTGGTGGAGGAGGACAGCGACCCGATGGTGTCCCCTCGTTTCTACGCCTACGGACAGTGCCAGCAGTACCTGGACGACACAGAAGTGCCTCCCTCGCCGCCCAACGCTCACTCGTTTATGAGGTAGGCGCGTTTCTGGAGCCTGCCGTCGTTTGGGGGGGGAAATAGAAACGGATAAGGTTGATGCTTATTTGTTTTTGTTGCATGTTTTCTTTTGCAGCCGCAGGCGGAGTTCATCTCTGGGATCCTGTGATGATGAAAGAGAGGAGCTCACGTCCGCCCAGCTCACAAAGAGGATTCATGTGCTAAAGAAGAAGATCCAGAGATTTGAGGAGAGGTTTGAAGAGGACAGAAAATACAGGGTAAGTCAAAATGACCTGTTCATTCTCCATGCTCACAAACGGGGGGTTAGTAACACTTTAAATCCACTGGCTCCATCAAGAAATATTTCATACTAATATTATTTAAAATAGCTCATGTTGCACATAGTTTGAGCAGAGAATGTCTCCTGAATCCTTCCTCATCTGTTTTCATGCTCCCTCCATCCAGCCCTCCCACAGTGATAAGGCTGGAAACCCAGAGGTGCTGAGATGGGTCAATGAACTGGCCAGGCTCCGCAAGCAGCTGAAAGGTAAAACACAGACATGCCTATGACGACCGCTGCTCCGTCTCATCCTCCTGGAGATGAAACCCAAACGGTCCCCCGTTGTGCCCCACCAGAAAGCAAGCTGATGAAGTCCGAAGAGGACCTGCCGCCTCTGACCCGCCAGCGCAGCAACACGCTGCCCAAAAGCTTCGGCTCCCAGCTGGAAAAGAAGCTCCAGCAGGAGAAGGCGCCCAAGCCCCCGGTGGAGAGCACCCTGGAGGCCATGCAGAAGAAGCTCCAGGAGAAGAGGGAGGAGGTGAACCGACCCGAGGACATCAAGGTAGGACCGCCTCCATGCTGCACGTTCACAAATCCGAATATGGAAACATCTCCTTTAGAGCAGGCGTTAAACTCAGACCACAAAAAAAAACTTGTTCGAGGGGCCACTGCGTCTCCTAGCTCTGACTGAACTCGGGCCACCTGTGAAGTGTGTTGACTTGCTTCCTGTGTTGCTCTTGACAGGATATGACACGGGAGCAAATCGCAGCGGAGAAAGTGGCCCTGCAAAAAGCTCTTCTCTACTACGAGAGCATCCACGGCCGACCAGTAAGTCGCTCTGATTGGCTTTCATGTTGTTTATGCACTTCTTGGAGAAGAATTACACAGACTTTATTTTTAGGTATTTTTGCTTGGCCTGGGGGGGGATTTAAATGGCAAATACATGGATAAATAGCCAGAAACTCAGTTGCCTAAACCAAATTCCGCTGTCATATATATATATATATATATATATCGCCCCTGGAGGTCGGTGGAGTGCGGCTGACCTCTCAGCCCTCTCCCTCCTCAGCCTATTAGCTCCACTGAGTTGTGACTAATAGCCCTTCATTCTCTAAGCAATGGGCTGCGGCCTGTTAGCGAGGCAAAGCGGGGTAGCCGTCCTTTTGTGTTACGCTGCCGGCCAGGTCCTTTTGAAGGACTAAAAGCGCCCTGACAAAATGTCCGCTTCGCTCCCGTTTCGCCGCCTCAGGTGACCAAGAGCGAGAGGCAGATCATGAAGCCGCTGTACGACCGATACCGCCTGGTGAAGCAGATCCTGTGCAGAGCCTCCACCATCCCCGTCATAGTGAGTACCGCACGCCCGCCGCCCCCTTCAGCCGCCTCGTCCGTAGACGGTTAATCCCCGATGGAGCGGGCCACGCGTGGCCTGTCACGCCGCCGCCGCCACGGTGTCCAGCCTTTGCAACCTTAAGTCCAGCTTTAGGAGCTCAAAGGATCCCCGCGTGTAAAGGAGATTGATAATTGGCAGACTGAGCTCACAGGGAAGAGCAGGAAAGGCTCAGAAACCGCAAACGCTGGAAACTCCACCACAACCCTGAGGGGTTGTTTTATTTCAAGTGGAAAAAATGAGCATCTCATCGTCTTTTTTTTTTTTTTTTTTTTTTTCCCCCGCTGCTTATGATGTTGGAATATCTCCTTCATACATTCATACGCCGCTCTTTGTCATCTTTCGTTATGCAAGTTGTGATCTGCAGTTTACTGTTATTATGTAATACACCATCCCTTAATCTTCTTTGTGCACGTTGGGCCCACCAGCATGGATTATAGAGCCGTATTCCAGCTAAAAAAAACGCAGCATTTTCAGCACAATTTCCCCCGGTGTGTTTTTCTCCACACTCGTGTTGAAAAGAAGACTGAAAATAGACGGTAGCTCGCTCTCGGCCCAGGTGTGGCGTTTCTTGCTGTGAAAACGTCTCGTTGTGCGAGTGAGCGTCTGAGTGTAGATAACGCCTCCTTTTCGACCGTCACCACAGGGCTCCCCCTCCAGCAAGCGCAGAGGCCCCCTCCTTCAGCCCATTATCGAGGGTGAAACCGCACTTTTCTTCGACGACATCAAGGTGAAGAGCTGCTTCCATAACCAGTGAACCCCGCCCCTGCTACCCTTCAACCCCTCCTCCCCCCTTCATTCACTACCATCTCTCCCCTAATGAACCCGAATGCTGCCTGTTGATTGGGTGGTTGCCCGCTCCCTGCCCCTGGCATCTGTAGAAGTGTCGAATCAGTAGCTGCTGATGTTTCAATTCCTGCACGTGATACTTGAAGACGAATGAAAAGACAAAAGCAGTACCGTAGCATCCCATGTGAAATCAGTTCATGTGCCCAAACCCTGAATTTACTCCATCTGTGCACGCTATTGGATGTAAAACGTGACTCACTCGCCGCTTCGGTGGGGGGAAAAACAATTCTGCCGCCGAGTTGCAATGAGTCATACCTACTGTGAACTAACACGGCACGATCCTAACGCTCTGCGGTGTTGTGTGCTTGGAATCCGGCTAGATTTTTTTAAAAGTTCGTCTTAACCGCTCACACCCCGATGTTTCTCTAAAGGAGGAGGAGGACGGCTCAGAGGACGACGCAGACACACAGACGGAGTTCACCGTCACCGTCCGGCCAGACCTCAGCGTGCTCAGCTTCCTGGAGCACATGGACGAGGAAGCGGATGGCTTCATTTCACCCGTGGACGAACTGTCGCCCTCCAAGAACACCACAGACACAAGGCTGTCCAACCTGCATTCTGCCAACATGTAGGTGTCCGATTCCCCTCGCTGGTGCACGACGATGGCCCAGTGTTCCGTTTGTAAGCGTTTGTCCTCGCTCTCACAGGGAGGAGCTGGTGGAGCAACTTCAGGAAGCAAGAGAGGAGAAGAAGAGGATCCGCAAGAACCTGAAGGAGTTTGAGGACCAGTTCTTTAGACAAAACGGAAGGTAGGCATACCGGAAACTGGAGAGACAGACTTCTTCACAAATGCTTTTGTGACCCTGCGTCTAAATACTTGCCGTCTCGTTTTTTTCCAGGACTGTCCAGAAGGAGGACCGCACCCCACTGGCAGTGGAGTACCACGAATACAAACACATCAAAGCCAAACTGCGGCTGCTGGAGGTGCTCATCAGCAAAAGAGACTCCTCCAAGTTCATTTAAGGCAAACTTAAAGACTCTACAAGAGGACTATTGCTCAGATTTCAGAGACAAAGTCAAACGCTTCTCACTCAGATGGGTGGCAAAGGTGGGACGTTCCTTCACGCTGTTGTGGAAACGGCCAAGCTTCTCCACACAGAGACATACAGTGCACAGATTACCTAAATTGCATTTAATTTATTTCTACCAATTTTCGTCAATTTTGATTAGGAATCAAGGAATTGTTAAAGAAAACATTCAGAAGTAAAAGTTTAAAAAAATAGACATAAAATTGTTATTTTTGAAGAATTCTTTGAAGATGTGTATTTATGTTTTTTTCAAGGGAGATCCTACTGTTTGTTTCGGTTAGATGGTATTCCCTTAATGAATACGTTTCTTGATTTCAGTCCTGACCACTCTGTACTGTCTAAAATAATCATTTGGCTCATTTATCAGAAATTGAATTGAGTATTTGTTCACTAAAAGAAGTAGTTTTCTTTATCAGTGCAACCCAAAGACAGGCTGAGACACAAACCAAATGTCCATTATGTTCAGTAAAACATAGTAAGCTTGTTTTTGTAAAAACAGGTACTTACTTCAGCATTTGACTGTGTGTTGTGTGCGTCGACATGCTTCACCTCACCTTTTCTTTATGTTCAAATAAGCTATTTTTTCTCAAATCACTGGTATGTGTTTGCACACTTTGATTAATACAGATGAGGCCAGGGGTGTGGAGGTGAGAAACGGCTGCTAGAATCCACTGTGGTCTGTGTCCCCTTCCTCTCCAGTGCTTGTTTGTTTTCCTGTAAATATGGATCACTAAGTATGTTTACATTTCTGTGAGCGAGTCCTTTTCTCCATTATTTCTCCAAAGTGGATGATTATCAGTGTCAATTTAGTTTTCACTGAACACAAACACTGGCCAGGCTTGTTGAATCTCGAGTGTGTACATTTTAGTACATAAATTGTATTTTGTATATAAAATGAATAAAATATTTTTACTGACATTGCACTACCTTTTGTTTTTTTCTCAGGTTAAAACAATCTACATGTCTACTTGATTAAATGACATGACTATAAAACTGGCCCGAAATGAATGAATAAAGAGCAAGCCGGAGAAAAATCCCCTCATACATTTTATTTTAAAATCTTGGCTTTGACACAGCTTTGTGTAGATTTTGGACAAATATGCAAAAATCACATCCTCTGTAGCACATTAAAAGGTGCAAAATAGTCACGGGCTGCACAAACCTTTGCATAGTACTAAACTCTGCAGGAGAAATCAGCCTTAATTGTTGAAATAATGACTGAAAATGTAGAACAGTTGTGTACATGCAGTATAGAGCAAAGCGATAGGATGCAGCATCCAGAAACATCTCAGTAGAAGTCCAGCGTTTGACCCAGTTTTCTCACTACATCACTGGGCAGCTTCAGGTCTTTATTGCTGAATAATTTGAGTCGTTTCACTATCTGAAGCCACGTCAACACCACTGTCATGTAGGAAATATATAAAAAAATAGACATATGTATATGCAAGACAATTTCACACAGTTCACAGCTATGCACGACCAATAAAGTAGAGTAGGATGTCCGACTGCAGGAACAGATACAGTATAAGGGCAAGATCTGAACAAGTGATATGACAGAGACATTTCATCAGCACGTGATTATATAATCTGTCCATGTCCTTAGATTATGCAATTATTCAAATATTACACTGATTGAAGATTAATCTGTAATGTGGACACGAATAAATACATTTACCTATGCAAAGGTTCAATACACTTTTGTTTAAAATAACACTTTTGGGGGCAAACTGCATGTTTTCTTGTTTTTTGGCAGACTGATAGCTCTCTTTAGTGATGCTACACAGAAACCAGTTAGTTTTCCTTTTTTTTAAAGCGTCGGAAACCAGAGGTTACAGCAACTACTCTCGTTTAGGTAAGCTTTGATTAATCCATGCAGCTGCGACTTTAAAGATAATAGATGCATGTTATTTAGATCAAGGGGAAATTATTTCACCTCTTTTTTTGCTGGGTTAGTGTGGCAATCTCTAAACTTTTGGACGGTAAATTGTATCTGGGTCTGGGACACTATGCGGGGATTCATGGAAATAGTCATTTCGTTGCTTTGTTTGTTTTGGGAAATATGAATTCCGACTTCCTAAAAGGAAACCGGAATGCCGTCAAAGTCGGAACATCATTCATTTGGAACGTCGAATGAATGCCGTGTTGTATATAACTCGGAATTTTCCAATCCCCCGCAGGGAATCAATCAGATGAGACGAACCTGAACCTCAAAGGTCGGAGAAATACAAGCCCAAACCGAGTCGGTAAAATCGACACAGAAACTCACTGTTCAGAAACCATTCGGCCAGTTTAAATCCCTCTAAATTAACCACAACATAATGCTAACCCGACGTCCACCGTCATATATGTACTCACTTGACACAGCATAATTGTTTGTTATACACTTGCACTAGTAATATAATCTACCTCTGTTGGTGACAAAAGCTTACTGGTTTTAAGACTTGCAAATGAGACGCTGTTGAAACTGTTGTGCCGAGTCCAGACTTTTTAGCCGAATGCGACAGCAGAGGAGAGCCTCACCAACCACAACGTCCAATTCAAAAATGGTTGTCTTGCGCGTAAAAACCTGTCATACATTTGCATTAAAATACTATTTGAAGCACTTGTGAACTCTTGTGTTGTTTATGTATGCTCAACATGACACATGCTGCATTTGTGATGAACGTACACTGCTGACAGCTAACCATGTCAAATCCACTGCATCTCCAACCAGTCAACCGGAGCGCTATTAACTGACATCTTTCCCATCTCAGACTGTTTTTGTTCATTGAACGCGCCATTTTTCCCCTCAACTGTCGGTGGTTGCCATGCAACCAGCAAAAACTCCAAATAAATGCAAGTCTTAACGATACATTCCCATTAGTTTGACTGGCCTGAATATCTAACCAAATGACTGAACCCATCTGCATACTGTGCTTGTATTAGGTTTAGTATGTAACACGATGTAGAATAATTTTGCCATTAATAGTTGGGCCAACAAACCGACAGACAAACCGAATATGAAACAGGCTAAGGGCTGACCTGTAGATGTGCTGGCAGGCACGTATCACCCAGCCTCCAGGCTTAGCCAACACAAAATTAGCACCTGCAAGAAGCAGCCTTTTATCTAACGCAACTAAGTGGGATGACTGTTTTGTCCAAAATCCAAATGCTAAAAAGAAAATCTGGTTTTTGCTTTCACCCAACAACATGCATACAGACAAGATCCAGTAACTTCAAAAGTCAGCCTTGTGTGTATTCAGTAGGTTTTGCTTTACAAGGCAACACTGTTGAATGCAGGTTCAAGACGCCAGCTGCTATGTGATGCACACCTAAACAGGAATGAGCAATTTCAAGTGATATTCAGCATGTGTCACTCTGCAGCCTACTTCCGTCCAACAAAAACTCATTGGTCGCTCTGATTTTCATATCCTGGCTGGGAGGACATGCTGGTGTCCAGGCTGAAAAGGGTCAGCCGGACTAACACCCCTCCCACAATCAGGGCTAAAGATTATATTCAAAGTGATATTTACACTCGTATGTACAAGTATATTGTCAAAATATAACCACTCTATCTGATAAATTAAAAATAACAAAAAGCAATATATTGTTTCAAAGTAATAACGTAATTCTTTAAAAGTGAAAAATAGAATTTAAGGAATATAAAATACACAGAAAAAGACCCCAAAAAAGGACAACAAGCACACCTGGAAACTAGAGTTTCACAACCTTTGCTGGTCCCAATTTTTACTGTTCCCTTTCATCATGCCAATTTCAGCTAATAAATCATTGACTTTTTTTTTTTACTGAGAGTAAAAAAAAAAGACCATTAATGCGAACATGTTTACATGTATGAGTCACTAAAATATTATCCCAGTGGTTCTGAAAGGTTGAGAAACTCTCCAAAAAGCAAAAAGAACAATAGAGGACAATCTGCACCCACACACATATAGACCTTTTTGTTTCGAGATGCTTAATGATCTTGAAAAAGAGTGACTTTCCTTTATCTGATATCCCGTCACCTGCCCAGTTTACACACTAAGATGGGGGCGTATTGCTGTTAAAGTGCTTTGAAGCCCAACTGGGACTTCCCTCAGACCAGGCTGAAGCCCTCGTACTGTTCCACAGCTTGAGTGAGACGACGGCGTAGGATATCTTTGGTCTGGTAGCGAGGCATGTCCAGCAGGTTGTAGCAGGTGTGCGCTACTGGCAGGTAGTGTTCCTCGGCTGTGGTGGACTGGATGACAATCCGCAGGCTCTCCATACCGTGGATGGGGATGCGATCACTGCCGGTCAGGAACACTGCAGCCAGGACACAAAAGCATGAAAAGACGATGAGCAGCTTACATTTGAAATGTTGAAAAAGGTTGGTGTTTTGGTAATGCTAAAAACGTCACAGGGTGAGGGTCTACATTTGGTGGTAACAAAAATAATTAAAGTTAAGACTCAAAGCCAGAGTCATATTCTGAGCCTCCAACTATTAAGGTTGCAATGTCTCGTCTGTTACAGAGTCAGCAGAGTTGAGAGAACGTTCTAGAACAAACCCTCTACGACAAACAGTCTAAAGCGAAAATGATAGGATAAACATTCTCGAACACTCCTGAGTAAATATTCTAGATCAGTCAGAATATTTTGGAGAAAACATCATAGAAAATAATGAAATAAACATGAGGGTAACAGTCCAAAGCGAAAATTGTAGGCCAGACATTCTAGATTGTTCTAGAACAAACAGAGGTTTCTACATAAAGCATTCTTGAATGAATATTCTAGAACAGACACCTTAGAACATTCTAGAAGAGACACCCTAAAACATTCTACAACATTCTAGAACAGACACCATAGTCCTAGAACATTCTAGAACTGAAACCCTAGAACATTCTAGAACATTAAAGATAGAGTATTCTAGAACTTTCTTTAACATACATTCACTATAATGCAGTCATTATTACTACAAAACGATATAATAAATCATTATATATTATATATCATGTACTTTAATATAATACATCAATTTTTTTAACCCCTTATTCCCAAATGGGGGCGCTGGGGGACTGGGGCCTATCACAGTAGTCAATGGGCGAGAGGCAGGGTACAGACTGATGGGTCCGCCAGTCCTTCGCAGGGCCACACATACAGACAAACAAAGACGAACAACCACGCACACTCACCCCTAAGGGCAATTTGGAATGTCCAATCAACCTAACAGGCAGGTTTTTGGACGGTGGGAGGAAGCCAGAGAACCAGAGAAGCCACAGACATAGGGAGAACATGCAAACTCCACACTGAAAGGTCCTGGTTCCCCCAGGGACCGAACCCTCTGGCTGTGAGGCGATGGTTCTAACCACCAGACCACCGAGCCACCCATATAACAAAATATAATATAAATGCAAAAACGTGGGATTTGGCCTTTCATCATAGATTTCAGTTTTAGTGGAACTGCGCTGATTTATTTCTGACTGTTTCACCGATTTGCCGAAAGCACGTCATTTTCATTAGGGAAAAACTTACATAAGAACTGCTTCTTCTTTTCCAGGGGAAACTCATGGAAAACCTCCCAGAACAATCTCACTGTTGGATGTGTGGCTGTGTACTCTCCTTTGTATACAGCATTCTGCAAAAAAAGATAAACAAAAGGATGAAAAGCTATGGTATCATCACTGGCAATTTGTAATATCTTTATTAGGTAAAACATAAATTCTCTCAAATATGCAGATATCTGGAGATGTTTTAAATCTACTGAGCATCATCTGACTAATATTTTATCAAATCCCCCTTACATATGCTGTAATTGACAGAACAAATGCAATTAACCATAAATAAAATGTTTAAAAAAAATTTAATTAGACATTTGATCAATTGCACGTCACTTTGCAACATCTGCCCTCAATGAGCCCTTTATCCTGTCTTCTGTACATAAGGTTAGGAACTTCACTGCCAACAGCTGGTTGAAATTTCTCTTTCAGAGTCTAAATTTTAATTCTCTAACGCAATTCATTATCGCATTATCTGTCCCTTCTTGTAAAAAAAAAAAAAAAGTAACGAAATAAAAAAATCTACTGACAGTTGCATCACTTTGGGTTAAACATTTTACTTATGTCTGAAAGCAGAGATAAGATTTTCTCATAAAAGCAAAAAGATACAGATCAGAGAGATAAACGATATAGAAGGAGAGAGACTACAGAGCTAAAAAAAAAAAAGAAAAGAAAAGAAAAGAAAGAACTGCCAGACGGCATGTTTACCTTCTCCATTTCCTCCCAGTTGTAGTTGTTGTTGCCAACAACCATGGCCATCAGCTCAGAGGGCTGGAACAGCAAGAGGATCTCCCCTCCACAAACCTTCAGGAAGCCGGAGGAGAAGGCCGAGTACTGTTCGCACACAGAGTCTGAGAACACGTAGCGCAGATATGCCTCCACAAACTCCTTCCTGAGACGTACAAAAAGGGAAGCACAAAGGTCATCTATTATGTGCACTGCGACTCATTCTAAACATCAGGTTATGAGGGGAGAATTTGTTCAGACTGTAAAACACTTCCCACATTGTGTCTGCAGCTGTGTTTGTGCTTTAATGCAGGGGCAACCTATTAAAAGCTTTCTGTGAGCTAACGAGACCTCCTCGACACCTTCCTACTGCAGCCCGTTTCGGCTGTGTTTAATTCTCTGTGAAGTCTTCATGCAGTTGTTTAAGTAGATCACAGCAATAAGTCCACCAGAGCATTTTTATCTGCTTTTTCATCACTGATGAAAAGATCATTTTGTCATGAATAGGCAATTTACAGAAATAAGCATTTGATTTAAAACAAAAAATCAATTTGTGCTTTAACAGAAAAAAAAAATAGAAGGTTGACTAACAATGTTCGAATGCTAACTCCTTGTTTAAAATAAGACAGCATTAAGCTTTTATCAGTGAAGCAGTTTAGCTTGAAAGGTCACAGGTATAAGAAATTAAACATAAAAAACTGTTCTCTCATCCTGTGTTGTCATGACAACAACAGCCTGGCAGCGAGCTCTACATGGGAGGACTTATTCAAAAGTCGTACGGGTGCACCAAACTGTGAAATTAACTAGAACTCAATACGCCCACACATTAGTCACATTAAGCAATCACACGGTTTGATTTTAAAATGTCAACTAGAATAAAATGAACTAAGAAAAAAATACTTTTCATGTACTGTGCTACCATAAAACATGTTTAATAGTAATATTTCTTTAACATAATTATTAGCATCTTTTAGACGTCGGTATGGGTATTTTTTAAAACATTTTATGAAATGACTGTGCAGGTGGAGAAAAATGATGATTGCAACCAAACTTGAACACAAACCCATATCTAAAAAAGGGAATCTTTTTAGAAAACTACTACTTCAGCAGTGCGAATATCTTAATAATCAGATCATTAGTAATTAAGAAAATGCTTCCTAAAGACTTATGGACTGATCACACACAGTGAAATTTCATTATTACGTTGACACACCCCACTGAAATAGACTAGATTAGTTGTATCAATCATTCAAGAAATCTCTATCCAGACCTTTGACCAACTTTGAAAGGATTTAATCAAATGTATTCATGTTTGGCCTTTATAACACATCCTGGCAAAACTCAAGAGTTGCTGCAATAAGAACAGATAAAGCTTGAAATATGTCAAGAACATGCTGAGTAAAAATGAACCGAGTTTTGTGAGGTCACTAGCTCTTAACCACCACATTCTGATCTATAAACGAAATGGAATGCTTGCAAAATGTTGTTTAACTACATAAAGAGAAGCCAGCTGAGCTTCATGGAAGAGAAATACAGGGAGCAGATCATCCCTTTTCCTTGCTATCATTTCTGTTAGAAATGTTTTATTTATGAGTGTTGAAAGGATTGCGCAGAAACAATTCTAAGCCATCTGTCCAGCACAAAGCACCCAGACGTGCCAACACATGTTGCCCCACTGCTCTCTGAGGACTCTTCCACACACCCCAGGAAGCATGACCACTGGCATACAGGCAGGATTAAGATATGAAGTGAGCCGGAGCAAAAACACGCTATAAAGGTTGTGTGAGTACGTGACCGTCTCAGAGCAGTGGAGCAGGACGACCATAAACTTCACGGTTATCTTAGCGTGTGTCAGAGATGATTCAGCAGAGCTGAGGGAAAGCATCTTTGAGAAGGCCAAACCTGTTGTTTTTGTCCACGGCGATGCTCTCTCCACCTGGAACCAGCTCCTTGACTTCTGTCATCCCGTAGTTCTCCCTGGTAATCTGAGAGGTAAACACAGCAAATCACCACAGAGCAGGAAAGGCTCACGTTAAAAAAAACAACTGGTCACAGGTGAATTGAAGGTGCCAAGAATGCCTCCCTCTGTATAACAGCTGAGGAACAATATTCAATATACACACAAAGATGCCACACAAGGAGTCACATCCCATAAACTAGGACACACACCCCTACAATAACCAGAGGCTTAATTTTAAGTGCGATAATGGGCTCAACACCAAAGAAAAACAAGAATTTTCAACATTTTAGCACATTCTGACCCCCTTATTTATTTTAGTTTTACACTTTTCATGTACATGAGATCAACAGAGAAGAGCTAAATACAGGACCTTTGGTGAGCCACGTAACATATGGAAAACATATTTGGAGATCACTTGAAATATTTCCGTCTTTTGTTCAGATTATACGAGTTCATGGGTGAAACACGAAAACAAGATTTGAGGGGAGTGTTTGGAGTAACACCATTAAATTGATCAAAGATAAAGATGTACACACAGCAAAGTTGAGAAGAAATATGTCCTCCACGTCTCCTCCGTCATAGTCTAGAAGTTGCTGGAGACTCCTGTGGAAGATAAAAGAAGTGAAACATAAAATCACTAACAGGTGTTCGTGACGCATGGGGGAAAACCTGGATTTGGTCAACTGACTTCAACTGTGGGATCAGCTGTGTCTGTGTGAGGTGGTAAACTGTGAGGCACTAATAGGAAGTGACACAGAGGGTCTGCTGTGCTAGGAAACACAACTTATTTACCAGCAAAACACAGGAAACATGGAAAGCGGACAGACAGGCTGGCAAAGGAAGGGCTAATTAGTGGAAAAGAATGTGGGGTTATTGTTACTGATTCAAGGCCGCAACGCTATTGAAAAGCGCAGGAAATTAGAGAAAGTGTTGTTTGCCGATTTGATGTGGAAAGCGTGCTCCCCGAAAATATCTTAATTTTGAACTGACTTTTTACGAGCTCACCTTGTAATTTTGATTAACTGTTTAAAGATATATCAAATCCTCTAAAATGATGTCGTGGGTGCATGGTGGCGAGGTGATGAGCGCCGTCACATCCAGCTTTCTTCCACCGTCCCAAAACACTTGAGTTAAATGGTGACTCTAAATTTACCCTCAGTCTGAGTGTGCATGGTTGTATTGCGCTGTATGGCCCTGTGATGGACTGGCCACCTGTCCAGGGTTCTCCCTGCCTCTTCCCAATAACAGCTGCGATAGGCTCCAGCAACAACAATTCAATTGTTCTTAAACTAGATAAAGCAGTTTTTAACATGTAAAGATCATCAAGCCATCCCAGAGCATCTAACAATTATTAGTAAGCTGAGACATATAGACTCCACCGAAAGACAGAAAACCTTTTCTAATCAAAATTAATCAAAGCTGCAGCCAGTTTCTCTTTTACTCGAAAAGAAAAAACAAACTTTACAAAACCACTTTTGGAGCACAACAATCGTCAGTACACATCTGTGTGAAGCGAGAAGCGTGCTTTACCTGGCCTCAGTGGGCGAGAGCTCTTTGAAGTCCTCCAAGGTTGGTAATACATCCAACAGCTTCTTGTAGAGAGCCAGGGGGAAGTGGAGGTCCACCACAGTGGAGTTATAGATGGCCAGACCGCAGATGATCCCAATCAGGTGAAACCAGTTCTGCTCCACAAAACACTACAAAAGAAAAAAGGAAATCTTTTTTTAATGTAACCGTTACCACCACTTTTTAAGTTTCAGTTAAAAACTTTTTTAGGAAGGTTGAAGAATTGTTACTTGTAATGCATAAAGCACACAACCAATACAACTCAAAGTCATGTCTCTGTTTCCCAGCAGACCTCACTTAAGACATCAACAACGGTCCGTGTTCTAGGAACGGATTCCATATGGGGGCGAGTGTTTTGTAAATCTGAATGTTTCCACTGACCTATTCTATCCCTTTGCAATAAGAAGGAAAACAAAAGCTCTTCCTGGAAATTCCCTCAGGTCAAATAGATATACACGATGCTGAACAAATGGAAAAGGATAGAAAAGGCTTATAGAGGGCCTCGCAATTTACCGAAATACTGACTACTGACTCTAAGAGAAAGGTTGAGAAACTATTTTACACATGTACGGGAGGCATGTTAAGCTTGGCCTGCATTGTTTTTAAATTAATTCAGCAGCTCTCCAAACTCAGGGGCAGTGCAGGTTCCATAGGCCTGGAATCCTATATAACAGCAACACTGTTTAACGTTAAAGAGGCTTCCTGAGTAGGACTGACTCCACATCATGCTTTAAATGAAAGCCTGAATACAAAAAAAAAAGCTTTCTCAGATACTGACTTACTGAGAAGTCTCTGTGAGAACCAGGGGAAGCTACATAAATGTGAGATGATAACCAAAACCACCTCTTTTCATTAACTTTTATGTTTGTCCACATGCACCCTGACTTCAGTGCCGTACCACAACTTACTTTGTCAGAGAACCACAGCAGGTTGGACTCTTTGTAATGGGTGAACATCCCGTAGACTGGATCCATCAGCTCCTTCAGCAGCAGCAGGAAGAACTCCTTAGTAACTCCACCTGCGTCCACTGCCTCCTCCCCGTCAAAAATCACCTGGGAGGAGGGGGTGGGGGCGGACCAGAAGTGGGGTGAGATGAGAGTGGCAGGACAGGAAAGCAGCATTCTCATCCAAATTCCATTTCAGACATTAGAAGTGACGTCACTTACCTTGAGGGGCTTCTTCAGGTCCACGTCAGAGTACGTGGTGATCTCGCGGAGCGTGTCACTCACTAAGTGGTTCCTGCGAACATGCAGCACCAGGTAGGGGTTCCTGGCGAGCTGCGGTTCCAGCGTGAGCAGCATAAAGACGTTGTGTAGGTTTGCACCGCTTACGGCCATCTTGGTGACGTTGATGGTTAGAGGTGTGGAGAGAAAGAAGGCAGACTGTAAATCGCTCTTTTTTGCATTGAATACAATAAGATCACTTTTGACATAATAATATAATAAATTGAAACATAGCATTGTCACAAATACTTTCCCGTGACCGGCAGATACCTGCATTTGCAGTTCAGCATCAGTTTGCAGCATTGTTGTCTTGGCTTGGGCGTTCAGTATGAACGGATAGGCACATAGGTTCAGTGAGGGAAAGTCATTCTGCAGGGGAAGGGACACTGAAGCTTCTTACACAATAACCACGAAAAACAGCTTACTGACATGTTTGAAACCAGACTTTCCTACCTGTGAAGGGGATGATCCCATTTTCTAGAAACAAAAATGACAAAGAAAAACATGACCCAAATGGAAATAGCAAAAAAAAGAAAAGAATGATAAGTTGCTAAATGTTTTGATATTTAACCCATATGAGCAAATACCCGATTTGTGATTCTACAGCTGGGCCATTTAAGATAAACTGATTTTAGCTTAAATTCTTAGTTGCATGAATTTAGGTGTGGTTGTTAGTCTCTGTGATGGACTGGCAACCCTTCAAGGTGTTTGATGCACCTGCCACAACCTGGGTTCTAAGGGCTTACTGCAGCTGTGTGTAGAAGTCAACAATGACAAAATTGCATCACACTCACAATCTCTGCTTTACTCAGAAACCATTTGAGGTAGTCTTCCTGGATGTCCACCAGGCTGGTGATGTCTGGGATATAAAAACGGTTATAATCCACATGCTGGGCCTTTAGATTTACCTGGAAAAGAAATAGGCACCATGAGACATGTTCCCTAAGGATCTGTGCGGAGCTGTTGGTTTGTTTACAGCAGCAGGCGGTGCCATTAGAGGGTACCTTGTGGAGTTTCTCTAGCAGCCTGAGCGTGGCCACAAAATAGTTCTCGTAGAACACGGGCACGAGGAGCGTCTTGCCTCCTGTGAGCATGAACACGACGATGCTCTTGTACATGTCGACCATTTTGGTAAAGACGCTGCCGTCCACAAAGCACCACCAGTTATCTGCCGGGAAAGGAAAACAGGACACTTAAAGACCAAACAAAGGCTAATTTAACCAAAACAGTGGCAGTTTCAGATTTAATGTGTCAGTATTTAGTCTTAAATCCTCACAGACTGACAAAACGTGGGATTTTTCTCACAGTGCGTTGCTGTACACAGAGTCCACTGAGCGTCACCTCTGTGGGGAACACACGTGACTTTCCCGAACATCAATGCAGAACACTAAAGAGCCTTATCGGTCCCACTCAGCAGTTTGCATACATTCTTGTTCTTGTTTTTGAGTTATCTGTTGCCGAGATAACTGACCTGACACACGAACGTGGATGAGGACGCTGACGCAAACCTCATGTGGTGTGACACTTACGTGGTGTCAATGTTTTGGATTGTTTTGTCTTTTCTGAGAGGTGTCACAACAAAGACAGAAAGTAAAAGGAAAATATTTGAGAGTACGCATGCAAAGATGATACCCAATACTTTGCTGGGGTTGGCATCTAGCCGGAGAATGGCCATTGCCAGAGGAATAGTGAGGCGGATGTAGTATTTGGATTCCCGCAGAGCTGGGCACTCCGATAAGATGAGGTAGATCCTCATGGCCTCGACGTCAGGAGGGGAACGTGGCAGCTGGGGGATCAAGAGGCTTTCAAAACTCTTGGTTGCCTAAACAAGAGATAGGACAGAGGTCTATATTTACAGTACACTTTGGAATAGAGGTAAAAAAAAAAAGAAAAAAGAAAAAGGGATAACTTATAAGCGGACTGATTATGAGTGCACGGATCCCTCATGGACCCATGAGGGATGAGGACGTAAACCTCGTGCAGCATGACACTACGTGGTGTCAATGTTTTGGATTGTTTTGTCTTTTCTGAGAGGTGTCACAACAAAGACAGAAAGAAAAAGGAAAGATTGGAGAGTGCGCTCCCTCTGGTTCCACGAGGGAGCAGGAGGAAATACACATCATTAGTGGTCTGAACTGTTTCCAATTCCTATTAGGTTCACTAGAGCAAACCTAACATTACTGAGCCATAAGAGTAGCTCATGAGTCAGCCCTGCTTTTCAGGGATTCTGTGGCAGAACGTAATGTACTGTACTTTCAAAACCAGAGTTTAGAAGGTCTTTGTTTTTATTGCAAAAGCTGTGTTTCTCTGAAATGTACATTTTTCTGCTGGTATCTATCGATGATTTGAATGAATGGAAATGGGAAACTGGTGGTTAAGTGAGAAACAAAACTATGCCTTTTTCTTTGCTATTCATGCTTTGGGGATGATCATAACGAATCCAAAGCAAGTTGTGAACCGATACCTGTTCCAGAAGTCCAGAAAAAGCTGGTTTACTGAGAGTCTCAAACAGCATTCTGACAGAGTTGAGATCGATTCCCGGAATCTTTGGGTTGGTTTTGAAGTGAGTATCATCACTGTGGAAACAAAACAAACAAAACACAAAATGATGTGGCTGATTCCTAAGAGGATAGAAACAGGGCCGAGGTCACAATCAGTGTTAAAGTCTGCGTGACGGTGCACGCTCCGTTGGATTAAACCAGAACTATTCCAACCGGTCACATGGCAGGTCAGCAGTGAGTCAAGTGCACCTAAAGGTGCTGCAGCTAGATGTGCTAATTCTCCCTGCGACATAAGCAATGGCAGGGTAGACCTGCCGCCTAAACGTCTTTAAGTCAATCCCTAAGCAGATCTCCTCTTCGGCTTGGGAGCCGGGGATAGTAAACACTAACTGATTTACGCTTCCAGGTCAGAGCCTCCACCCAAGCCAGCCAAACCCTGGACATGAGAAACAGATGCCGTTTGCAGTAAGCCCTCACTTTCTTAGAGCAAAGGTTTTGTTTAACACAAACACATGAGATCCTGTGAGGCTGTTTGCCGGACAAAAACACACAGATGCAGACATTACACTCCATCAGTAGAAAATCGTAAACATCAGTGTGGAGCCACTGAATTATAAGAACTCTTGAAAAGACCGTCTGAGACGTTCAGGCTCACAAATGTGACGTAAAAGCAATGGAAAAGGCATGCGTTTTTAAAACCTTTAAGCTTCTGAAGCAAGTCCTAATGCTCTCACTCTCAAACAGAATTAAATCCAACCTCTAGAGGATTTTCTCACATAGAAATAAATCAGCACAATGCAGGAAATGAGAGAAAAATACCCACTAAAATTTCCTCAAAACAACCGTTCTGTGCTGTTCTCATAATCGACACCACAGCAACCAACTATTAAATCCTATTTGCATCATATAAAATGTGTTTAACACATGTGACCAATCACGTCTCAGCTTTGCTCTTTGAAGCAAATATTCAGAGAGAATAAAGAAGGTGAATAAGCCACAGGGAATCACCTCTATTTATGAGTTATATTTGATTATTAGAGACCACGTCATTGCCAGAAAGTGTGAAGCACTTACAGGCAGCTCCTGTTGGTGTCATGTTTCAGACCCCCTTGTTAAGTCTGTATTTTATCTTCCAGCTTTCACATAGTCTGCAATCTTTGGAGCTGCCTCCTTACTCTGGTTTCAGAAGTGTGTTCTAATGAATTTCTATGTCTACAGCGTTGTGTTTTCCACCCTGTTGATCTTCGAAACCGATTCCCAGGACACGATAAGTATCTGCTGAGGAGTCAGGCCTAAAGGGCCAAGACCTTCCAGCAGGTAAGAGAAAAAAAAGTCAAATCTGGACTCAGACAGATCTCAGTTACTGAGCAGATACCATCTTTCCCAGGCCAAACAATCGCGTGTGCTTTTGGTAGAATAAGCTTTTATATATCATCAGAAAGTATGTGATGTGCAGAGCTAATGTACCTCATGAGGTAAGCAAACGGTCACTTCACAAGCTTTTTCTGTTTACACATGGACGTGTACATTAAAGCAATTATTTGTCATCACACTGAGTGAACAGCTGCTTTTTACAGAACACAGCAGATAAAGAGAAAGTATGTGGACTGACCTCTAAATCTACGTAAACATTACCACATAGACTAAATACCTTTTCCACAAGTAAAAACAATAGTCATCCTTACAATGCCCCCGGTTGTATAAAGACAGATATCAAAACATACGACCTCAGGACAACAATATATTCAGTTCTTATAGATTGGTGACAGTGGGATTACTATTATTGAATGTTTGAAAAGCAGCCATTTTGTTCATTTTTTTTCCTGATTCCAATCTTAATTTGCTCATACTTTAGAAGAAAAAGTCCTATTTTGAATATTGTTAAAAAGATTAAAGTTCTACAATGTCACTAAAACATAAATCAACATCAAACAGTCGCTGTGTAATAAAAGTCTGCCTTCCAAGCAAAGTTTGTGTACCTTTGGTCCAAGAAGCTGGCGTTCCAACAAGCAGTTGAGGAGAGATGAATAATAATGTCACTGCAAACAAGAACAAAAGGTTTTATTACATTAAATGCACAAGGAATATTCCTGTATAATTCAACTAAACTGACTTTAAAGCAAAAAATGTAACCATAAAAATAAGGTGTGTGCGCTCAGAGTAGAAAATCAACTATTTGATCACTTACTTTGTGACACTAGAGTCTGCGCTGTACATCAGTTTTAACCTCCATGAATTTAACCTGTCATAGTTGATCAGGGAAAGGCTTTTACTGATGTTAATCACTCTGAAGTCGTCTGGGGTGGTGGAGCTCTGCAAACAAACAGACGCAACATAGCATCAGTTCACACCTTGGACTGTGTGTGGAACAGGTCACTCTGGGCCGTGTCTGCTTCCTCAGGGAAGATTAAATAAATAAACCAGGCCTGAGGTCTAAATATTACAGCTTGGGTGTGCGGCAGAGGCTGGGTGTTTTCAACTGGCGTACATTCCTGACCACTTCTCCGAAATTCTTCTTTGGTTAACAAAAAACAAAAAACAAAACACAGTTGCCGAAGCAGGAAAAGTTGAGGTGTTAATGCCACCCTGTGGTGGAACTTATTAGCACAGCTTGAGTTTCTTGATGATAAAGCTCTGCACAATTTGAATGTGAATCTTTAGGACTAATCAGATTCTATGAAAATAGTGTCTGTGTGCGCTCGTGTCAGAAGGAAACTCCGTTCTTATGGGACCTTGTATTTGCTAACTTCTCAGTTTCTGCTAAATATGACTTTCTCGTCCTGTTTTAACATGGACAGGTGTAGCAGATGAAGGTTATTTAACTAAGCAAAAAATAAACTGTAACTCAATAAATGTGATATAAATGTTGCGCCGACCGATCAGCATAAACCAGAGGGACTGATTACGGACATTAAAACTAATAAAAAATAAAGGCAGGTGAGACATACTGAGGGTAAAAAGCCTAAAGCAACAAGGCTTAGCTGAGAAAAAACAAACAAACACTCAACCACATACCTGTTCATTTGAGTACAATAAGAAGCTGTGATCTCCTCCACAGATGATTTTGGTCACTTTATACTGCTTCGAATCTGATGCACATAGAAAATGGCTTCAGAACAACCAAACAGTTCACTGTAATCAGGGATAGCTGAATAGAACAGCATGGACTGTCTTATTCATAAATCCCCTCATCAGAATGTCAAAGTCATATTAAAAAAGAGGAGGCTGGTGGGCCCATTACATAACATTTTCATTACTTTCTGAGTGCAACTAAGCAGTTATTTCATTGAGTTAGCATCGGTCCGCCACGTGATCCGGCAGACCCACACAGCAAAGAGGATGAGTAAAGCCCTTTTACACAATAGAGAACTGAAAACAGCAGTTCTGACTTGATCCTGGTTATTTCACATGATACACATCCAAAAGAATTTCCCCTTAACAAAAACACCCTCCCCACCTCCACAGACATCTCATAAATAAAACTATGAAAGCACCTCTTCTCTGGACATTTCCTGTCAGGACGCTGGTCTTAACGGGAAACGGGCTTCTGGAATCTCCCAGTATTCCTGTCCCCAGCTGGCCGTGGCTGTTGCACCCAAACGCGTACACCACGCCAGAGGATGGCACGAACGCCAGCGTGTGGTGCCTGGCAAGAAGAGAGGCAGGTTACAACCAGCACAGCTACGCTAGTTACTGCTTTATCAGTGGTGAGGAGAACAGTGGAGGTTTGACTGTTTTAAAGTGCCCGGGACCTTTCTGTATACTCAGTACCATGCGTGCCTCAGCTGTTACTGTGACCCTGTTAAGGACGACATCCAGACTGTCAAGCCTGTGGCTTCTTTGTAAGTGGGAGGGCCCTAAACGATGGACGCACATTACCTTTTTTTTTTTTTTTTTTTTAGATGGGTGGGCTTAAAATTCATCTGAGAGCTAAATGTGAGTCAGACTGAGCGTAGTTTAATGCGTAGGACAGAACAGTACCTGCCGCAGACGATCTGGGACACCTCCGTACCCATCAGCTCCAGCACTCGTCTTGGTAAAAGTTCATTATTGGTGGAGCCGTGACCCAGCTGACCCCACGAGCCATTGCCAAATGTAAACAAACCTCCGTCCTGCCGCACAGGAAATATAGGTAAAAATAATTACAGAGTTCAATTACAGATAATTGTCATGTAATATCAGATTGTCCAGTTGTGTAACAGACACTGCTGCAACCAAAGTGCTGCGATCTGCCCTTAAAGAAGCAACATGTGCTGAGCAAAAGAGGCCAAAATGTTGGTACCTTCGTCAAGGCCGCTGTATGCTCATCTCCACAGCTGATGTAAACAACTTTCTGAGATCTCAAAAACTTGATGTGGCAGGGCACTGCCCGATCTGAGGACGGAGGAGACATCAGTCAGATCACACTGCTGTGCAGTGGTTGCATTTGAAACAAAGCATCAAAGTGGTAAAGCTTTACTCATTAAGAGAATCTATAAATTATTTTCAAGTTTTTTTAAATCAAATGTTTCATATTCAAAATCACCACTTGTGATGAAGAACACATTTTTATAAATGCTCTTTTTGCTCAACAATCTCTTTCTTTCAATTAAAAAATGTCTTCAATTACAATTACAAGCAGCACTGCTTATTCCAATGTGGCATCCTGAATCTTTTCTTTTTGAAACGACCTGCCGATCCTTACCTTGTTTATCGTTAAGGCCCAGCTGTCCAGCTCTGTTTTTGCCCCAGCCGAAAACGGCCCCAGACAGCGAGAGTGCAAAACTGTGGTCTCCCCCAGCAGTTATCTGTGCTAAAGGAATTCCTGCCAGAGACTTCAGAGGCTGAGGGTACAGCTTGCTGGGCTCTCCTTTCCCCAGTCCGAGCTGACCACTGGTGTTCTGCCCCCACGTGAACAGCTGGCCATCTGAGAGCAACCACACACACACACACAGATCGTATTCATCCTCATCATAAAACACATACCCATCATTTGCAGGTCATTATGCTTTCCATCTCAGCGAGAAACCTTCCAACATTCAAACGAGACACAAGATTTATTTTAATTAAGGAAATGACAGACTTGGTCCAACATTTCCAACAATGCAACAGCATCTCTGTCTAATGCCTGTAGTCCAAACAGGAGTGACCAGGACTATGCTGGCACTGATTTGTCACAAACACCTCCTAAGGGATGAGTGTGCCGTTTTATCTTCACCAGTCGTTTGAATGCTTCAAGGACCAAGAGACCAAATGCACGCTGGCATACAGTCCTCATTGGGGCAAATAAGCCTTTTATATTTCCCCCTAAATTTAACCCAGTGGTTATGCTGTCACACAAAGGGGGCAAAAGTTCATACATGAGGACAAATGAATTGATTTCAAGTGACCATGTGGTGCAATTCATCTCAGTTAGATAAAAGATCATAAATAATGACAAATGAACTGATTTCAAGTGGATTCAAGTGACTATCTAGCAATTCATTTCAGTTGGATATGTACATGGATACAGCATTCATGATGTGAGCAGTGCTGCAGTGTTGTGTAGAGATTGTGTCTTTCACACCTCTAGAAAGTGCGATGCAGTGCTGATTCCCACACATTACTTGGGAGATGCTGTGGTCACACAATCTTTTAACCAATCTAGAAAAAAGGAAAAATATTCATCAGCACAAAGAAAGAAAACAACATCAATAACATTTCACTTTAGAGTAAGCAATGCCCCAAAAGTCTGGGATTAACTAGCATCCTGTACCCTGCTGCTTTCCACCAAAGCGTCTTCTAAAAATCATCCTGTACATTTTGAAAGGACCCATTTTTGGAGTTTTGAGAGATAAATGCCTCCAATTGTGCTTGGTTTGAAGAGTTTAAGCAAATCAACAGATCTGGATTTCGAGCCACAAATAAAGTAGTTTTGTACCTAAGCAGAGTTTTACAGGAGTGGCTACATTTTTCTTACCGACTGTTTACCCCTATACTGCACAGCTTTGCTTTGTTAACGGAAAGAGGCAAACTTTTGGCTTTCTGCAACAACCAGGAGGCTAGGTGTTTCTGCCCTCTATCATGCACTGCACAGTCACCTTGGGACTCGAACAGCTGCATCCACGCTCCCCAGCCCCAGCTGTCCGCCTTCTCCAGCTCCCCACGCAAACACTTGACCCTGCTCATTCACCGCCACCGAATGGGCCCGACCACATGACACCGTCGTTATCTTCTGAGTATTCAAAGCGCCCACCAGCTCTGCGGGAAAAAAAGAGAAAAAAGGAGAGAGATGAAATCATGAACAGACTCCATATTAAAATCAACCACTTTGGTTATTGGACCCTCCAAACCTTTTGTTCTTCATTATATTCAATTCTGCCTTATTTATTTGTTTTTGCTTTTTTACAGAACAAATCTAAAATGGCAAAAAATAAGGCTGATGTGACTTATGAGCAGCAATGTCGAAAAATAACCTGGGAGAAGGAGTTGAAATACAACAAATCAGAGTGTTCTCATGCACCGTGAAAGAAGCAGAGAGAGAAGCGGAGATGCAGAGATGCTGATCAGAAACCTGAAGCTGGTGCTCTAGTTTCCTGTGTGGATTCTTGCAACATTAAAGTGGTTTGACAGAGACACTTGACTGAGCTCATAAAACATTTTACATTTTTAATGGCATTCATTAAAACTGCACATATTTTATGGGTAAATTACAACTGGCTTGATGTGATAGAGAAAGTCCCTACATGTTACCAGGGTGTTTTTTGTACTTTTGTAAGCAGACTTGTTAGAGGCGAACCAACATGCCCAAAGAATGTGGCAACCCACACTGATCCACACAAATGATACCAGCACAGGCCAATTCAAACTGCTACATGGTACTGAAGTCCTTCTGTCATCCAGGTTGTCTTGTGTATTTAAAAAAAAAACACCTTCAACTACACCTGTTTGGATACACAAAATGTTTTTTACTATATATTCAACAGAGCTAACAAAGGAATGGCCTGAACAGGTAGATAAAAGTCCCTTAGTTTGCTGAAAGTTTAGCCCAAATCATCCCCAGTTTCTTTGTTTTGCTTTCATTAAATCGGATGCAGTTCTAAAGAAAAAACTAAAATAAACTACTGCATTTCTATAAAGCTGACAGCTCAATCACTGCCCATGGGGTCAGGCCACATAGTCTGGTTCTGATTCTGCATATTGACTCTCCAAAAACACTTCAGGAGGGTTTAGGGAAGGTGCCGTTCAGACATGTTACTGAGATATCTGCTTACCTGGGGAGCTCTCAGTCTGGTCGTGTCCCAGCTGTCCACAGCTGTTAGAGCCACATGTGTACACACTCCCATCTTGCAGCAGGAACACAGTGTGTTGCCCTCCACAGGCAAGCTCTTTCAGTCCCCTGCCACTGAACATATGACAGCTCCTCGGCTCAAACACAGGGTTCCTCTCCATGCCAATACCCAGCTGCCCATCCCTGGCATTCCCCCAGCACAGCATGGTGGAGAGGGAAGAGGAAATGAGCACCAATATCAAGAGAAGGAGAGGGTGAAAGCCAGATGGAGGAAGACAATAATGCTCAAGCGTGAGAGCAGCCCCGCTTTCTCCTCTTCATGTAAATTCCAACCCTGCAAGAATCAAAAGCAGCAGAAGTACATCAATACCTTCATCTGGAACAAAGGATAATCACTCTGTTCCATTTGTATGCCCAGACAATGTTTTAATGATGAAAAAAGGCATCAGCTATAGGATGATGTCAGCATAATGACAGAGGAGCAGGCAGCGTGTTTAAATAAACCCTGGCAGAGTAATCCTGGCTTAAGAAGCTCCAAGCAGTCCCGCTTGCATGTGCATCCGCTCGTGGACATGTGTGCGTTTGGCTGACTGAGTTAGCCAAACATGACAAACAAAAAAGATGATCAAAATGAACAACCACATTTGAAATCTCAAAGCTAAAAAACATACCACATAACCCATATGATGTTGGGATATGAAAACATTACAATTGTGGAACATTGCTCCTGACTTTGAACAAACAGCACAGTTATTCTTAGATATGCATCCAGGTATCAGTAAATATGTAAACCTGACTAAAAGCAGCAAGTTAAGAACCAACAATTAAGCTAAGTAAATAGTGATTGTTAACAAAGCAACTGTCAATAATGTTCGTAGTCGTAGTAGACTAAAACCAGTATTCTAGTCTAACCAGAAGTGTGACTTATCTCATAAAATATTCCTGCGTCGCAGCAGTTATTGAGATGGTGTTGTATATGTTGACATATCTATATATTATACATCTATATATTGGCATCAGTATTACTTGTAGAATACATTTCAACCCCGACAGCTGAAAATACAAAATACAGCAACACTTTTCTATAGTTGTGAATCGCTGGGAAAACCGTTTGTTTACATCCTCGGTGTCATTCAGCTAGCTGCTTTTAGCCCAAAACGTTCCCGCTTTCTCCTCTCTAGAAAGGGCAGCAATGCTACGTTATCTTGGTGATCTATTCTGTATTTATATCATGAACACAGACTCCAGTTGTAGCTAAATATCAACACCAAAGTTTGCAACCTTAGTGTAGTTAAAGGCATCGAACCGACGGATTGATGACCCACAAAAGCTATCACAGTTTATAGCTAACTAACGAGGGAAGGCTAAAGCAACGCTGCCCAAGAGAAAACCAGCCGGCAAGCTACTGTCAGCGGTGTCACAATAAATACTGTACAAAAAAAGCTATAGCTAGGTAATACGAATTTTGAAAACGGTGTGCGTACCTTGGCAAGTGCATCCTGATATTGAACGTTCTGTTTCGGTTTAGTAGCTCAGAAAACAAACGGGAAGTACCAGAGCTGGTTACGTCACCAAACCCTCAAAGCAAGAATTATATGATTGGCTAAATAAACAGGAAGTGCAGGTGTAACGATCAATTCTGTGACTAGTCACATTCCATGACCTAGATAATGTGTACGAGCAATGACTTTTAAAAGTGGTATAATCTATGTCTAAAAAAATATTTAGACATAGACATATAATTTATAAAAAATATGCAACTCAAGAAAAACAGAGTTTACTTTTATTTGTGAAATCATTATATTATAGCAGGACTGATTGTCTTTTCTCCTTTAATTTCAACATTGTTAAGTGAAAACTCAAGACAACGTTACACATTGACTACATTTATTTTTTTTAAATGCAGGAATACAGAGAAAATAGAAGAGATTGAGTCACATGAAAACTGGGACAAAAATAGAGGTACTGAATGATTAATAAATAACATTTAAAAATTCACATACTCTAAATGTAATCCCGCTTCATATCAAATTACATGCATTTGCTCACAACACCCCGTATTATTCCCATCCTACCGACACCAAGAGGCCCTAGTTTCCATTTAGTGATTGGTTCACCTTGCTGCCAATAATACACTTCTTGACCAATTATAACGTCTATTTGTGGGGCGTGAAACGAGGCTCATTCTGATTGGCGCAGTTGCTTCAAAGGCCTTGTTTGATAATATTGTAGAATCTGAACCTCAACGCAGGTACCGAGGGCGGTGGCGGTTTTCACTCAGTTCTTAGCAATTTAAACCTTTAACCGTCTGGAAAGTCAAGACATCTTAAATCATTTAAACAATCGAGGTAGGATTGTTTTTCATCATAAACCTGAAGGGGGTGGGTTGGTTGTGCTGGATTATTAAAGACTAACTGCGAAGCTAAAGCTAACCACCTAGCTAGTTCGTCGATCAAGCTATACTTGGCTAAGAAGTTTACGTGAGACCGAAATATGATGCTTGACCTGGCGGCCTGTTTCAGCTTTGCAACAATACACGTGAATAAGTAGCGGAGACACATACCCATGTTATGTGTGACATATTTCCCATGTATGGAGATAATGCCCTGTATTAGCAATAGCAGCTAACTCGTTGACAATCAGTTGCTGGTGTTTCTTGATGCTGCGCGTAATGTATTTAAGCTACATGATGTAATATAAACAAAGATTTGTACGATTTGTCCATTCGCTATCTGCACTGAGATAACCATGTAAATCTCTTGCATAAATATTTTTGTTGAAGAGCACCCATTTGATTCTGCACGGTTCTCTCAGAGGGAAATATTGACTTTAATATTCAGAAGAGAATTGTATCAAATCTATGTAACCAATTTTTCTTCAGTGTTTGGACACCACATCCCTCTACTTCTGCATCCAGTTTTGCTCCTGTGATTGTGCTGTCGGGGTGATGTCAGTTGCCTGTCTCGTGCGCCTGGTCAGGTGCAGTGGTTCTCCAGTTGGTCGCAGTGGTCTCTTCCAGAAGGCTCTTGTCCCACCGCCAGTACAGCACGACGCTCATCCAGAGTTAACAGTCTTCAGTCGTAAGCTTCAGGGGCCCTCGGGAACACGATACAGCAACACACGCTTTGATCCGGACAGCAGTGGCCGCCTCACCACTTGGGATTCGTTTGGCATTTGGGACGATCGTATTGATGAGCCCATCCTGCTGCCCCCCAGCATTCGTTATGGCAAGCCTATTCCTAAGGTTAGCTTATCCAGGGTAGGCTGTGCCTCCCTCATTGGTCAACGCAAGGAAAATGAAGACCGCTACAAGGTTTCCCAAATGACGGACAGCATCCTTTACTTTGCCGTGTTTGATGGACATGGCGGACCAGAGGCAGCTGACTTCTGTCAAAAATACATGGAGAAATACATTAAGTAAGGAAACTCAAAAATATGCTGTCTCCACATGTCCTCACCAGGATTTAAACTGATTGAAGACGACTTTGAAGGCTACATATCGGGAGTTTTCAGTTGATGCTATATATGTTGCATTTCAGGGACCTTCTTGCAGAAGAAGACAACCTGGAACTACTTCTAACGAAAGCCTTTCTTGAAGTAGACAAAGCGTTTGCGAGACACTTACACTTTTCTCCGAATGGTAGGTTCTTTCACGTGCGCCTTTAATTTACAGTGAACACACACAGATTGATAAATGTGTTGAAACATTTTTTTTTCTTTCCTCTTCTCTCTTCAAACCTAATGTATTAGTCTTACGTAGGCTTTGAGGCTTTGGATTTCCCAACTGTTATGACCTGAACACTTGGTTGGAGGTCTGTCGTTGCATCCAAAGCTTCTTAATAACCATCAAGCAAATAGCCATAACATAACTCCTGTACATGCAGCATGAGCCCACTTATGTTTACAGACAGGCAACAAATTGAAGGAAAAACCCACCCACCTGCTTGGCTATATACCACAGATATGGGTCCCTTTATTTAGAGAGACACCAGAGATGTCACTAACTAATAAGAGCAAAAGCTATGTAACATTTTTATGAGGCCACTAGATGATAACACACTTAGAGGTTGAACTCCTGACTGAATTCATTGATTTCCTTCATAAGCAAAGTTTGAAGCTGCTCTAGAGACTTGTCTGGTTAAAGCAGCTTTTATTTTTTTCCTTTAATTTGTTACCCATCTTGTTTATAACTTATTTGAAAAATGTCTCGATGAATTGATAGACATGTAGGATTCTTAGCAGTGTAGAAACCCTTGGAATGAACTGTTCTCAGTAAGGTTTTGTGTTGACTATAAACGCTAGTGTACCTGCTATGTGGCCATAGTTTGGCCACACTGTGCAATGTCCCAATATGCCTGTGTGTGTGTGTGCATGTTGTCTACGGCAGCTGCTGACCCAGCTAAGAGCTGGAGGCCCTTGGTACCCGTGTGGATGACGAGGGGCTAGATATTGAAGGAGTCCAGCGGGTCCAAAATCCTGGACTACTGGAAGGTTCCTTATCTTTCTCTCAATCCTTTCTCTCTCTTTCTTTTTTCTTTGTCCTCTCTTACCAAGTGTATGCAACGCTTCTCGTGAGACAACTCATCGGTTTAAGCCAGCGTATGAGACCGCGCGTATGTAGTCAGAGACTAATACCCATCAGATGCTGCATGTTTAAACCTAAAATAGGCCAAAAGCGAAGACTTAGCAAGTCCTGTGTTGGTTCTTCGGGAGAGAGAAGGGAGTCACTGGGACATTTCAGTGATTTCGAAGCGTTTACTTTTATAAATCTGCATCCTATGTTAGATTCAAATGACTGGAAATAAACTCTTCTTATCCTGTGTTAAAGGAAGGTTAACTGTTTGTTTGCACCATCAAGAGCATTTAAGACTCGTATTACAGAAATGATGAAGGGTGCAAATTTTCTTCATCAGATTTCTGAGTGCGTTTTTACCCCCTTGTTTATTTTTTCCGTGACCGGTCAGCGTTTTCTCACAGATAACTTTAGATGTGTTCATAGACAACTAAAGAAATACCATGACCTCTCAGTGACTTATTCAGACTGTGTTATTTTTTTTGTTCTTCTGTTTTTTTTCAAATGTTTGCTCTTAAGTGATATAGAGCTCAACCCCAGACATTACATGTCAGTTTTTCATGGTTAAGCTTTACATTGAGCTGCTGTAAAACTCGCTTTGGATTTCAACTCTGTGCTGCAACAGTCCAGCCTGCATGTGTGACTTTCTCCCTGCTGTTTACTGTGTAAACCGTAGCTCGCTCCAACTCAACTAGAGGGCTTCCCACAGACGTGTGTTCATTCTAGTGTGAAAATGTGCCACACACCAAGTGATTTATCAAAAAAAAAAAAAAAAATGTATCTTTGTGTGGTACTCTTGGCCTGTTCCGCGTGTGATGGTCTCTCTGGTGTCTCTGTAGGACCGGGGATAAATGCAGGAACCACTGCCACTGTGGCCCTGCTGAGAGACGGCATCGAGCTGGTGGTGGCCAGCGTGGGAGATAGCCGGGCCATGCTGTGCCACAAAGGCAAGGCCCTCAAGCTCACCGTCGACCACACGCCCGAGAGGAAGGACGAAAAGGAGAGGTGAGGACGCACGTCAAACCAGAAAGCGGAAGTGACCAATAAACTCTCTTCACCACTGCTAAGTGCGGCGTAGGAAGATGTCTCCGAGTCTTTGACCTGATTTGGTTTTTTTCTGTGTATGTGCGTGTGTGTTCCTCTTCTCTGCGCTGGCCTTAAGGGTCAAGAAGAGCGGCGGGTTCATCACGTGGAACAGCCTGGGACAGCCCAACGTCAACGGCAGGCTGGCCATGACGCGCAGCATCGGAGACTTTGACCTGAAGAAGATGGGCGTCATCGCTGAGCCCGAGACCAAAAGAATAATGGTGGGGGGATGGAAACTGTATTGAGTTCTTTTTTATGAAACAGTCATGTTCATATTGAGCTTTCCCGTTGTCCACAGCCTGATGAGCTGATGAACAAACGGCTGGTTTAAGTCTCTCCTCCCTCTGCTCCCCTCAGCTGCATCACGTCCATCACTCATTCCTGGCGCTGACCACAGATGGCATCAACTTCATCATGAATAGCCAGGAGATCTGCAATGTGATCAACCAGTGCCACGACCCCAAAGAGGCGGCTCAGAGGATATCCGATCAGGTAAAACAAGCACGCTATATCTGTTTTTCATTTGAACACAGGGCAGAAACAAAAAGTCCAACCGCCTGTGTCCTGCCTCTCAGGCCACTCCTTCTCACGTCACTCTCTCCACACTTCTCTCTCAGGCTCTCCACTATGGGTCTGAGGACAACAGCACCATCATCGTGGTGCCTTTTGGAGCCTGGGGGAAGCACAAGAGTTCGGACACGAGCTTCTCCTTCAGCAGGAGCTTTGTGTCCAGTGGCCGCTGGGCCTAGACGCCGGGGGGGTGGGGGGGGGCGGGGCGTATCGGACTGTCGCAGGCCCAGTTAACAAGTGCAATAAGTTGGTGCCCCTGATTTAGCGATGACACTCAGTGGGTATAACATCTTTTTATTTTTTTCCCGTTAGCGCAGCGTGATGCTTTTGAGCCTCTGTGAAATTTCTTAGACAGTACACACTAGCAAGCCAATAAACCTCACAGGTGCCGGAAGCTGAGAAGTATTTAAGGAATGGGGAGGAATCGCGATAGCATGAACATTTGGAAAACTACGGAACTAGTTTTCTTAGTGTTCCTGGCTCTGACTGTCTGCCATTCTGATGTTTTTTGAAACCCTTATAATGCCCAAATTGGATTTTTTCTTTTATCAGCTTTAACTGAACAAGAAACTTCTCAGAATAATCACTCATCTGGATTTCCCAATTTAAGGAGTGTGGGCAGCTTTTTAAACATATTTATAACGCTTAAGCAAGCCTAGATGTTTAAAAAAAAGAGAGAGGACAATACAGCACTGGAAATCGAATGCTTGATAATCATTGGAGTTAATTCTGACCTTCGTATAGGCACAGCAAATCTAAAAAGACATGGGGAAGAAAAGAGTTCCCCTTATAAATAAATCTGCCTAAACTTCCCCACAAACAATTCCACCTCCTGCTGTTTCCGTTTGATTTACTTCAGATTCTACCCAAAGCTCCGCTCCAACTCTTTGAAGCCCTTTTGCACAGCAATGAAGGTTCAGGAGAGGAGAACAGAACCTTTAGAGCCACATGGCGCCTAGAGCCATTCATCCACGCAGCGTTTCGCTGGCTGAATTGGACGTGTACGATTAAAACTGAACCGAACGGTCGGGGCGTTTCTTCCGTTTAAACACTGCTTCAGGCCTGGCGTGTGTCCATCCGTCCTGATCTGAAGCAGGTTTTTGTCGCAGCACAAAAGTGTACAGAGTATTTTTGTAAATAATTGTATTTATGAAAAAAAAAACGACGGTTCTGTTATATTTGTTTAATTGCCTGGTTATAAATCCCTTATATCTGAACGTGCGGTGCCCACAGGAGCACTAGTCCTCGCCGTTGTGTGGTCTCCACAGCATTTCGATGTCGACTTGAAATTAAAACGTCTGTAATCCCACGTTTCTGCCGGTTGCAGTCGCTGAGAGAACAAACTGTTGTTGCTGCAGAGGTCAGCAAAGAGCCACGCAGGACAGTGTGTGAATGTTTTAGGGAGTTTAAAGAACAAATCGGAATCTGAGAGGCGGTGCGAGCTGATGTCGGCTGCACTTCATACTTACCAGCACTGTTTCTTCTGCGACAGCAATCCGTTTTTTTTTTTCTTCGAGCAGTTTGTAAATAATATCTACTCCTTGATGTGATTTAACTATAAGGACTCCGTCTTTGTGCACAACACGTTGTCCCTCCACAACCTGGTGTGATCCTAAGGTGTGTGTTCAGTATTTTACTGTGTTATAAACATTCGCTGTAGCTGTGGAGCTGGATGTGGCTGTGTCTACACTGCTGTTAGTGCGCTGTTTATTTTCAGTTTTTTTCTTTTTTTTGTCTAAATGGCTTGGCTCACTTCAATTAAAGACAGTGCTTCAAATATTTGTTGTTTTTCGCCTTATTTTTGTTTAGCTTCTGTGTTGTTAGAATTGCATTTCTTTTGGGTTAACCCGTCATGCATGGGCTCTCTTAACACTAAAATTCCCAACGCAAAAATGAATGGACAGAATTTTTTTATTTTTTTATAAGTATTTGACAATTTGGGAAATTTTCCCTGTGCAGATGATTAAGGTGTTTCATCTTACATTCAGATCTATTTTACCCTTTTTCTGTCTTCTAAACCAAAAAAACTAAATAATTTAAAGCCCATCCAAAGCATGGTGTTATTTTCATTTGGCGAAATGATTAACTAACTTGAGCCCTCGGGTTCAGCTTTTAGCCATTAAATCTATATTGACTCATCTAAAAAATTAAATTAATTAAATTAAAAAATGTAAAAACAATTTTTCTTACCCATATGTAAAAAAAAAAAAAAATGCAGAATAACTTTGGGTTCATTTGTAAAAATGTCAATTGAGGAGCATTACTACAGTCGTTTTTTGTTTTGTTGTAACCTTCAGTTCTGAAACACATTCAGGTTAAAAACACTTGCATTGGGTTCATTTATCAGATCCAGAGACAACATCCATCATCTATATTTTTATTACAGTGGTTGGAGCAGACAGGCAGCGTAAAAGATGTTTTCTATTGAACATTTGTGTGGTTGAGTGGGAAGCAAAGGGTTACTCTAAAATGCAGCTTTGCAGCACAGCTAAAAAAGTTCCTCACTCAAGCTGCACTGGTGTTCTGTGCTGACAGTCTTCACCAGCTGCCCCCCAGCATCATCCTCTGGCGGTAAGTCAACCCAGCGAAACTTTCATTGTACTCCTTTTCTTCGGATTCCTGCAATTCCTTCATCTTAGCTTTAGTTTGCAGATGCACGGGCATCAGCTGGTTTGCTGAGCTGTGGAGCAGAAAGAGAATGCACAGCAGGATGTGGAGGAAACTATGAGTATTTGTTTTTATCTCACACATTAAGAGATAACTAGAAGGGCAATATACTGTTTGCTACAGACCACATGGCCATAGGTTCTGAGTCTCTCCACATCAGTCACACAGTGCTAATAAGGACTGATAAAAGTAAAGAATTCTTCCGTGTTGCTCAGCAACTGAGATCAGCCATGCTTTAACCTGTCCCACGGTACTGATGTCAGCTAATAACAAAGCATGTTCCATAGTGATAAAGAAAAGGTAATTATGATAATTATATGTGCATGTGTTTGAACAGTTTCAGAACTTATATTTGTCTCCTATTGGACTGTAGGAAATCTAAGCATGAACATGTTTAAATGTACCAGTGTTGAATTTGTCAAAATTCTGAGAAAAAGTTTCCTATTTGTATTATTCTTGATATAGATTTTCGTCATCTCAAAACAACAGGTTTTTTTATAATACATGTAAGTAATATCAAAACCTTTTTTATTATCTTTGAATAACAATGCAACAGTATAATAGAGTTCTGATCTTAACATAGAGGCATTCATTTTATAATCTCAGTTATGTTTTCGTTTAGATTTCCACTGTGTTGGTCATTATTTGTGGACAGGATGATAATGAATACTGACACAACTTTGATTTCAGAGGTTTACTAGAATTAGACACGCACGTTTTAATCTCTCTTTTTTGTATGGTCACAAATTTAACTTTAATGTAATTTGTCATTTAATATCTCCAAATTTTAATATTTTGCTCAATTGTTGCTACCCAGGAATCTCAGTATCTTTTAAACTATTTAAATGGTCATAACCAGCTGTCTGACAGTAAATACACAGCAAAAAGAAAAGTGCATAAACTCAGAGTTGTGTTTCTTAGGATAGTTTGACCTGATTTCCAATTTTTAAAGCATTACTTCCTCTGTATTATTGGTATAAAATAGTTTTTATTGGATTGGATCTCTTCAGAGCATTTACTTTGCTTCTAGTGGCCGCAGAATCCCCGTCATATGCTCCATATTCATATATTTAGTTCAAATCACTGTTCATTTTTTTGTGCCGACAGGATGAAAGCTTCAGCGGATGATGGAGAGAGCTTGTCACGTTAACATTGCAATGATGGAGGACATGGGGACCAACGGGATGGCCAGAGCAAAGGCTGCTGCCGCCATGGCCCCGGACGAACAGCAGCGGGGCTCCACTGTCAGTTTTCACAGTGTCCAGTACAAAGTCAGCCAGAAGAGCAGCTTCCTCTGCAAAACTCCAATGAGTCCCAGAGAAATACTGTCAGGCATCAGGTGAGTTTAGGGAATGTTTGAAAAAATATTAATTCACTTGCAGACAAATAAAAGAAAAACTCTGTTCAAACTGGCATGTTAATATCTAACTACTCATTCATGTTTATGACTTTTTCAAACATTACTACAAAAATACAACAAAATTTAAATCATTCAGGGTTTTTAAAAATATATTTTTTAGAAAATGACAGATCCACCAAAAACACATTTTCACGTCTCAATACAGCAATCTATTGCAACAACTCCTTTAGAGCTTTAATTTTTTGTAGAGTTTGTGGTGGTCTTCCTTTAAACTCTCCCCTGTAACTCATCATATTATACATTCACGACGCAGAACAAAAATATGTAGACTCTTAATAATCTTCTTAATTAGTAAGTATTAGGAATTTATTTCCCACAAGTGACCGAGCCTAAATGAATTAATTGCATCATGTGAGCCACTTCAACATCTATTCAGTTTTTCATTTTCATCGTGAATGATTGTGCGCTCTTATGTGATCTTGTGTGAGTGTTCTTAAAGAGGTCACGGGTTTTGCTTCTGAATAGTTTAGAGTGGTTTCAAACACCACATTGCAGGATTTTTAAAAAATAATTTTTGTTCACAAAAAAACAAATCACTAGGGTCTTTTTAACCATTTGAACCAGGAACTTAGAGGTAAACTCATGTTCACCACAGCAACACTATTCAAGCCCAAAGAACATAGGCCTACTATCAATGATGATTGAAAATAATAGCAAAAAATAAACGTACGTGAGCTTCATTACTTTCATCTGTGTAAATTCAGTTTATGCGGTCATACACATTTGTGTGTGTGTGTGTATGTGTGTTTTACAGTGGAATTATGAGACCTGGTTTGAACGCTATCCTAGGACCAACTGGTAGTGGGAAATCTTCGTAAGTACTGCTCTCCTATTTCCAAAAAAGATGTTTCCATAGTTTAAAAAAAGGGGGAAAAAACAGCATTTAAAAATTTCTTACATAGTGTGATTCTGTTATTCTCTTTTTTTTTCTCGTGTGAAAAGTGCTGCTTGCTTTGAATTTTAAAGCAATGAATATAGTCTGGAAAAAATTAGTGAGATGGCAGCTCCTTGACATGAGACATGTTAAGGACCTGCTGTCAAATTTCAGGAAAACTGTCATATCATCAGATTCACTCTCTCCTCTGTGAGTTTGTTGCCATTTTATGCCGGTTAGAGAAGTGGAGCTGCACAAAGGCACTGCTGAAAAATAAAAAAAATGCTCCAGAAAGTTAAACAATTTCAACAATTCAAACGATATTTTAAAGAAGATTCTTTAAAGCATCATGGTGACTGTAAGTCAAATGTTTTGCTGGCATGAAATAAAAAAAATGCACATATATTTTGTGGAAATCATGACATTTCAATGGTTTCATGTTCAGTTGGAGGTTTGTTAACAGGTCTTTCACAGAGCCTCCCAGATTAAAAAAAAAAAAGTTTTTATTAAATATTTGTGTTTCTCTAAAGATTCCTTGACATTTTGGCTGCCAGAAAAGATCCTGTGGGCCTCTCAGGGGAAGTACTTATTGATGGAGCTCCACAGCCCCCAAACTTCAAGTGCCTCTCTGGCTATGTGGTCCAAGTGAGTTCATGAAACCCACCCACACTGGGTTTCTAAAGTTAAACTGATGATGTGCTGTGGACTTGTGGCGAGGAAAGACCCTGATTAATGCACAAGCATCTCGATGATTAGTGGTGTTTATCTGCCTGTGCTTTCTGTGTGCAATGTTTGGACAGATTTCAATGAAAAAAAACACCCAAAATGCCACATAAACAAAACAATTACATTAAATGAACATGATTACGTTATAAGGTCTTTGCAATGCTGTTCTGTGAAGATAGCATTTTCACTCAAATATTTCTAAGCTTGAAAAAAGTGTTTTTCTGTGTCAGGACGACGTGCTTCTGGGCACCCTGACCGTGAGGGAGAATCTCCGTTTTTCCGCAGCCCTGCGCCTCCCCAGCTCCGTGTCTCAGAGGGAAAAAGAGGCTCGGGTCAATCATCTCATTAAAGAACTGGCTCTGACAAAGGTGGCCGACTCTAAGGTAGAATTACATCTTTTTCTTTTTTACTGCCTCTTAAGAATGGAGCCAGGATGGATTCACAGACCTGGGGCCGTGTGTGCTCCTGTTTCCCCCCCAGGTGGGCACGCAGATGACCCGGGGAATCTCTGGAGGCGAGAGGAAGAGAACAAGCATCGGTATGGAGCTGATTATTGACCCTGCCGTTCTCTTTCTGGACGAGCCAACCACAGGGCTGGACGCAAGCACCGCCAACTCTGTTTTGCTGCTGCTGAAAAGGTGTGAAAATACATTTTTTCGTTGTCTTTTTGACATAATCCCGGATTGTTTTTGTCACATACATCTGTTTTACAGTCACAATCAGTCAGTCCTGTCCTGTGAGTGCTCATCATTACTCACGTTGGATAGACGACTGTTTTCCTCACTGAGCTGATTTACTGAATTCACCAATTTCAGAATGGCTGGTCAGGGAAGGACCATAATCATGTCTATCCACCAACCTCGCTACTCCATCTACAGACTGTTTGACACGCTGACGCTGCTGGTTGGTGGTAAAATGGTTTACCACGGACCAGCGCCAAAAGCATTGGACTACTTTGCCAGCATTGGTGACTATATTCTGATATTCTGTCAAAGGTTATTTCCAATCAACCAATCGCCAACAGCATTTGGAATAAGTTGGTATTAAATCCAGTCATTGGGCTTTATGTTTAAGGTTATCCATGCGAGCCCCATAACAATCCGGCTGACTTCTTTCTGGATGTTATAAACGGAGACTACACCGCCACAACCATGGCCAGAGTGCCAGGCAGTCAAGGTAACAGGATGAATTAACACTCATATTAGAGTTCATTTAGATTTTTTGACGAGGTAATGGCATTCAAACCTGATATTGATTCCCTTATGCACAATTTCCACAAAGTTACCTGTACTTGGATGGTAAAAGGGTCGCAGAATATCAATCACACTCTCCCTTTGAGACGCTGGTTAGCCCTTTAAAGCCTGATCCAAGAATAAAACAAAACAGAAAATTACTTTTTTTTTGGTTTGCATTCCTTATTTTGGCCTTTTAACAAAATATATAAAAAGAAAAAACAGAAAAAGAATTTTTATATTAATAATTTATTACTATGCCATAAATCAGGATTATTTTTTGTGTAGTCTGCTGACCCCTGTTATCAATTGTATCTGATTTTGTACAATAGGATTTTGAGCAAAGTTTTTACCATTAAATTATGCAAAAGGTGTCAGACGCAAAACATTTCAGAAACCGTATGTATAAAATATGATACATTTGGCATTACAGGGTTAGGCAGATATGTATTGAGTGAGTTTGGGCGCTTGAATGGGAATAAATTCTGGAAGCCTCTTGGGGTATTCGTGTGGGTGAGGCCTGGGGAAGGCGTTCTCGTTGGCAGAAGACATGTATATGGACTCAAAAAAGGTTAAACAATCATTAAACAAACATGGGAACATTTTTAGCTTAAAGATAGATAATGAGATAAATGTGGGACCTCCAGCAAACCAAAACGTTTTACTAAAACTGGGTAAATATGGGCGATTCTTCTTCTCTTGAGCCATTGCTTTGGTCGTAGACTGTGTCCCACACTGATATCTCCTGCCCCCATGGACAGCTTTGGACTGTGAGGAGGTCAGCGGTACCAGGCAGAGCATTGAGGAACACCTTGTAGAAGAGTACAGGAACAGCAGCTACCGCACGGAGACACAGGACGAGTTAAAACGCATCGTCCAGAACAAGAAAACCACGTCACGCACAAACGCCCGCGTCATCACCTACAACAGCTCCTTCTTTCAACAGCTGCGATGGGTTTTTCAGAGAACTTTTCAAAACCTCCTGTTGAACCCCCAAACGTCTGTGGCCCAGGTGAGCATCTTTATGAACGGGAATCTTTTTGCGTGGGTTTTTTTTTGTCACCGGTTTAGACATTTTCTGCCCACATGTTATTAAAAAAAAGAGACCAGACATGGAATAAATTGTACCTCGCATGTTATTGTCAACCAGAAACACAGCTCATGTAAGGGGTCAAGTTAATGCTCTTATGAGTTGTCCCGTGGTGTCAAAATGCTGTTCGATGTCTCCTCTCTCGATGGATTATTAACAGCTAATTGGCCCTAAATAAATCAAAAATAATCCCACTACAAGAGTTGCTCTTGGCCGCACAGGTGCCATAATCGGCTTTGGTGACTGCCATGACCCTATTCCTTGCTCTTTGCGCCTAGACCTGAACTGATATCATATCTGGCAAAGGTTCCTGGGCCCTGCTCTGGGAGTCATCACATGATGGGATAATAACCTATCCCTCCTCGCTGCCTTGCCTTTCACATGAGAGGCTGAGGGCATGAGGTGAAAAAGGCTCAACCTTACTGGCTTATCCCTTAACCCTGGGAACCGCTTGGTCCTGTCATAATCTGTAAATTGTTAGGCTTAAAACTTGTGTCGCTCTCACTTTTTTTTTAGGAGATCTAAGGAAGGAGCATTATGTTCACTTGACCTCTGATCCCCACTAACATTTTCTGCTATGATGAGAATTGCCGAGCACTGGTACACAAATAGTTTTGTTTTTCTTACAGATATCAAGAGTTGAAACATGATTTTCAATTAATCCTAAAAGGATTGTTTTCTCTCATAACCTCACTACACGCCTTTGAGAGATTTTCCTTTGGCAATTCCCAAACATGCATAAAAAAGATGTCATATAAACTATGAGTGTGTCTACAGGGGATGTTTTTTATGATTTAAAAGGAATAATATTGGTTGAATCTGCCATCAGTAGCTGAGGATTTCTGCGTTAAACTGAGGTTGACACTCCAAACTGTTGTTTAAATGGGTGACAGAATCAAAAAATTTTTTTTAATTAACTTTTTCAATTTAGCTATTTATCAATTTATTTCTTTTTCATTTATCCTTCATTCTTAAGTAATCCTTAGCCAATCACCTTATATTACCTGGATCTTTGACAGTTCATTGATGTCACAAAAGGCTTTTAAAGTTTTTACTCCTAAATTATGGTTATAATAAAAACCCTACATATGGAGTTTTTAAAAAATACTATAAAACACTGTGAATAATTACTTAGTTCTTATACTCCTTTTTGTCTTCTGCCAAACCTGATTTCACAAAAAAGCAAAAAACATGAAAAAAATAAATCATAACTACAGCTATTGAGAACCTTAATGTTGTACCGGCTTGTTTCAGCTCATGGCTGTCATCAGGGTCATTAAATGGTTTGATTGCAGTTGCTAGGATATAGCTTCTTGTAGTCCTTTTCATCTTTCAGGAATTTCCTTGCTCTTTGGATCAAACATTTAATTCTCTCATTAATGCAGTTAATTCATTGTTCTCCATTTGGCAAATCCCTTTTTGGACCTGCCAGAGTTTTACGAAATGGTTTGTTCATTCATGCTTCATTTTTTCCTTTTTGAATCGGCCCTTTTTTCCTTATTGTGTAGTGAGTATTCAGTAATTTATTCTGACAGATATCATTATTTCATCTCATCTATTATGAAAAACACAATGTCCTCTTGGATTACCAAAATTAAGGAAATATTTCAAGAAATGACCCTCTGACATCAAGTAATTGAATGTTGTTTGAACTTTAACCCTTTGTAATCACCATCCATCATCTCATGAATGATCATTATAAAAATTAAAACACAGTGAAATCACTGCGCCATCTCTTTGTTTCGCCTTTGCAGCTTGGAGTCAACATCTTCCTTGCTCTCATCGTGGGAGCCATTTTCTTTGGAGTCAAAGAAGACCAGAGTGGCATCCAGAACAGGTGAGACTTCTTATCCAAGCTACACCGGCTATGTCCTTAGCAAATAACAGAACCACAGTAACCTTATGTCTAATTATACAATGTGACAGTTTTTCCAGTCATCAGTATCTCATTTTATAGCCCCCACCCATCCATATATTTTTTATGCTGCTTACTCCTAGTAGTTTCAGAAGACCTTTTTCATTGTCACATGCCAAATAGAAAAAATACCTTAAGTAGAAATAAGAATCGCCTGTTCTTCCAGCTGCAGAACCTTCAATTTTCACGTTTTTTTTTTATCATTATAAAATTCAAAATGAGTTTTGTTTTTAGGACAAGACAGTGAAATTTGCAAACCATTGCATTTTTTCCATTTTAATCTTTTGGTTCTGCAGGATGGGGGCCCTCTTCTTCATCACTACCAACCAGTGCTTCAGCACCGTGTCTGCAGCTGAGGTCTTCATCACTGAGAGGCACCTCTTCGTGTACGTGCATTGACCAAAAAAAATACGAAGAAACTGTGACACCTTTGTTTCAACACCACAATTCAGTGTTTACTCAGAACAAAAAGGCTGAGTCGTGCTTGATTCATGTGTCATCTCATGGCAGGCATGAGTACATCAGTGGCTACTACAGAGTATCCGTCTACTTCCTCTCTAAGATCCTGTCAGACATCACCATGCGCACCATCACATCCATTATCTTCAGCTTCATTGTTTATTTTTTGATCGGTAAGAAGCACAGATAAGTCAGTTGACCGACTCGCGTTCGCTAAATTAGGTCTGGTATCGGTCTCTAATAACTATAATAATGTTTCCGCTCAGGGCTGAAGTCCACGGTCTCTGCCTTTCTGGTCTTCACGCTGACAGTGACTCTGGTGGCCTACACTGCAACCGCCATGACTATGGCCATCTCAGCTGACCAGAGCGTCGTGGCTCTGGCTAACATTTTCATGACCATCACCTTTGTCTTCATGATGGTGAGAACTACATGTGGAGGTTATTAACTACTAGGAAAAAGAAGGAGTTTGGTCTTTTTACTTGTTTGTTCTACTATAATTCTGTATGAGTCCCTATCTTCTCTTAAAAGGCCACCAATTGGGTAGATTCATGTATGAAGGCAACAGTTATTCTGATCACACTTGTACAGAATTTTAGCAAAATAATGGAAGTAAAAATGAGGGTGAAAGCTGGCCTCTTCCCGGGTCTCTGAGCCCAGGGGCCTAACGGAGGGAGCAGAGAGAACAGAAGGAGCAGTTTGGGCTTGTTCCAGTGTTTGAAATGAGTAGAAATGGTTTAATAACTGTTGATTTTCAGAATGGAAGGTCACTTTCATCCATCCATCCATCCAACCATCCATCTAGAAAGTTCCTGGTTCCCCCTGGGGACTCAAACCCAGAACCCTCTTCCTGTGAGGTGATGGTGCTAACCACCACACCAGCGTGCCGCCCATGGTCACTTTGATTGCACAAATAAACAAGTCAGAACGTGGAGCCCTCTTGTGGTCCAATCATCCTTTTGACCTGAAGTTTCTGTATTTAAGGAAGTTAACAAAGAGTTTGTATACCCCATACAATTCTGTGTAGTGTGAATAATTATCCAAATATCCAAAATGGCATGCAATATAAACAGAAGAATTATTACAGAACCGCATGGAAAGGAAAAGTGAGAACTGAAGTGGATCAGGCACTGGTTGCCAGTATACAAAGTCCTCCTGTGTACTGTGTTACTAACAACAGTTAATTTAAGAAGAAAAAAGACTGTTGGGGTTTCTGCTTTGTTTTTTAGATTTTTTCAGGTCTCCTGGTCAACTTGCCCAGCGTCATGGACTGGCTGGTTTGGCTCAAGTACTTCAGCATTCCAAGATATGGTCTAGCAGTAAGTCAAACCGGAAATATTCCATTAAAAGAGATAAAAATCCCTTCACAATTTTTTCTTGGAAGTATGGAATTGGAGTCAGCACTTCAGAGTCTGTATTGTGTTCTTTGTGGCCTTTTTAAAGCAGACTGCTCCTGTGTGTGTTTGCCATGCAGGTATGACAGGGTGTGATGCGTCTGAATAAATTAAATGGTTCAAAATTCCATGCATGTGGTTCCATGAGGCTGATCAGTCAACGAGCAACATTAAAGCTTTATGACTGTCTTCTTTCAGGCCTTGAAGATAAATGAATTTGTGGGTCTCAAGTTCTGTGATGAACCTGGAATCCCAGTGGTGCCCAACTGCACTGTGAACACAGCTGGCCAGATGTGAGTAGACCTGATTGACACAGAGTTGTCTCGTTGTTTGAAGGCTGACCTGTTGATTGTGCCTTGTTTCAGATGCACAGGAGAGCAGTATCTGGATTACTTGGGGATAGAGAACAGCTCCTGGGGACTGTGGGAGAATCATGTGGCTCTGACTGTCATGATGATCTTATTCCTCGTCATTGCTTATCTGAAGCTCCGCTACATTAAGAAGTTCACTTAGTATGTCTCCCTGAATTTATCTTTCTTCTTTTCAATGTTCTCCAAAAGCTAAATTTGGACTATTATTTCTTTTAAATGGAGTTTACACTGTCATGATTTTTCCGTACTGACATCATTTACACAGCAAACCTACTAAACTTTGTCTACAAATCCCTCCACAATCTAAAATATAAAAAAAGCTTCAATATTCTTCCAATCACTGCGTCCCTCTTCAGTTTGGTGCAAGGAAGCATAATCATTTTTTCTTTTTTTAAAGAAACAGTGAGTAGTTAGACTTCACTCATCATGGACAGAATATTGATAGAGAAAGCCTTAAAAGGAAGTGCTTGTCCATGGAAATTTAAGTGCTATTAGTTCACTTTGAATGCAAACAGCCATGTGATAATTCACTCTACTCACACAGAGCCAGTAGATGTTTGACACTGCAGCCACCAAACTCCTAATTTGATAAATCCCCTTAAATTTACACCTTGATTTTATAATCTCTGTTTGTAAAATGCACGTCACAAAAAGTGTGAACGTTTTCAGAACTAACTGGACTTTGTCACATAAAAACAATGTCAGAGTACCCTTTGGTTATTTAGGGATTACTTTATTGTCTTCTTGGTCACTCTGTGCCTTTTTTCATAACTTGTATACATTCTTAGTCTGATGCAGTGTTAGCAGTTTCCTAGTAAAAGTACATAAGTTTTAGAAGTTTTTTTCTGATTTGTTAGTGAAGATGTTACGGAGTCATAAGAAGTAAAAATGTTTGACGGTTTTCCCACAAAAAACTTTGTTTTCTGATATATTTTTCTCACAGCTATCATAAACATATTCATGTAACCTGGATCTCAGACTGTTTGGTTTTTTTATGTATTTTAATGTTGACATTTGGTACCTCAAACACACATCAGAACAAAGACATACTGCAGTATCTATATTTAATTTCATACACATTTGTTAAGTCTGGATTTATGTTAAATATGTTGTGCTAACTAAATGGACGTTCAGTGGATAAATAAGCCGTTCTTGTTTTATTTTTTCCTTGCTCCTGAAAATGTTACTAAGGACACCTTTTGTGTTTGGTAATACCAAAAAAAGACACTAAGACTCAATTTTAAGAACACTTTATTTAGTGCAACATGTTTTTAAAAAATTTCAAAATTACAGATACAGGGGGAACATTTTCAAATAAATGCATGGGTTTCCCATGAATACTAAATGCACTCCAAATTGAAGTTTGTTTCAAGTTACAATATGTATCATAAAATCATAAGCTAGTTAATGCGGAGCTTAATTGATAGACATGGTGTGTAAATAAACACGATGAGTAAATATGACAGTCTGTGTCATGCTTGGACCTACTGTAAGTCAAATGATGAAAGTAGCAAAAATCAACAATCGTAAAAATGCCTCTTGTGTGAATGCTACAATGTGTGCATCACTTCTGGCGTGATATAAAAGTCGTACACAAAATTCTTAGAATGTGCTGGGGCGCGGGCGCCACGCTGTGAAGAAGGATCCGATGAATGGAAAATCATTTTTCTTTGAACTCATCATTTCATCATAGTGATACATTTTGATTGGACAGATTAAAGAGCACTGTTGGATTCAGACCTCGCTCCCTTTCAGTGCATTAAATATCAAGTCATTGAAACGTCTGCCATGATGTGTTCTGCATGAATCGTCCCACATCTGGAGTTTCTTGGGCTGCTGGTGGGGCTTTTCTGATTTTTTTTCCAGAGCGGCGCATTCTTTGGCGTGCCAGGCCTTTCACATGTGGACGCTTCCATTTGTGCTCATGTCGTAGCCGTCCGTGGACAAGGAGGAGGCAGGGCGAGGCCGCTGGCCAATGGGAGTGGCCAGCTGAGGGTGGCTGACCTGGGAGGCCATATCATCAGACTCCCAGCGCTCCAGCTCCTCCCTCACCAGCCTCTCCATCTGCTCCCTGTGGGCGTCAGTGTCCCGTCCCAGGCGCTCATCCTGACAGACAAACATTGGTTTCACAGCGTTATCACAAGAGAGGAAATCATGTTTAGCCGAACATCAGAAACAAGCGGTCTGCTGCCACTGAAACAGTCCTGGACTGCTAATTACACATCCACAGCGACTCAGCGCGCACAGTAAAAGCACCGTCTCACCTCCATGACTCCATCCAGCAGCCTACCCAGAACATCTCTCCTTTTCAGCTTAGCCCTCTCCATGCCCTCCAGCTTCACGATCACGGCATCTATCTTGGACACGATGCTGCCGATGGAGTGCTCCATCCTGTCCACACGCCTCACCAGCCTGGCAGACGAGGATAAATGGGTTTTTTACAAGGTACAGCGTGATGGGATTTTTCTGATCCTGGTGCCTTCTCATTTTGATGATCCGTCTACTTTTTCTATATTTCAAGATTATAAATTTTAATGATCAACTTGGTTTCATTTTTAGAAGAGAGAAATGTCTGTCCTGCGTAATAAGTCAACCAGCTATTGTTTACTAATTGACTTAATGACAAAGGAGAAACGCATAAATAAAAGCTTCTTACACTTGAAACTCCTCATAGGAGACGCCGCCCGAGCTGCTGCCACGGCGACGAGAACTGTGACCACTGTCCTCATCATCGTCCTCCTCGGAGTCGTCCTGCGTGCGGGGGAAGCTCCGCCCACTGCCGGGACGAGTCAGCGAATTGCGCTCCAGATCCAAGTCCTCCTAGCGAAGGAGCAGGAACACACTGAGCGTCTGCAGGTGTGGCGGCCGTGTGCGCCTCCCCCCGCCGCCTTTTGCCACACATCACTCACTCTCTCTTTCTCCAGGTCGTCTCTCATCTGCTGGTGTTCGTGCTCCGTCAGCTCCGGATCGCCATCCTGGTCGTACTTTGCAAAAATGGCCTGAATCTCTGCTTCTGTGTGACCCTTACTGAGAAACGGGAAGAAACGGGTACGCTGAAGGTACTCTGAGTCTGAATGGTCAACAACCAAAGAAAAAGCAGAATTCATTTGTGGATGGTAGAATGACTTTAGGCTCCAGTCACCTTTTCAGATCCTGACGGAGCTCATCAAAGTTGAGTTTTCCCCCTGCTGGACGCAAATTGTCGGACACAGTGTCAACTGTCGTCTTCTTAAGTCTTAACTTCAACAAGGCTTTGTTACAACCCTGAGAGACAGAGATGTGAGAAATTACATCAGACCACCATTAAGGCAATTAATCACATTTTAGGCTGGGACCCTGTTGTTAGCACTTCATTCATGAGCAACTCTTGCCCAAGTGGAATCACATGAGAACAAAATTCCCTAAAAGCTCTGAAACAGAAATCTGATGATGTGAATCTTACAGGGCATAAGAGAGTGCATTCATTTTCATGAAGACGACAGATGAAAACATACGTGTTACACATCTAAATCTCACATCGATAAAACATGTTGATGAGATTACTTCGCTTTGTGAATGTTACAAACTGAAGGACACATCCTGCTCTATACCTTCTTAATGAGGTCGGACATTTCCATCTCTGATCTCTGCTGGGACATGTCAGCCTTCACCTCAGAGTAGGTGTCATTGATGATAGCCAGGAACATGTTCTGTGAGGGTAGAATAAAAACTCATGGTATCACAGTGTTACTGAGAGGAATTAGGAGCAAAAACACTTCTCTGCAACACAGCACGTGACTCACCATGAGAATGATGAAAATGAAGAAGACAAAAGTTCCGAAGTAAATAGGACCGAGCACAGGGTTCGCCTCCTTGATCTCTAGGAAGTTGAAGTCTCCCAGAATGATGCGGAACTGGGTAAATCTGCACAAACAGCAACACGTTTTTTAAACACCTGGAGAAGCCTTTTGTCAAAAGCCTTCCTATGGTTGTGGACCAAACTGCTCTTACACGCTGTCCTGGAACGTGCTGAAATCGTTGACTTGAGTTCCAAATACCAAGTAGGCCAACTGAGCATATGCGAGGAAGATGATGAAGAACATGATGGCAAAACCCACAAGGTCTTTGGCACAGCGAGACATCGTGCTGGACAGCTGGCTCATGGTCTTATTGAAATTGATGAACTTGAAAAGCTGGTGGAGGTGAGACACGGATTACTCAACTGCATATTTCACAAAGCATTTAATCGGGTAGTGGGAGAAAAGACGGAAAAGGACTCGTACCTTGACCCAGGAGAAGAAGACGATTACGGCAGCCATGTTGTTAAACTGGACCTGAAGGTTGGCCAGAGGCTCAAAGCTGGGGTGGGCTGCGTAGTTCTCCAGCAGGCCATTCAGCAGGTTTTTAGCCATGGCCGATCTGGTTATGTTCATGATAACAGCAACAACGCTTAGCTGTCGGAAAAAAGAAAACACGGTCATTTGATTTGAAGCCATTTTACTCAAACAAACCCGAAAGCATCCCTGATACGTACCACGACAATGAGAACGTCGAGACAGTTCCACAAGCTCTTGAAATAATGCAGGCGGTGGATGTGGATCTCCAGCACCTCCTCAACCACATAGTACACGATGAACAGGCAGAAGGCCACTTCACACACGGCCACAAAGTAGTCCCAGCTGGACACATATCTTATCAGTCGCACAGTTTGGAACTGCCACGAAGTCACCACCCCACCGGTAGCTGGAAACTCCACCAACAACCTGACAAAGCCATGAGATTGTGCTCACCACATGCGTTCATCCCACAGCAGACGAGACACTGCTGACTGTTATGTAAGTAATATATCGAATATATTCAGCCACTACTTAGTGTCACAAATCAGAAAGCTATATAAAAATCTAAATCAGGTGTTTGTTCCTGTCTTGAGCGACTCTCACCTGGCAATACAGAAAAGGTTTATGTTTCCATTGTAGACAGAGAAGTCGAGGAACACTGCTCTGGTGCCTCTGTCCAGCCACAGCTGGTCTTTGAGGAACTGCAGCTGGATGGCAGACGCCTCTTTGGTACGAGACAGGTCTTGGTAGTATCCTCCGCCTCCATACTTGGACACCTGACCCCAGTGGCTGCTGTCATTCATTTCACTCTCTGCAGTGTATATCCACCTGTCAGGCAACCACAAGATGAGACTTAAGCTGTGGATCCGTGTTAAAAAAAAGAGCCAGACCGATGTTGCAGTGATTTCTAAACCTAATGCAAATTATTGATAGTCAGGAACATACGCAGTGCCGTTCCTAGGGCCGAAGGGGGCGGTGTCCTCGTTGCTTGGGGTGTATATATTGTAGCAGTCCTGCACCTCATCCCTCAGGTCTTCGTGGATAGAGCAGGACTCATTGCGGACTTTGAGCTGCCGGAGCCGTGGCACCCCGAGGAGGAGGTTCTCGTAGTAGATTAGACTCTGATTCTCCGGCAGGTTTTTGTTGTTGTACCACACCTCCCAGTACATGCCATTGAGAAAGGGCCCCTGTGCAAACTGAAAATGGGAAGTTATTCATTAGAATCCGGCCATGACAACATGGAGCATATCAAGCTGTGTTGTCTCTGTTTTTGGTTATTAATTCTGTGCTTACCAAATATCCATCAAGGTTTTATTTAGAAAAAAAAACAGCTATCAGTTTGTTTGAAATGAAAAGGTTAGGGTTATTACAGGATTTGTGTATTGCATTGAAAACACGAGTAAATGATGTGTTTTACCCTCCAGAAATCCTCCATTGTGGACAGGCTTCTGAACGTAGTTGGATCCCCAGTTGCCAGCGGCGCATCAAGGAAAAGCTGAGACATGACTTTAGTGTAATAGTACATGTTGGCACTCACCATCCCGTAGGTCACTGCAGAGCACATTTCAATACGATATTACCAGAAACATGCAAAAATAATTACCATCCTAAAACATCATTGTCCTGTTGATGAAAATCTAAACTCAACCCCATGCTGACTGAAGTTTTCTTTCAGCCGTGTCCCTCTGTATTTTCTGGCTCTCGCTGCACTTTTCACAGCAGTAGGAAACTTCTAAATCTTCAAGCTCTGCTTGGCAAAATCTGCCTTAATCATGTCTGCCAGAAAATCGTTTCCTGATCCACCCTAAAACCACAGTGTACCATTTTTCAGTGGTGTACAAAAAAAAGAGAGTTTACCACTCCTCCACTTTTAATTTAATCTAACCATCCAAAATTATCCTCCTCTATTTTTTTCCCGTTATAAGCATGCCGCAGGCTCATGGAGCTTAAATGTGAAGCACGGAAAATTATTTTCCCAGATGCACTGGATGATGACTTGTTAAGAAGCTTTCTGGGACTCAGTCAAGATCAAGCAAATGTACATTTACGACCAGAACAAAACTCTGAAGCATTAACATCATCTTTCTGCATAAGTTCTATAAGCCATAAAAGGATTACCAACTTCTTCTTTGCAGTCTAACTGCTAAATGTATTGAACTAACCCACTAACAGCCAATTATGCTTTAAACATCTAACAAACAACTTGCACATTGTCATCAAAGGATTTCATATCATCTAAGTTTTTCTCACAGGCCATCCACAATTCACTGATTAATTTTCTGATTTACATATAAACGCAACATGCCTGGTTCTGATTAATATACTAACGTTTGTAGCGGTATGAGAACCCCCCTCACAGGGTCCTCCCAGGAAGTCTGCATAAAAACCTCTTTTCCATTAACCTAATTACTAATCAGTTTGTTTGTCGACGTTGATGCTGTCAGCTTAAAGTGATGTAGTTGATTGATTTATACAGCAAAGCCCCAACCTGAGATTTGTGAGAAGGCAACGTGTGTACTTACAGATGCAAATGATGATGAGGAAACTGATATATGTCAGCATCTCCCTCAGTACGTTCCTGAGGTACCTCTCTCTGCTGCTGTCACTTTCCTCCATCAACTCTGTCCCCCACAGAACTGCCAAGTAAAGAAAAGTGATGGAGGACACCAAGCAAGCAAAAATGATGGAGGACACCATACAGTATTTGGTCAGAACAGCGATTGTACAAGTGGTAAATTATTCAAGAAAAGGTTAGGAGGGTAGTCGACTGGTCCATCTCCCAAAGCTTTTGTTGGTTGACTCTAAGTTCTTTCATACTACTTTATATATGTTTTTGAAATGTCCTTTGCGGCATATAGGCAATACTGATAACTGATGTCAGGGATAAAGGTGGTAATAGGGTTTAAAGATTGGATGTGCAGTGATTGGTGGCCACAGGCAAACTGGTTTAATCACACTGTAACTATGATTGTCTTTATGGTTGATGTAAAGCATGACTTACTTCTAACTTTCTGAAGTATTTGCTTCAGGCAGCTGCGGTGCTCATGCCTGTCCTGCTGCTGGGCATTCAGGGTGGGGGTCGGGTACAGTCCTCCGCGGGGGATCTGAGAGCTGCTGCCCCCGCGGGTGAAGCCGCCCAGGCCGCTGCTGCAGCTGCCGCTGGAGGCCGTGGACACCGACCTCCTCCCGCTACTCGCCTGAGGCCAGTCTGCCTCCATGATCCCCTCCTCCGGTTCGAAGCCCGGGTTGTCCCGGCTCCAGGCCTGTCTGGACGGAGGGGACGGGGTGCCAGCGATGCCTCCGAGCCCCAGGTCTTGATGCTGGATGTTCTCCATCTCTATCCCCTCGCTTGAGTCGAGGCTCTGCGGCGGCGACTTGCCGGAGTGGCTCAGCGGTGGCTGCTGAGGTCTGACTCGAGATGAATTCATGGTCCAGTTAGCTCTTCCTCTTACTCTCTCTCTCTATTTTTTCCAAGAAGCACTAGGCATTTGAAAAGTTGGTTGGCATCACCCACAAAAAAGGGGCTGGGTAAAAAATATGTATTTTCTTCTCCGTTCAATGACGTTCAGAAGGAATTCAAAACATTCCCATCTTTTCGGTTCGACGATATTATCTGCAGTGGTAAATGCCTAAATACTACCACAAGCTTCTGAAAAGTTGTCAACAACTAAAGGTTAGAGGCTAAAACGTTTAGAAAGGCCATACGAGAGCTCGTCCAGCTACAACATCCTCCCCCTTATATCTTACAGCTGTAACTATCGCCGCAAACCGTTAGAAAACTTTCCTCGAGCGAAGTTCAATTCCGTCGCAAAAACTAAGTCCTTAATTAGACACTTGTGTCTTAGAGGTGGTTGGGGTCGTTAAATAGGCCCATGATAATTCCTTACAAGTGAAAATATGCTTATAAAGTGAAAAAACAAAGATATTTTTCTTGTCCCAGAACAGCCATCTTGTTCTTCATCTCTTCCCCCGAAACTTCTCATTCTCATTTGTCAGAGACTCAGGTTACACTAGAAGTCATGGCGTCGTAGAAAGGATGGAAAACATCTCGGTGGGAAACTTTTTTTTTTAATGAAAATGAAACGTTCCACATGATTCAGTTTTTATATGTTATTAAGTGTGCTGGTCATTCTAATTTCCAATTGGAAAATATAAGACTGACTTGGGATTTTTTCAAATCTACTTTTAAGATTAGAATCGACTCCCAAAAAAGTGACAAAAAGCTCTTCTTTAATTATTTCGGACCTTTTAAGAAGTTCCTCAAATTAGTATTTGTTTAGAAATTGCATAGTTTTGGGATTATTCAAAAGTTACATAATCTCTGTATGTTTGGGTTTGTGGTTGCTATGACAACGAGACTGTTGGAAAAAGAGAGCTTGACAACTGGTCCGTTCTATTTTATTAGAACCTGAATTGGGAATGAAAAAGAGCACAAGGTGCTGAGTTATAGAAGCTCTGAAATGTTTCTACAAATCAGAACGACCATGGTAGAGACCTGTCAATTGAGAAATTGATTGCTTGTAGTAAAATGTTTTGCACATTGTGTGTTTTTTTTTATTTGTTTTTATTAACAGAAGCCTTTACATGGTATTTATGGTGTATAGTAAGCATCTACAGTTATAGCCTACTAAAAGTTGTATTTTTCAAAGCAAACATGAGCTCAAAAACATATTAATGATAAACTGGAAAATGACTACATTGGCTCACACAGAAAAATAGTCTTTGTTTTAGATTTTTTAACCAAAAACAGCTAAAATGGTAATTCTGGCCATAGCTACACGTTAATCAATCTTAAACCTAAATGTGGACGCTGTAGTTCTTTTTCTGGTACATCCTGTTTTAGAAGATGAGAATCGTCCACGTGATTTTATTCTGGGCATAATTTTCATTCATCCATCCACAGTCTGTGTGACTGAGGATAAGGGGAAACCCAACTCTTTAGAGATTATTTTTGGTGCATTCACCGACCTAAACAATAACTCAAACTTGTATTTCGAAGATCATATTTTAATAACCCCCTGTTTTTTAATGGAGCAAAACCCATTAGGTATGATTATTGAAAACACCTGAGTTGCTACCACTTTTAAATTAGCAGCTAATTCTGATTATTTTTGTTGCTTGTACATTTGTAATGTACACATTAATAAACGAGTACAACACATTAATACTTTTTAATACTTTTCTAAATATTTAGTTAGTTTACTTCATCTTCATCACGAGGTGGTGAGACGCCGTTTATGCTAAAAATCTTTTGAAGAAAGTCTGAAACTTAAGTTTTATAGAGGCTATAGTTAATTAAGATGGTTTTATATCAAACAATACCTGAAAATATTCTCAAGAACTTCTCATCTCCAGCACGCACCATGGCTTTTAGCACAGCGTTAGAAAGTTGGTGGTGGGTGGGATTATGTACACTACTCTATTTTCTATGTCGCTTAGTGTAAGCAGTCCATTGGTTGAATTGGTGTAATGGGGGTTCCCTGCCCAAGATTGCAGGGGTAAAAAAATAAATCGAACCTATCACTTTAAATCTTCAATCTCTGGTGCAACAGAGATCACATATTGGTTAGTGGAGGGTCGGAATTGCCATATTTCACCTGAGATACTCAGTAACTCAGAACAGCTAACTGGCGGTTATTCGTTATTATTTATTACATTTAATTCTGTCTACATAGATAGGTCCTTCTTGAGGTAAGTTAGCCATTGCCCAAGCTAAGTTAGCTAGAAGATGATTAACAAGCTAATCACATTAGCTAGCTGCATTGTTTAATTTAAACCATTTTTACTCAGCCACCGATGATTGTCATCCATCGTTGCCAGCTCTATTTGTTGATAAATGTCAAATAAGCCACATTGGAGGTGACAGCAGATATTTATATTCTGTTAAAACCTTTGTCAAATTTGACTTCCTTTGTTGTCTTTGAACTAGCATAGCACACAACTCGTTTCATTTAGTGATTTGATAATCAGTGTACGTTTGGAGATAACGGCGATACCGAGTATTCTAACGATTGTGGAAGCTTTGTCGGGATCATTGTTCGTGGATGTTTGTGATCCTGTTGAATAAATCAGTTGGTTAAATTAAGTTGAATGCAATACAATTGCTATCTGTAGGTTTAACATCACGTCGGCTTGATGGATTTCAACGCTTCCAGTCAATGTACTAGTGAATTCTTCAGCAAAGTGACATTCTTTCAATGATCATTTCCAGTACTATTTAGTAACACTAAAATACACCATAATTACGAGATCAACTTCTACAAATGTGCCCACTGGTGGGGAAAATATGACGACGCCACAAGTTAGCCAGAGCTAGTTTTAGCTAGCAAGGTAGCAATGTCGCAAGCCAGAAAGTGCTGCTCTGTTTGCTAGGCTAGTATTAGCCATTTCTGGTGACAGTAACGAGCTGGACGTAGAATAGTTTATATTCTTTCTTTCGTAGTGCACACAACGTTGAGTTGGCCACAAGCAAGGGTATGGTGTGTTCCTGAAATTTATTAGAACTTGAGCATGCAGTGAAAGTAACCAATCTACAATCTCACATCGCCTGTGAGTGTACGACAAACGTGAGAGATGAAGTGGTTTTAACAGAAGTGAAAGGCCTAATACAAGAGGCAGTGTGTTCACAAAGGATCGCGCATATGTGTGCACGACACGTTGTGGAATGGATAGGTTTAAATGTTTCCTTTAATTGTAGAAAGTGTCGTATTCTTCACTTCTGAACTTGAACGTATTCCCCTTTCATCTGCAGCCGGCTTCTCTTTGTCTCATAGGATGAATCTGATGGCGCAGTTGAATGTTGGACTGTGTGTTAGCCATTGTGAAAATGATTTCTGTGACTGATCAGATTATGTGACCATATAATGGTCCGTTGCAGATATTTTATGTTCTTTCGTGCTTTTTCCCTACTCATCTTGTATCACATACGGTCGCGGAGGTATATCTGCATCGAGTTTGTGGTTTGTCAGTCATCGCAGGATCTGAAAAAGTAGTGACAACGTGATATGTGAAATATGGACATTTCTCTGAATTATAACAGTGCAAGGGTCAGTTTTTGGCTATTGGCTTAGAAAATATGTTGCAGAGCTTAATGTTGTGAAGAGACATTTATGATAATGGAACAGTAAAAGGGTTTTCAAAAAGTAGCACTATAGAAATACAATTGAAACGTTATTGAATACTTATTTGGATCACACAACTTGAAAAAGAAAAATACCTTAATCTCTATTTTATTGCTAAATTGATATTGGCGAGTTGAAGTATGGGTCAGCAACAAGACAAAGAAAAGCAAAACATTGTTCTGACAAATCGACATATTGTAAATACTTGATTCTGTACTTGCTAATAGAACAAATCTCTGTTATCCAAGATGTAGTAAGCTGTCGGTCAATTAAGGCTTCTTTAAAATTTCAGACAGTTGACAATGCAGCTAAATCATCAGATGTTTTTTTGGTACAATCTGCTGACATCAGCACACATTCTATAGTGATTGAATTCTGGTGTTTTTCTCTTATTTTAGCACTTGATATTGTTTACCAAAGAAATGGTGATGGAGAAGCCAAGTCCCCTGCTTGTAGGGCGGGAGTTTGTGAGGCAGTATTACACACTCTTAAACAAGGCACCGGATTTTCTGCACAGGTAATTACAGACATTTATGGTGCTATTATGCTGAAATATAAATCTTACCTTGTTAATGTTTTTTTAAAATATTTTTTTATCAGGTTCTATGGGAGGAATTCATCCTATGTTCATGGAGGACTTGACCCAAATGGAAAGGTTGCAGAAGCAGTGTATGGGCAATCGGTGGGTACAGTAGTTGAATAATGTTTCTGGAACACTGTTGTGTAACAGAGGTATGTGGTTGTATGATAGTAAAACATGATAAGGCTTGATTTTAACAGGTAGTACCAAGTTAATTGCTTTAGACAATTAAGAGTAATAGATTAATCAGTCAACATAATATGTTTTTCTCTCCATCTCAACATTTTTCAGTGGAAACTGGGTTTGAAGTTCAGGTTGTTATATGTGCTTGAAAGTATAAAGCACTCAAACCTTTTTCACATATGTCAAAATATGTTAATATCCCTTTCTGGAGCGTTCACTCTGCATTCAGTCCTTTGTAAAATGACTGCAGCAGACACAGCCTCCAATAGGCTCCATTTCAGCATGCATGAGTGGGGACAGACCCAGGACTATCTGAGTTTGCTGTGGTCAGGGCAACAAAATGGACACAGCTGACATTTTATGTACACATCACACGTCTAAGGAATAGATCATCTCAAATTCAACAGCTTGCACACAATAGGACTTTTTAAAAGAAGTTGTTATTGAGATATCTTGGAGCTCATCCTGTTCTCCTGTGTGCTGCTGATCTGCAGTCAAGGGGCAGTAGTAGTAACTAGCATGATGATTTCAGAATTATGACGATAATCATAGTATGTAGTATAAAGTCACAACATATATTGTCAAAGTGACATGTCCTTATTCTGGATTGGTAAATTTACCCAAAGAGCACTGTTGATGAACCATTACTGGATGCTGCAGGAAAGACTTTGAAGAGCTTTTTTTAGCAGGGTTGCTTGAATTGCAGGGAAAAGCTGTTGAAACATGCTTTTTTGTGTTTAAAAAAAAATGGCAATGAGCTAACATCTCATTGATGTTCACCCGGTCTGAAAGTCGGCTTTGCTTTAGTCTATATAGATTAAAGATCATCTCAGCTGTTAACTGGCATTTTGCATTGTAGGTCTGTATAAAACATTTATGTTTTAATAATCTGACATTGTTTTTTTTTGTTTTTTTTAAAAAGGAAAAAGTTGTATATCTTTTTTTTATGTCTCGTTCCCTTCCCTTTCTTTTATTGGACCTTACATCTCTTAGGAAATCCACAAGAAGGTCATGTCTCTGCAGTTTAGTGAGTGCCATACAAAGATCAGGCATGTGGATGCTCATGCTACACTGAGTGATGGAGTGGTGGTGCAGGTCCTTGGAGAACTGTCCAATAATGGTCAGCCCATGAGGAAATTCATGCAAACCTTTGTGCTTGCTCCAGAGGTGAGGGCCTGAGATGTAAAAACACAAAACATTGCTCATTTCTGAACGAAATGATTCTGCATACCAATGTAAAGAAGCAGCTGTGTGATGCTAACCGATGTCTGATTTGTTATATTACAAATTAGTTTAGCATGAATAAGTAAGACACTTGACTGCACTGTGACCCAGCATTTTTTTTTTTAAAAGGGGAAAAAAATCAATGATTAAGATTGTGAGTTGTATGCTTTTTTTCAACGTGTTTTCTTAGGGTTCAGTGGCAAACAAGTTCTATGTCCACAATGACATCTTCTGTTATGAGGATGAGGTCTTTGGTGACTCTGAGGCTGAGCTTGATGAAGGTAAGGTGCACCTCACTTCACCCATTTAAAATGTTCTTTTTGGGTCCATTTTTTGGGAGTTTATTAAAAGTCTGCTCTTGCATTTGGTTCCTGCAATCTAGAATCGGAGGAGGAAGTTGAGGAGGAGCCAGAGGAGAGACCACCTTCCCCCGAGCCACTTCAGGAAAGCCCCAACAGCACCACCTACTATGAGCCTCATCCTGTCACGTATGTTAACTGTCAACTCAATCCTGAGTAACGGCTGATTGTGGAAATTGTCAGTAAGATCTTTCAAGTGAATTGTTTCATTTTATTTAGTAGTTTTTTATTTGACTTGGTAAAAGTGTGCCCAGAATTTTTACAGCAAAGATGTTTGATGGCTGTTTTGGCCTTTAACTCTGTTACCAACACTATTGAATTTATCAACATCAATTCTTCTGAGATTGTACATCAAACGTTGTCACCTTGTTCGAATACTACATAAATTCAGCAAGGTGGTTTTAAGATGCATAGTTGTATTTTTGTCCACTCAAGTAACAAATTTCTGATTTGTGTTCCTCAGCAATGGGGTAGAGGAGCCTATGGAGGAGCCTGCTCCAGAGCCAGAGCCGGAGCCAGAACCAGAGCCTAAAGTGGAGGAGGGTAAACCTGAGGAAGATGAGAAAGGCTTAGAAGAAATGGAGGAAAAAGCACCTTCGCCAGCACCTGTCGAGTCGCCACCTAACACACAGGAGCCTCCCAAGGTGGGCCAATGTGATAGTCCTCAGCAGGGACAAAATTACTGAATGCAAAGTGATGACCTTCTTAAAACTTTCTTCCCTTTTTAAAGTTCTCCTTGCAAAATAAAAGGTCTCTAAAAGAGCATTTCAATTTAATATGATCACTGTCTGCTCGCATACATTTAGCTAACGCTGGATACTTGTAATATTTCTGCTCAGAGGTACGCCGGTTGATCAGAATGAGATTTTCGAGCATATTTTCTGTAGGACTAACAATGCATTACTGCATTCCTCACAGACTTTCTCCTGGGCTTTGGTGACCAGTAAAAACCTGCCTCCTACTGGCACTGTCAGTTCTGCTGGAATCTCCCCACATGTTGTTAAAGCTCCAAGCTCGCAGGTAATTGCTACATCTGCTCAGTATCATAAAACCGTAGTATTTTATTTAGGTCTGGAGTAATGAAATAACCTTAGATATCAACTATTTAGGAGGCGTTTCAGAGTAATAAAGCTGTAATAATGAGCATACATAACCTTTACCAAAATAAGCTTATTTTATGTATTTTTTATTTCCCTTCCTTTGAGAGCAAACTCAAAGTCAAACTGAATCTGATGAAGAGAACCTCAGAGGCTTTTCAGAGCTGCCTTTAAGCATTATGTGTGGACAGCTTCTATTTCTGCTCTGTGCTCATCACACAGTTTCCCTCCATATATATTCAGTTACCAAAAGCTGAAGCTTTCTCTTTCTCTCTCTTTTTTGGTGCTGTTTTTAATGTTTACCTGATAACAGTACACTTAAAACATTAGCTGTCCCATAACGTTTAAAATGCGTTCTTCCTTCCCCCCACCGATGTTCCACATTAGGTTGTGCAGTGTTGCATAAAAACTGTTCAGAAGGACAGAAATAAGTGTGTTATCGGGACACAAGGTCTGAGCTCGTCCTAGTTCATTCACCACCTCTTACAAGGCACATAGTTTAGGCTTTGACTTCGGTCTGTATGAGCATGTTTCACCACTTGTGGGTGATGTTGACACGGTCTTGTTAACTGTCATCTCACACACAAGTCTTTGAATATATTAAATTTTTGGGAAGTCAACAGAGAAATAGCAAACAAACACGGGTAATGGGACTTTTAACTGAACGCTCCGTAGTTAATTGAATCTTATGCTGTCTCTAGTCCAGTTAGACACATTGCGATGTTCAAGTCACTATTGAAACAAAGTCAAAGGTAAAGAAAGTTGACAGATAAATGTGTATTGCCTGATGAGGGGAAACTTTAGTTGAACACTCAAGCATTAAAAATGTTAAATGATCCCAAACAGTTGAAGTTGACTGCTATAGATAAACAAAAAGTGTGCCAGCTGATATTGATGTAGTCTTCTGTGAGCCAGTGATGAGCATGTATTTAATGTTTGATGTGACGTCACTCCTAAAGCCCAGGGTTGAAGCTAAACCGGAGACACAGACGGCACCACTCCGGCCCAGAGACCAGCGCACTCGAGAAAGGCCGACATTCACTCAGCGTGGTCCCCGACCCGGTAATGCCCTTTTTCCTTTTTTTTGCAACAGATTGTGGCTTTATCACTTTGTTTCTTGGGTTTTTCTCACAGCCTGCATGTCTCTGTCACTGTTAGATGGTGTTGCGTCTTCAGACTCACAAACGGGGAAACCACACTTGAGTTTTGTTAACAAAGGTATAACTGTCGGTTTTACTTCATTAAAAAAAAGACTGGAAAAAGACATTTAATTGTGTCACAGATGACGTTTTGCTGATCAGTTGTCAATGTTTGGACCAGCAGGAGGCAGAGATATGGAATCTGGTGACATGGAGGGCCGGCGAATTGTTCGGTACCCTGACAGCCACCAGCTTTTTGTGGGCAACCTCCCACATGACATCGATGAGAACGAGCTCAAGGAGTTCTTCATGAGTATGTGTTTGTTTGATCGTGTCTTGGAAATTGAAGAAAAAGCAAAGTGTTGACTAAACATGTGGATCTCTTGCTGCAGCTTATGGAAATGTGGTCGAACTGCGTATCAACACCAAAGGGGTTGGTGGGAAGCTGCCCAACTTCGGATTTGTGGTCTTTGATGACTCCGATCCTGTGCAAAGAATTCTTGGGGCCAAGGTAGAAGGGGCATGTATCAACATTTCATTACCCACTTTCATTCATTTGGTGGTGGTGTGGTGATGCACATTTCTGTACCTAATTTGACTTCACTAGAAAGCTCTTTGATATAACTCACAATCTGCTGTTCCCCATCCTGGAATTTAGTTTTTTTTCATAAGCCAAAAACACAGAGGAGTGGCCTATTTGATGGCATCCACTTGCACAAAGAGAATATGACCCCTGCTTGAACGACATTTAGTTTAGAACAGAAGTGCCCGCGCATTAGAATACACACTTAACACCAAAGAAACCCGGATGCTTTTTAGCTTCCAAGCAACATGATGCCAGAGGCCAAAAGAGGCAGTTTGGACAACAGTTGAGGGAGAAAACTGTCATGTTTTTTTCCACACATTTTTCATTAAATTCTCATTTTTTTTGTTTTGTTTGTGACAGTTGCATATGATACCATTTATATAACTTTGTTTGGAAACAATTGTACATGTAAAATGTCTCCGTTCTTGGTTGTCATATATTCAATTCAAACCGGGGTATTGTGGAAAAGCAAATTGTCCTTGTAGTGACCGTGCCTTTCTCCCTGCAGCCCATCATGTTTCGGGGCGAGGTGCGTCTGAATGTGGAGGAGAAGAAGACGAGGGCGGTGCGTGAACGAGAGATCCGAGGAGGAGACGAGCGCCGGGACATGAGGCGCAACGACCGCGGGCCTGGGGGCTCGCGGGGAATCGTCGGGAGCGGAATGATGCGCGAACGCGACGGGAGGGGACCGCCACCGCGAGGTGGCATGGCCCCTAAACCCGGCATGGGCTCTGGAAGAGGCTCCAGCGGGCCGGGAGAGGGCCGCTTCACAAACCAGCGCCGCTGAGCGCCCCCTGCAGTGTGGGAGTAGTACCGTGTTCTTCATCTTCAACTGTTCTCGTTGAGCAAAAGAAACCCACATGTATAAAGTATATATTTGTTTTCTTTTTTGTTTTTGTTTCTTTGATTTGTTTCTTTTTTTTGTGTTCCCCATTTGTTTGTGAAATAGACGAAACAAAATAAGCAAACCAAATTTCGCTTATTAGTTGCGCGCGGAGCGGCTTTTTCGGGTATCTCAAGAATTCACAAACTTCTCATTGGTAATTTGATGGGGTGAAAAAAGGCGACCCGACCAGGAGTGATCTGCCACATTAGAAGGGACTGATAAGACTTTAAGCTTCAACAGTTCAGCCCATCATTTTCTGAAAAGAGATTCCAACTTAAGGGGGGCGTTGCTTCACCAAATCCCTCTATTGCACATTTTATATCGTAGTTTTCTGCCTGTTGGAGAAGCGCCAGAAGCAAAATTTGTGCTGTTCCAGAGGAAAGGCTTGCCTTTTACTTTCCCTTTTTGAGAGACCACTGCTTCAAAATTGCATAATGCACTCATCAATATGCACTAATGGGTACTTTTGTCATGTTACATTGACATCCATTCTTGGAACGCAGCTGGAGGGACCCGTTTGGTCTCGAAGCGATACGACTTACCGGGACAGGCCTCTTTCCCCGCCTGACCCCTGTGACCAATGTACTTCTCACACTTTTGACCCAAAACTACACTTCAGATACTGCTGGACGGACACAATGACGAGCAAATCTGCATTATGTTTTTCCTCATTCGTAAATCGAGAGCTCAGATCTTGAACTTTTCACCAAAAGAGTGGGGGGACAGAGCATGAGCAGTAGAAGAGTGGTTTATGATGGCGGCCCGCTCCGTGTTTCTTTTTTTGATTACAAGCTCCTTGTTTTTGTTTTTCCTGCCAGCTTGACTGCGAAATGGGGACGAGCGACACCTTTCCTCCCTTCCTGTCTTGAGTGCGGCGTAATTGAATAAATGTACAGCAAAAATCACAATTTACTGTATGTTTTGCTTTTGTGTATAATTTAATTTCTCTTGACTTGATAAAAGCATGATGGTGCCTTCTATTTCACCTATTCCAGTCTTACTGATGTGTGAAGCGGTTCGGGGCTCGCTGCCTCCTGGTATAAAGAGCTGCTTATTTTGAACTATATTCTGCTGGGAGCAGATTAAAGATGATACTCACAGTATTCATAAGATTTATGTTTTTTCTTCAGGTGCATATTTCTTTTTTTTTCCATACTGTTTTACTACCTAAGATGATCTGCTGTGACTTTTGTACTTTTTTCTTTCCGTTGTTGTAAATGTTGAGTTCTTTAGAGACTAACTGTGCCTCGTGTTTTGTTGAAGTGGTTGAGAGGTGCGTTTGAAGTCACTTACACACGACCCTGACCCCCTGGAAAAAACAAAAAGGTACATTAAATATGGTGAGAGTTAAATTGCTGCCTGGTTTATCAGATCATGATTCCACATAACCATGGCGTCGTTGAATTCTAGCTTCTGAAGGTGTTAAAAGTCTGTGATTCAAAAACTCATGATTCTTTTTTTTTTTCTGGCCTTTGGGTGTCGCTTTACTCGGTTTGTTTTTCATGCCAACATTCTTACAACCTCTGGGTGAGCTGCTCAGAACTAGAGTCGAGTCGATTTGAGATAAATGCTCACTTTTTTTCTGTTTTCATATTCTGTTCCGTACATATTTCCATCCGAGGCAGGTTTAAAGCGGACACCGAACTAGTCGGCTCTCTTTAGTTTTCCTGCTTTGGTCTGGGGAGGGAAGGCCTTTGGTTTCAGCTGGAAAGGGAAATGGGATGGATGATCATTTTTTGTTGTCTTGCACTGAAATGGGAAGTTAAAATAATGTAGCATTTTTCTTGACAAATATACCAAGGTCTTCCTTGTCTGGTGTTTTTGCACTATTTCCAGTATTTCTGGGACAATCTTTGTCGGTCTGGATCAAAGCCTTTTCAAAATTTCTCATCTGGCTGCAAATAAAAGTCCTCGGCATGAAATGTTTGCTCTAAATCATACTTCAAAGGAGATGTACAGACATGGTATATTTCTGGTCAACTTCTTGGCAGCTCTCCATTGTGGTCGAGGTTGAATGTGGAATTAGTTTTTGATGGATCGGTAATTTACCAGTTTGTGACCTAATATCACAGAAAAACAACTGCTCTTCGTCCATGAGTGTTTAGATATTTCATGTTGGTGCCTCAGCACCGTTATTTGTCAGGTAACTGCTTGACAACTCTTGGCTGCAGTCATTCGTTTTTTTCTCACTGTAAGGGTGAAGAAGAGCCATCATGCTTTCAGACTAAACGTGGGCTTTTGTTTGTGGTGGGAGGAAATTTATGGTCAGTTTTTTCTCTGAGCTACTTCAAAGATTTGTCCCCTTTTAAACTGTAAAGGATCCTTCACATCTAAAGAGACAGGTGTCATTAAATGTTCCTTTTAATAGAAAAATTAGGGCGGAAGGTCCTCATTTTGGTTGAGAACAGAAGTACCTTTTGGCTTTAGCAGGTGTGGTTAACAGCTGGCTGCCATCCTAGTTAAACTGTGTTTACCCTTTAACTTGTTGCTAGTTTAAAAAAAAAAAAGCTGCAGGTGGAGATTTTTGCCATAAGTTTAGCATTTTTACTTTTCTTTTTACATTCTGAATGTGTTGAATTTAACATACAATAAACTACTGATAACAACACCGCTCATACCACGAGTCATGATTACATTCAACTCCTTGTGAGGTTTTTTAAGCCCCCAAACATAGACGATGAGTTAAAGGAACCAATCTGAAAAGGTTTTATTTTTTCCCTCATCGATTTGGTGATTATTATTTGCTCAAAGTTATGAAAGTGATGAATTTTTCTTCTGTTGTCCTAAACGTAAATTATCCAAGTCCAATCCTTACCCATTAAACAGATTAATTCAAACACAAAGTTACCCTTTCACATAGGGTTTGTGAGCTGTCCATCATGTTTGATGTCCTCTTATCTAGTGAAACCACAGGTTGCTTTCATGTTCTGCTGAAAATACTTTGCCCACAGAATCAAGCATATATAGCGGGACTTTTTTTTTTTTTACCTGAACCGTCACATTTAGAATTGCATTTCTCCAAGGAGTTCAAACACCAACTGAGGCCATGACATAAGAATTTCACCCTCTGCTCCAACCTGAAATTACCAACATCTCTGAACACCTCTCACAGCTTGGTTTGCCCAAATGAAGGCACACCAGGGAGATAAGAGGAGGACAGGGATGTTTTATACTCCTCTGGGCTGCTAACAGACATTGGATGTGAAGACACAGGGAATACACAGTCAAAACCACACAGGATTCTTAAGTTAATTATACTTTGGAGCTTTAAGCCCCCGAGAAAAGGCAGACAGTTAACACAACTGGATCATTTAGAGATCAGAATTAGAAAAAAACAGTAAAACCCCAGAAGTAAATTTGACATGTCAGTTTGAGTTTATACCTTATTAGTCCTATATGTTATTATACAAAGCCATCGTAAAGTAAGAGAAAAGGAAGACACCTCAGAGAGCAGCATGGTTGCTAGTTCTCTGCTTACTAGTGATAACAAGGCCCATGTGGCCCAACAGGGAACAGTTAATTAATCTCTTTGCTTGGGAGTGTCAGCTTGACGCTTATTTTCCTATCTTGTACATTTGTTACAAACAGAATTTGCCGTTAGTGAGCCTTAATTTTCTCTGTAAATTAATTCAGTCAATGATAGACCTCTTTTGACTGCTCACTGAATGGTAATTGATTTACGGTTGTGTGAAGAAACCAAGGCTAAAAGGGAAAAAAAGTATTCAACTGCACAATGGAGAATACAGCCTGTAACATGTTTGAGTTTTATTGGGTATTCAGGATACAAGAGCTGCATTTAACAGGATTTAAATATTCATCATGTTGCAAGCGCGCTGGAACAACACAAATACCTTGAAGTTGGGAATTGGGTGTAGAATACTTCATTTGAATGAACATTTCTATTATTTGTTTTATTTTTTAAAAAGAAAGCATTTTTGTAGAATCTTTTTCTAATTATTGGGAAGTTGCTTGGACCTGCTGACTTCAAATGTGATGTTGTACATTGATGTTTTATGTTTTATGCTGTTTATGAATAAAGTTTCCATCATATGTAAGGAATGACTTTAATCTTCTGACATTAACAGAATGTTTTAAATGACCACAACCACCAATGACAGCTGTCTGTCAATCATGGAGGAGAGAACCCTCTCATCAGCTCCGTTTGGGCTTTCTGCCATAATTTCTCCATTTCTGTAATCTGATTACAATTTGGGAAATTTTGAACCATTTTACACTGATGAAATTTTGTCCAAATCAACACTTTTAACTTTTAAAAAGGATCTGGCCATGCAATTTATGGCTAATGTTCATTTTGCTGATTAACCCAGCCCTAGGATTACACATGTGGTTTTGCACAATAAGTTTTTTTACTTCAAGGATCAATATTCAAGGTAAATCAGTTGAGACTGATAATATAGAAATGGTCATTTTTAGACTGTCCACAGGTTGGGCAGTCTGCATGATAACTGTTGAACTAACAGATAAAATAACCCCAGCCACTGAAACCACTGATAAATTCTTCATATCTGATGACATAACCGGGCTTATCTGATGCATAATTAGAAACCTGTTTTTACATTTAATTTTTCCGATAACAGCTGTTTTTTCTAATTCAGAAAATGTCTTATTAGATGTCGACGTATTGTTGCATTGTCTTATTTCTATCAGGAAGAAAACAAGGAATAATTCAGTTAGGTGTCCTTGTAGGAATGCGCTCACCCTCTTGACCAATCACTGAGTAGAAAAACAATCAGTCTTCTTCCCCTTTAAATAAACTGCTCGCTCGTCCTCTGATCGGCCACGTAGCGCCACGTTTTTGCGCGTGCGCAGTGTCCTCACGATTGTGTTCCGGGGTTGGCCAGTGTACACATAGTTAAAAGTCATATGTGTATTTTCCTTGATTCCGTTTTTATGTTATTTTTCATACGGGCCACAGCGACAGGCATAAGGCTTTCCTTTTCTGAATAAAGTGACGTTTCAAATACTCCACAGAGAAGACGTCTATTAGGATGAACTTCATCAGAGGAGTGATGGGAGGGCAGGCTCCCGGGCCGCAGCCGTCAGGAGCGGAGACGGTAGGAAAACCAGCTCGGCTAGCTCCGGCTAGCTAAGATTTCACCACTGTATTTTGCACAAACTGCACACATCCAAGCCATCGAAACATCAACGAACAGGCCCGAAGGCTTTTTCGATGCTATGTATTTATCATAAACTAAAACGAATGATATGTTAAGATAAATAAATCTTTTTGAATGAGTAGCCAATTAGGCTAATTGGCTAACTAAGTGAAACTGTCAGCTAGCCGTGGATACCTCACCTGCTCTCTTCCGTTTGTGTTGTTGTAAGACTTATAACATAAGAAAATGAACTAGTCACAAATGATGAGTGGTGTCTGACAGTAATTGCAGTACATATGCTTTGCTTCCTAAAATTGCATGTACATTTACATGTAAGTACCAGGTTAGCCCTGACGGTACAGTGTTGATGGATGACTGTCATACTGTTTTACCAAGAACATAAGGTTAAGTGCTGGCTGACCCTATTGGGCTTTTGCATCTCTAATCAGAGCTGTTCTACAAATGTGCACTTTCCAATACTGCAACCAAAGATTGTTGTTACTCTCTTATTATGAATATCCAATAACTGACAAGGAAGTAACATGTATATTTGATTAAAGTTTCAGGCAAATAAGTGTACCTAAAAGACCTAAAAACCTGACTGAATTGCTGTATGAGAGGTTAAAGGTGATGATTTCTTCATTCACAGATCCAAAAGTTGTGTGACCGAGTGGCCTCTTCGACGCTCCTTGAGGACCGCAGAGATGCTGTCCGGGCTCTTAAATCCCTCTCAAAGGTAAAATAAGTTGATTAAATTACTGACATCTGGTGCACTTTGAATAGTATCACTTCATTTGTTTCCGCATGAGATTTTTATTAAAGCCTATGCCTATAACGAACGAGCCATATGGCTTGTCACTTTAAACGTCTTTTTTCGTTTGTCATTTGTTGGCCAAAGTGAACCAACAGTTTACCTTTAAATGTTTATTTGCTCAAAGCTGATATTTTGGCGTTAGTTTATGTTTTACACCCATGTTAGAGCAACAGCTCTAACTTGGGTATTGTCTGGTACTTAGCCTTTTATTGACAGGACAAAATTGGTTTCTAGGTAGTGTTTTGAGCAGTTGGCATCTATGTGGGTTCGGACTGCATTTTCTAATGTTGATTGGTGACAATAAAATGTTAAACAGCACAATAAAATGATATCAGCAATATGCTCATGTGCCCACTTTGCCATTTGGCTCCACATTCATATTGAAGCTCAGCTTTTTATTGTCCTTTTTTAGATTAAGCAGCCCAGAATCTCACTGTTTAAAGATGGACATCAGACTTTTATTGGTATTGTTGACGAGTCTAATATAGATGGTTTTCTGCTCAGGACTAGTGAGGCGTTTGTGTTACTGCCTCAATTTATTGCTTGTTTTAACTACTTTGGTAGTCAAAAGCTGCAAGAAATGGTTCAGTTCTTCAACTTTTTTGGTTGAAATAGGATCTATGAGTGACCTAACTCCAGTTTGAAATACATAACTCCTGCTACAAAAATGTTTCTTTAATGGTATATTCATTCATTATCTGTAGACAAGTGTGAGGCTGCTGAATTTAGTTGAGTTTTACTGTAAGCTGTTCTAATAGAAAATACTTCCTTGTTCATTATAAAATAACATTATAACTGTCTTATTTTCAGTCTCTTTTTTGTTGATGTGAACTCCCAGCCAGTCTTTTCACTTACTGTTTTGTAACAAGCTGCCAGTTCAGCCATGAGTAATGAGTTGATCGTGTTTGAATAGAGTCTAGAAGCACAAGGCTGCACATTAATACATCAGTGGGGTCAGCACAGGTTTACCACATGGTCTAACTGTATGTAATAAGAAAAAGCAGAAAGTTCAACATGTTTTTAAAGTGCTTTTCTATTGATCTTTTTAAGCCATTTTTGCTTAATTTCATTGGAATAATTACCTTTTTGTAGAAATACCGTATGGAAGTGGGCACACAAGCGATGGATCACTTGATTAACATACTCCAGACTGACAGGTATGTAGATGTTTCAACAAGTAAATGACATGTATCACTCATTAATTTTTCTCCACAGTTGTGTCAAAACTTTCAAATATTTCTTAAATGTTCCTCTTGTCTCTCCACATGAAACAGATCGGATTCTGAAATCCTCGGATATGCTTTAGACACACTTTACAACATCATCTGCAACGATGAGGAGGAAGAACAAGGTATTCCACTCCACAGTTGTTTTAAAAAGTAGTAGTAAAAACCTGTTTAAAGTAGGCATGTGTTAATAGCTTGATTTCTTGTCAGTTGGTCAGCATTCAATTTGCATTCCCATCTATAGAATACTGATAATGACTGCTTTATGTAAAGACTCTCGTCTCTCTTTTCTCTTCCATGTTTTAACCCTACAGATGAATCAGAAGGTAAAACTCTGACTTTGCATGATGCCAACCCCTCTAACTCCCAGCAAAACTTGTCCATTCATACATTCTCATGGTTGGGATGTTAAAACAAGTGCACATTATGATTATTTTTTATAAAACTACTTGCAGTTGCCTAAGCCGACAAACTATTAGGCTGTGTTTTGGTTGTTTTCGTGGCATGATCTCACAAGAAATCAGTCCGCTGATGTTAGACATTCTGTGTAGTTCGATGACTGCTGGCTCCTGGGTGAGGCTTTAAACTTTCCCCCTGCAGATGCAGTAACCCCTCTCCCTCCCTCAGGGAGGAGTAAAAACGTGCCCATGCCTGGTCAGTACTGAAACAAAGCCACATGTGCAATAGCTTTAGTATTACTAGATGACTAACTTCACTAAACTCTGCTGGCACTGAGAAAGCGACAGAAGGGTGTTTGGGTAGTAACATGACTGCTTTACTAATACCACAGCGCTCCGTATTCATTCGCTCTTTGCATTGTTCAGATGTTTCCTTTGTTTCTCACAATATGTTCATTAACTGTTTCAAACAATGGAGAATTCTCTTTGTCATTGTTTGTTCACCCAAATTTAAAGATTTGATCCACTTTCCTCCATTTGTCCCCTGTATTGTGGATTATTTAAAGTAACAGTGACAGAAGTTAAAATATTAAACCAATAGAAGAGTCTTCAGGGATCCTTATTAAATTAAGTGCATATCTGCTCTTATTTGCTTTTCTTATTTTTCTCTTATATGCCCCCCAGTTTCTTCTAAGAGGATCATTGTCAGCCTTGGCTTTTAAAATCTCCATTTTTTTCTTACTGTTTGAGAAGTCTAAAATGTAATATTTCTGTTCTAGTAGACCCATTTATTTGTTATCAGTGTCGGTTTTGGTATAGTTCTCATCCTCAGAGTGTCTCTCTGTTACATGTTGTGTCACCTGTAATCCCAGAGGTTTGGTCACAAGTATCAGCCTGAGCATGCCCACATTCTATTGTCCATTTCACACAGTTCTTATGATGTAATTTCAGTCACGGTTTCTTTATTTCATATATACTTACACATGCACAAACAACTTCTTGAAACTTTGATAGAATTGATTTTATTTATTGGGCTGATTCTTATGTCCAAACTGGCCCATCCCTTGTGTGTAAAATGAGCTCCTGACGTAGAATTTGAAAAAGTTTTAAATGTTTTTTTTTTTTTTTTTTTTTGATTGTCTTTAATAGATGAGAATGCCCAGAAGCAGTCAGATGACCTTGGTGCACAATTTACAGAGAAGTTCATCCAGGATTCTGAGCATATAACCCTGCTCCTCACCCTGCTGGAGGTACTGTACAGCTCTCCATCCAGCAGAGAACGGTCACTCTCATTGTATTTCTGAAACGTCTGCCAGTATGTTTATGCAGTGATGTGACTTTAGGAGTTTGACTTCCACGTCCGCTGGCCCGGGGTTAAGTTGCTGACTGCTCTCCTGAAGAACCAGGGTGTCCAGGTGCAGGGGATCATTCTTGTCAGCCCGATGGGTGAGTCTTCTTTCTTGCTTTGGCTCACCCGGCATTTTGCAGGCGGAAGGGCCTCAGTTCCAGCTCCTTTTTGCCTCTGTTTCCTTTCACAGGGGTTTCCAGATTGATGGACCTGTTAGCAGACTCCAGAGAAGTAATACGCAATGATGTAAGGGCATTAATCTTCTCTTAATTATGGAACATTTGTGAACGTCTAAAGTCTCAGTGCACACATGTATTCAGCGTTCTGTTATGTTTTTGCTCCGGGCAGGGCTTGCTGTTGCTTCAGCAGCTAACCAAAGGCAATGCAGCCATTCAGAAAATTGTGGCATTTGAGAATGCATTTGAACGACTCCTGGATATCATCACAGAGGAGGGCAGCAGCGATGGAGGTGAAACCATTTGTTTACACAGTCACCACTCAACTTCTAAACGCCATTGATGTGGGGTGGATTCTTTTCCTTGTTCTCTGAGCTTCTTTGTTGCTCTGTTTAGGTATTGTGGTGGAGGACTGTTTGCTGCTGCTTCTCAACTTGTTAAAGAACAACAGCTCCAATCAGAACTTCTTCAAAGAGGGCTCTTACATTCAGAGGATGAAGCCCTGGTTTGAGGTTGGCGATGACAACTCGGGCTGGTCAGCACAGAAGGTCACAAACCTTCACCTGATGCTTCAGGTAACGCCTAAAATCAAGTCTGCTGTTTTTTTTAGATTAGTTTCCCACATCCCAAATGCCAGTTATTAATCTTTGTAACGTATTGTCAGCTGGTGCGAGTGATGGTGTCACCGGTGAACTCACCCGGAACCACAACCAGCTGTCAGAAGTGCATGTACCAGTGTGGCCTGTTGCAGCAGCTGTGCACCATCCTCATGGCCACCGGTGTGCCAGCGGACATCCTCACCGAGGTAATCACAGCAAAACTGCCATGAAACAGCCAAAGTGTCCCACCCTCCACCTCACCATTTCCTAGCACTAAACAAAGTATCCAGAAATGAGACTTTGACCTGGTTTCTTTCTTTCAGACTATAAATACAGTTTCAGAGGTCATCAGGGGGTCACAGGTCAATCAGGACTATTTTGCTTCTGTCAACGCCCCTTCAAACCCACCGAGGTAAACCGCCTATTAACCAGGGTGTAAAAACTCATAGATCCAGCTGAAAGTGTGTTTTGTTTTGATCAACTCTGTGATCTCATCATGTCTCTGCAGACCGGCCATCGTGGTGCTGCTCATGTCTATGGTCAATGAGAGGCAGCCGTTCGTGCTTCGCTGTGCTGTCCTTTACTGTTTCCAGTGTTTCCTCTACAAAAACCAGAAGGGCCAGGGGGAGATAGTGGCTACTCTGCTGCCCTCCACCATTGATGGTGAGTTACATCAGTGTCCTTTAAAGGTGATTCAGATTCTAAAGAATGAAGTTTGTTTTAATGGAGACCCCCAACCCCTTGTGTCTTTCTAGCCAATTCCATCTCAGCAGGGCAGCTGCTGTGTGGCGGCCTGTTCTCTGCCGACTCTCTTTCCAACTGGTGTGCTGCCGTGGCCTTGGCTCACGCCCTTCAGGACAACCTGACCCAGAAAGAGCAGCTGCTGAGGGTGCAGCTGGCCACCAGCCTGGGCAAACCCCCCGTCTCCCTGCTGCAGCAGTGCACCAACATCCTGTCCCAGGTAGGTATGACTGTCCCCACCCACCAACTCTCAGACCGGGTGTTTCTGGGTAGTATAGGTGCATGTGTGCGTTTTAAAGAGGGTTTTTTTTTCAAAAAGGTAAATACTGAGTTGTGTGCCACAATGAAGACAACATTGTCACATTATTGTGGTTTTGCAGGGTGATAAGATCGTCCGGCGGGTGAGTAATGTGCCTCTGGAGTTTGTTTGTGTGTGTTTGGGTGGCACCTGTCCTGGTCATTGTGGCTTGGCGTATATAGTAGGGGTGTTGGCAGCCCACATCTTGGTGGATCTTGCTTTCCCCTTTAACTCTAGTAGCTCGCCTTGTCCCTAACCGATGACCACGACCCAGTTCTGCCTCTTCAGGGACTGATGAGCTTCACACAAATATGGAAGCTTCTGTTGCTCTGACTATGTTCAGCTCCGCTTTATTGGGGAGAACATAAAGGGGAGAGGTTCAGAGAACATGGACAGAGCAACTGCAGTTCATTGTTTTATCTTTGCTGACTTCGTCATAATACCTGCTTTGAGCTTTGAACTTGATTGGTGTTCTGCTAGCTCTTACCTGTCTGTTGAGGAAGTGTGTGCTGTGGCTAATTTTGGGCCTTTTCCTTTCAGTGTAAGGGACCTTTACTGTTTTTGTCTTTCTAATGATGGCCACATGTATTTTTATTTATATCCAGTGTTGACCCTTTACCTATGGCCATAGCACCGACGCTGTATTTTTTTTAACGTCCAAACTATTGTTACCATAATTCTGTCAACAAATGCTGACAGAGAGCGGGGAATGTGTGTTTTTTGTCAATAAAAACACACATGTGATTTGTATCATGTAAATGTGGAACCATACTGTTAAATATGTATTTGGTTGGAAGATGAGGGAGAAAAAGAGTCTGTAAATGACTTCACCTTACCATATTAAGCAAAAATGTTTTGAAAAATTAGAATTTCCATTTTCATACATGCTGTCGGAACTCTTAAGATAAATGACAGTCTGCTGGAATAAACCTTTCTCTGTCCGCAATGTGATCCAGCCTAGATAAGCAGAGAAATATAGTGAAGCGTTAAAGTTATCAGAGCAGGAGGGTGAACCCTGGAGCAGAGATAGGCAACTCGAAGATACTGTTAGTAACTCTATTATTGGCAGCAACCAAAAGCAAAGACGCTGAGTTTCTGTCCTGACTTTGCAACGGAATGTAAATGGTATGTGCCTCCTAGCAGCACCAGCCCTCAGTCTGCAACCTGAATAATTTGAGTTTTAATTCTAAGAACAATTTTTGAGTGTGCATGAAAACCGACCAGCCGGGTTCATTCTGTAGATCTCGTAAAGACATATGGGGAAAAACATTTTGAGGGCGTTCTTCCATTTCGCCACAATGACTATTAAAGACCATTTTCAAGAAGTACAGTCACGGCACCTGAATCAGCACAGCTCTGGAACTGCTTCAAAGAAATGCAGCTGAAAAGGCAGGGGAAGTCTGTCCTGGACTTATGCAAAACATGACTGTGAGCTAACGGTGCATACATACCAAGTACCATTGTATTCAAATCGGATAAGACATGCACCAGCGGCCGTCAGGCCTCACCCACCTACTGAGCCCCGTATGCTGTATGCGTGCATCTAACAGGCTCCGTTAGGGAAGAATGAGCAGCTGTGGTCGGTGATGGCACGAGGAGATGGCTGTGATGTAACGAAGGCCATATGGTTTAATGCTTTTCTGCTGATTCTGTTAAAGTAGCCTTAACATCTGACCCACATTAATTTAAAAAATATTTTTAATATTTGTTGCTAATAGCTAACAGATCTTTATGAAGAATAAGTTGTTTTTGGTGTTGCCTAAAGGGGAGTCGTGGCTGGGCTTTAGAGGTTATCAGTGGCTAAGTGAGTCTTCAATGTTTAGATTTTGTTGTTGGTGTGTTAACGTGGTGTGATGCTAAGTTAAGGGAGAGGGTTCCATAAATCGAGGATATGAGCAGACATAGGGTTAGGAAGTACCGTCTGGGAGACTAAAAGCGAAGCTAACTTGCCTTTTCATGTCTTGTTATTTAATTTAATAAAAGGTTAATTTTATTTGTTCATTTTTGGAACTTCACCCAGCATTGTATTTGTAGTTTGAGTATCAATTCTTAAGAACTGATCTCTTACTTCTCTTCTCCCTGGTGTGGAAAACACTCATACAGACGGATTTGACGTTCTGCTGAACCAGGATAATTTTTCAACGTTTAGTAACATTTTGTGATTTTTAAATCGGGGATGCTGTTTGTGTTACATGAACGCATTTGGGCGACAAACTTTGAAGACTGAGCAGTCGGAACTTATTTCTTAACTCACAACTGTTTGCTCACATGACGCCTGTGGTCTTTTTCTTTTTTCTTTTCCTCCTCATTTTTGCATTACGTCACATTTGGAGGCAAAAGCTGAAAAGGTGATCTTTGAGACTTTTTGATTTTCTTTCTTTTCGGTATGTAACTCTGATAAGTTTTCCCATTCACCTTCATGGCTCAGATCTCCACACATGTTTGGCCTCCATTGTTTCGGCTGCAGGAAGTAGGCGTCTCATTGTCTAAAGCATGCTGAGCATGAACCCATTTGGACCTGAAACGAGGTGGACAGTTTCCTTTTTCAACCCCCGTAGCAAGGCACTCGTTATTTGCAATGTGTTTACCCTATTCAGGATTTTGAAAAACAGTGAAGAACTTGAAAAAAGAGTTAGTCATTTATCATAAAAGCTAACGGTTAAAAACAGGTTCAGGACCGAATGGGTTACATGTTGCTGGATCAGCTCTTTAGAAGCCAGAAGCTTCAGTTCAGACCTTGAATATTTTTGTTTTACATTCCAATTCCATGAAAATCACTTTTATTTCCCTCCACCCTAAAAGTGATCGAGATAAGTTTGTGACCTACCTGCGAGAAATTCTGAATGTACCATGTGTCTAAGATTTTTGAAGAAAAATTACAGCTGACAGTTCTTTCTCAGCATCTTTATCCCAGTCGTTTTCATGGAAATCATTTTGATTTTCCTCTTTTTCTTTTTTTTTCTTTTAAATGCTGCTCATTTTCCCAAGGGAAAAAAAAAAGCAAATTAGTATTTTGCTTTGCATGTGCTTTTTATCTGGAAATATGACTAGTTTCATGGCATTTTGATTTGAAAGCCATCCAACACTTGAGGAAAATGAATTGGAAAGCACAGAAAAGTAACTTCATGAATAAGTTGCATTTGTGATGCCTGAGCGCAGACTGGTATCCTCTCACAGGACCGCATGCTCCTTTCAATCTAACCTCGTTAAAATATCTGAATGTTTTCCTGTTGACTGTCATTATAAACTAATACAACCATATTAACTAATCTATTGTGTTGTTTTCAGCATTGCCTGATAATTGTAATTGTTACTTCTGAAGTTGGGTTTTTTTGTGTGTAGTTCTAATTTAACCCTCACACAACCTAGTAGCAATACGTTTTCTCAATTGTTGGAAACATTCGATCCCTCAGCAGGAGCAATGCTTGCTTAGGGCACACACCGATATTCCACAAAGGTCTGTTTTTCAACCCGTGTCTCTGTACAGCGAGTTAAGGTTTTCCCTCTTGGCTGTTGTTCTCCGCAGGGCAGTAAAGTACAGACCAGGGTGGGCCTCCTCATGCTGCTGTGTACGTGGATCAGCAACTGTCCCATCGCTGTCACGCACTTCCTTCACAACCAGGATAATGTTCCCTTTGTATCCTTGAAGCTGCTTGCTAACAGCCAGTGGGTGAAGTACCAGTACATTTGAGATGCATTTTTTTAACTTCCTTTTAGTGGAGCATTTCACCCTTCAAACCTCTCAGTCCGAAACAGATAGATGTTAATGACCCAGTGTGGACACATTCCACTCTGGGGCTCAAACGGGTGCCAGGTCAGTCCTTAACTCTTTGGCTGCTGTAGCTGACCGCTCAGATCTCGGAGAACCTGGGGGAAGATGAAAGACTGGTGCAGGGTCTTTGCGCGCTGCTGCTCGGCATCTGCATCTACTATAACGACAACTCGCTGGAAAACTACACCAAGTTAGTTCCCTTTGATTTACACGGCACTTTTATGCTGCCACTATTTTTTTTCATGTTTTACAACACTTAGGGCTGTCCCAATGTTGATACTCTTGCACTAATTGATAGTAAAACCTGTATCCATTACTGGCTGCAGGGTAGAACTTGCTTCTTTCTCCTGTACATAAACAGGAACAGATTGGACTTATCAATGTCCTTCTCCTTCCCAGAGAGAAACTAAAGCAGCTGATTGAGAAACGCATCGGAAAAGAGAACTTTGTGGAAAAGCTTGGCTTCATCACCAAACATGAGCTGTATTCGCGGGCGGCCCTGAAGCCCCAGCCTGTCTTCCCGTCCCCGGAGCAGATGCTTTTCGACCACGAGTTCACCAAGCTGGTCAAAGAGCTGGAGGGTCAGCACAGGCTCTGTGATGGTTTATCTCAGTGCAGCAGTATTGATGTGAGCAGGATTTTAAGAGTACAGCGCTCTCTCTGCTGTGCACAGGTGTGATAACTAAGGCAGTTCACAAGTCCAGTGAGGAGGACAAGAAGGAGGAGGAGGTGAAGAAGACTTTAGAGCAGCATGACAACATTGTAACTCAGTACAAAGAGCTGATCAGAGAACAGGTAAAGCACAACTTCAAATTTGTCTTCTTAAAATGTATTCCTTAGAAGTTCCTCTTTTCTTTTTTTTCCGACAACATCCTGTTAACAGTCTTACTTTATGTCTGATCTTCAGGATGCTCAGATCCAGGAGCTGAAAGAGCAGGTAGCATCTATGAGCTCTCAGAATGAACAGATGCAGACTACCATCACCCAGCAGCTGTCCCAGATCCAGCAGCACAAGGACCAATACAACATCCTCAAACTGAAGCTAGGTGGGTTCTCTGTGCCTGGACTTTGTACCGTTAACAGGCGTAGGCTTTGTACTCCACATACCCACGATATACAGTTTGTTCCCAGCATCCCAGGCATTGTTTTGTAGTTTTAGAATGTAATGTCAGAAAGCAGCGTGACAATGTGTCGGTTGTCTATGTACAGAATAAACAAATAATGTGTTCTGTCTCTATGAAACTATCGCTAAAACATTATGGATACTGTGTTCAGGGAAGGAGAACCAGACTCAGTCCAACAGCCAGGGAGATGGCTCTCAGGTCAACGGTCTGCAGACTGAGGAGCTTTCCCAGCTCCGAGAAGAGCTGGAGGAGCTCCGCAGGCAACACACGCTTCTTCAGACACAAGTCGGTGAAAAAGACGTGCTCATCAACACCCTGGTAGGGAAATTGGCATTGTTGTAAGCCTGATAAGATCACCTAAAAGATTAGCTCAGGTCAGACTAGAACCAGGCATAAGTCAAGGTTTTGACCGGATTTCACTATGTTCGCAATTTAGGTGTTTTGTAAAGATAAAGTAGATAAAAATTACAGTCATTGCTTTATCCTGCGTGAAAGTCCCTGACTCAGTTATTTCACTGTGTGTAATTGTAGAGGTCATCACCACAGATGGCAGAGGGTCCATCAGCAGGATCAGACAACACAGAGCTGCTCCAGGTGATAAAAAAAAAAAAAACTTTTTTTATTGCTTCTTTCTATCTGTCAGTAAGATGGAAAATATCAGATTTAACTTTAATGCTGAGTATGTTTCTTGTCCTGTTTTCCATTATTCTTTGCAGGAACTGGAGGTTTTAAAGAGTCAGGTTCAGTCCCAGTCATCGGAAATCAGCCAGCTTAAGGCTGAGCGACAGGAGCTTCTCAAAAGAGCCGAAGCCAGGGTAAAAAGCAAGAGACATGGCACCAGTCTGGTATCAGAATGTGTAATGGGATATTCTATTATTTGAACTCTCTCTGGCTTTTATCAGTCTGCTGACACAGTTCCCACCAGCGACAGCTCGTCAGATGCCAGTAAGATGGCCGATCTTGAGAGCAGACTAACTGCACAGACATCCGAAAAGGAGAAACTGGAGGTGCGTAAAGCATGCTGTGCTGGACACGCACATAGGAAGTTTGCCTGGGTTTGTATTGTCTATATTTGTAAATCCTCATCACCTGCTCTCGTGTGCTGTAGGAGAGCCGAGCACAGCTGGAGCAGCAGCTGGATTCAGCCAAGAGCACGGTTGCCATCCTGCAGACGGAGAAGGAAAAGCTACAGACTGAGGTCCAAGAGTCCAAGAAGGAGCAGGACGACCTGCTCATGCTGCTGGCAGATCAGGACCAGAAGATCCACAGCCTCAAAAAGAGACTCAAAGACCTGGGACAGACGGTAAGCAGCCATGACGCTCACTCTTCACCCGCTGTCAGAAACTGTGAGGTTCAGTCATAGCACACAGTACATTTGGAAATTTGGAAACGTCCCCAGCCAGAGGATTCTTCCAAAGTTTAAAAATACCATTGAGCTTATCTTTTTTCGTTATTGTACAAAACGCTGCATTGATAATGATTGTGTAGGCTAATCTGTGTGTGCTTCCAGCGTGTTGGTAGTTACTAGAGTGGCCGATGTGGTGAGTAGTTAGACTGGTTAGAGGAGTAGATACAAATGTTTACTTCTGGTCCTGATCACTCAGCTTTTTCCTGTTTGTTTGCACTAGTTAGACTGAGAAACTTTCCTTACAGGTGGAGGATGAGGATGACCTCGATGCCAGGGACCAGACGTCCGACGATGACGACGAGGATGAAGATGAGGGCTAGAGAAGAAACGCTTGGAAAGAAGACGGAGAGATGTGACTTTGTCTGCCAGGAGGCGAGAAAAGACTCTGCAGGAACACACCTGAGAACCTGAAAAAGAGGACAGATCATAAGTCAAAGCTGTTTCTCCTCCCAGCTGCCGCGTGTCTTCATTTTGCTTTAGCCCGTCACATCACATGTGCACGTTTAGTTTTTGAGCCGTTTTTTTTTTTTTTTTCCTTGTTCAGGTTCCACTTTTCAGTTTTTCCCCCCTTTCAGCAACAGCTAAGAGGTTCCACCTCGTCTGCACATTCATCTCTGCCATGTTCCCTGTCAGATTGTGATGGATTTTACCAGTCCTGTGTTCATTGTGGTGTGTTGTCATATAGTTTGTAATTAAAGAAAAAAGTAAAATTGGCTCTTTTTAACACCCAAGTCATCTGGAGAATGTTGAGGAGGGACCGTAAAAAGTAGCGGGAATCCGCTCTGATCAGAGACGAGGACGTCGACGTGCTTTTTTTCCCGTTAGACGCCCCTGCAGACTGTGCTGCACGCTGGATGTGTCTGTCCTCACTCACCCTGAGGCCAGCAGCACGGTATCTAACACTCAGTTGTTCCATTTCACCCTTCTGGTTCAACCCGACAGCTCTACAATATGCTGCAAAAATGCTGATGGAAAAGATGTAAAGACAAAAAAAAAAGACCTATTTTTGCAACTTTTTGTCCAGTACTGGCATCCTGCTTCTGTATGATACTGTGTAACTTATCAATTTAAGAGCCACCTTGAAATGAATAATCTATCTGTATGACATGTGGAGGAATAATTGTAGATAAATTAAATTTTACTAAATCAATCGAGACGTTCCAGAATGTTCCTTCTGTTCAGATTAAAGATGCTTTGTTTAAATGTTCATATTTCCACTACAGTTCCCATGATGTGTCGCCTCAGTTCAGTCACCTCAAATAAGAATATTTCAGAAATTATTAAACTAGACTGTTAAATTCCTAGAAGAGTTCTTTCAGGATTCTCTGTCTTGTTTTTTTTTTTCCCCACACGAATGTGATGGCTTCCAGTAACAGAAATCCTGACGGTTTGGACGGGGGCTCCCCTCCCTGGTCCTCACGGCACGCTGTCCTACATGTTGTCCCAGTTTCTCTGCTGCCGCACACCAGATCCAGAAAAGTGCTCCCCTTCGTTTTCACAGGTTAAGAGCTGCATAAAAACCCCCCATCTTGGATGACAAAAGTACATCTGAGAACAGCCCAAATATTGAAACCTTTTTTGTTGCTTTTACCTGTTTTTGAAGTAAAAACGTGTTTGATGGATTCAAAATTAAGAGATTTTATTATTTTTCAGAATAATAACACTGCCGCGTTAACAGAAACGTTAACAGAAACGCGGCAGTGCATGTGGACATACGGGCAGGAATAAGCAGAGCTTATTATTTGAATGCTTTTGCTTTTAAAAAAAAGACATAAATGTATAAATACATAATAAACATAACATAAATCGGGGCAGATGTTGGTTCATGTTTTACATCAAAGGTACCGATGGATGAGAGATGGGTTACACCCTGAAAGCACCGCCAGTTAATCTATTCTGTTATTTATGCTGCTCAGTAAATTTAAATTAACACTCAAAGCTCAACAAAAAAATGAACAAGAGGTCTGTTTCTTTATACTTAACGTATTCTGTTGGACTGGACATGAGGGGGGCCTCTTTAAACATGATAAATTAAATAAATGACTGTCTGTACTGCCAGTGTGTGTTTCTCTATCCTGCTGTAATATCTGGCTTTCACCACTAGGGGTCAGTGAACGTCCTGAGATGGGGATGTGCACCCAGCCCACCTGTTTTCCTTACAGGTGCCATCAAAACAACATCAGCATGTAAATGATGCTAAACGAGAGGCCACCACTCATGACATTTTAACCACTCTACTTTTGATCTTTCCATGTCTGCTTTGTATTTATATTTTTAAAAAGACCAAGTGAATTCAGTTAATCCCTTTTCCATTCAGTCAGATCTCAGAACACATGGGTGTACATGTGTACATCTATAGAGTCAGCACTCACACAAATGACAGGACGCTTGCGTACACATATAAGAGCAGAGCAGCTCTCCTGCCCTCTCCTCCAGCTCTGTGCTGGCCACACGTCACCAGTCGCTCGGCCAAAAGACCCCCGGGGCCAAACTGACCCCTGCCCCCCCCCTGTATTGACACCTCTCCTGCTCCCTTTCTGTGTCATCTGTGCCCGGCTGTCACTGTGTGGATGAGCCACACTTGCTCCTTTTTTTTTTTTTTTTTTAAATGTGCTGAGAAAGTTAAAAGTTCTACTATCTGCAGAGCCAGGGCCCGGCCTACCTGAGGTCAAATAAAGGAAACTGAGTGTTCTGGAGAGTTCCACTCCAGCAGGACCCACTAGTGAAGGCTGAAGTGGGTCTGACTGGGATCTGTGTGCTTCCCTTCTTCTGCAAGTCCTAGGCCACACGTGTGAAATAAGCCTGATTGCCTCGCCCCTCCCTCCCTCCTCTTCCTCCTCTTCCTCCTCTTCCTCCTGTCGTGCATCCTGTCTCCTCGTCCACCGCCCTCCTCTTCCTCCCCACCGGCTCCCATTTGTTTCTCTCTCTCTCTCTCTCTCTCTCTCTCTCTCCCCTCCTCCGCCCTTTTCCCATTCTGTTGGGGAGGGGATCATCTCTCCAGTGAGTTTTCTTTTTCTTTTTTTTCTCTCCATCTCAAGGTTAGAGCCGGGCATCATGACTTTTACAGCGATCGCTGGACTACAGCCGGTGATATAACTCGTTCCTGCTCGGGCAGCTGGCTCCCCAACACCGATTTAAAAATAAAAAAAAGAAAACAGAAGAAGGAAAAAGCCCAGGTCCATTAGCACACAGCCGCTCCGGCGTGGCGTCCTGTTCCGGGGAGAAGCTCCACCTGCCCGATGACCGTCTCAGAGGTGAGTCCGGCCGCCCTCCTCCAGCCCTCGCGCGCACGCACGCACGCGCCCACCAGTTGCGGGCGCGTTCGGCACACGGATTTGTTTGTTTGTTTATTTCATTTGTTTGCAAAAACGTGGACGTGTCCGTGTTTCGCGACGCATCCGGACAGCTGTTGTTTCTGCCCAGTCCACCCGGGACTGCCCTTCCGCGCGCGGTCTTCAAAAATGACCAGAGAATAATGGGTTCAATTTGACCCATTTCCGTCGGTTTACACGGTCGAGTAATTATCAATCAAAACAATCAGTTAAAAAAAAGAAAAATCCGTTTGAATGGAGATGCCTAAAGCTTCCTCACACATAGCAGATCACGTGATAAATGAGGTATTTTTAGACTTTAGACTACAATATTTAAAGGGATTGCAGATTAACTCGGCCTGTTAATAGAAAATGCAACATGAAATGTGTGTGTCTGTAAAAATTGAGAAAATCTTTTAGTGGACAGAAACTAACTGATAATTTCATGGATATTTGATCAAGCCACAGGCTTTTTGGAATTGATCAAGAGGAAGTGTTTTTATTTGTTTTTGTTTTTTTGCAGCTTATCTTGATTTTGAGTACCTTTGTATTCAAAGTGCAGGAAATTGAATAAATTGAATAGAACAAACAAATATTGATATTGTTCTTGAGCTGCTTCAGGCTGAGCAACAATAAAGGCTCAGCTATCATCAAAGCGGGTGATGAAAGTTTGTCCAAAACATGGTGACATTTTGGTCTCATATGAAGGCGAAAAACACAAAATCCTTATATTTTGGGCTTAGTTATAATCGTTTCTAGATGCAACAATAAAAAAAAAACCTCTTCGGAAAGAGGAACTCTGGACAATCCTGGGCAAACCAAAACAAAAGCCGGCGTAGTCACTCCACAGGACAGAACGATGGTTACACAAATGCTTTATGTACCACATTATTGTGTGTGTTTTTTTTATGTGTGTCAGTTTCTGAAACGTCGGCCTCATCGTGACGAGTTTCTACTGTATTGTTCTGGCCTTTGATGCCACCCCTATGTCTGTAAACTCCCCATTAGCCATACAATGAGTGAAATCTGTCCCCGGGGCTCAGAGCACGGCTGCACTCTGAACAGATGGACACATCCATTGTTTTACTCACCCCTGGCTGAACGAAGACAAACTTTGGACAAAAGAAAAAGTGGTGTGAGAGCTTGGTGTTTAATGACCCGGATTTGATTCGGGACTTTGCTGGTTGGTCCTTCTGGGGCAGCCATTCAGCCTACAGGAAGTTGGACTGATGAAGAAGTTGGCTAGTCGAGGTTAAGATATGAAATGTGAAATGGTGAAAAGTTTGGACGTGTATCGGAAATTCAACAGAAGGTTTTTGGAGAATGTTTGCAAATGCAGAAAGCAGCAACCCCTGATTTATTCGATTTATCTTAACATCTTCTGATAATGTTGCATTTGTCATATTACCCACCCTCACCCCCATTTTTTGCTTTTCAATCAGAGGGAGCTGGACAAACATTTATGACATTAATTCCAGTAAAACTATATTAATCTTAACTATACATTATAATTCCCTATTTGTTTAAAGCCAGTAGGGGGAACTTGTGTCAAACATTGTTATTGAATTTATCATGAGCTCCTTTTTAAATTTTTTAAATTTATGAATAATCCTGCAGTTACACTGTGTTTTCATGCTGAGGACATTTGTTCACAAAAGTTCCTCATTGTGACCTGGCCCTCAGCTCTTACCAGGGCTTAGAAGAACGATAGCAAGGTCAGTTATTACCCTTCAGCTCGGCTGTGGTTTCATGCAAATGTTCACGCTGGCTCTCCACAAGGAAAAGGCTCATAATCTACACGTTGTGATGTACCCTTGAGTCACTTGGTTTTCATACACCGACTCAGACATTCCTAATCTGCACAAAGCAGCATCGAGTACCACGATTATGCCAAGTCAGGCCACCACTTGACCCGTCTGCAGACTCTTGTCGAATCAGCGTTTGATTAATACTCCAGTGGTGCTCAGGGCCAGGGCCGGACCGCTTTTGTTATGTCTTAATGCAAATTTCATAAAACATACGCCGTTTCAGAAAGTTTTTATTGAGTTTGTGGGATTTAAAGATGCTGTTCTCGTCTATGTTTTGTCCTATAGTAAAATCCGGCCTGCTCTTTCATGTCGGGCCGTAAAACGCTAACCTGTATTGCTGGCATGTTATCACTCAGACTGTTACCACATACCTGAGATGCGCGATCTTTGTCCAACCTGTGAGTGGGACGGCCTGCTATGCAGACGCACGTTTCCGTACGCTCTCTTCTATTGTTTCCCTGCTAAAATATTCTGCGGAAAAGAAGCTATTGTCTGTTATCATCTCCTGTACCTGTCGGTGTAGTTCCTCAGAACATTATCTTGCTGCTGTGCGCGAAAAATCCTGCGTCCCGCTCGCTTTAATGACTGCTTTGAATTGAAGGCGTGCTTTAGAGCAAATATTTCCTTGAACCTGCGGCCCTGAGAGGAAGCAACTCCCTTCAGAAAATATGCGGCGGCCAAGATGCTGTTGTGAAATAGCCACTGCCAAACAAGGTGGCTAACACATCATAAAACAAGTTGGTCCTAAAACATCCTAAGATGTTTTAGGACCAACAGTGTGCCCTATAGCTCATAAGCCCGTTGATGCCGTCTCACTGTGTAATGTCTTCACTGGTAGAGAATATGAGAGACAGGGAGGCAGATTAGCCAATTTTAGAGTTGTATCTACCTTCTGGAACAAATGAGATCATCTTTTCAGTGGGTGATGCTGGAATCAGGAGAACCAGAATCAATAAAAAAAAGCTTGAATGGATTAGAGTAAAAGTCAACTTTGCCTCCTCTGTTTGCCTCGTTTAATCTTCTGATGTGTATTTCATTCAGGACCGAAGGACAATTTGACACGACATTGAAGCCGTCAATCAGAAACAGAAACAGAAAATTGTTCACACATTTTCTTATCTCTAATTACAAATACAATCTGTAC